CCAAAACCACGTATTTTGGCTTTGAATTGACGAAGATGTGGTGGTTTGAATGTTGTGGGTGGTATTGTGGAAGACGTGTTGTAAGACGCGGTTGTGTAAGTGGGGTGAAAATGTGAACCTTTTTTTGACCCTGATTTTAGGTTTATGGCACAGAGGACCAAGATGGCCATGACGGTAACTGTTGCAAGCAGTTTTGACTCCAAAAGTACGGATAGAATGTAGATACATATGGATCTGCCGATATACCTAGGATTCGGATGATAAGCAACTAAATGACATCCCACCACGGGGTGAACGCATCCTAGCGGTGAGCTAGAGACTGGTCTAGCATGGAACATTATGCTAGGATGATGCATACTCCGTACAAGCACATGGAACCTCCCCTACGAGTCTAGCTGCCGGCACACTGGGGCTGATGCTCGCGAAGCACCCCAGGCTGGGACGGAACTAAAAGATTAGTGTATGTAGGTACGTACATACTGTACTTCGTATATATCGGTACTCAACAACAGGTCGATATCCCAAATGCCAATCAGCAGTACGGATACAGTACATGATATTCACAGAGACAAAATGCTGTCCAGTGAAGATTGGGATTTGTTACCAAATCGGGTGCACCAAGCAACAACCTGGAATTTTTGCTTAGTGGAGGGCTTCCCCTATGCGGGTCATTTCAACGTTGTCGCACGTATGGAACCAGTGGGTGTTCCTGTCGATCCCCGTTCTGAAACGCCTTCTGTCGCCGGGTCTGGCCGGAGCATGGGGTTCCAGTGGCTGCAGGCCGAGCCTTGCTAGCCAGATGCACCCCTGCCTGTCAAGTTGCACAGTCCCAAGTCGCTTGGTCGTGATTCACCCGCGATTCAGGCCCTGTACTGGACCCTGCCGAGCCTACGCACCGTCCACTGGCTGTGCCCACACACAGCCGAGCGCTTCCTCTTTGTCTCGTTGGCTGCTGCATGACGGGTCGGTCGCCAAGGGAACAATTGGACAGAACAATTACGAAGTACGGATACCGCAGCAATAAAGAACAGCCTCTTGTGAGACCGCGCCACACCCCCCTAACCTTCTTTGGGTCCGGCCTCCTGAGGATCTTACCGCCCTCATTTTACCAAACTGTTCCCTCCACAACTTCCAATTCTTGCAGGCCTTCTTAGATTTGTTTCCCTATTCTTTTCGATCGCTCCCACGGTCTTCGCATTTTCTTATGATAGCTTCAATACCTTAGTACTAAAAAGCTCCGAACCCGTACAACGGCAACTACTCAGCGTTCTCGATTCGCGTCCCCGTGCCACGGTGCCTTCACACGTACACGACTGTCCATATAGGGCGCCTGGGCCCTGATTCCTCAAGATGAGTGTCAGTCGCTGTCATCCATTTCCACCACCAGATAGAGTCGTGGCTAATCCCACACCAGTACGGCGGGTACAACAACTCGTACAATTCGTACAACAACAATGGCGGCAGCAACGGGTACGCAAACCTTCGAATCACTAGATCGTCTACTCAAGTCCTGGCTACGGGGGAGGGTGAGCTCGAACTGACAAGCTCTGCAGGGGATATGCCAATCCGTTCTCCGACCGAAATGCTGCAGGATACAACTGTGAGTGAAGACTAAGGGGTTCGATCACAAGGCGTAGATTCCTAACCGCGGATTATAAGCAGCTCCAAACGTCGAGATGGCGTCGTTCAACCAAGGGGGCCAAAAGCCAATCCTTCAACGATGCTCAGAAATCAACAACGGGGTCAGCGAGGTTGAGAGCAAGCTGAACCGGATTGCTATGCTGCAGAAGCGATCGCTCAGCGAATCCGGCAACTCGGCGACCAAGCAGGAGCTGGACGCGTTGACCGAGGAAACCATGGCCCAGTACCGAAAATTGACCCAACAAGTTCGGGAAGTTAAGTCCGATCCCGCGAGCGGCCAGTCCATGAATGCCTCCCAGGTGCGCTTCGTCGAGAAGCGGCTCCGAGACGCAATTCAAAAATATCAAGAGCTGGAATCGGGATACCGCACCGAGACGCGGAACCAGGTGGAGCGCCAGTTCCGCATCGTTCGTCCCGATGCCACCGACGCCGAGGTCCGCGAGGCCGTCGAGAACAGCAGCAGCGATCAGGTCTTCCAGCAAGCGCTCATGCGCAACGCCCGCCAGGCCCAGGCCAACGAGGTCCTCGGCGCCGTCAGGCAGCGTCATCAGGAAATGTTGGAGATTGAGAAGAGATTGGGCGAACTCCTGGACCTCATGCAGGATATGCAGGTCTTGCTGGCCAAGCAGGAAGTGACAATCGCCCAAATCGATACACAGGCCGAACAGGCTGCCGAAGACATGGTCAAGGCGAACGAGCAGCTGGAGTCGGCCGTCGTGACGGCAAGGAAGACGCGCAAGAAGAAGTGGATTTGCTTGGGTATCTGCGGTACGTCATCCTTTGGTCCTCGTCTTGCGTCGTCTTTGATCACTAACCGGTATATCCAGTTGCCATCGTTGTTATCATCGTCGTTGCCGTGGTCGCATATATCATGGTCAACCGCGCTTCGCAAGGCGGCGGCAATAAGAAGCGCAGCCTCCTTCAACGAGATGTCCTGGCTGATCTGCAGATGAATACGGCCCGCTCCATCGAGTTTGCCAATGACCAGCCGGTAGCCCGTTCGATCGACCACATCATCCCCCCGACTACAAGGCGACGAATCTCGAGACTGGGAAATGTAGCCGCTGAGAAGCGGTTCGTTGTCGATTTGGACGGTGCCGACCCAACCGGGGCCGACAAATGAGTTGTCTCCCTGACCAATGCTTGCGACGCTTCTTGGTATGGGCGGGGCCTTGCGGAGCGAATAGCACGGCTCGGTCCTGATATTTATATATCTCCCCGCGTGGCTTGTTCATCGGGAAAGAACGGAACCTCTTCCTGCTATGCCGCAGCCAAGTTGAAGAGTTTCAAACGTCGCTGCCAGCCCCAGCCCGTTCCGTTGGTATGCGTTGTTTGACGTGCTGCGGGAATGTCTAGGCGCTTTGGGTAGACGCTATCTATCCCAACCCAGACGCCCGTTCTTCTGCCAGTCGACAGGCGGGGTTGTCGACCACTGCGAGATTTGGTTGGTTTGCCAATTGGATTACTTTGCTTTCTTGGGGAGTCTTAGCATTGCGTGCTGTTGGCGAAATATCAGGCGTTACAGGGTACCCCCAGGTTTCTTGTCATTCCGCACCGCTGTATAGGGCATTGTAATAAAAATCATGCTGTTCGCGTCTGCTAGGTTCGGGATTTATATGTCCTCTAAAGGGCAGCATACTCAAACCAGGAACCTATGACTTTACTTCTTTACTTACTCTATTTGTGAGGCACGAAGAATACTGGGCGTGGACATGATTGCAGATGATTATCTTCTGGTATAAGATCCCATGCAGATGCGCCAAACACAATCAGGCTCCAACGACCTGAGCTCCCGCCATGGAGCTCGCCGTGTAGGTCGCTCCCTTAACATAGGGCCAGCGTGGATTTGAAGCTGCCTTCTCTGAGCTCTAAGGAGAGTGTACCGGCTGGACGTCGGTCTCATTGCTTGTGAATCATCATCGGCGGCCTCGGCTGAATGAAAACCGGCTTGCCGCTCATCCTTTCCTCACGGTAGTGGCCTCCGAGACCTGGTTGAGCCCGTCCCCGGTAGCAGCGGCGGCGGCAGCAGCAGCAGCTCGCTGTCTTGCCGCACCAGCCTCGACCACCCTCCGCAGAACCCCCATCCGCTTGTCAAACTCGTGCAGCAGATCGGTGTACTCTTGGACGGCTGGTGTTGCTTGTTGCTGTCGACCCGCGATGCCTGGAGAAGAAGACTGTAGCTCTGTCCCCTCGGGCGGCGTCACGCCCTTGTTGCTGCCTCCTGCCGCTGCCGCTGCCGCTGCGGCCATGGGACCCCCGGAGGAGGAGGATGGCTCGATGCTCACGCCCTCAATCTTCAGAACCAGCCCGCTGTTGGGGGCACCGCCGGCCGCAACCCCCCCGTCGCCGCCGCCGCCGCCGCCTACAGCACCTCCTCCTTCTATAGCCATGCTGCTCAGGCGCGCAGAGGTCACGGCCCAGTCGGGCGACAGGCTGCTGGCCCAGGTCACTTCCAGCCCGGACCCGTCCGCCGTGGGCTCCATGTCCAGGATGACGGCGCGATCACGGGCCCGGTCGTTGTCGTCATCATCGTCGTCGCCGTTGGCGTCGTCATCGTCGTAGGCCCCGCGATGGTGGTGCGCCAGCGCGGCGGTCAGGAGCTCCGGGTCATCGTCGGCAAACACGTAATGCACCGTCGGATGGTGGACTGTTTGGCGGTTTGAGGCGTGCGAGGTAGACGTGAGCAGAGTGAAGAGCGGTGAGAACGGCGGCGGTTGCTGTTGTTGCGGGGGCGAGAGAGAAGGAGCAGGAGCTTCTCGTTCTCCTGCGAAGGGTGCTGCTGCGGCTGCGACGGGTTGTGATGAGGAATATGCCACGGACGCCGGGCGGGAAGCAACTGCAGCTTGTGCCAGGGCTTCTTGGCGTTCCTGTTCGCGGCGCAGGCTGGACCGGCTGGCGCGGCTGGCTACCGAGGGCCGCGGGCTCGGCGGGATGGAAGAGGCGTGGTAGTGTCCGGCGGCGGCGGCGGGGCGATCAGTGCCGGGATCGGCCATTGCTCGTGGTGCATTCGGGAAGATCACGTCGGACGGGAGGAGTGTCAAAGAATGTGTGGCGGTGTCCAGTGGTGGTCATGGAGGTGTTGATGTTGACGGCGCACGTAACTTGTGGGTGAAGCCACGACCGGACGCGGCATGGTGCGTCTTCTAATAGCTGAGACAGTGCAGGCTAGGCGGATTTAGGGTTGCTGAATAAGAGGTGGGCTCGAGGCAGAATGCCCATCGAACGAATCCAGATTGACATCCAGTTAGGTATAAGGTGAGCTGTTGAGAGGTTGTCTGGTAAGGCTACCGGCAGGATTGTCCAGGCTAGAAGCATGGATGTCTATAAATACAATGATACATACCTTGGACCTAAGAGCGTTAGTGCGCGATCCGGCACCCCGCTACCGTATAGAAATGGATTGGCTGGACGACAGCTAAAGTGATAACGCTAAGCTACTGTACTGTACAACTCAAAGTTTACAAAGATACTACCGTATGTCCTCTACTACGCCAAATACACCAAGGCAGGTTCCCACTTCGATTGTAGTGTAATGCTACTATCAATTCGTGTTTTGGGAGGACATCAACGCTAACTCCCATTTCAGCAAATGGCCTGCCTGGTCCTGTATTGCGATTACCTACCCTTGTATCTCACAAAAACATGATACATGTGGGCGGCGACCCTTGATCGCCTGGGCCAGCATCACTGGGTATCTAAGGGAATCGAAGTGGTGTCCATCATCGATGTCTCGTTTGTTTGCTCAGTCCATTCGAATCCTGTATCACAGTCAGTGATGCTGAGGATGTTCAACTGCCAGAGAGAACCATGACAACGACAACGGGGCTTACTTTGACGACACATGGGACACTGGCCCTTGGCGGAATCTTGTTTTATCCACTCGAGGATACAGTGCTGCAAATAACGCCCGGCATATTAGTCCCACAAGCCGAGAAGAGAGAATAGGCGCGTAACAAACCATGTGGAAGTTGTGGCCACATTTCCCAGACACTAACGTACAAACGAAGTCAGCAAGGTTCTCTTGAGATTGTTATACACGGGTCGGGACTCAACTCACGCAGGGGGCAGTCGTCGCCGGGATATTTGCAGGCCGGACATGTTCCGTCAAAGTGGACCTGGCAGATACCGCATACATCGTCTTCGGGGATATCCCACCGCCAAGTCGCAACGGCATTCCACTTCTTGATCTTTATCTTCATTGTCGGATGGCAGCAGTACGGTTTTGTGTGCCACAGACAAGTTTTTGAGGGTTGATATGTTGGAACGATCCCTTCCAAGTTGTTGGATGTGTTTTGGTTGTACCGTAGTGTTAAGTTACGGAGTATGTACGGAGCTACAGAGAGGTTACATCAATTACAGCACACGACAGTTAGGTGGAGGTGATCTGTGTTCCTTATCAGCACCACCGTGGGGCATGGCGTAATGGAGTCATGGACAGTGGCCCAAGCTCCCCGATCCCACAACCCCGGTGAATCTCCTCCCCGTCTCGGCCCTGAACGGGTCATTGACAAAGAAAAGCGAGGTGCCAACCCCTCGAAGAATCGAGGGCGTCTCGGAAGCCCCAACAGCTTGCATACCCCCTAGCGGGAGACTTCGCCTCTCCCAATTGAAAATAGTCCAGGTTTCATGGGCCACAGAGCAGCAATTTGCTGTCAATTGTGAATGAACTGGTTGGACTAAGTTATCAGACTGAAATCGCTTGCAACGTACAGGTTCTTTTCGTTCTGTTCTCGCTCCTGTCAGCCCACGAGTTATCAAGAGGACGAGCACCACGCAGCCCGCGGCTGCCAGCCCGCCGTCTCTTGCTATGGCGTACCTAACAACCCTGCACCCGTTGCGGGTGTCACTATCGCAATTCGGTTCCCAACAGCCGTGTCGGACTTCAGTCAGATTCACCCTCCTTACCGCCAAAGCGGGAGCCGCCTCCCGCCGGTCCTTTTCCAGCTACCTCGTCACTCCGCAGGAGCTCGCCGAGGCCCTCAAGAAGCGGCCGCCGTCGCCCATCTCGTCCGAGCCGCGCGTGATCCCGCTCTGCGCCTCATGGTTCCTCCCCAACGACCCGCACGGCCGCACCGGCATCCAGGTGTTTCGCGAGAAGCGCATCCCCAAGGCCCGCTTCTTCGATCTCGACAAGGTCATCGACAAGCGCAGCCCCTACCCGCACATGCTCCCCACGCCCAAGAACTTTGCCGAGGCCATGAGCGAGCTGGGCATCCGCCGCGAGGACACGGTCGTCGTCTACGACAGCCACGAGCTGGGCATCTTCAGCGCGCCCCGCGTGGCCTGGACCATGAAGGTCTTTGGCCACCCGAACGTGCACATTCTCAACAACTTCCGGCTGTGGGTGCAGCAGGGTTTCCCCACCGAGTCGGGCAACGTCTGGACCATCGAGTGTGGCACATATCCGATCCCCGAGATGGACGAGGTCAAGGTGGCCAGCTTTGAGGAGGTACGCCAGGTCGCGCAGGACTACAACAAAGAGGGCACCGAGGGCGTGCAGGTCTTGGACGCCCGGTCCTACGGCCGCTGGTCCGGACGGGATCCCGAACCTCGACCCGGCCTGCCCTCGGGCCACCTCCCGGGTTCAGTCAACATCCCCTTCGACGCAGTTCTCGACCCAGAGACCAAGGCATTTCTGCCGCCCGATAAGCTCAAGAAGGTGTTTGTGAAGAAGGGTGTGGACCCTGCGAGGCCCATCATCTCCAGCTGCGGGACCGGAGTGACGGCCTGTGTGATCGAGACGGCGTTGAACGAGGCCCAGTACGGGTCACCCGAGAAGAGGAAGGTTTACGATGGAAGCTGGACGTGAGTAGATGGGTTTTTGCAGTCCATCTAGCAGCTGAACTTCGCTCGCTGACATCTCTGCAGGGAATGGGCGCAGAGGGTCAAGCCCTCCGACTCACTTATTCGTACTGAAGAGTAACAACAGATTCTGTGACACTCAAAGCGTTCTTGGCCGTGTCCGCCTCCCAGCTCGATCTATTTTGTTACTCGGCGCGAGGAGGAACCTGATCTTTGCCTTGTTTTCTACCCCTCTACATGCATATCCCTAGGGCTCTGTTTCCAGCGCACTGCTTTCATGAGCGATCACAAGATGCAGGACTGTTAAGGGCGTTTGGGGTTGGGGAGGCACGGTATTCCCGTACGTTCAAGCAAGCATTAGGCGCGGCATACAAGCGTGACATTCCTCGGGTCCCATCTTCCCTCTGGCCTAATGAGGAGCTATGGCTGCTCGATATGAGAGAAACGTAATACTAGCAAACTGTGCTTCGCACTACTACAGCCCGACCAGTTTCGCCAACACCTGTCCAAGCTCGTCAACTTCAAGCGAGAAGTTGCTAGGATATAAGGAACTCGGTTACTTCGAGCAAGCTCCGGCCAGGCAGTATTCCTTCTTAATGAGATCGGCGAGCTGCACGCTGTTAGCAAGATTCACTTCCAGTTTTTCCACGCCACTGAATTGTCCGAGGTCAACACTCACCCTTTCAGCCGCACCATACATATTCGCCATGGGCGCTCCTGAGATCTGCATGGGCCAATGACTGATATCCGCAACACGCAACCCGGTGACACCATACACCTTCTGTTCATGGGACACGACGCCGCCAAGGTTCCTCGGCAGCATGGCGGCCGTGCAGCACTGGTGGGCGTTGGACGGGTTGATCTGGTCGCGCATGACTGCTGCGATCTGCTCATCCGAAGTCACATTTCCGCCGAACGGAGCCACCTCGACCGGCCCAAGCGCCTGCATCGACGGAGCCGAGAACAGCTGCCGCTGCTTACGAAACAGCGCCGTGTACACCTTGACATCCGTCGGGTCGGTGGCCGTGCGGTAGTCGATGAGCGGATTGTCTAGGGGGTTGGTCGAGTTGATCCTGACTGAGCCCCGGCTGAGCGGCTTGAAGTGGTAGACGAGCGCCGAGTCGGCGGTGCCCCAATGCAGGGAGCCGACCCCGATCGTGGAGCTTTCGAACTGCTTCAACGTGGCGTCGCGCTGGGCGCGGTAGCCCCTGAGAACGGTCGGGTCGACGTCTGCTGGAAGTGAGAGGGCAGGGTCTTGCTGCTTTGCTTCCTTCACAATCTGCTGGTATGAAGACGTCGCGTCTTGGAGCGAGAGCACGCCAATGTTGGTGCTGAGTGTGCTAACGATGCTGTAAGCACTCGGTTGGTGGCCGTCGTAGAGAGCGCGCTGCTCGGCGTTGTACGTGGCGTTCGTCATGAGGCTGCCCGAGTTGGGGACGAGGTTGTTGCTGACTACGCAAGTAGAAGACTGTTAGAAACGACGAATCCAAGCGACAAGGCAGTCAGCATGACGCACAAGTATATGGTACCGTCAGGGTGGGCTGGTCTTGCAGGTTTTGACCCACACCAGGGAGGTCCTCGACAACAGGAATTCCGAACTGATTGAGTAGCTTCTTGGGTCCAATGCCCGAGAGCTGGAGGATCTTGGGGGTGTTTAACCCGCCAGCGGCCAGGATGACCTCCTTGGACGCGTACACGCTCGAGGGTGATGCGCCACCGGCCGTCGGGACATAGCTGATGCCAGTGGCCCGCTTTCCGGTGAACAGTACCTTAGAGACCATGCTGGATGGGAGGATATGGTAGTTTGGCCGCGACGCCGTAACCCTGTCATAGTGATTTCGCCTAGCAGTACTCCTCGTGAATCCGGTGGTAGCATCCACGTCTGAGGGCATCCAGAAGATACCTGCCACAGGTCAGCTGAAGCTACAGGTTGCTCCAGGTTCTGGCATGTACAGTACCTGGTTTCTTTCCAGCCATGGGATCCTTGGTTGGCTTGAGACCGATCTCCTTGGCCGCGTTCCACCAGTTTGCTAGGTGAGCCATCAGCGTCGTGTACGGACGATGAGTCAAGTCATACGGTGAGTCATTTACCACTCCCTGGGTAAAAGTAGTTGGCATATGAATACTGCACTGGACCAGAGTGGCCCCGTACCGAATCATCCCATGTAATGTTGCCCGCCGCGGCCAACGCGGCACTGGGTGCAGTGAAGTTTTCGCTCTGTGAGTAACACCCACAAGTCAGCGTTGGACTCGCCGGGGAGATGAACTGCCATGACGCGCCTACCTTCTTGAAATAAGGCAGCATGTTCTTCCAGCTGTAGTTGGCATTCCCCAGCGCACCCCACGAATCGTAGTCTTCGGCATCACCCCTATTTGTTGGCATAAGTTAGCACCAGGCGTCCCAGTTACGCGCCTGCAGATCTGTCCTTGCGCACCTCAGATACACCATGGCGTTAATGACACTGCCGCCTCCCACAACCTGGGCAGCGATGGTTGGAATCTCCCTGTTCTTTAGACCTGTCTGTGGGACAGTCACAAGATTCGGCCAGAAGTAGTAGTATGGCGCGTAGGCGCCCGGCACGAGGATCCCATCCTGTCCTTGATCGAACGGGCCGGCTTCAACGACGAGCACAGTCACTGCAGCGGTGCGCGGCTCCGTGTTAGCAAGCTAAAGGGGGTCTCTAGATATACGCCAGTAAAACACTATCGTCGTACCATTTGCATCCTCTGTTAGACGATCGGCAAGGGTGAGTCCGGCGATGCCGCCGCCCGCGATGATGAAAGTGTAATTTGAATTGACTGTCTGACGGCTGACAATTGTCGCATGCCGCGGCGCTCTTGCCGACTCTGTTGGGGCAGAGACGGAAGGGGATACAATGGACAGGATGGCCCCTAGAAGATGGTGAGACCGCATCTTGCTGTGATATTCTCTACCTGCGTGGAGGGATCCAGACGTCAACACCGGTCTGGACTTCTTTGAGGAATACCAGGCGGCGGGGAAAAGGCAGACATGATGAAGCACATCCCTGGGTATAGCGACACTTATAAAGAATCAGCTAATTATGACTCTGTTGAAAGCAGAACGGGAGAGCGGTTGAACGCCACATCGCGGGGACTATAATTGCAGGGTTGCATCCCGCAGCTATTGCATTCGATAGCTTGCCGAATTCTCGGGGACAACCCGGCCGGGACCGTGATCCGAATGTCGACGCTCTCGGAACGAAGCGCCTTGCTTGGCCGGATAGGCATGGAGCTCCGAGCTAGCGACAAGGCCAGGCAGGGTTCCGCCCAATGAGATGTTGGAAGCAGGCCTCTCCTGATCCCGAGAAGGGAACAACCCCGAGTGGCCAGTTCCAAAGGGTTGCCAAGACCTTGAGATTCCGCTGCTCGGTATTATCGCAGCCTCGGTAGAGGCTCTAGCCCGTCCATGGTACTCTATCGCAGTAACCACGAGGAGAGGAACACTGGGGCGGTTAGAACCGACGATATCTAGGGTATTCTATACGTAAACGCCTCCCGTAGCGATCACATACCTGGTAAATAATGAGGGAACGAAAACCATGCATTAGGTAGTCGCACAAGAGCAACTCCTGCGCGGACTTCCCAAGAGAGCTTTCTTTCTAACTAATCGTTGGTTTGAAATTCGAACCGCGTTCCGGAAAGCTGTTGGGTACGAGATCTACCTCCGCATTACTTCCGTAGTATTAGCCCACCGTCTGCGACGCGTCAGCCGATCCAAGCCAACACTTCGTTGAATCGTCGATGTGAGATTGCTAGAATCAGGATCCTAGCCGGGCCTAAGGTGGATGTGTCGCCTCCCCAAGCAATCCATCCTGGCCTACCAGCTGCGCTCCAGTCATCCAAATCAATAAACATTTATGAAATGCTACCAACCTTGACAAGTAGCAACTAATCGGCGAGAAAGCAATCAATGAGTTCTCACAGCTCGTCTCTTACCTCATGGTACTTTTCCAAGCCGTCATTTAGTGCAGCCAGATGCTCGAACAGGGGCGCGTCTTCGCCCAGACCCCAGGCGAACACGCCCCCAAGGCGCCTCTGACTGAGTATCGAGGGAAACTTGCGCCTGATGGCATCGGCCGTGTCAAAAGTCCACCATATATCCTCAATGCTGTCCCAAAAGTAGTACCCGCCTCCCTTGTCATCATAGGTCCCTTGATTGAGCGCTCTTTGAAATGATTCGGCCAATTCTTCTGGCACCGGGTCATGCCACGAAAACGCACCGCTGCGTCCGAGGTCGGCTCCCGTGTCAGGATCCTCCAGGAGAAGCGTCGGACAGCCGATCGGGGAGGCCGACTGTTCGCAAGCCTCACGCTCCGTCCGGAAATACTTTACGTAGAAGGCAAAGCCCAGATTGAGCTTCTGTGGCGCTACACCCGCGGCGATGTAGGCGTCGAGGGCCTCAAGGCTCAACTCAACTCCGGTATGGTGTTTGGTCACGGTGTCTCGTCGATTCATCAGGTCATACGTCATGACATTCAGAAAATCGAGGTGGTGCATTATGCGTGGCATCATCTCGTGGGTGAAGGCGAGCATGTCACGCTTCAGACCAGGCACTGCAGCTGAAATCACCTTGTCTGGGCCCAGGGCGGCGCGCAGCTCTTCGAGGAGCAGTGGGTAAGCAGTAATCTCCCAGGCCTTGGCCGAGTTGGGCACCTGCTTGTAGTCTTCACCATTGCCACTGCGGCATTGCCTTGTGTTAGCGAGCCTTTGCTGCTACAGGGTGCACTGGCAAACATACCCTGGATATTCCCAGTCAACGTCGATGCCGTCGGCACCGGTAGCCCTGACCATGGCGGCTACGTTTTCGGCGAAGGCCTTACGGGCCTTGTCGGTACGAGCGGCTACCGAGAAGCCGACCGTATCGCCCCAACCGCCAATGGCAATCATGATCTTGGTTCCCTTGGCAAACTTGGCTCGGAGCTCGTCAACAGTAGTGAATAACGGCCAGTCGGTGCGTCCGGGCTCATTGAAGAGGCCAGGACTCATGAAAGCTACAGCCACATGGGTCACATGATGAAGCTGATCGATTGGAGGAGCAATGGGGTGCTGGCTGAGTTGGAACACGGGTTAACCGGCGGCCGGGATAGTGCTGAGTTTGACTGGGACGGGGAATCATTACCCAGTGAAGTACATGATGCACCTGAAGCCTGTCCCGGATGTTGCCATCGCACCCAAGGGCACAGTGAGCCAGAGGAAGCAGAGGATTGAAAAGCGGAGAAATCCCATGCTTGCTATTTCAGGATTTAACGAAGGAGAATTCGAGCAGCTGGAAAGGAAGTCAACGCAGCATTGAAGGTTTGGGGGTGCGAAGTGGAAGGGCCCTCAGGCTGTGGTAACGAGAGGGGACGGGTGAACGAGTGAACGAGAACTGAATGCTAAGCGGCACGATACCTTATCATCAGCTATTGTGAGTCGTGACTACCCTACATGACCGCTAGAGCAAGTCGCGCCTCGCACATTGGCCACATCGGCGTTAGACTGATGAAAGAGCGAGAACCCTACGGACAAGGTAGCTGCACTCTTCAGAGCTGTTACGTACGTGCATCTTGCTGCAGCACGAGATGTTCGGTTTGAGCAAGGAAAGGTCCGTGCTTTTATATCATCCGTTAACAGACCCCATGTCCATCGTCGATCCACTGCATGATAAAACACGGAAAGAGCCGCTATCCCGGGGCTCCAAAAGCCTCCAACGTCCATAATTGGAGATTGAAAGAATCCCCACCAGTTAATTTCCTAGCTGTACGGGTACAAAGTACAAACTTGAACACTCCCAAAACATCGACAGATTTCACTCCGTCAAAATTACAGTGGAATTCGCAAAAGACATCGATATGAGCTGAAGTTACAGAACCATTCCTGTTTCAATTGTATAGAGCGGCGCAGGATGTTGGAGAATCTCTGCACCCTCCCGCTGTCGGCGGACCTCTTCACCCAGGTCTCGCATCCTTCCAAGCCGATCCTCACAGTTGGCCTGTCTAGCGGCCGGGTTGAGAGCTTTCGCTTACCCAGCGAAGATGACGATGAAGGCGGCCAGAGCAGTAGCACAAGTAGCGGGAAGGGGTTGATCAAGAGCGTTTGGAGCACCCATCGCCACAAAGGAAGCTGCCGCTATCTTGCCTACAGCCACGACGGAGAGGGCAAGTCGGCCACTTTCTTCTTCTCTCTTTCCATGCCACAGCTGGTACCGCTAACACTTAATCCTCTAGCCCTCTACTCTGCCGGCACGGACTCTGTCGTCAAGCACTTCTCGCCCGAGACCGGTCTTGTCATATCCAAGATTGGCCTCCCCCCTCGCAACAGCTCCACCAGCACCACCGACTGCCCAGCGATCCTCCACGTTCTCTCTCCTCAAACACTTCTCCTCGGTACCGACTCGGGCGCGCTTTACATCTTCGATCTCCGCGAGAATGGGAGCCTGGACCCCAAGCCCGTGCGCAAGCATGTCCCGCACGCCGACTACATTTCCAGCATCACCCCGCTCCCGGCCTCTTCCGAGAGCACTTCTGGTTTTCCGAAGCAGTGGGTATCGACGGGCGGGACGACACTGGCAGTGACGGATCTCAGGCACGGGATCGTCACAACCTCAGAGGACCAGGAGGACGAGCTGCTGTGCTCAACCATCATCCCGAGCGGACTCGGGCCGAAACGCATGCGGAGCAACGCGGTGGTGGCGGTGGGCACCGGGGGCGGCGTGTTGACGCTCTGGGACCGCGGGGCGTGGGACGACCAACAGGAGCGCATCTACATCGCAGGGGGTAAGAGTCGGCGGGATGCGGACAGCCTCGACGCCATTGTGCGCGTTCCGGACGAGCTTGGATATGGTAAGGAGGTTGTTGTTGGCGTTGGAGACGGCAGCATGGCTGTTGTCGACCTGAGGCGACGCGAGGTGCAGGCTGTGTTGAAGCACGACGAGATCGAAGGCGTCTCCGCGCTAACGTTTGATTACCAAAACCGGTTGATCAGCGGTGGCGGCAGGACGGTCAAGGTTTGGGCCGAGTCGAGACTTGGCGATCTCGATGACGAGGAAGAAAATAATGGGACTGGAGAAATCGGCATCAAGAGGGCCGCGGACAGCGATGACGATTCAGACGAGGGCAGTGACAGCGAGGAGGAACGTCCCGTCAAGGAGAAGCAGTCCAAGAAGAAACGGAGGAAAGAGCGCGGCGCTCAAGGAAGGAACGTGGCCTTCCCAGGCTTGGACTAAGCTGTTACCGTCGTCGGCGTGGCGACAGCACCGCGTCTTATCACTTCAGGATATCAGGCGCCGAGCGTCTTCGACTCAATGATTGCGAGACGTGCCTGACTGACATTTTAGCGCTTGTGGCACTACAGGCTGGATGCTCAGCCCTACTCCCCTCGAAATCAAGAAAATGGCCAACCTCTGACTCGCGCCCACGGCCGTCGACAGGAAGTCGATGCCCGTCTTTGGCCGAGCCCGATATCGGGCATGTATATCATCACTAAAACAAAGAAAAGAGTACTTGTGCTAAAGGTGTCTGCAAAGACCGAGAAACCATCTGGGCGGCACCATCAGTTACGATAATTATTACCCCGTGAATCAGGTTGGTATTGTACAGTGTTGGATACGGGTCAATCTCATAGTTGCATCCAGACTAGCTGCTTTTTCAGGTTTCCCATCGCTGCCTGGTGAGACATAACATTGAAAGCAGGAACCTGCTGCTTCTGCTTCTCCTTGTTGCTCGCAATCTTGACCGGTGCGAGTCACTTGGGCTCTTGGACAGTCCTTGTCAATCCAAAGGAACCTCGACCATGCATCTGGTGGCTATGTCACCCTATCTGGAGTCGATGTCGATACACGCGGGCGTTTGTGGTTGAGATCTCCGGCGCATCTCCATATTTCCCGGACGCCCTCTTCCTGTCTTTCTCGTCCGGATTTGCTAGCTGGCGAGCCCGCTGGTCTTTTGAGGTGAACTCAGTCAGGCATACAGGGAATGAACATGCGATTGTTCTACGGAGCGGACAGCTCAGCAGATGGCCATATACAGCTTGCTTCTTCCTGGCCTGGTTTCCTCGATGGTTGCAGTCGCCTGGTCCTCTAGGATCCTCTGTCTTTACCAACCCCCTTGGTCTGGGTAATCGAGATTGTGTCTGGCTTAATGGAAGCTGAATCACCTTTCCATCGGGGTTGGCCGGAGAGATAGAACACCGCGAGAGCAAGAAGGGAGTTGTTGAGTAGAAAGACGGATACCGCACCTGGATGCTCGTCATGGAGAAACAACCGGTTATTGACGGTGTACGTTATACTTGTGCATCCAACACGGGACAAATCTGGCGGTGCACTTTGGACTCCAACTGGAGTACTGAATGACCTCACTTGTTCTTGCTTGACTACTCACACACTCCGAAAAAGCCGCCCAGTGCCTTGATCGTGGTCTCGCCCAACCTCTGATTCCAACCCATCCCCCAAAAGAAGGACTAGGCCCCCTCGCAACTATCCAGATCAAGATGGCACGCTGCAGCCTCCTCATCATCGGGCCGAACCAGAACTTGTCTGGGAAGCGCGAGCCTCGTATCCAGAGCGCAAGGCTGTGGATGCAGAAATCCGTTTTGCGCGCTCTATACATGTAAGTCTACTCTGTCTATTCCGGTGCCCTGGTAATCATGCCGTCTAAGATACTCGCCCTGCCCATAATCAGTCCTCAACGCCAGACGCCTGAGAAGTAAGAACCGGGACAGCGAAATAGTAGGATGTGGCCGGCTACAGCGATGCAAAGATCCTCACGGCCGGCGGCGACTGTGGTATATCCACTGCCAATTTCATGTCCTTAACAAGCTTGGCCCATGAGACTGCTCCTCTCCTGGCGAGCTCCTCGGGCACATCGGATCCTTCGTCGGCCATGCGGCGGTTAAACAGCTCCAGGCTGACCCATCCCTCGAAACCAATACCGTGAAAGAACGCACAGGCGAGCTCCTTGACAGGCAAATAAGCGCCACGGTCCGTCTCTCCGTAGAAAAGCCTGCAGTTCCGGGACCAGCTCATCCGAGCCGGCTGCTCGGGGTTGTAGAATTGGTGTCCGGGAACGAGCGGTTTCGCGAGCCGCTCGGCGTCGACAACCTGGACGTAGAAGACCTTGGTAACGTCGACGTGCTCGATCAAGCGCGCAATAGAGCTGCGTACCGCCTCATCGGCGTCCTGAGTCCGGCCCGAGGCGACGGCCGGGTCGGCATAGATGCGGCCGGCAATGTTGAAGGTGTCCAGGCACATTCCAAAGTTGGGGCGATCAACGCGCTGCACCACCTCCCAGCAGCGCTCCCATGTGTCGACGCGGGTGCTCCAGCACAGGCCCTCGTAGGCGAAGCGGATGGGCGGCGTCGCGCGGAGGCCCATATCGGCCACCTCGCGCAGGTCGGATACAATCAGCTCCAGGTCCTCGGTCACCTGCTCGGCAGGCAGAAAGCTGGCGGGAATTTGGATAATGTCGGTGTTGAGCTCGTGCGCGAGCTGGATCCAGAACTTGAGCTGTTCCAGCCGGCGGTCGTGCTCCGAGCGGTCCAGCAAGCCCTCGTAGTGGCTGAAGGGCTGAAGGCAGACAATTTCGATGCCCCGTGCCTTGCACATGCGGAGGATGGTGCGAGCTGCGGCGATCTGGGCTGACTCTGAGGGGCCGGAGGGAGACGGGGTCTCTCGGGACAGGTGCTCAGCCAGGTCGGCGAGGTCCTCGTGAAACAGCTCAATGCCCTGATAGCCGTACTTGTGAGCGGCATCCAGTTTGCTGATGAACGAGTGGCCGGCGTAGCACCGGCCCAGCGACATGGAGGTGATAGCAAGCTTGCAGGGCATCTTGGCAACGGTTTTCGGCGACGAAGGAATGTTTAGCAAGTCGGCGAAAGCGATGAAAAGAGATGCGAATAAAATAAAGCGAGGGAACGCCGAGATGATGAGAGCCGAGTAAGCGAGCGATTACAGACTGGTTACACACTGGCGTTGCTGACGGTGCGCGCTTGGTGGTGATGGAAAGCCGCGAGGTGCAATTCTCGACTGGCGAGTGGACTCAACACGACTTCGAGGGAAGGAAAGAACTTAAGTAGCGGGGATGAACCAATTCTCCATGGAAACATGTACTTTACTAACCTCATGGCTCTAACCTCATGGCTCTGGCTGTTCAAGGAAGGCGCGAACGATAGACGGCATGTTGCCAAACGAGGCCCGGGATGATGGGATGGAAGGTAGGGATTCCGTGCGTCTGTCGCTCGAACAACAACCCTTGCTCTCGTTATCTCTCTCATCTTCGATCCCGGTTCTGGAACAGCCAAGTTGCCAACAGTCTGTTCGCCGGGTCATGGCGGGCGCCGGGAGGAGCCGCGAGTGGCGGCACCAGCCATTGCTATCACCGCTCCTTGCTCAAACTCGGCCGGCCCCTGAGACGGCGTTGAGCGGTGAATGTATGTATGTAAGTACTGTATGTACAATACCATACTCGGACAGGGGTATACTCGGCCTGATACTTGCAATACCCGTGTAAGCAGGCATCGTGCAGCCGAAGACGCAGTGAAGCGCAGCGATTGCACACAACAAGCTGTCGAGCGCCAAAGATAGGCGTCTAATCTCGAATCCAATGTTGAGGTCGCTTGTGACGACGTCAAGTGGAAGCCAAACGAGCTCGCTGCGATAAACAATGACGGCAGTCGCAGTGTGGACAGATGATGGAATTTTAAGCAGGGCGGGACGTTAGCGTTAGGTAAACCCGCAACTTCCACCCTCGAAAATCCCTAAGCAGCATTTTTTGAGGCCGGCCTGTCAGATGCGATGGATGTTGCACGCCTCATGCTCGAAGCCGCGAACATGCAGTCTGCGTGCTGAAGTTCAATTTATATACAGACAGTACCTGCAGGGTGCATGGCACTCACTTACACAGTTCGGCCTGTGTGTGCAGCAATCCGAGTCCAAGTGGATACCTGCGGCCTGCCAGAGACGACCTGGCGTCGATTGATGATTGATGCGCCGACCCGGTGAATGTTAACGAGTCCAGATGCCAGTGTCAAGCAAGACTGACTGTCTAAATGCGATGTGTCAGTTTTGTGTATGCGAATACCCGGATGTAAATACTCAAAGCTATAATGTACTAACGATATGAACCCAGATCCAATCTCAATATGTTGTTGTCCTTGGGTTGGTGGTTGTCTCTGCTCTACGACATTCCAGTGCCTCCTAGTATGGTGGTGTAGCGGCATCACTTTCATCAGAAACAGGCAAGATGGCCGAGCGGTCCAAGGCGCCACGTTAAGGTGTTCAAACCTTGATTCAATCCTCCGAGATTCCGTGGTCCGAAAGGGCGTGGGTTCGAATCCCACTCTTGTCAGCTTCATTTTTCTCCGATCTGCGGAGGAGGACATCTTTTTGATGCCAAGATACCCGGTCTGTGGCGGAAGATCCGCACAAGAATCCCGAGGCCGACACATTCATAACTGGAATGATAGAAGAGGAATTCTATTCTGGCCGTTCTTTCTTGTCTTTTTGTTGCATGGAAATCCGAATTCCCGCCCAAAATGGCCCTCTAACAACAACATTGCCCCTTAGCCCCTTAACCGGGCAGCTTGCTCCCCTGCAATGCGACCAAACACCACGCACTCGAGCAGTGACGAGCCCCCTAACCGGTTATCTCCATGCAATCCACCGGTGATCTCGCCTGCGCCCCAGAGGCCCTCAATGGGCTTTTCCTCCTCTCCCAGGTCAGATCTCAGGATCTGCGCCCTTTCGTTGAACACGGCGCCGCCCATGGTGAAGTGGACAATAGGCGTCACCCGTCCGACGCACACCTCGACATCACCCTCACCATCCAAATCCTCGGCCGCAAGCCTCCACTGCCCAAACGCGGTGCGCCCAAACTCGTCCGGCTTCTCCCCTTTCACCACGCTGCTATACTCCCTAAGCGTCGCCTTGGTAACCTCATCGAGCTCCCGCACCTTCACCTTCCGCAATAGCCCTTTCCACAGGTAAAACCCCACGTGCGCCTGCGCCGCCTCACACGCGCCCGGATCGAGGAGTAATCGCACGTCCCACTGCCGCACGGCTTCTTCTTCCCCATCTTTATCTTTCCCATCCCCTTCCCCCGCTGGCCCAGCAGATTCTTCCGCTTCCGCCTCCGGCAATGCCATAATGGCAGCGCTCACCTTCTCCCTAGTCCCCAGCTCATCCACAAAGCGCTTACCCTTATGCAGGAGGACTGCGCCCTCGCCGCGAAGCATCTCGGCGGCGAGGAACTTGAGACGGGCGCGCGTGGTGGCTGGGTCGACGAACCCCGTTGGATGGATCTGCACGCGGTCCATGTCGACCAGCCTCGCGCCCACTTCTGCAAGTAGCGCGTGCGTTCCTGGCCGCGGGTCGTTGGTCGACGGCAGCCCGCCCAGGTCTGGCCGGTACGTAGCCAGCAGGCCGTGCGCGTCGCCCGCAAAGCCGCCTGTGGTGAAAACCACCGGGCCGTGAAGCTGCTGCGTACCGCTGTCGCTGCTGAGTGCTTTGAGTTTGCGGTATTCCACGCCCGTGACGCGGGGGCCGTGGTCGTCAGTGACGAGGAGCCTGGTCACCTCGCAGTCGGTCATCAGCTGGAAGCGGTCACCGCCTAGCTCCTTGATCTTGGCCAGCAAGGTGGTGACGATGGCTGCGCCGGGCGGTGTCTTGCCGGCGCCGCGGTGGGTGCGCGGCAGGGAGTGGCCGCCGAGCTGGGACACCACGCTGAGGTCGATGCCCAAGTCGTCGACAAGGAAGTCAATGGCTGCCGCGGAGCGGTTCGTCAGCGCTGAAATGAGCGTCTCGCGGTGCTTCCGGGCCGGCTCGGCGACCGTTGAAGTGTGCAGCGCTGACCCGGCCGAGCGGACCGTATCGTCCCAAAAGGACCGGTCGGTGCCGTACTTGGCGGCGTTTTGGAATCGTGTCGGTGCGCCGTTGATTCCCGAAGATGCTTTGATGCTGTTGCCGCCTGGTTTGGCGTTCCGCTCGAGGAGGCGCACCGAGGCGGCGCCAGACTGGAGCGCGGCGAAGGCTGCTGACAGCCCGGCGAGCCCGGCGCCGACTACGATGACGGGGGGCGGATTTGGGGCTGTCATCATGGTCACGCGCGAGAAGATAGGAAATGGGATGGACAAGGTGATTTTGTGGTAAAGTACTGCTGAGATGGCTATCAAGACGCTGATGAACACAATGGGGAGGATACGGCGTCTTGTCATGACCCGCGCTTCTGCATAGCTGACACAAGTTCACGCTTCTACCATGGTGATCACAACCGTGAGGGTTTAACTCTGGAAAATGTAGAACTGTCCAAGACCCTGCTAATTAGTGGCGAGCTGAACTGGAACATGCGATGTCCAGCTCGGAGATCCAGATATGACAGACAGACGAGCTCAGTCGAGCATCAGGTGATAATGCGCCATGGTCGAACGGTGTTGCCGCCCTTCCCCGCACTGCGGCGCAAGGGCGAGCTTCCGCGGGGAAGACAGGAGTTGAAGCCACAAGGGCACACCAGACTCACGGTGATGTCGACCTCTTCAGGGCTCCAACAATGTCGTTCTTGCTGCTTTCACCAGTTCAACAGGCAGGCCGCAGTGCGATTGATGCTGGTCAAGACTTGCAATCAACTGGCCTGAGACACGAATCGACATGGCTCAGGCAGGTACTGTGGGTAGTCAAGCAGCATCAGGTATGCACAGCTAGGCCCCGTCGACATTGTAGGCCAACAACTCATGGAACACCCGGACAGCTGCCGATTCTTTGGTTCCGAGTGCTAGGTGCTAGGTTGGGTGAGTGATGAGAGAGGTTGGTCAGAGTCCCCTCAGCCCTAACTGGAAGGACGGAGGCGACAGCTTGGCATCACCTATTCAATACTACCTTAGAACACAATATGATGGCGTCCAGAACCCCGAGCTGGAGCAACTCTCCATGTTTTTTGTCTGCAACAACTACAGTGACGCATCCTTGAGATGGGTGTCATTCTTGGTAGTTACCCTGCAGCAAACCCGCTGTCAAAGACTGGAAGTCGCTGACGACGATCACCGTTGCGGGGTGCATCTGCGCGGAGTGAAGCCGGACGACATAACCCCGCGCGTCGATATCCAAGCAGGTATTCCGTCGAACGTTAGGTATGGGTAGGTGAGGTGGTCATCTCACGGAATGGTCGCTCCAAGTGAACAAAGTGCAACGACAATATCCATGACAGCAAGTCCAGAACTCCAGATTCGTCCATTATCCATCGCTAATCAAAAAAGCATAACACAAAGTGTCCAAAAGGGGTCCCGTTTTGATCCACCACGCTGCTGCTGCTTTTCTCTCTTTTCAGGCTAATATCTCCACAATTCCTCCGTCAAATCACCACGGCCCCAGCGCTCGACGGCATCAAATAACCGACTTGCGAAACTGCCGGGTATCGCACTCAAATCGAGAAGATTGGAGTAATGAATTACAATCAGGTCTAAAAGGCAAAACATGGGGTATTGTTCGTAATGTCGCATTGCTCGTACGTGGTTCTCTAAGCAGCCGTGTTGGAGTTGGCCTTGGCGAGCCTCGCCTCGCGACCCTTCTCAGACCACGGGAAGTGGAAGACGGGGATGAGGAAGAACGAGTTGCTGTTGGTAATACGTCAGCGTAACTGTGCCAAGAACCGGCACGGGATTTCGCTTGGCTGTTTCTTGGTTGACGGCAGTGGCTTGCGATCGCTGGCTTGGCGGATGCAACGACAATCCTTCTCCTTCCACAATCCTCCCGAACCAAACCCTGCGTGTGGGTGGGAGGCGAGGAAACAGTAGGTGATGGGGTAAGAGCAGCTTGCATTGAGAAATGCAACTGCAGAGAATAGAGAACTCAAAGAAAGAGGATTGAACACACCTGCTGTCGGCAATACCGGCGAAAGCGTTGTACCATGCCAAGAAGGCGGCAAGCATACCAAAACCGCCACCAGCATGCTGGAGCATCAGGGCCGACTGCGTGGCGCCGTTGTCGCTGGCGTAGTGGCCGCAGGCAAGCATGAGGAAGGCGAGATCCAGGGTGAAGAACAGCAGGAAGAACATGACAGTCGAGCGAAGCGTGCACAGAAGCAGGATGGTAGTAAAGATAAACCAGCCAGTCAAGAAGAAGCCCAGTGCCGAGTCGGTCATCTTGGGGTCGATTGCCTTGGTCGCGTCGTTTTGGTACGGTCCCCCGGGGCCGGTGATGTTCCAGTGAGGCGTCAGCAGGATGCCGTAGGCAATCCAGAAGCCGCCATACGACGACAGCGCCGTGGCACCAAATGTATTCCCGATCGCCATTTCCCTGCAAACATGGTTATTACCACATCTCTATCCTAGAATCTATGACCTCACGGTCAGCGCTGAGGACTTACCACATGCCAGCCAGGAGCTGGACGAGACCGCCGTAGCCAAAGGCGAGGGGAACGGTAACGTTGGGCGCAGTGACGCCCCGTGCATTCATGTTGATAGCCGAGAGGACAAACGTGGTGAGGGCGAAGGCACAGAGACCCAGAGGCGCCGGGTTGGCGAACTTGCGGTGCTCGACCGGCCGGTAGAGACCCGGCTGGAACTCACCACCGAAGGCCGGCAACCGAGGCTCGTCGCCGGCGTGGACGTGTGCCATTGGGTTGCGCAAGTCATAGCCCCGGTGGGTGGCATTAGCTCCGTTGGCCCCGACGGGTGTAGCCCCCGTCGTCTGGCCAACGCCCTTCTCGGTCGCGAGATGCTGGTCCGCCATTGTGTGCTGCAGAGGACGAATGGCTCGGCTGAGTCTTCTTCTTGCGGCGTCTTATACTGGGTATTGGGTGGTTGAGTTGAGGGGGAAGAAGAACCAAGGAGCGAAGGCCGGGAAATGGACGAAATAGAGGGCCAACAGGATTGATATAGATGGGATGGGTCAAGCCAGCAACGCTTTCTAGCGCCGTTGGGGTTTGGGGGGGTGGGTAGCAGTGATCGCTGCAGTTCATACCAGAATTGTCGAATGAGCAGCGCCTAGAGGAGCGACGGGCAGCCGGGATCTGCTTCTGCCATCTACATTATCCACCCTGTCCAAGGGCGCGGATCACACCTACACTACACATTAGTGATTAGGTAAACCCACCGAGCCCACCAGGGAGCGGAAGGCGTCTGTGATAGGGTCGCGATGCAGATGCCGGACACAAGGACGTTGTCCGTTGCCCGGGTGTGTCTGGGTTGGCCATGTCATGCAGCGGCTCGGGGGATAATGGGTTATTGCAGCGAACGGGGTTGTGCCGCTGCCATTCCCTCCGCAGCGGCCCATTCTACATACACTGGTAACACTCTAGACGACACGTCGACACTACACCAAGGGTGCTGGGAGGGTGGGCTCCGGGACCTCGGATAGCAAACCGAATCTGATGAAATGAGAGTCCCGTGCAGAGAGGCGCAAAATCTGACAGGAGCAAACGGGGCGCTACCCTGCCCAAAGTTGCACCGAGCCCGCTGTGTCGCCGGCCTAGTTTCTGGGTTGTTTGGGGGAAAGGAAAGGGGGTGGAGATGGGGGATATTGCGTCGTAGATATTATGGGGTCCCCGTAAGGAATCTCCAGCATGGATCCATTACACTAGGACAAACCCATTTTCTGGCCGGACAATCCTTGCCGCATGCATTGAGCCTGCGTCTTTCCAACTGGGCGATATTGGAGGTGACTCGCCATGACTAAAAAACCAACAAGGCCCAGGCGCCTGAGCAAGTCACTCGTTATTCCTGGATTTTATGGGTTCATCGTTTGGTTGCTGTTTGGCTTGTATGACCTCAGACAAGATCTGATCTTGAACAAAACCTGTGAGCTTATAATTCGAGCGTTCGCAAGATCGTAGCGCGAACGGGGCAGTACTCCGCACCCCAGAAAACAGTACGTAACGGTATATGCGTTTGGGCTGGGAACTGCCAGCGTAATGCTCAAAATCGTGACCTGGCGACCTCGGCTGCCAACAGTCGCCTAAGAAAATTCGCCGACTCGTTCAGAACACTCTCTCGGGACTCTGTAATGGTCGGTATCTGGTCCATTGGCTGTTCAATTGTTGATCAACTGGAACATGCTGGGTATGGCGTCAGACGGGATGCAGCCACCACATGGCAGTGGCGTTTCGTCTTTGAGCAAGTCGATCGTCCGGTGTAGTTACCGGAAGAAGAAGAACCCCTCATCCTGCTCCCCACAACTGCACCATTGGATGAATTGCTTGTTTCGCCGTGCTTGACTGGTCGACTCGTGTAGGTCACATGGCGTCTCTGGTATTCCGGGGCATTTATCGCTTGGTAGTTATTCCCACCTGAAAGTTAGGCTTCTATGTCGAAAGCGGACATAAAGCACCATTTCTGGCCCTGCTAACGGTTGTCGTCAAGACAAGACGCCAAGGCCTGCGTTGTCCGATCGAACGTTCCAACACACTCCAAGCTTTGGCAGCCAAGGTAAATAGTCTCGGTATCCTCAATTCACCATCGCTGATTGGGCGCCACAGCAGTCATTCGCGCAGGATGGCTTACATCGTTCCATGTCGTCCAGGCCAGACACATGGTTGCCAAGCTGAGCCCAGGTCGATTGCCGGCTGGGCTTGCGTAGTGTGTGCACTAGAGGCAGAGCGTCCACTGACAACGGGCCAAGGGAGCTGAGAAGAAAAGGATTAGGGCAAGGCGATGATCGAGCAAAAGGCCAGCAGTGGCAAGGAGAAAACGCTCAATGAATCGCTCAATTGGGCTTCTGACTGGCATGATTTGCAAAACACATGACCGACCCGACGGGAGCTGGTTCCTTCTGCCCGTTGACAGGTGCTAGGTTGGTGGCCCATCGCGCTACACTTCAGGTGATCTGTAATGTCCTCGGCATCAGCGATCCGGATTGTGAAGGTACGGGCCCAATGGGACCCGCAACCTCTGTCATATGGGAGCTCGAGGGAAAGTAAAAGAATATGGGGCCCCGGACGGCCCAATGCGCCATTCAGACGACAAGATTTGTTGATCGATTCCTTCCCTTCCTTGTACTTGGTGGGAGTCTTGAACACGCCGTTGGGGTTGATCTATGAATGGCATCTCTCCACCGCAACCCCGACTTCCCCGCACCTCCCAGCGAACACCAGGCCCAACAAAAGTATTTCACGGCTTCGGAAACGAGTCAGCGACATCTCCCTCCTACGCATTCTACAATACAGATCGGTGACTCTTTTAGGGTGCACAATGGATTCTCTTTCCTTCAGGGGTCGAGTATTTAACGTTATACAGAAATTCCTTTAGCTCGAGATGCCGAGTCCGAATTGGAAATACTACCGGATACAAGGGTCTGCGCAACGTGGGTAACGCAGGTCCACAGGCGATGTGACGATTCATATTTACCCGTCATCCTGCCGTTGCATCGTTTATTTCCGCGGCACTGGCCGATCTTGCCAGGCCCTCGTAAGTTGCAACAGTTGTCGGCGAGCAAACCACTTCCACCAGTGGCCTCTCGAAGAAAGAAAGGGTCCCAACCCCAGCGGTGTCTGCTTACGAATCGAATCGGCCGCCCTACCCGGATGGCACGGGGACCGGCGATCACTGTCTCCGGCCATCCCAACGACGCGGGCACGTCCCGACGAGCCCGTTAAGGAGGGAATAGCCGGTGATGGGTTGTTTTCCATCGTGTGTAGAAACGCAAGCAACATGAAAGGATTTAAATACTGGGCCAATATCGCCCATATAACCGCCTCTAGAGCGGAGCAATATCTGGCGGGGATTGTGTGTGAGTGGTGTTTTGCAATGTCTTCATCTCAGCTCGGATGTACCGAATCCGACCATCATAGCGGGCAGAGACTTTCGATCGCAAAAGTTGGTCTTCTCATGCTGTTGATGTTGTTGCGGATCGAGTGAGTGATAGAAAAACTCCAAAGGATACTCGTCATTGGGCATCTTTGGGGCGGATGCACCTCTCGATTAGGCCAGTGTCTTTTGCACCCATTGACACCAGCTCAAGAATGCCTGCTGTCGAGAGAGGTAGGTGCTCGATGGCGTACACTCAGACAATGGCCTGAAGAATCCCGGATAATTCTTCACACATCGTATATGTATGCTCCCTCCCCTGGCCAACCGGTCTCGAGATTGGCTATTACATGGATGAGATTGCAGTTGCCATCGTTTATGAAACATGAATTCTCTATCTTGGCCTCCTCGTGCCTCTGCACTCGGCTCTCGACTGCATGTTGCCCAAGGCGTGTATGTACTCTGGGGTTAAAAGGGGCTACTGTCGGTACTTTACCCATTTGTTTTTTCCCCGGTAGTACGAGCAAAGGTTGTCATACCACCGTGAAAGCTTAGCAACGGGAAGCCGTTGCCAAAGCAGAACGACGCCCAGATGGTGTGCAGCCCTCCAGTGGCACAATCGGCAGATGTGCTCGGCTTATATGTACCTACCTAATCTCACATGTATGCACCGTGTCTTTTGCACCACGACAGCTCAACTCGCATCACTTGCCCGTCACTTCTCAGGCTGCATAACGTCTTCACCAAGCTTTGCTGGCTCTGGGAAAGATCATTGACGGCACCGCCAGGAATTCACAAAGCTGTAATACACAGCATGCATGTCTCACCTCCTCTATGTCACTGACTCCTCCAAGAGGACTTGTTGTCTCTCTCGCAATGGGACGACCCGTTATTCTACTTTGTCTTGGGCGTATACTAGGAGTCCTTAGTAGTAGGTATCTAATACCTGCCATACAGCATCATGGACCGATGAAAGGACCGTATCAACTCGCGGACACCGCAGCCGGAGTATATTGGCGGCTTCCCCGTCGAACAGGGCGATCATGGCCCTGACAAACACTCGAATCTCGGGCCGTAGCAAACCAGGAACAGTGGTGCCGTAGCGTCCTGGAGTCGACCTAGGACGTGGCAGCAACATGCCGTCAGGGCAGTGATTGCTCTCCTTCCGTGCTGCATGCTTCCACAACCCTTTTCCTCGTTGTATGGGTCTGCGCGTACAAGATGACCGGCCTGAGAGCCTCAGTTGCTGCTGTGGTTCGAATCCAAGTACGGTGTCATCCATGCCGGGCATGAGCGGGCTTACGGATCTCTTTCGGACGTCTTCCGGGAGAATCCAAAGTCAAACATCCGTCGACGACGTACTATAGCCCTGATATCTCGTGTCCGCGAGAGGGTTGAAGTCCCAGTCGCGACTGATAGGTATCAGTTACTCAAGGTGCGCATAGAGATCCTTAGAGTATGCGTCAAAAAGGGGTACACCTGATTCACTGGCTGATGGGATGTTGGCGTCGTTGCTATTCCTCCCCAGGACTCGGAATGGTTGCACCCGTCAAACCCTGGATCTTCACGCCGGAGCTACCCTCGCACGTGTCGTCTGCCGTGTGCGTGCATCCCTTTCCCCCGCCTTTGCTTAGTAGTGAAGCAATATAGAATAGTACGTCATCGATATCATCCTAACGGAGGTCTCATGGGCCCTATCTCCCTGACAAGAGCTCGGGACGACCGATCCGGCAGTCATACACATGCCTACAGAAAAGCCACATGCTTTAGAGCGAAGAAGGACGGGGCGGGAGCTCCCGACCCGCATACATCACAGACCAAGGGCAGCCCAGGTTGCCATGACGAGGCCGGATCTAGACCGGAGGACCTCCTCCTTGACGCCCGGTGTGCTCAAAACCTGGATTTGACAGGAACGTGACAGTGGCAACTTGGGTAGCCTTACACATGATCGCTTCAAGATACAAGTATTGTGCGATTACCGCGGGCGATCTGGTACCACCCCCGTGGCCGCCGTGATGCAGCCGACGATCAAGGCCTCCTTCCCCTCGTCAATAGATTCCGCACCGATGCCGTTTTGATCGTTTGATGTTACGACGGGTAACCGGCAGCAGGATGGATACTAATCACACTGGACTCCCTCACTATATGGTATCAGAACGATAGGGCGAGACCCGGGAAACTTGATATATCCATCCGGGAGTTAATTCCTCCAACTTCTTGAGCCAAAGGGAGGCACTGCTCTGTCGTGGGCCGTTGTGGCAGCCCAGGAGTCTCTGATTTGCCGTATGTTTGGCAAGAGAAAAGGTATTAGAAGAAAGGATATAGTGTGAGAGCTCCGTGAGGCTTGTTGGGTCTGATCCAACACTCAAGTAGCAAGGTTCTCGGTTGAGATAGGGAAATGGGATTAGGGATGCCGTTGATTTTGGAAGGCGAAGAATTGGTTGTTTACCTTGAAGGTAACACCTTCATCGCCCGAGGGTGCTGGAAAGGGTCCGACTGTGTTGGCCGCCGCTGTTATGTCAGTACCAGTGACTCGTGACAGAGAACATCGGCTCTCGCGCCTCAGTGTGATATAAAAGACAACCTTGTAGACGGAAAGACCATATCCCACTTTGCCAACCCAAATGTAAAGACCTTGCAATTGCGAATGCCCGACCCTGCTGTAAAGAGGATGCAGCTCACGTAAGAAAACAATTGAGCACCAAAGAAACGTCATGAATCAAATCGTGAAATAGATTCAGGCCGATTGTGCTAATATCTGCGACGACCTCAATCTATGCCATTGCCGGAGCCCATGTAAAGTAGAAATCCACAGACGCCCCAAAAGTACCCTTTTCCCACTGACCGAGCATCACCCTCAGTACAGCACCTTAGTGAGCATACCGCTTGCCGTCCCTCAGGGTGTCGGCATATTCCTCCAGAGGGCTCCTGATGAGCTTAGTCTCCTTCCACAAGTTGGGCGTCAGGAAGCCGTAGGTGTTGGACACGGCCGCGAAGGTGGCCTTAAGGGTGTTCTCGAGGGTCTTGGTCGAGCCGGAAGACGATGTGTAGGCGTCTTCGATACCAGCGAGCTGGAGCAGGCGCTTCACAGCAGGAGAAGCGACGAGGGAGGTACCACGGGGAGCGGGGATAAGCTGAGGACCCAATTAGCACACATCCTAAATAAACCCTTTCTGACATCAAGGGAATACGTACGCGGACAGTGACGGAACCGCACTTGCCGCTCTCCTTGGTGGGAAGAGAGTGCGGCAGACCGAGGTTGGCACCCCAGTAACCACGCCTCACGGGGATGACGCTGAGCTTAGCGATGATGATGGCAGCGCGGATGGCAGTCGCAACTTCCTTTGACGTCTTGATGCCGAGACCGACGTGGCCCTCGGAGTCGCCAATGATGACGATGGCCTTAAACCGCGTCCGCTGACCAGCGCGAGTCTGTTTCTGAACGGGCTTGATCTGTATTTTTGAATTGAGCGTTAGAAAGCTGTCAAACAAGCCGAATGGTGCGATTCGATAGGAGATTCGAGGAATTTCGCCGTGCGCACCTTCATAACCTCATCCTTGAGCTTGGGCAGGAAGAAGTCGACGATCTGGTACTCCTTGATGGGGAGCGAGTGGAGGTAGATCTCCTCCATGCTCTTGATCTTGCCAGCCTTGACGAGACGGCCCAGCTTGGTGACGGGCTGCCACTCCTTCTCGTCGCTCTTGCCGCCGCCCCGACGTCCACGTCCACGGCCACGGCCGCGACCACGCTCACCGCCACGATCACCCCGAGATGCGAAACCGCCGCCGCGGGCACCAGATCCCCGATCAGCCATTTTGTTAAATTGTCGGTGGTTGTCGATTGGGGATTTTGTTGTTGTCGTGGACTCGGTCGAGCAGTTAGGTGAGGTCGACCTTTTTCGCCGAGTGCGGGGACTTTTTGGCTGGGAAATTCTCGATTTCTGGTGTGCCAAGAAACCAACCCTAAATTCTGATGGGGCCTTGGATCGCAGCTCAATTGGCAGGTGTGGGGCACGGGCCAGAAACTTTCCCAAATCCCAACCGTTAAAGGGAATAGAAGTTATGGAACAGAGCAAGAATCACCACTCACATAACAGAGAACTTGTGACGCAAAAGGAGGTATATGTACCTTACATGCCTCGCTCTATCATCGTTCATGCTTCCTCCCAAGAGATAGACGCGTAGGCCTCTTCCTTGCGAAGAGGCAAGCAAGCAGTGAAATGCCGGCGCCTATCTTGGGTTATGAGATTGTGTAGCCTGACAAGGGCAACAGCAGCTGTAGTGTAGCAAGACTTAAGAATGTCCACGCCATGGTCGCTCCAGTTCCATAAAAGAAGCCACCCAGTAGGCACCATATCATCCCGTAGCCGGAACGCCTTGCTCACCCGCAACCCAGGCCGGAATGAAGGGCCGCGCCATGCAAACCATGACCTCCATGTTGTAGCCAAAGATCAGCCGGCCAGCCCAAGCGCCGTTACACCATTTCCCATCTATACCGAACTTCAGCATCCTGTCGAAAGTTCGAAACGCCAAAATGCACTTCCTTCTTGCTTCGGCTATGCAGTCGGGTTCGGGTTCATCTGTTACGGACACGTGAGCCAACGATTCAGTTGCCGATAGATGTAGGGGCACCAAGGGGCTCTAGCTAGATACCTTGCGCTTGCCGCCAGTGACCGTGATGTTGACGAAGCGGCGTGTGTACAGCTCCCGCTTGTGGGCGCGGCCCTTGGGCGTCTTGGGCTTCTCCTGCGGCTCAACCTACAGACGGGAGGTTGTTAAACTGCGACTAGTCCACTTGGGGAGGATCTGGAGTTGATGTCTGATAATGTTCGTACCTTGGGAGTCTGCGACTTGACCTTGCCTGCATGCGCATGTTAGTCTCATGCTAGGTGAAGCCAGAGACAAGGTAAAACGGCAGATCTTGAGAGAGAGGTTCATACCTGCGCGGGCGAGAGAACCGTGAACTTTGCCCATGTTGACGATAGATCACAGTTATGGAGAGTGCTCTGGCGTTGTTTGCTGATTTGTGGCGATGGTGAAGTAGAAGCGTGGCCCAGGAGGCGAACAATCTGGAGGAAAACGGATGAGAAATGGGTGTTGCAGGTTCAAGCTTTGGCCTTCGCCGATTGACTCGTTCTCAGGCCCCAAGCAAGGGTTAGGGTTGGATTGATTTACACATAAGACCGACACCCCAGTGACCCCAGTCTCTGTTTGGGTAGATTTACCTGCTGGATATGAAGAGGCGCATCTATTGCTTGATGAATCAATGTGCAGGAAGAGAGCAGAGAGGGTAAGATAAATTTTAGAAATCGGGTATCGCAGATTTACCCAAGACATTCAGTCTCCCATGCCCTTCGGTTTCCACCTGCGCCTCCCCTTCATCATTATAAGCCCTCATTGTAGCGTCCATCAACTACTAATACAGTATGCCAAAGTATTCATGGTATTGCTGAAATTCTGCATTCATCCATTACACGGCCATCGGTGGCTTAGGATGGGCAGTCGAGGTATGATGGCCGCGACTTCGGAGCGCTTCGAGGGTATCGACAAAGACAAGGAAAGCAAATGTGGCCCAGAGAAAGAAGCCAAAGGCAATCGCTGCCCCGACAGAGCCGCAGTATGTGTTGCCGTCGCATCTCGGAGAGCCCCATCTCGCGGCCAGCGCGATGGAGCCGGCGAACCAGAAGATCATCGTGATCCATTCGAGACCCAGAGCCGCCAAACGGTGGAAGACACGGGCGAAGTATAAGGGTGTCAAACCAATATAGGCAAGAACCACCAGAGACCAAATCGAGCTGAAGTGCATGAACCCGAAGACACTCGGAGTCCAGCCATCCGGAGATACCACTGTAGAGGGGTTAGGGTTCAGTGTGACGAAGCGCTTCCAGTCAAAGAACTCACGATAAGCTGTCAGCCCGAGCTCGATAATGGCGAAGACCACCGCAACGATGTGGGCTATAGGGACAAAGCGCTGCATTGTGTCTTTGGCGGTTGTTGCTAGAAAGGAGACGTTAAGATGGGCGATACTTGAGGGGGAGTAGCTATGCGTGCTTAGAGGTAGAAGACAGGAAGCAGGACGGCGTCTTGCAGGTGGGTGGTGTGGTTAGCTGACAACCTTTGTATCTGTCGCTCTTCCCGTCCCGGCAAGGGTATGACGCTCATTGCCTGGTTGTCGGCGGAAAGAAGGGTCTGGCTTCTGAAAGGCCAAGCAGAGACGGGATGACGTGGTGCGAAACACTGCCCCGGAGAACAACTGCCCAGCCCAGCTATACGAGGCAAAGAAAATAATCTAGAGGATCCATACCAGGCTTGCACATGGATCAAGTTCGGCAGAGAGGGAATCCGATGTCACCACACTTTTTCATTTTCAGTGTACACGACCACCCGGCGAAGCAGCTACTGTATTGATGTTTCTCATCGATGTCTGCGTAGACCTGGCATGACGTCATGTTCAACCCGCCGTGGTGGAAAATCGCAAGAGACCCTGCAGAAGTGCACGAGCTTAACTAATCCTTGACGCCTGCCCCAGGGGCCACCTTACCTGATGTATTCCTCTCCAGATCACGTAAAGAGGTAAAGGATAAAGCGAAGAAGAGCAGCTTTTACTGCAGCATAATTCACATACCTAGTGAAATGAGTTGCTTGGTGCTCCAAGGGTACTTCAATATTTGGAGTTATTTGAATTGGTTTCGTATCAACGAGAGGTCGCTCTTCCCGAGCAGCGTTGCGGAGACCTGACCAGCAGTCTCAGCTGTGGCCAGCCAACCAAGAGCCCGGACCGGAGCCCTGGATCGCAAGAAAGGAATTAGACCCCTTGGCCCGTGCGCCTCCAAATTTTCGGTCTATCTCTGACACCCCGAAAAAAAAAGGACCTCCAGTTTCCGCATGCACACCTCCGTCTCACTTTCATCCCAATTCCATCGACAGGCTCGCCGTCACCTGTTGTATCTAGACAACCGAGCTGTTCGAACTCGCTTCGGTCGCTTGTTAAGAAACTCCTCTAGCCTCAATTTGCAGTACCTAACGGCTTCTTTTGGAGGGCGCCTCTACACGTGTACTTGTACATCATAGTTACAGAACTTGTGAACCTTTATGGAAGCCACCTTGAAACCACCCAATGGAATACCACCGTCCACATCTCAAGTCTCACTGCTTTTCAACCCGCAATGTCCTGGTCCAGGAACCACAGCGCCTGGTGGTGTTCTGAAACTGGAGGCACCCACTATGTGCAAGCACTACCTACTATTACCTGAGACAAGTGCATCCGCCCACGTCGACTTCGAAGACATTTGGCATTTCCTAACTGTTCTGCACTACCGACAATTTGTGTTACTACTGCCAGTGTGCTTCGACCGCAAGAATGGCAGACTGCCGTGGCGGTGGCTGTGCCACTCTGCAGTGGCTTGACTCGGGCTGACCGAGACTGTGAGTGACTGGGCGGAACTCATTCGCGCACAGAGTTCTCGACCTCGTCGACAGGACCCAATTCCAAACGCTGTCCAGCGTCGCAGAGACATCTCACAGAAACACTTCAAAATCCATTTGTGGTGTCAATCCCAGTTGCTGACTCGGAGGAATTTCGAAGAGCGTGGCAGACATCTTGGCCAGGGCGATATCCGAAATGGGTTGCTTCTACCGTCATGAGCCAGTGCCTGCAAATGGCTTGACTGTGCTGTTTGAGCCCGATGAACCTTCGATTGAGTATGTGAAGGACCATTTGGCCCCGGTTTACCTTCTACGCCCGATACTAAGCGTATCATAGCGTTGTCTTCGTCCATGGGTTCACTGGCCATCCAGAGCGGACATGGACTCACCGGAAAGGCGATCCACGGTCATGTCATCAGTGCCCGGATGCCGAGAGGGGCCAAGACACCACGGAGCGCCCGGTCAAGGTACGGAAGTTGAGCCGTTTCTTGATATCTCGAAGTGGGCCCAACGATGCTCGTGAACCAGCGTATACATCTGTATACTGGCCAAGGGACCTCGTCCCAACCGTTCTCCCAGGTGCGCGAGTCTTGACATACGGCTATGATACCCGAGTGACACATGCTTTTGGTCCTCTTGGGAACAAAAGCAGCGTCTATGAGATGGCGTGGGACTTCTTGGTAGAGCTTGATGCCAGCCGCCGGTCGCAGGAAGCGAGACCCCTTCTGTTTGTTGCCCATAGCCTGGGTGGCATACTTGTCAAAGAAGCGCTACGACGATCGGCCAGCTTCCTATCTGGCCGACAGTTCCGGTTTCGGTCCATCTTCGATTCCACAGTGGGTGTCATCTTCTTTGGCACACCTCACGGCGGCGCCAAACCTGGAGGGTTACCGCACCGCGTTGCCGAGAAGCTTCTCAAGGCTGCCGGGTTTTCTGTCAACGAACAGGTCGTCGCTACACTTCTGCCGTCCGGGGAGCGTCTGAAAGAGCTGAGAGATGAGTTTGGCCCAGTTGTTAACAAGCAGAATTGGACCATTTACTCCTTTCAAGAGGCGATTGGCGTCAGATTCCTGGGCGGCGAAAAGGTGCGTGTTTAAACCCAACCCTATTTCCTCTTGCTAATCGTGACTCAAGGTTGTCGATGATACGTCATCCTGCCTCAACCTCCCCGAGATTGAGACGAAACAACACATCCAGAGGGACCACATGGATATGTGCCGTTTTGCGGGGTTTGACGACCCCGAGTTTAAGAAGGTAGACGCGGCTCTGAGGCACATCACAGGTTTAATGCAGTCCAGACACCGGACACCAGAAACGGCTCCCCTGGCGCGGGTTCTCAACGAAGAAAACAGAAGGCTCTTACTCGACTCACTCAGATTCGAGCAAGTCGACGCCCGTATGATGTCCGTCAGGTCTGCGCACGAAAAGACCTGCAAATGGCTCCTCAAGAAGGCGGAATATGTTGACTGGCTTGACCCAGGCAAGCTCTCTGACCACTATGGGTTTCTGTGGTTGAAGGGAAAGCCTGGTACGGGGAAATCTACCTTGATGAAGTTCGCCCTCACAAACGCTCGAAAGTCTATGAAGGATACTCTCGTCATTTCCTTTTTCTTCAACGCAAGAGGGGCCGACATGGAAAAGTCCACGGCTGGCATGTACCGATCCCTGCTGTTGCAACTTCTTGAACGGGTACCCCGGCTTCAAGATGTCTTCGAGACACTAGGATTCACAGACTGGAATTCTAGCAGTACTTACGTCTGGAGCATTGAAACTCTGAAGGATCTGTTCCGAGAGGCTATTCATTCACTTGGCGAGCTCGCGGTGGTGTGTTTCATTGACGCTCTGGATGAGTGTGACCAAGCTGAAGTGCGAGATATGGTGGCCTTCTTTCAGCGTCTCGGTGATCTTACCGTCCCCCTCGGAGTCAGGTTCCGCGTCTTTTTTTCCAGTCGGCACTACCCTCACATCACAATCTCACATGGAATCGACTTCGTTTTGGAAGGCCAGGAGGGGCACGATCAAGACATTACCGACTATATCGACAGTGAGCTACACCCTGAGCTGCGCACTGGGGACACAGCTTCTCTTGGGATACGGGAGACTTTGCAAAAGAAATCTGCTGGGGTTTTCATGTGGGTGGTTCTCGTCATTGGTATTCTTAACAAAGAATATGACGACGGTGAATTTGCAGCAAGTCAACTGCGCCAACGACAAGTACAACGGAAGCTTGACGAGATTCCTAGCGACCTACATGAGCTGTTCCGCGACATTTTGACCCGGGATGCACGCAAGAAAGACAGGCTCATTCTCTCCCTCCAGTGGTTGCTCTTTGCACGAAGACCCCTCAGGCCAGCTGAACTCTACTTCGCCATTATCTCAGGCATCGAGCCTACAGATCTACCGGCATATATTTCGAGTCAGCCCGGGCTAGATCAGATGGAGAAGTTCATCCTGAACTCATCGAAGGGCTTAGCCGAAGTAATAAAGTCCAAGAAACCGACGGTCCAATTCATTCACGAGTCGGTCAGAGACTTCCTCATAAAGGAGAAAGGATTGAGTGCTGTTTGGACAGATCTTGGGCCGACATTTGTGGGCCAAACCCACGATCGTCTGAGGCAGTGCTGTCTCGCTTACATTACGGAAATTGACATCGACACTGCGAATCTCGGCATTCCTGACGTTCTGCCCAAGACATCTTCTACGAAAAGCAAAGAGCTCCGTCACAAGACGGCGAAGCACTTTCCCTTCCTCCAGTATGCCGTGGAAAACATACTGTGGCATGCTGATACGGCACAGGCCGGCGGAATCAGCCAGGTCAAGTTCCTTCGTGAGCTTACCTTGCTCGCAAAACTGATAACTTTGGGCAACATTTTCGCTCCGTACGAAAATCGCCGGCACTACTCAACACCAAGTCTTCTCTACATCCTCGCAGAATACAATCTACCCGCTCTAATCCGAATCAACCCGAACAACTGCGATTGCTTTGTCTTTGAGGATCAGCGGTACGGACCGCCAATATTTGCGGCATTGGCGTGCGGGAGTCGCGAAGCAGTCACAGCGATGTTAGAAGTCCAAGAGCGGCTTCATGGGGAGGACTGTGCGCGTGCCAAAGATTGGGAGTCAACCGGGAAAGATACACTTAGTTCATTCAGCCGCGAATTCTGGTTTTCACGAAAGACAGGCGTTTTCGGCTACTTGAAAAAAATCGACGATCCGGTCCTGATGGGCTTCGCCCTGGGAAGCTCTGCAGTGGACCTTGACCCGCAGAATATGATGACCGGGTGGACCACAACCCTGCTTCACATCGCCGTGGATCTTGGCAACGAGGCAGCCGTTAGATCTCTGCTTGACCATGGCTATCCAAACGACCTGGAGGACCCTGTTAGTCGGACGCCACTTCTTCTAGCCGTCGTCAAAGGTCACGAGTCCATCGTTCGGCTTCTTCTTGACCGGGGCGCTGCAATCGAGGCGAGCGGTAGAGTCAGTACCGACAATGGCCGGACACCACTTGCTTTAGCCGCCAAAAACGGTCACAAGACACTCGTCCAGCTTCTTCTAGATCGGGGCGCTGCAATCGAGGCAAAGGAGTTCTATGGCTGGACACCACTAGCGGTTGCTGCTAGCTATGGTCAAGAGGCAGTTCTTCGGCTGCTTCTCGACCACGGCGCTACAATCGACCCAAAGGACCGTGGTGGCATGACGCCACTTGCTATAGCTGTCGAACGTGGCTATGAGGCAGTTGTCCAGCTTCTTCTAGATCGGGGCGCTACAATCGAGCCAAAGGATGAATTTGGCTTCACGCCACTTGCGCTGGCTGTTGTTCATCGTCAGAAAGCACTTGTTCCGCTGCTTCTTGATCGTGGTGCTATAATCGACGCAAATTGTAATGGCAAGACACCACTTATCCTAGCCGCTCAAAACGCCAAGGAGGATTTCGTCCAGTTACTTCTTGATCGGGGCGCTGCAATTGAGGCAAAGGACCCTAGTGGCAAGACACCACTTGCTTTAGCCGCCAGGAATGGCTATAAAGCAGTTGTCCAACTCCTTCTTGATCGCGGTGCCGCAATCGATGCAAAGGACTGTGACGGCCGGACACCACTTGCACTAGCTGCCGAATATGGCCGCGAGGCAATCGTTCAATTCCTTCTTGATCGGGGTGCTGCAGTCGAGGCAACGGGTTGTGACGGCCAGACACCACTTGCTTTAGCCACCAAGAGCAAATGGAACGATCATACGGCAGTCGTCCAGCTTCTTCTTGATTACGGCGCTACCTATCCAGGTAGCAAGCGATTATAGCCAGATACCACTTGCTGAACCCGTTGGACTATAGCTACTGGCAATCGTTCGGCCTCTTGACTGGGGCTTACCTGATCTCTAAGGTTCGGCACAGGATTGTCTCGAAACTTTTCCATTTCTTCATAAGGACGGTTGAGGGATCGGTTAGAGAGGTGGACGTTGTGCTGGTTTGTGCCCCGGTAGAAACGGTACAAGTACAGAGCATGGCTAGGTATGATATATGTTATGATTACTGGGGGGCATGATGTTGAAGGTGTAGATGGGTATTGAGAGATTGTATGTATGCAGCCTTGATGATGAACCCTTCATGCAACTACACGTAGGCACATTGCATGATTGCAATTGGCGGTTCGACGTGCTGCCAAGAACTGAAGCTTATGCACGTATCGAACTGTCCCGAATTCCCATGCACCCCTTACCCCACACCACGGCCAAGACACGGCGCATCTCTGACAAGACAACGGCGACCATGGGGATAGCGCCGGTGTTGACGACAGCTCCGCAAGGGCAACCGCCGCCGGGGGTTTGGCGTCGCTGGATTAGCACGGGGGCATTCATTGTTGGCCTGCTGCTTATCGCCAAGTTCCCCCCGTTAAAGCACAGCTTGAATTTCGCATGCGACTCCGGTTCCAGGGAGACCCAAATCTCACCATATGGTCAGTTTCCTTTACCTGACGACCCCTTCCGCTTTCTGCCCTGCACTCGGTCAACAGTCTCGCCGCCGTTAGACGACAGTCACCCTGATCGGACCTGGGCTGCCCGGTTCGATCCTAATCCCGATCACTGGAGTTGGGGCACATCAAGGAACAACGCCACTACCGGCGATGATGTGTACGCTGGACGTGGCATCTACCTATGCGGCTACCTGGACGTTCACTTGGATTATACAAACAAGTCCGATAGCCGCATCGCGCGCCTCGCCGTGACCAAGTTTCAGATCTCCGGTTTGGCACGTGTTGACGTGGTCAACGACTCCTCCTCGGCCGGCAGGAAGAGCGAGCGGACCATCGTCATTGAGCCGGGTGGCCCAGGAGGCAGCGGGACGGGCTACGCATGGCGCGTGGCGCAAAACGTCAGCGAGCGGTTTAGTGACGGCAAGTTTGACGTCCTGGGCTGGGACCCGCGAGGCGTGAATGCCTCGCTTCCGGCTGTCGAGTGTTTCCCGTACGACGCGGAACGCGATCACTGGAATCTTCTCAGCTCGCTGCACTATGCCGTCTCGGACTCGCCCAGGCGCCAGCTGGAAATCGCGGATGCTATGAACGCTGCAGTGATGCGCGCCTGCTGGGAGCGGCACGGCGATCTTGGCCGCTTCGTCGGCACGGGGCTTGTTGCTCGGGACCTGGAGCAGATCCGGATAGCGCTTGGTGAGGACGAGCTGACGGGCTACCTCGTCAGCTATGGCACGGGCATTGGGCAAACATATGCTGCCATGTTCCCGGGCAGCGTGGGTCGGCTGATCCTCGACGGTACCGAATATGTGCGCGACCATCGCCTCCGTGGCGGGTTTGGTTGGACTGCACTGGACAATGCCACAGATGCCTGGCGTGACGGGTTCTTGGGCGAGTGTATCAATGCTGGCCCCGATCACTGCGCGCTTGCAAGGCCAAGGGACGGGAAGCCGGTTACCCTCTCGGATCTCGAGACACGCATGGACGCTTTGATGAAATCCCTCGCCGCCCGCCCTGCCCCTGGATACCTGGAGGCCAGGGGTCCAACTTTGGTAATGTACTCGCCCCTCGTTGACGCTTTCTATGGTGCAATGTACAACCCGAGAAGTTGGCCTACGCTGGCACAAACGCTATATGAGCTCGAGGCGGGGAACTCGACCCTTGCAGCATCCACTTTGGAACGTTCTTGGCAATATGACCCGGCCCTCCCATGCTCACCGGATCCTATGCCCGCCTCAGACTTGGAGCTGGGTACCCTTGTTATTTGCGCGGATTCCTATGATGCTCCTGGGCCTGACGACTTGGACTGGTGGCTGTCACTCTGGGTGAACATGACCTCGAAATCTTGGATTGCAGGCAACAGCCGTTTCTACAATGTCCTTCCCTGCCGCCATTTCCTGACGTATTGGCCGGACCCCGTCGGCGTGTACCGCGGTGACCTCAACAAGACGCTCAAGCACCCGGTGCTGCTCATCGCCGAGACGTACGACCCGGCAACTCCGCTCCGGAATGGAAGGCGGCTGCTGCAAGAAATGGGCGCAAACGCGCGGTTGATTGCTCACCATGGGTACGGCCATTCTTCGAGGGATACCTCAAGCTGCACTGAGTCGTTGGCGAAGGCGTACATTCTCAACGGCACTCTGCCGGATGAGCCCGAGACGGCATGCTATGCCGATGAAAAGCCGTATCTCTACGGTGTCAAGGAGAACAATGGTGCTGCCTTGACCAAGACGAAGGAGGATCCTGTCAAGGCGTGGCAACAGCATCTGACTGAGCTGTCCCTTATGAACCCGAGGCTGCTCCCTGGACGGCGGTAAAAATCAACCGTATCTGAATCTGTAGCTGAACCGTCACATTTGGATAGAAAGAACTGGGATGAGAAAGTGAATTGGCCCTCTTGAATCGGGCTGGGCGTGAGCAAACGCTCAAGATCGATAACCTTCAGAGCAGCTGCAAGCAGCTAGCTGCCGGGACCGCATCAGCTACAATCTCTGGTGCTGCCCTGGTCATCATGGCCAATGCAAATCTCACTGTCTGGTCCGATAGTAAGTAACGACGCTGTGAGCCGGTGGAAAGGAAACGGCATTTCTCAACTGTGTGGGACGCGCGGTTACCGCTTCGCTCCGATTTAGTCCATGTTGTAGCTCAAATCTTCGCCAGTCGCAAGACGAGCCAAAGCTTCCGTGTACGTACATTGCTGCTGGAAGCAGGTGTTGCATTGATGACGGAAAATAACGTACCTATGGAAAAGGGAAAGAGAAGGTAAATGACTGGCTCAGATCACGTGCTGTCGCGTAAGTGACGTGTCGGGCGTCAGTTGAATTTCCAAGAGAAGCTGCGGTTGCCTGAATTCACCGGGTCACTTATCAATCCACAAACTCCAACTTCCGGCACCGCATCATATTGTTGAGCTCATCCCCGCGCAGCCCAATAACCCGACACATTTGATGATCAGAATACGTTATTCTCTAGCCACTGCGACCTAAGCAGGAATAATGTGGCTGCTCGAAAGTGATATTTTTGAGGGTGTGTATACTGACACTGCCTTCGTCCCCATATTAGCACCGGAAAGGAAGGGACAAGAATGGTAGTTGATTTAAAGAATGGATAGGGAGAAAGCTGTGGTTGCGGCCGGGAAAGCTATATCTCTTTGGTCGCACTGCCGCAGAACGCAAGTCAGGCCCTGCTCATCATCAAACATCGCCCTGTCACCTTGCTAATTTGAATGTCCATCTCTAGCTGGTCAACTTGCCATATCAGACAAAACGATCTCTAGGAAGCACATGACGATTCAGGTTGACAGTGTTCCCGAGGGCGGCGGTGTATGTTAGCCCGGATAACGCCCTCTGACCATCTCAGCCGTCCATATTGCTATGATTGAGTGCTGACTAGCCGCAGCGTAACATCCGCACACGCTCTACCATCACGATCGAAGACCTCAACTCCAAGAAGGGGACTGTTGTCAATGGCGTCCAGATCCGCGGCCAGAAAAAGACACTCACAGACGATGTGAATGAAATCAAGCTGGGTTTGTGCCCTAAAATGGTCCGGTACGTGAAGCTCCGGCTCGAACTCGCGAACCTGACCTTCAGAGTTGCTGATGTGCGTCGGGGACGCGGTAGGATTCGCTGGCACCAGGTGGTTCTAAGCTTTTCGTTTACCAACAAAGAGCTTCGCGCAGACCCTTGGGCGAGGCTTCGGGACAGTCTGGAGCAGCTCGACATCAAGTACTCGGCCGAATACGAGGCCAGTACTACCCATGTTGTCTCCAAGAAACGGAATACTTCCAAAGGGCTTCAGGCACTTATAAATGGAAGATACATCGTGACCGATAGCTTCATTAATGCTATTGTGGACGCGGCTACCGTGCCAGCTGATGCCGAGGAGGGTACAAGCAGCGCTTTGGAGCAGGACTTCGAAGCTGCTTGGCCGAATCCTACCGAGCATCTGCCACCCCGAGGTGAGGAGCCGATAGACCGGCCACCAGAAGCCTACGCTCCGGATGAGCGGCGACGAGAGGTTTTTGACGGCTACACTTTTGTCTTTTACGAAAGAAAACAATATGAGAACCTTCTCCCCGCCATCACAACTGGGAAAGGCAAAGCCCAGCTCATGGAGGTTACTCCGGGGGTTACAGACGTCGACGAATTTGTTCGCTTTGTCAAGGGCCTCGCGGGCGAAAAGGGGTTGGGATCGTTTGAGGACGGCAGCGAGGGCAAAGGGGTGGTTGTTGTGCGATACACGCCAAAGGACGAGAATCAGGATTGGTTTGCTCAATTCTTGACTGCGTTCGCCCAGCGCCTTGATCACAGGCCAATTGACCAGCGAGAGTTCCTCGAGGCTATCCTCGCCTGTGACGCTTCCATGCTTCGCCGTCCACTTGAAACGGCCACGGAGCCAGCCGCGGAGCCGGAGGCGGAACCGGTAGTACAACACGCGCATGACCAAGGAGACCGAATGGAAGTCGACCAGCCTCCGGCCGAGTCAGAAACGCCTCAAGAACCGACCAAGGAACAAGAGTCCGCCCCGGCACCGCCTAGGCCACGAGGTCGGAGGGCCGGACGCACCCGCTTCAGAGGCTTTGATTTCGACGATACAGAATTTATGGAGCAGACCCCGCCGATAGAAGCGTCTGAGCCGCCTCAGGTAGCTGCAGCATCGCAAGACAGCTTGTTTGTCTCCCAGTACCAGGAACCGAACCTGGCCGCGGACGAAGAAGTCCCTGCCCCGCGTCCGTCTCAGCGGTCACAGCACAAACGCGCGCTCTCGCCGCTGCCCGAATATGACAACTCGGCGTTGATGGAAGAGATCGCGCCGAGAGCAGCAGCCGCTAAACGCCGACGCATCGAATCCGGGGAGACTCCCGAGCCGCCGCCTCCTGCGCCTGAACCTGAGCCACAACCCGAGGAGGACGAGGAAATGGCCACGGAATCTCCGCAGGGAAAGCGAAAGAAGGGCCAAGCCGCGAAAGGAAAGGCAAAGAAGGCGAAGGAGGGCGAGGATATTCTCGAGCTCGCACGCCAACGCCGGGAAGAGGCCGAGGCCAAAGCAGCGGCCGAGCGCTTGGAACTTCAGGCAACCGAAGACGGGATTGACTACGCCGCAATCCGAGCGTTGCACATTGTCGAGGAGTGCGAGGTTCATCTCCCTGAGGAACGGGGTGGTACCAGCCGGACCCGTGAGCAGGACATTGCCGACGGGCGCTGGGACCCGCGGTGGAACGGCCGCAAAAACTTCAAGCGGTTCCGCAAGCACGGTGAGGGGCCAGCCCGTCCGGCGGCGCGCATCATTATCGGGCTGGAGGAGGTCAAGCCGAAGGAGTATGGCATCGGCGACGACTATTGGCTCGAGGACGAAGGGAGTAGTCGCCGCAAAAAGGACAGCCAGCGCGGCGAATCACAGAGCCAGCAGCGGGAACGAGAACCATCGCAAGGCGGGTTGTCTGACGGCGGGACCGCCAAGGACAAGGGCAAGCAGAAGCCGGCGGCTCTGAGAAGGACTGTTTTGGTCGTTGACAGCAGTGACGAGGACGAGGGACGCAGCGAGGTCGGCACGGTGCAGGAAGACTCGGTGATTCCCGACTCGGAACCGTCGCGGAGCCGGGCAGCGAAGAATGCCGAGATGGCGAACGCACGCCGCGGTCAGTCGCAGACTCAGACCCAAACGCAGAGCCAGGTGTCGACCAGGGCCAGCGGCAAACGCTCCGCCCCGGCGGCGGCGGCGACCGTGGAGAGAGCAGCCAAGAGGCCGCGAAAGGGGTTCATGGCGGCGCCTTCAGATGATGAGAGTGAGGACAGCGATGATGAGCTCAAGTTTAGGTTCGGAAGGCGAAGATAGGCAGGTGCATGTCAGACGAACCTTGGGAGTGGCTTTGCGAAGCGAGCGGGCATTGCTCAGTAACGTTATATGACTCGAAATTTGCTATGCTGAACAGAGATGCGACCAAGTATATAACTGTATGTATGACACTAGATCAATCCTTGGAATCCGCCACGGGGGTATCGCCTCTACAATTCTAACGTACATACGTCGAACAGGCATGCGCCACTTGGAACCTCACCCAGCTCTCCCTTCACCCAAGCGAATTCAATGCTCTCCCCAATCCAAACCATCCCCACAGCGAACGAAGCTTCCCACCTCAATGCTAATCCATAGCCTCCATATCCCCCTTACCCCCCTCCCCTCCCTCCTCCTCACTGACATAGATCCCAACCAAACACGCAGCCAGCATCCCCTCATAATTAACCCACGGATGCACCTCACCAAAAAGCCTCGTCCCATCCCTGCCCGCGCCACGAAGCAGCTCAGGCTCGCCGCCCGGATGGAAGGGGAGGTAAGGCGTGATATTGTAGACACGGCCCCCAAGGACGGTCCACGCGTCCTTGCCTTTCCGTCCCGTCTGCCGCTTCAGCATCGACGGCGTCACCCGCAGATAGGGTGTCCCCGCCGGCAAACCCCGCAGCGAATCGGCCGCGGCGGGAGATGCCGTAAGCCGCGCCCAGTCTAGCGGCGAGTGGCCTGGTGAGAGGACGACCTGCCGGCTGGGCTTGGTCGGTTTCGACGAGTGGCTTGGTGGCGGGGCGAGGGTTGAACAGCCCGGTCCTCGGGTGGGGATGGGCAAGTTGTTGGTGGTGTTGGTGTTGTTGTTGGGGGTGGGACGGAGGGTTGGTGGGCGGCGAGGAGGTGGTGGTGGAGGGGGCGGCATAAGTGTTGAAGCTGAAGGCGAGGGTTCGGCGAGGGCGGGGACAGGGTTGAGTGAAGGGATTATTGGCGGCTCTGATGATGATAATGGGTCCAGTTGTAGCGCCGGGACTGGTTTGGCGTTGGTCACTGCCGATGCCGAGGCCTTGGGCGTGGCCTGGCCGTCGCAGGCTGAATTTGCGCTTGGCGAGTCGCCAAGAGTGTTGTGGTCGCTGGCATCGACTTCAGGCTCTTCTTGCTGAAGCACCAGCGTCGGCGGCAGCGCGGTTTGGTCAGCCGTCGGCTTTTGGATAGCCAGTGGGATTTCATCGGTAGGGCGTTCGGACCCATAGCTGACCGTCTCGGCGTCTATTCCATCCCCTCGATCGGCAAGGTCATGCTCCGTGTTCCCTTCATCCCGTCTTGTCTCCTCGGCCGATGACGCGAGTCGGGCAGGCGGGGATGCCCTGAATATAGAGGGAAGCCAGGCTGGTCTCCGCATGCAGAATAGGATGACAGATGCGACGATGAGCGAGAGACCTAGTAGCGCCATCCTCAGGCGCGCCCTGCTTACAGTCGTATGTTAATTGTTGAAGTGGATTCTGGCATGGATGATGGGATCCGGCCCGATGCGTCCCGTATACTGTATATGTATACAGTATACAGCGATTTGGTCGGAAGCTGGACCGCTCAAAGGGGCATTAAAGGTCGACTAAAAAGATCTATATCATCGATTATTCAGAGGCGAGCTGTATGCAGGGGAATGACGGCGGCGTGTTCAAGTCCCAGGCGGTTGGTCCAGCGGATTTCCAAGCGAAGATCGTATCGATAGATGGTGGGGCAGTCCTGTTTCGGAAGCAGGGGGGTTTGGGAGCGGGAGCGGTCAGTCTGCACTAGCCAAATGTTACACTAAAACAATGGCGGGGTCAGGGTCTGCAGCTCAATGCATAAAGGTAAACAAAATAATCGGGATGAATGGCTCTCAGGGGAACGATGATATCGGAGTTGGGAGTTAGTGGAGTTTGGATCATTGGCATCTAGTCATCACTGAGTGACTGAACCAACCCTACATCCGCCTGCTCCAGCTCTCTCAAAGTCTCTCAAGGTTTTAAAGGAGTCGAGGAACCCGAGTGCGGTCTTCTGGGCAGCTCGGCAGGTTATGTGGATGCAAAAATCCACTGTTGTTATTGCAGGCCACTCACAGCGGGCCAAAACGGGAAATCAGCTTCCATCCCGATTCGCGCCTCCCGTCTGATTGATTTGCCCGTCACAATGCCACATACTTTCACCTCCGGTGACTGCTTCCAAGAACGCAGCTTTGAGAAAAAGCTCCGCGTTGCCACGCAATCTTCGCGAATATCGAATGGCTCACTGCTACAGTCGACTTCACTCGAGAAAAAGCCGTCTGCGGGAATTTTAACTACAAGCAGGACCATTTCGGGTGCAAGAGCGGCAACCATCACAACAACGGAATCTGTTTTGCCCCCATCAACTGTCCCAACTACTGCTCCTGCTGCCGCCGCAATCACCACGACACGGTCCCGGCAGCCGCTCCAATTGCGCGACCAAAATGCCTCGCCGGCGATTTGGGCTGTGAAACTAGGACCCGAAACGAAATCATACCCGTCGACGGCAATCGGAATGCCGTCGTATGAGCGGGCATCCGCCACCGGCCAACGGCAGCCCACCCTTGCAAAAGCCGTAAACAAACCGCCCCTGACACCCAAGATCGCGGCCCGCCCGCAAACAGGCTACCATGCCGTCCTCGCAACAACACCGCTCGCCCGACGCCCCAACCACGAATCGTCACTGACCGTCAATGGCACTGCCTCCCGCGACAAGGACGAGTTGGCCTCGTCGGTGCCCGCCTTTCTCAGCAGCAACATCACCCCTCGTTCCGGCTCCAGACAAAACCGCGTCGACAGTGCTAACAGCACCCCGACCGGCACGCCCAATCCGGATCGCCACGATCACGGAGAGACCACGCCATTTGGCCCAGACGACACAGTCAAAAGGCCTATGGTGACCTTCAGTCCCGCCTCTGACGCCGGGAGTGGGGGAAGGGCGGACCGAGAGTCCAAGTTCTTCTACGCTTCCGAAGCACAGAAACAATCACAGCCGGTTGCGCAAACGAGACAGGTTGCGACACAGCAGCAGAGACCGGCAACATTCTTTTATGCAAATGGGAATACCCTGCCGGAACGGCAGGATGTACCTACTCCTGGGTCCTCGGCGCCGTCCTTGCCATCTCCATCTTCTACCTCTTCTAACCAGGACAACATAATGAGCAAGTTCGTCTATGCCAATGGGATCCCTGAGTTACAACCACCGGCAAAGATAGGTCCATCCTCGAAGCGAGCGTCGGGATCAGTCACTTCAGCAGTGTCCCGGGTGCCAGCAGGCAGGCAGGGAAACCCGCAGAGGGCTCCGTCACCCATCAAGCATCTAGCTTCCGGAGGGCCCAAGAGCCCCAGCGCCCCTATTATCGCATCACCTAGATCGCCGGTCTCGGTGACGAATAACCAGAGCGGCACTCAACCATGCCAGGCGAGACTGAGCGCCGAGATACACCGCCGGCCCAGCAAGTCGCATGCGCAGCCCAAGAGTCCTGGAATTGCGGACGCTCCGCTCATTGTCGCGAAGCGCCTGTCCTCCCACAGCTCTGCCCCGTCGTCCGGAAGCACATCTCCATCTGTGTCTTCCTACCCCGCGTCGAGCGAACCTGCTGCTAGCTCCGGATTTGCATCTCTACTTCAGGCCGCCGAGGACTTTACCGAGACTGACGAGACCAAATCTGAGTCGTTGAATAGCTCCAACAAGACGCCGCAGGAGAGCCAACTGACCGACCTGGTTGTCAGTGCGCGACGGGAGCGCAAGGTCCAGGACCTGGAAATTACGAACGCCAGCCTCGAGGCCATCAACCGCACACTGGAGAGGCAGCTGAGAAAGCAGACTGCTGAGTTGCGGCGCTATAAGCGCCTGTCCCGGTCGGGCCGGCTGAGCATTGGCTCCTTTTCTGTAGGCAACCGGGTCCCATCCGACTCCACCGTCGACGGGGGTGCTTTGGCAAGGGCAGGTATGGGGTTGGACGACCTGAGTGAGGAGCAGAGCGAGATCGAGGCCGAAGACGCCGAGCTGGAAGAACTGGAAGAAGAGGAGGACGATGACGTGTCCGGCTCCGAGGTCTCAGGGGATGAATCAAATCCAGGCTCGATCGCGATGCGCGACTCGCGGCATCGGCGGAGAGATGAGCGGCGGCTTCAGCTGGATCTGCTCAAACACCAGCAGCTGCTTATCGACAGCCAAAAGATTAACCAGAGCCTCAAACGGTGTCTGGGGTGGACCGAGGAGTTGATCAAGGAAGGCAAACGCGCCCTCGCCTACCAGGTCCGCGTGAGCGATGTAGAGCTCGGTGGTAGGGTTCTACCTCCCGAGGAGATTGAGCGCCGGGAGGCAGAGGCTGCCGCGCTCGCCGACGACGCCGATGCCGATCCCGACGCGGCTGGCGATGAGGAGGGCGACTACGAACAGGATGCGCTTGCCCAGCCAGACCCTCAGCTTCTTGGGATGGAGCTCTTGGCCGAGCCAGACGTTCGACCATGGGGCAAAGATCCCCAGGATAGGGACAGCGGAATCGAACTACCTGCCGATGGCGGGTAAGCAGGAGAAAACGACACACAGGCGCGCGGCTGTGCGTCAAATTCACCACTCATGGCATCAAATATTTTACGGCATATTTTCTTTGGTCGTTCTAGTCGTTCTAGTCGCATTGGGATAGGCCCGGGTTGGATTCGGTCGGTGTACTGCGTGGTATATTCTTGTGCGAGAGAGATCGCAAAGTGCTCGCCCGAAAAAGATCTTTACGCATCTTATCTCTGCTGCCCAAAAAAGGCATCGGGCTTGCTCCTTCCTTCATTCTCGGGTTATAAACCAGAGCCATCACCGGCCCATTTTGATGTTTTCCTTTGTCAGGACATTGTTTTCAGTATTTAGATACCCCAAACAAGCAGAGAGAAAGGACTGCAAACAGCAGACAGGGAGGGGACAGCATAGAAGCCTTTCATTCCTGGTGTTTTCCCCTTGGGTTACTCTTGCATATCAGCTTTCTTTCTATTACAATACCAGCAAGCTCTGATACCCCCGCAACTGCATACCTGTGTCAGTAGTACATTACGATTCTACCTACCTAATGATGGTCAAGATAAGAAGGAGACCTAGACAGACCATCGTTCAACACAGGACGATTCCCTCAGAGGGAAAGCCTGCGGGCTCTCTGCCTGACATTCTATCATCAAACTCGATGCTTCTACAACCAACCTCAGTCATCGATTATGATTCGTCCTACTTTGACCAGTCTATTCCGCATGCAAGAGATTATAAAGGGCTATATTCTATAACCGAATGCCTCAAAAAGAACAAATGCCAAGTGTGCCGGTCTGTCGCTGCGCGCAAGGGTTCCAAAATGACAACCAGGCGCCTAGCGTGAGGAAATGAGAGGAGGTATAAGGCAGCGAAGGCCAAGCAGAGCCAAAAAGACCCAGTCCATCATCTTGTGCGTGTATCCATGCGTGCGGTTCCCTCCGTTCCCAACAATATCAAAGGCACAGTCTCCTCTATCAGACAAGCCATCCCTACACCCCTTCTTTCTCGTACCGCCAAGCCAGGAGAATGCTTCTCAGGCACACATTGAATCTGGACAGGTTCAACCCTACAGCAGTATGTAAGATGATAGCAGAACCTGGGTATCCTATGACGAGCCCTTGGGCACATTGGGCGCATCGTTGGCCGTGGCCGTAGCCGCCGAGGACCAGGATTTGTCGCCGTACTTGCTCGCGTCACCGTTCTTCTCCTTCTTGTCCTTGCCCTTCTTCTTGGACTCCTTCTCCTTCTCTTTTTCCTTTTCCTTCTTCATGGCTGCCTCGGCGACAAGCTGCTCAAACGCCATGTAGTCACCCTCTTCCTCAGGGCTTCGCTTGGCCTATTATGCAGGTTAGTTTTGGTTTCTGTATGAGAAAGGAATTCATGGCTTACGTTTGAGCAAATTTCGCCGATGAGGATGAGCGCCTGGGCCCTCTCGAGCCGCTTGGCCAGCGGCACCTTCTTGTCGTTGAGGACGGCATCGCACACGTCGCGCAGCACGCTCTGGATCTCGAACTTGCTGCCTCTCCAGGCGGCCGTGAGGATCTTGCCCGTCACGCGGCGCTCGTACTCGGCCTTCTTCTCCTCGGTCCAGTCCTCGCCGCCCTGCTGGTCGAGGCGGGCCATCTCCTCCATGGTCTGCTGCGCGTCGATGGCGCTGCTGATGGTATTCCACGTGTCCTTGACCAGCGTGCCCTTGTCGCGCATCTTGCTCAGGAAACCGCCCATGCCAAAGAACTTTTGGCTGCGCAGCAGCGTCGTGCCCTTGGACACGTACGTGGCGCCGATGGCGTGCAAAATGTCGATGCCAAACGACTCCATCTTGAGATCCTCCACCTCGAGCCGTGTCTTTTCCTGGAACGCCGCCGTCACGTCCTTGCCCTTGTCCGTCTCGGTCCACACGGAGATGCGGTCGAGCAGCTTTCGGGCGAGCGTGTCGACGCGCTCCTGCCGCACCCGCGCCCGCTCCTTCTCGTACGCCGCCAGCTGCTCCCGCTGCTCCTTGGTCAGTCCCGACTTGGACTTCTTATCCTTCCGCTTCCCTTCCGACCCGGCCACCGTTGCCTCCTCATGCGCCGCCTCGTCCGACGGCCTGTCCATCAGCGCCGGCCGGATGGGAATCTGGGTGGTGCGCCCGTTCCGGGGGGTCGACGCGCCGGAGCCAGGGCCAGGAGACGGGGATTTTGTGTAGGGAGCTGAAGCGGTGCCGGGATTTTCTGACGATGCCTTCCTTTCGTCCTCGACTACTACTGCTGGAACCGGCTTCTTTTCGCTTGACGCCCGCGCAGAACTGCTACTCCCCGCGGTCTTTAGGCTCTCCTTGATCGCCTCATCGGTGCCAGGAAACTCGCCGTCGTGGTGCGAGTGCGACCCTGGCTTGTCCGCAATACCTGCTACTCCCTCCTCCTCTTCCTCAACGCCGGCCATGGCGATGTCCATAGTGGCCGTTAGATCCTTCATCAAACTAATCTCGCCGATCCAGTCGATAAAGGCCTCCCCGCCAAAGATGCTCGTAAAAAATTCGGCCGGGTCGATGAAGCCCTCGGATGGGCGAGCCGATTCCTTTCCATACTTGTCGTAGGCCTTCCGCAGGTCTTCGTTGGACAATACTTGGTAGGCCTCGCCAATTTCCTGAAACTTGGTGTGCGCCGAGGGATCGTTGGGGTTCTTGTCTTTTATGGAGGAGGCGCGGTCAGCAACATGAGAGAAGCGGGCGAAAAGAGGGCTGCTCGCTGCTTACCAGGATGATGGATGATGGCAAGTTTCCGGTAAGCCTTTTTGATCTCAAGCTCGGTGGCCGTCGGTTTGACACCAAGGATGTCGTAGTACGCGGTGTCGACCACCATGGCGACAACTGGATGAGCCAAGCGGATGCGATGCGATGCGCTTCGTTATATTGCCGCGGATGGCTCTGCCGACGTCGTGGGTCTCAGGCAGTTGCAGATGTTGAAACTGATTATCAGTGACTATGTTCGGATGAACGAAAGAGAAAACCACCCAAAACTGGCAAAGGCTTAGGCTGCGCTTCTCGACGAAGTTGGGCCGTCAAGTCCAGATACTGTATCAGGTATTCAGAAGTTTAAGACACAAATCCACTCCCGCGCTATCCCGTCGAAGTGGATGCAACCAACTGCGTCAGCCTAAGCCCCGAACTGAATTACGTACGTACAGTGCGTACGTACTGTACAGGTAACGATACGCACTCTACCCCCGTACAGCCAACGACTCCTGGCAGCATGGTTGAATGTCTGGAACCCGGGTTCACATCTTCACACAGTCAAACATCAGTTCCAGCATCTTCAGCTGACGAGATTTCCATTATTTTGTGTCGCAGATGACCGGAAACATGTTCGTCAAACGCTCTTTTCGCCATGTTCGTGTTTCAATGGCAAAGTTCGTCATGTATGAGTCGGAGTGTTGGCTTCCCGAAAGCTTAGATTACAAAAATGATTTATTCATACGTGACCTTTGCTGAGGCGAGGCGTGCGAACCTGTATTATCGGACCCCAGCTGCTTTCATCCGATCAAAACACCTCCTATACGCCTCATGGATTTCTGGAACCTCATACCCATATTCCTTTAGCTTGGTCACCAGCTTGGTGGTATCCAGCTTGCAGTTGCTGCGCCCAGCCTTGATCACCTTGGACTGCTCCTCGATGCTGAAGTTCTTCCACGTGAAGGATGGCCGCACGATGTCTCGAAACAGTGAAAGCACTTCATTATGCGATATAGAGCCGGGGTTGACGAAGTTGTATACGCCCACCTCGCCGTGCTCGGCCAGCAGGATTGATGCCGGAAGCAAATCCGTGAGAATTGTGTTGCTGTTTGGTATATCTACCACGTGCTCGTACTTTGTGATCTTGGTCACGAAGCTGCGCGGGTGTAGGTCATCCGACACGGGCATGCGCAATCGCAAAATCAAGCAGTTGTTGTAGTGCTTCAAGATCTACTTGCCATCGCCACGGAATCCGGTCAGCATAGTCGGTCCTAGGGTAAGAGTTAGATAGTGTAGAAATACCTCCTCAACATGGGCCTTGGTCATGGAATAGAAGCTGCCAGCAAAGTTGGCCGCGTCGGTCTCGAAGAAGCCCGGCCCGCCCCAGGGATGGGCCGAGTCGTACTGGTAAATGCAGCCAGTGGCAAACACGGTACAGTGGATGCCCCTGACGAAGCAGCAGTCGGCCAAGTTCAGCGTGCCGATAACGTTGGATCTTATTGTGGCCTCTTTGTTGTCCTCGCACCAGTCAACGTTGGGGCGCCCTGTGCAGCCGGCCGCGTTCAGCACATGAGTCGGTTGGACCCGGTCAAGCTCCGCGAAAACAGCGTCGCGGTTTTCCATCCGGGCGGTCGTCGTATGTACCTCCTTGCCCTGGCTCTCCAGCAACACTTTGAGATGTCCAGCGATCCAACCATCGCCACCCCAGATCAGGAAGCACTTCCTTCCGGCTCCGTTTGTGATCCTTGTAGCCATCGCTTGGGTAGTCGCCGGCGGGGTTGCCAAAGGAGCTTGAACCACGCCCCGTCACTTCAGCTGCGCAACAGTGGTCTCCGAGTCTGGTGGGTCTTGAGTGAGAGAAGGTTGAATGGACGTGAGTTGGAAGAAGTAGCAGGTAAGGAATCCTAGCGAGAATGGAAGGTCCATGCCGACAGCGCCTTCAACGACCGGGAGCTAAAATCATAAGTCATTCAAGTCGACTAGGCCGAGTGCTGCATTGGCCGTTCGAGACGTGAGTGCCTCCTCCCACAGCGTTGCATCGTAGGCGGAACAAAGGCCCAATAGCAGAAGTTAACGGGAATGGGAACTCGTGCAGGCCACTCTCAGAGAACTGGCGTCGTTGCCCAGGGTAGTCCAAATGCCACGGCGCTGCTCAGCTCCGTGATTCCAGAATGGGGAGTCGGAGCATTTGGTGCTATAAGATGCGTAAAGCTCGCACTTCCATTGACGATTTGAACGATGGCGGGGTTTGTAGCACAGAGACAGCCCGCCCCTCATATCCATGTGATCATCGGGTGTTAGGTTATCCTTATGGGCATGTATGAAAGGCGCTGCTTGACATCATCAAATACTTGAGCTGGTTTTGCAGCTTCGACCGGCAATGCCGCCAAATAGAGAGAGATGAGCTGAAGATGACTTACTGTACCCGGGCAGGCCTTGACATTTCTGGTCCCGTCTGTTAGATACGGGTAAGAATGTACGGATATGTGCGTTACACAACTGGGGGAAGCTCTAGGCCAAGCCGCCAGCACAGCAATTGACCAATGAAGTCGCACAATTTTGAGTAGGGTGGAGTCACATGCACCCCATTCGTCCCCTGGAGAATAGCCTAACTCCAGGTTCTGTCCCTGGGCCAGGGACGGCTCACGTAGCGCAGCATCGACCTAAAATTTTCCGCCAACATGGTGCCCACGAATCTCCTGTGGAACCGGGACGGCCTCCTGTGCGCGTCGACCCCTTCCGCATCGCAGCCCATCAAAGTTCAGTCAACAGGCGCGGATCTGGAACTAGAGCATCCCAGCCCGGAGCCCATCAACTACCTACACAGAAACCAAGGTCACATTGCAGCAAACAGTTGCAGAGTGCTTGCACAACTACATTGTGACGATTGACGACTACATAGCTTTGCCCGCAACGACCCTGGAAACCTGACGACCATCAATAGCCAACACAATGGGGCTTGCTAAGAATGCAATCTATTATCTCTTCCACCCGAATGAGCTCCGGTCCATCATTCAATGGTAAGTGTCTCCCATTTGCTAGTACTATTTACCATGGCCTAATGATGTGTGCTGTACAGGAAGGTATGGCACGAGCCGGTCCACAGACGCGACCCGGCCAAGGAAACGCCAACCGAGAAAGCATGCTTTCACTACCTCGAGTTGACCTCGCGGTCATTCGCGGCTGTCATACAGGAGCTCAACCCCGAGCTCCTGATGCCGATAACCTGTTTCTATCTGGTCCTACGCGGGCTAGACACCATCGAAGACGACATGACGATCGACATCAAGGAGAAGGAGCCGCTGCTGCGAAATTTCCATGAGCACATGGAGCAGGACGGGTGGACATTCGACAAGAACGGGCCCAACGAAAAGGACCGAGACCTTCTTGTGCACTTTGACAACGTCATTTACGAGCTGAAGAAGGTCAAGAAACCGTACTATGCCATCATCAAGGAGATCACAGTGAAGATGGGCAACGGCATGGCCGACTATGTTCTGAATGCCGAACACAATATCAACGGTGTCAACACGATTGACGATTACGAGCTGTACTGCCACTACGTGGCGGGCCTCGTGGGCGAAGGCTTGACACGCCTCTTCGTCGAGAGCAAGCTCGCCAATCCGCAATTGCTGGTTCGCATGGACCTGACGGAGAGCATGGGCCAGTTCTTGCAAAAGACCAACATCATCCGCGACGTGCACGAAGATTGGCTTGACAAGCGTCGGTTCTGGCCCAGGGAGATCTGGAGCAAGTACGTCGACAAGTGGGACGACCTGTTCGCGCCCGAAAACCGCGAGAAGGCGCTGCAGTGCAGCTCTCATATGGTGTTGAACGCTCTCAAGCATGCCGAGGAATGCCTCTTTTACATGGCCGGCATCCGCGACCAGAGCGTCTTTAACTTCGTCGCCATCCCCCAGAGCATGGCAATCGCGACCTTGGAACTGGTGTTCCGTAACCCAGCCCTCTTCGAGCGGAACCTCAAGATCTCCAAAGGCGATGCCTGCAAGCTCATGACAGAATCCACGCAGAACCTGCGGGTAGTCTGCGACGTCTTCCGGAGATATGCGCGGAGGATACACCACAAGAACGACCCGCGGGATCCAAATTACCTGGCCATCAGCGCGCAATGCGGGAAAGTATGTGTCGTCTGTTCCTTCATCAGAGCCAGAACACGGAATGCTGACAGGTGTAAAACAGATCGAGCAATTCATCGAGTCCATCTTCCCAAGTCAAGATCCCAAGAAAATCGCGGCGGGGATGCGTCCTAATGAAGAACCCGGTATGGATACCACGGAGTCAGTCTTGCTGGTGCTCTCAGCGCTATCAACTTTTATCCTAATTGGATTGCTCATGGTACGGTCCACCCGTGTCGGGATAAGCAGTTTCCCCGAACCCTTGGTGGAGATCTCTCTACTAACCCGGCACAGATGGGAATGGCTTGGCTTATGGGCGCTCGCTTCGACAAATTCTTCCATGGCCTCGACCAGGCGCTTGGTGGCAGCACAAGGCCGACAGTGACACCTGTGGCGCACGAAGAGCTGTGAAAACCTGATGTTATCCTCGGGGCTTTTGTTTTCTTCGCCTACTACACGTAATGAATACCCTTGGCACAACTGTAATGTATACCACGTCGAGCGACAGGCGGCGTCGCGAACGGGTCGTCTGAAGTTGGCGCCCCGCGGTGGGCAGGATTGGGTCGAGGCCGGCCAGACGCCTACCTAATACTAACTACCTCTTGAACTAATATAAGCAGACGCTTGGCCGCCTTTATTGAGTGTCGTCGTCATATTGGTTACGGCTTTGGCTTGATGCAAACAGCACGGATGTCAAATTGCAATCCAGTCTTTCCCTCCCTTGGTGGGGTTTCAGTGACTGTGGTTGTGCCGAAGATGTGCTGATAACAAAATTCTTGTTGCAAGTAGCCTGGTATCCGGGCACGCCTTTGGCTGGGGCTTGTCCTTTCTTGACGAAAAGCCTTGCTGGAGGTGGATTGCGGACATTGTTTGAACTTTACTCTTCGGCGTAAACCCCAAACTCGCCTTTTCCTTATACATAACAGTGTTTTGATGGCCTTACAATTACTGCCTCGCATCTTCGGACATAGCGTGGGCGTAGTAGTGTGACTGTCTGTCGTAAGGTAGTTCCTCTTACCATGCCCTTGCCTGAAACCAAAAGCCCTTGCTGAAACAGCAACACTGGGACTCTATTACTCAGGCTAAACCTGCCTTGAGTGGCGGGGAGAGAGAGAACTTGGGCATTTTGTTCCGCTTCAGACATGGACGGCCTTGTTTGCAATGACAGACGCGTATGTGCTACGCAATTGTTTGAGGCATCAGTTCAACATTTTACACTGAAACTTGGTGGTTGCAGATATCGCTGTCATTACTCGGTTTGGGCGTTTTGCGTTTTGCTGGTTGCCTGCCACTGTATCATCTCTTTGCCTGCCCGCACCCATTGGTGCTTGAACCAAAGCCAAAATCAAATAAGCCCACCCCTCCCCTAATCTTGACCTGAACCCGTCCTTGTATGCACCTTTGTTCGGAAACGAAACGAAAAGCCATGTTTTGCGGTTTGATGGTGGAAATAAAAGACAGAACAATGGCTTTCGTCTGTGTCCGTGTATGTATGTACAGATCAAAATGCCCAAGCCCAGAACCTGGATAGGGTATTCGGACTAGCAATGACGGTTGCGAGCCATGTCATGTAGTGTGTGTGTAAATATGTACAGGAGCCCTGCTGCTGCCAGAAACTGAAGAAACATGGTAAAAATATGTACGAGACCTTTTAGGTCCGGTTGCCGTTGTTGGCAATCAGGCTGGTGGTGCCGGCGACGTTGTTGCGCACCTCGGCGCCCGTCAGCGAGGCGAGTTCCTTGATGCGGTTGGCGACGTCTTGCACGCCGCTAATGCCCTCGAGGGCCATGAGGTAGGCGGCCAGGCCGGCGACGTGGGGGGAAGCCATGCTGGTGCCGCTCAGGGTGTCAGTGTCGTTGTCGTTGCGGATGCCGACGCTGAGGACCCGGACGCCGGGGGCGAAGACGTCGACGAGCTCGCCAAAGTTGGAGAAGGACGCCCGCTGGTCGTTGGTCTGGTCGATGGCGCCGACAGTTATGGCGCGCTCGGCCGATCCGGGGGAAGTGTTGGCCGTGTCCTGGTTCTCGTTGCCAGCGGCGACCACGGGCACGACGCCCGCAGCCTCGACCCGGTTGATGGCTGAGTTGACTGCGCGCGAGCGGCTGCCGCCCAGGGACATGTTCATGACGGCCTTGCCGCTAAGGCCGTTCTGCTCGGCCGTGTCGGCGACTATTTCATGTGGTATTAGTACAAGATATGGATCCGCCTATCGAGGGAGGGGTTCTTACCAAACTGCATGCCGGCAATGACGCCGGAGTTGGTGCCGCCGCCATCGGCATCCAGGACCTTGACAGCGACCAGGTTGACCTTCTTGGCCACGCCGAAAGTCTTGCCGCCAATAGTTCCGGCAACGTGGCTCCCGTGGCCGTTCAGGTCGTCGTCCTAGATGACTCGTTGTGAGCAAACACTGTCCAGAATTCGTCCTAGCACTGGGAGACAGCGGAAAACGTACAACATCGTCGACAAAGTTCCCGCCAAACGTCGCACGACCCTCAAACTCGCTGTGCGAGACGCGAATGCCCGTGTCCACCACAAACGCCGTGATACCCTCACCCGCGCTGTCGTCAAAGATGTAGGCCCCGGAGCCAGCCCTCGCGTGGCTGAGACGGACCAGACCGCTGGGGGCTTGCGCCTGCATTGCCCTGGCATTAAGGTTGACATAGGCGTCCTGCTCGATGTACTCGACCTCGTTGGACGAGAAAATCTCGTTGATCATGAGGTCGTCGGCCTCCAGGGACATGGCCCGCCACGCGCCAACCTTGAAGCTCTTGACGGCGGTCGACAGGAGCTGCCCTGTTAATGGGCTGCGCTTGTTGATGTTGCGGGTGGATATTGTCTTGATGATGCTTTCTTGGTGGGCTACGATATCATCGTCGTTGAACGTGTTGTTGTAGACGACAATGTACTTGTGCGGGATAAGATTCTGGGCGTCGGGATTTGAGATGGGCACGCCGAGATAGAAGCCGTCTGACTTGGCCGACTGGGGCAGGCCCGAGACACCCAGGGCAGAAAGAGCGAAGGCGAGCGAACTGAGAAGCCGACCCGCCATGGTTTAGAGCGAGAGTACAGACCTGTGGTTGAAGACTGGTGAGGGAGTGTGACGAACGGACCGTTAACGGCGTCAGAGAAGGACCAAGATGGATATATAAGGTAGGCAAAGTATGTTTGTAAAAGTGGTTCAAAGATGCAAGGCTACCGGTGCCTTTAGACACGAAGAATAACAAGAATCCCAGAGCCAAAGGAAGGGGCGAACGGCCGCGGCAGGGACTGGGCTGCAGGAAAAGAAAACAAGCAAATGGTGAGCGGATAAAGTGAAGACAAGAATGATGCTCAAACACGACGAATGCAGACCGGCTGCTATTTAACTGAAGAGAGTGTGCATGAAGTTGGTCGGGGCTGGCGGCCGTCTTGAGGCGCCCCTTTTTCGCGGGGATAACATGGATTCCAGCAGCAAGGCACCGTGGTCTAGCCAGGGTACTTGGGTACATTGGCTCAGGGACGGGATGACGAGTTGCTGCCCCTGGACGCCAAGTCAAACGGGAGATCCTGAGCCGACAGGGGGTCACTTTGCACCTGCCTCCACATCCAGTCGGGGCACGCCTGCACGTTTCGAAGAGCCCGCAGGCGAGAACGCCCCCCATTGTTCAATCTCAAACCAAGGTCGCGTACGAGTTACACAGGGCTTCCAGAGTAGCCCAAGTTGGGCGCAAGATTGGCTCTCGCATCTTGACTTCTCTTCCTTCTCCAGGCCCGCGCGGTCCGCCACTCAACCGGGGCGCGGCCACAGCTATGGTCTGTGGCGGTGGACGGCGTGTACGATGTACCGTTTGAGGCGCAAACAAGGGCAACAATACTCCGGAGCATAAACGATCGCCTCTGATCTGCCGGTGCCGGAAGCGGCAAAGAGAGACTTGTTAACTTGTCAAGGGTATGCTCAAGTCCCAGCCACTGCGGTACTTTGTATACTAATGCGAAGAAGCGACTTGACAGAACACAATGTCCGAGCCCAGAATCCCTTTTCTTACCAGGAACACCACAGGAACACCAAAGCCAGGCTATGCTTCTGTGTGGCTGCGGCGCCCTCGGGACAGTGATCGGTTTTGCGGGGCCGAGGGCGGGAGCTGTTATTGGACATGGTGAACTGGTCGCTTTCCCCTTCAATCAGGCCCTCGAGAGACCTGGCCCAATCGATTGCCACTACGCCCGCGGCAATCATGCCCGGACTCACTATATCCATCACCAACGTGGTCGCCGTTGGCCTGTTGTTCAAATTGCCAGTAAGCCGGTTTGCCGCCGTTGCATTCCATTGACCGAGTTTCGGGTCCAGACGACAAACACGTTGGTGCCTTTCAGCAGTTGTTGCCAGCGGGCGATTTGCATCAGATAACAATATGTACTAACAGTAATTACGGTAACTGCATGCTTTCGTACCAATTCAAGACCGAAAAGTCCCTTTGAACAGTACGAACTTACGAAGAGTACCTACCTCAATCAATACACTTCTAGAGCAGGGCAGAGCATTTGCGGCGGTGGCGCCAACCCTAAATCTGGCTTGCAGTCGATGCCGATGAACAGCTGCTCGGATTTGAAGTGCTAATACATAGCAGTCGGAAAGCTCTTCGAGGATTGCCCTGCCTCAAGACAAAAAGGAAACAACCTGGAAAACATCATGATCTGTCATCCCAGGAACGCCAAGCAGATTGGTGCAGGCGCACACACAGGGCGCGAGCGTTAATTACACCGCCCAGTCGATGGTACGTACGAAGCAAGGTCGCCTCAAGCGACCGTCAAGAGTCGGAACATGGATGGAAAGGTTGCCCCGCTTACAGGCTGACTTTTGACGCGCTTAGGAAGTACCTTACCTTACCGTACGCTCGAGAATGGTACGTTAACTGGAGCCGCAAAGTCTGGAGACAGGACTCTGAAACACCAGGTTTTTCAGTTTCTCCGCTACGCGCCGAGCGAGCCAAGTTTCGATGGTCCTGACTCCCGAATGCTACCACCCTGTCGGAAATGAAGAGTTAGCTCAACCTTACCACTGTAGGTAGGTGCTGTATGCACATATACGGATCCATGTCCCGAGACACTGCACGCAATCAGCGACGCAGCATAGCTAAGCGACGTTGAGGCTCGGATCATCCCAATAACAAGCTCCAGGCGCATTGGCCCAATGAGGCTCTCCAGGTTCGCATCTACACGTGCAAGAGCATCGCAGTCTAGATGGAGTGTGGCAGGCAATTAATCAACATCACAAAGCATCGCAAAGCACCGAGCGGGATAGGTTGGGCAACCAAAGAAACAGGGGGAAGATCCGTCCCAGAATGGAAGAAACGGAGATCATCTGCTACGCCAGTTGTAAACCTGAAGAGGAAACGTTCCATTTTGAGCTGGACTTTCATGCCTGGCATGCCTCCTCTCGGTCATTTGCTGATTTTCAGAAAAGAAGGTGGCGAGGGGCTGCGGAAACGCATGAACTTCTGGATCCTGGGAGAGGCTTGGGCGTTGATCGCAGATCTCGTTCGCTTCAGTCCTCTCCTCCTCCTAGATGGGCCTCAGGGGGTCAGGTGACAATCCGACCCTTTCAAAACTGCTTGCCCGATACGTTGCAACGAGGAGGGTCGACTGGCCGGGAGCACCCACACCGTTTCGGCCGTCTGCTTACGGGGATCGACACGGTGATGCCGAAGCCAAAGCCACCGTCTCCGGCTTGTCCAACGCAAACCTCTGGGGGGATGCCACCCATGGCCCGGCCCCGGCCACACCACCGGAGCCGGCATTGTGGAGACGGTGTAACTTGTGCGGATCATCCACCGGGCCCGAATTGATTGCTGTAGAAACTACCTTATCTTTTCCTCTTGTCATCCTCTGTGACGCAGCCAAAGAACCTCCTTGTGAGTGATCTGTTCTAGGTAGTACTTCGTAGCTTGGATCGGGGTTTATATCGAAGCTAGCTAAAATGACTCTGATGCTCGTATTGATGACATTCAAGATCCGTCTTCTCCGGTAGCTTCGATGGCGGCCAGCCCGGTCAGTACCTTCTAGTTACTGCTTGGGTGTACGTCTAACCTTACTACTCTAGCGGCCGTGAGACTGAAGTAATGATCGGTGTAATAGCACCGGTGGATTGTGATGATGGTAGACAGAAGTTGAGTGAGAAATGATTCTCTTGACCCCTTCGTGAGTGGTCATATGAGTAAGGTACTTCGTACGTATGTACAGTTTCCATTGGCCATTGCCTTGCTAATTTGCAGCTGTATTACCTTGATGGCCCGGTCTCTTTGATGATGCTGTCTCTTGGAATGTCTTTCAAGCTTTCAAGCTATGCCCTAGGATTAGGATGATTTCGGTTGCTGTGCCTAATTAATCCGTATTTTTTGTTTCTTAGCGCGCTGCCTCGGTTCTTTCCCCTGCTGCAGTGGTTCTTGCACCACGCATGATTTCTACTGAGCCCAATTTCGTCGAATCAAGCGAGCAGTCTTTTCGGAAACATCCTGCAAGCACAACGCACAGCTGAGCAAGGTAAGCCACTGGTTCATCAGCCTCCCACTCATTCCATAGACTTCGAATCCCAACTCTTCCCTTTAGGCGCCGAATTGGGTTCAAACGACCTGCCTCTGCCAATCCAATCCCGACAGTGCATCGCCTAACCCCGCGCATCCACCCACGCGACGCTCTCCGACCACAAGCACGGTGGCACGCCTTTGCACCACAAAGAAAGAGTTTACGCCAGTGTCGGAAGGCCAACAGAGCGTGCTGCTGCATTACAAGGAGGGCACCTATCGGAGGACTAGAGGCCCCCGTGGTTTTTCTTAAGGGAGCTTGCCCATCTGCGCGAGACTTCGTCAACTCGAAACCACTTGCGCTTCTTGCACATCCTTCGCGACTGCGCCTCAGGTCCCGTCTCGACTACCGCACACGGCCCGAAACACCACGCAGCACTTATTTGTCCTGCTATGGTCTCTCAAGAACCCCCAGACGATTGAAACTTTGACATCGCGGTTGGAGCAAAATGGAACTAACAGACGGGACGACGTCCGTCGACGAGGGCCGTGACCGTGACCGACCCGACCGTGCCGAAGGCCTCACCATCGACACCCGGCTCTCCAGGGCTGAACGTACCCAGTCGATCCACGAACAAGATGAGGGCAATGCGATGGTTGAGCTTGCCTCAATCATGGCAGCGGCTTCAAACCCCGTGTCGCCGGGCCCATCAAGTCCGCCGTTGGAGCAGACGCGGATACAGGACTTCATCCCCCCAACGCGGCCGAGTAGCACACCCTTCCCACAACCAGAGCCACGCAGCAAAGAATTACGGTGCATCAGCTGTCCGGCCGACCGCTTCGTGGAATCGGATGATCCAGAACCCGCCGTACCGCCAACAATACAATCCCCTGGCACGAGCGATGTCGGTACGAGCCTCAGCGATCTCCCCGCCGAGATCCATGAGTGCATTCTTGACCATCTGTTCGGTTTCCGTGTATCTACCACATCCAAGAGTTCCATCACCCGCTGGGGGACCGCCCTTCGGCATCCGAGAAGGAAAGAACTGTCAGGCTTGTCTTTGGTGAGCCGAGCATGGAGGGTACTGGTGCAGGAGCGGTTGTATCGGCACATCAAACTGAGGGCCACGGTGGATTCATTACGAGAGTCTTTTTTCTACTTCGCCGAGCACCCCCATCTACGGTCCTACGTCAAGCATATCGAGGTTTGGTTCCCAGTCTTCCGCCCCAAATACGGTGTCATGTCGCTCTCCAGCGCCTGCACCGTCCCAGTGGTTACCTCCGACGGACTGACCACTGCATCCTATATGTTGCCCATGGATAACTGTTCCCTCGAAGAGACGTTTTACTTGGTAGCGGAATCCTTCCCTGAGGTGTGCGTCATGACTCTGGAAGGGGGAGAACGTAAAAAGGCGCCAAAAGTAAGGCATTGGATTCGCGACTCGAGCCGACGACCACGCATCATGCCAAAGGTTGAGTCTGTCCGCACACTCATTTGCAAGGGGCAATGGAATCTTATCCGAGGAGTGGACGACTTTGAAACCATCATGTCGGCGCTGCCCAACTTACAAGAGTGGCACGGGTCCTACAGTAAGCCCAAGTCAAAAAGCTATCTCACGATGGCCGACATACTTGTGAAACCTATGCGCTTGACGACTCTGGACTTGTGCATTGAAGGGGATTACCGCCGCGAGCTGTCGTTCCCGCCATACTTTTTGAAGGTGTCGAGCAAGCTGCACTTTTGCTCACGGCTGGCGATTGGGGCTGCCTCACCGTCATTGGAACGAATCTCGTATACTGGAAGAGTCTGCAAGCAGTTCTTTATTGATCTCATGCTTGCGCTCAAGGACCCTCGGCAGACGCGTTTGAGGGCCATCGACCTGACGGTGAAAAATTGCTGCCGCAAGGTGACGCACTGGAACGAATCAGGATCCGGCATCACGGATATGAATTTCATCAATGCGTTTGAGGAACTTGTCATTGCCGGCATCCGGGCATTGGGAAGGCTCAAGTCGGTCGAGTACCTGAGGATCCGCTACGTGGACCTCGGTAGGTCCCATCCCCTTTTCTCAAAACCAAAATCAGATTAGGGGCTGACGCAAAGACTCTGCAGACTCGCCCGTTCCTCCGCTCAATCCATACTTTCTCCTGCGCGACGGGTGGTGCTCGGGGGTTTGGAGCGACGCCATCATTGCCGAGCTGAACCGTGCCCGGCCAGACGTCCGCTTCGAGGAGCTCGCCGAGTCGTTTGGCGAGATCGGCTACAATAAGGACGGCCGCATGACCATCAGCCCCGAGTTCCCCAAGTCCCGAGCCCTGTCGCTCAAGCTATCCAACTACGCACTGCTGAGCGGGGGTATCTCGATTTCGTGAATGGGGATGAAAGCGTGGACCCGCTACTGGGACAACCAGTTCCCATCAGATTCCATGATACTGTTCATGGCCCGGCATCTCTGGCTACAAATTCAGCAAATCCATCAAAACACTTTCCCATCTCAACACTCAATTCTCTTTCCACGGGTGGCAGACATGGGGATTATTAAATAGATTGGGGGCGTTGCTGGGGTTTCAGTCCTTTACTGACTAGTACCCACCTGCGCAGCGCAGGTTCGACCGGATATCCCTTGCATCTGCTGGTCATTTTGAACTTTCTAAGAGGAAAACGGATGGGAGGGGGGCGTCTATCATTTTTGCGGGAGGGCGCATTGCGACATAGCGGGGACCGTGTGTGCGAGGTTGTGTCTTTGAAGTAGCTGATCTGTCTGTCTGTCTACCGGGAGGCGTGTAGAGCTTCTACCCTGTTCAGGATTGAGGAAGTCTGTGTAGGTATGCAGGGAGTGTAGTGCATGACGAGATAATGTTGGGTCGATTTCAAATCTTGGTTGAGAAAGCAACTGCACAAATATATGTACGTACGCAATCTAAACTCTAAATTCCACTGAGATCTCAAACAGACTGGCCTTGCACATCGTCGATGATGACGCCCAGAATCCAGCAGTTGACCAGGAAAAACCCCAGCGAGGCTAGCCACAGGCCTGGCAGGAAGGTGCTTCTCCCTAGAAACTCCAACTCATACCCCTGCTGTAGCCACGTACCCTGCGTAGCAACCCACAAGACGAGGGCGGTCATACCCCATCGCTTGTCCTGGAGGAAGGAGGACCGGGGGAGATACAAAGGCAGCAAAACCATGTACCAGAGGAAATACTGCCACAAAGTTAGTCTTTCACATGTTCCATGTGAGTGTGTCGTAGGGCAAGGGAGGATTTACCTGGCTGGTGCAGACCTTGTTGAAGGTGACAAAGGCAAAGGTCTGGGCGAGCATGGAGGCGGGCAGGTCCTTTTTTGCCAGGACCAGGGGCACCAGCACGCACGAGAGGGCCAGCTGGGGGAGGAAGGCGACTGACTCAACACGGAGTTTGCTGGTGCTAGGAAATGCTGAGGCTAGATAGAGCTGTGTATTGTAGGGGCTGAAGTTGTGCCTGTGGTCGATGCGGCTCACGTGGTGCAGGTAGGTGTGTGTTAGAAAAGGAGGGCCGTAGCTAAGTAGCATCTATCAGTCATGCTGGGAAGTCTGTTCAGGGTCGATGTAGTGTCTTACAGGATGAACATGACTGAGTTGAGGCCGAAAAAGGTTGCTAGGCTGATGGCGGCTAGCTGGATCCGAAATGGGTTGAAGAAGGCTATCAGATTGTTGAGCCATGGGCTCTTTGCAGTCGAGGGCCTGGTCTCCCCGGCGCCCATCCTCTCGCGGTCCATCCACCACACAATTGCTGGGGCGTAGATAAAGGGGTAGATCTTGAAATGCACCCCGAATCCCAGCAGCACACTGGCCAGGGTGATGCGCCTTGCCATGACGGCCCACAGCAGGGCCATGACCAGCACGCCCAGTAGACCCTCGGAACTGCCCCGCGTGCTGATGGTAGCCACCATGGGGTTCAGCAGCCAGATGGCTGCAGACTTGCGGGCTGTGGCGGCGTCCATGGACTGGGCCCGGACCAGGACACGCTCCAGCAGCCACCCGGCCACCAGATCGGCGACGGCAAAGAGGACCTTGCCCAGGCTGAACAGGGCGACATCCCATAGCGCATGTCCAGTCGTGCGGGCCGTGGGGAGCAGGAGCCAGGCCAGCACGGGCGTGTAGCGGTATGTTTCCCGCTCATAGGGGCTCTGGCCGCGAGACACGAAGCGGGCGGCATCGGTGAAAACGAGGTAGTCGATGTCGGTGTACTTGACTGCCGAGTTTGCATCCTGCCACAACCCGTAGAGGAGAAAAACTAGGCGAAGCAGGGCTGCCGAGAAGTAGAGTGGAAATGGCCGTTGGAAGAACGAGGTGAATCTCGAAGGCGCTGATGACGGAGCCTTGCTCCCAGCTGAGACCGTCGCCTTGTCCATCTTCGCCGGGGGGTTCTAGCCCCTAAGGGACCTTATTACTCCAAACCAGGTGTTCAACTTCTGGTTAGACGCGTTACCCTTTTTTGGAGCATTATGTTCTCAAATGGTCGATGTCGGCATGTTTTTGTTGTCTGGTCGATTACGGTTCTGTATTTCGGGCACCCTTCGCCAATTATAAGCCCCTTAGACAACCCGTAAAGCACTGTATCTACGCCACGGTGTCCACCTAGCTCAAGTTTGATGGCACTGTATGTAATTTACATACCAATCAGACTTCCTGACGTCAAAACCAAATGAACAACACGACAACGAACCACAACCGAGCAGCACCCAGAGCCGCAAGACGTCCAATCTTACAATGTCTGGACTCAAGCGCGATTGGACTGGAAGTGCAAAACAGCGAGATGGGCCGAAGCCTGTGCAGAAACAGGTTGCGAGGAATGCGTACACGCCCATGTTTGAGCAGCTCCGCAATGAACTAGACGAGCACCATGACCGTCGAGAGCGCATTGTCAAGGCCTCTAGGGACATTACGGGTCTGGCCAAGAAGATGTGAGATAGCCGAGAATTATGAGAGGCGGACGCCAAGCTGACGAGGTCCAGCATCTTCTCGTTACAACGGTATGAAAGCGCCGGATGCATTCTACCAAACTCCTGCGCTGCTTTAGTGAGATTGCAATAAACTCACATCAACCTCGTGTACTGCTAGCGTCCGACGCATTGAGGGCCAGCTACCCGCAAATATCCAAGCTGAGGTGGACTCCCGGCTGGCCGAGATCGCGAAGCTCCTAGCCACCCTCGCGCCCGAGATCCAAGGGATAAACCGCTACCGGTATGCTCGGTCGCTGATGTGTCTCGAGGAGCTCGTGGAAGCCCTCACATTCGCCCACTACCTCAAAACACAGACCCTCATAGGCTACGAGCAGCTCTCTCGCGTCGTTGAAGACCTCGCCAGGCAAGCCGCTGCTCCTCCTGCTCCTGCTCCGGGTACCGAGGACGAGGTCATGACAGATGTCCGGGACACGCCAGCAGCATCACCACCCGAAAAGCCCACGCAGCCCGCAGCACAGACTCCCTCTTCAACGCCCACCATTTCACTCACCCAAGATGATTACCTTTACGGCGTCTTTGATCTGACGGGCGAAATGATGCGCTTCGCAACCACGTCGACAGCGTTGACTGGCACCATGGCAGGAGGGGGCGGCGAGGGCGATGGCGGGGAGGACGATGACCCTCGCACGATTGTCCAGGACATGCATGAATTGGGCAGCTTCTTTGAGATGCTGCCCGTGGCCCCCGGGAACCGGTTCGCGTGGGAAAAGAAGCTGACCGTGACGCGTCAGTCGGTGCAAAAGGTCGAGAGGCTCGGCTACGATCGCATCATCCGCGGCAGTGAGCGGCCCAAGGGCTGGATCCCGGACCTGGCCGCCGGCGAGCGGGGTCAGGCTGAAGAGCTGGAGTAGCTGCCTGCTCAAAGGATTGACGGAGTATACAGGTAACTAGTTGCATCTGACAGGGTAGGACCATCCGGCCTGGTATACAGAGGTTCTACATGCGGAAGGGAGGGAAAATGTTGAAGGAGCAGACTAAAGCGTGCGGAGTTGTGTCTCGCTCAAGGAAAAGAAGGTCAATGGGGACCTCCAGTGATGGAAGCTAGAAGCTCACCTCCAGCCTTGACTGCTGGTGTATCTAAGGAGGTTTCTGTTTGCATATGCCACTCGGGTACATGAAAATGCCACCAGAACCAGTCAGTGCATCACGGGCTGTCAGATTGCCCTGAAGTTCCCTCTCGCCCGGGCAGACACTTGCAATGGGTGGGGCTATTGGGCAGCACTGCAAGGGGTTGGTGAAATCTTTGCTGCCTAAGGCTACCGCAGACTGCGGGGCAACCCTGAGAATCATAAAAATAAAAACCGAGCCAAAGATTTTCTGCTTTACCCCGCCAGGCCATCTCGAGGTTCCCTGAGAGCTGCCACGACACCAGAAATCATCCTCCATCTCCAAGACAGTTGCATCTCAAAAATAAAACTGAAAAATGGGCTTCACCGATCTCATCAGCGATGCCGGCCTTGCCGGTGAGTCCTCTCGAGTTTCGCGCCTTGTGCAATTTTCCCGCTTGCTAACCAACGCGACGCAGTGCTCAACAACTGGCTGCTCACCCGCTCCTACATCACTGGGTATGACTCTCTTCGGTTTTCCTCCCTTCACACACAAGATTTTGCCTCACCCTGATGATTCCCATGGTCCGTGTTGCTGAGCAGCCTCAAGACCTGCAAATGATTACACGCCCAGCGCTTCGGCGCACATCTGAACTCCTGTCTCTCCCGACCCCGCCTCAGCAATTTTCTCCTCTGCTACTTGTTCGCCTCAATCACATTCAAGCTGACCCTTACCCCACAATGGCACAGGTACTCCGCCTCGCAGGCCGATGTGGTGGTCTTCAAGGCGCTGAGCGCCGCGCCCGACGCCGAGAAGTACCCCAACGCGGCGCGCTGGTACAAGCACATTGCCTCGTACGAGGACGAGTTCCCCACGCTCCCCGGCGACGCCAGCAAGCCCTACACCGTGTACGGGCCCGAGGTGGCCGAGGTGACGCTGAACCCGGCCAAGGCGCCCGCGGCCGCTGCTGAGGAAGAAGAGGACGACGACCTCTTTGGCAGCGACGACGAGGAGGACGCCGAGGCCGAGCGCATCCGCGAGGAGCGCCTGGCCGAGTACCGCAAGAAGAAGGAGGGCAAGGTCAAGCCCGCCGCCAAGTCCATGGTCACGCTTGATGTCAAGCCTTGGGGTGCGTCATCTTATTCTCGTTTACCTTCGCCGGTTTATTGATGGGATCACAACACTGACAAATGCCACGCAGATGACGAGACTGACATGGTGGCCCTCGAGCAGTCCGTCCGCGGCATCGAGAAGGATGGTCTGGTTTGGGGTACCTCCAAGCTGGTGCCCGTTGGCTTCGGTATCAAGAAGTTCCAGATCAACCTGGTTGTCGAGGACGAGAAGGTTTCCCTGGATGAGCTGCAGGAGGAGATCCAGGGCTTCGAGGACTACGTCCAGTCGACAGATGTCGTTGCCATGATGAAGCTCTAAGAAGCTTTAGAATTGGGTGTATATACAGAGGGGGGGTAAGCTCCCTGGTATGGAAACCATAATGAATAACGACGTATGCTCGGCACAAGAGTGCATACTCCGAGTGCTTTTGAAGTAGCAATGTTCATGAGGTTCTGAATCTAGGGGCGCTTCACATTAGTGCATGGATAATGCGATCACAATGCATCGTATATCAGGAGAACTTATGCTCTCGTTGTCTACTGTGGTCTACTATGTGTGGGACATGGTTTACAACTCCTATGCTTGGAGAAACGTTGCGATCTATACACTACTCCTGTACATCTCCCTTGGCCCGCTTCCACTGATGACTACAGAGATGAGAATGCAGTATCTGGTCTCTTATAGGGTAGTTGAAGCAGAAATAAAAGACAAAACGCCATGCTTTGTTCGATGCACATCGCCCCCTGGATCCATTCGTCCCTCAACAATGTATGTGTCGGCAAGGAGTGAGAAAATGCAGCAGGCGGGTAGGCAAGTAAGGTAGGTCTGTGGCGTGTGTAGGCAAGTGAGGATAATGCTTACTTGCTTGCCTGCCTGCCTGCCTGCTTGCTGCTTCTAGCCGGGGTATACCCAGTCTCTGTAACGTCCCTCTCTCGTCATTCGCCCAATCCACCTCCCGGCCGTAGCTCTCTGTCCGCTCCTTTCAAACCTCCTCTCCATCAACTAGCCAACCAGCCAGCACAGCTGATCACCATCCTCCGTTCGTTTTGAAACCATCGTCCCGCATCAATCAGCTAACCGCGCAATGCACCATATCCATAATCCCGTATCCCGTATCCACATCCGCATCCGGATTCTATATCATCATAACCGAACCCCCCAGACGCCGCGCCCAGCGCTCACCCCGAGCCACTCGCCGTACTCCCCGCTCGACAGGTGCGGCACCCAGCCGAGGTTGCCCACCTCGTAGTCGCACTGCCAGCTGGCGACGGGACTCCTGGCGCTGTCACTGTTGGACGACGACGACGCGCCCGTCGCGGCGGCACCGTTCAAATTCGAGGAAGGCCCCGGCGGGTTGTTGCTGCCGAGCAGGTCCCAGATGAGCACCTGGCAGTCGTCGGCACCCGAGGCGAGGGTGCCGCGCCGGAGCGGAGACCACTCGACGCAGTTGAGCGACCCGCCGTGGCCCCGCAGCTCGAGCAGAGCCTGGCCCGGCTGCCGCACGTCCAGGATCCGGATGACGCTCGAGTCCTGCGCAAAGGTCGCCAGGAGGTTCTGGTCGTGCGGAGACGTGGCCAGCCGGAGGAGTGGCGGTGGGTGCGACATGGTCTGCTGCGCGAGGGTCGGGCTCATGCGGCCGCCGTTGGCGTCTGGGAGCAGGTGTTAGGTAAAGAGGGTTGGTAGGATGTTATGTCGGTCAAAATGGCTTACCTCTCTCCTCCTTGCCCGTGGGTTCGTAGATGATCGTGCTGTGCTCCAGGCTGCGGAGATCAAACATGCGAACACTGCCGTCCTGGCCGCAGCTCACAAAGACGTCCTGACTCTGGGCGCAGAATCGCACGTCGTAGACCTCCTTATCGTGGGCAATCAGTTGTGTCTTGGCCGTCAGGGAGGGAATGTCCCAGATGGTGCACGTGGTATCTATACTCGAGGTGATAATCAAGCTGGGCGTGACGGTGTTCCAGTCGAGGGACGTCAACGGGGCCGTGTGATCTGGCGTCTTGGAGTTGGACAAAAGGGCAAGCGGCGTCAGCTTTGTGATGGGCATATCGCGGCCGTTTCTCGAGGTTATCGACGAGCTGTGCGCATGGGTTTGAGGATCAGATGGAAGCGACCATAGGCGGAGGTGGTCGCCTGAGGTAGCGAGGAGGTCCGTAGATTGCTTTTGTTGTGACGGGGGCTCCCAAAGCAGACGCGTGACAGGATATGAGTGTGTCGCCTCTGCGATTTTTGTGAACTCCATGGTGTACTTGGATGTGCCGGGCGTGTAGACATCGGACGGCGTGGGAGATAGATGTGCATCGACGATTTGGATCTGACCGGATGTCGTGTTAGCAAGCTGAGCCGAGCGGGCGCTGGACAGATAGGGGTGCTCACAAAGTTGTGCCCATCTTCCAAGTAGCTTCCAATCGCCAGTTTACCAGCACTGTTTCCATGCGGAGCCCATTTACACCAGTCAAAAGCATAAAGAGCCCAAGGGGCCATGTAGTTGCTGGTGCGGGGCTGGGCAGCGGCCAGCTCGTATGCAGGCGTCCCTGGCAGGCCATCCGAGAGACTTGAGTCCGCGCGCGGTCGGATATCATTGAGTCCTAGCGGGGTGTTGGAGACATTGCGCTGAGAGCTCGAACCGGTATACTTTGATTCGGTTGGCGACATGAACTGGGAGGAGCTGTTGGTGCCACCAGGGGTCGTCGGCGTGTACGGCATATAGCCAGAACCCCCCTCGTAGGACGCCGAGGGGCTGGAACGCGAGTATGATGTATGAGACAAGCCCAATGAGCTCGGTTTTGACTGGGGCTGATGCGGTTGATACTCTGACTGTTGTATGGTGGGCAAGGTGGGCGCCGTGTTGGACGAGATTGCGGGAGGGCGCGAGCTCAGTCCGCCCGGTTGCAGCACATTCGGAACGCCGCCGGCGGGCTGATAGTTGGGCAGCTGCGGCAGGTTTGGAGACTGGTCGAGCTTGATGGGAGGCGGGCCTGTTGTCGAGTAGTCGCGGGGCGACATCTGCTGGCTCTGGTGGGATATGCCGGATGACATGTGCAGCTCCTCGGGATGCGACGAGTAGCCTCCCGTCCGCCGCGGCGGTTGGTACTGCGGTGGTTGGTTCATCCTGCGTGGGCTCGCCGGCGGAGAGAGCCGGGGGATTAAAGGCCGGGGGGTCAAGCGGGGGACGCTCTAGGTTCGGTGCGCGTGGGGAAAGGCGTTGTCGTTGATGAAGCGGGCGGGGTGTTGCGACAGGGGCTTCGACGACGACGGATTCTCGACGGATGCAGTCAGCGTCCGGTGGCTCAGGCGACACAAATGGTGCGATCGCCGTTTCCAGCCGCAGTGAGGCAGGCTGTCGGGCGCGAAAGCCCAAGAGCAGCAATGGCGGCTTTTGAAGGTGTGTGTGAAGAGGATCGGAATCAAGCAAGGGAAGAGGTAATGTTAGCGCTGAGCAACGTCTGGCAGCAATGGTTTGCTAGGCGGTTAGCTGGGCATCATCTGTTGCCAGGTGCCCAAGCTCGGAATCTAAGCGACGGGTTGCGAGTGGCGGCTGTATGGATATACAACTGTATCCGTGCTTCTCAAGTACCTACAAGGAATACCCGTACCTTTTGAGTTATAAGTTGATGTACAATCCTAAATTCTCACGCAAATTACTATGGATATGTAATGTAGTTCAGTTGTATACATCTCACAATCTCTTCAACACTAAGTACCTCTTAATCTTGAGGAGAGGCGGCAATAGCAACTTCATATTCGTGAAGTATTTTGACTAGGGGAATTCACGGAGTGCCCCACCTCCCAACGCATCTGGTCACCTTTCAGGCTCAACTCATTCGCACCTGATGCAAGTCATCCCCAGGTCATATCCTCATCGAAGTTATAAACGACGACAGTGCTCAGCGTAAAACGCCAAACCATCCCCGCCCTTTTTCTCCTGGCTGGCCACTGCGGCGAACGGAATATCGAACTATTTCCTACATTTCCCTGACCCAAATCCAACGTTAACCTATATTCTAGCTCCCTAGCCTCCCTATCTTCCTCATTCCGAAAGACACCACGACTACTCCGTACTTGACACTGACTGCCTTTTGACTCTTCTTTTGTCTCTACAAGACCATGGGACGGGACGATTTGCCGTCGCTTCTGTTACTCCCATACCCTCCCGAGCCTTCAAGCCAATCCCTCCTCAACGTTGCCTATCGGCCCTCCATCACGGCGGCGCTTTCGAAATTGAAACGGCCAACAAAGGCGTCAAAGCTCATCATTGCTGTCGCTTGCCCCATCTTGCACGGCCAGTTTCTCCGCTCCAAGACCCTCTCATGGCCGGAAGCGCAGGCGCTGGTCGCCGGTGTCTATGGCGTTGTCTCAGTCGTCTGTTCTCAGCTCTCCATCAACACCGAGGTTGACGGTGGGCCCGGCTCCGTGGATGCAACCGTCATTTTAATCGACCATGATCGCAAGAGGCGCTTTACTCCCGATTTGCGTCCCGCCATTGAGCCAAACAACACCGTCGTGGTAGACATGGCAACATTCGCCTCTGCGTACTATCCCTGGGACTACGTCTTCCATGTGCGGACCGAACTCGGACTCGAGGTGTATCAAACCTACCTCAGGTTTGCCGAAGGAAAGCAGACGCTTCTGCAGGAGCAGCTCATACCGGTCGAAGGCGGACTGACTTTGAATGTTGCGCAAGGCGATTCCCCAAGATCGGCAACGCAGACGTCCAACTACCCGGTCGTCTGCCTCGGCGGAACGTTCGATTATCTCCATCCAGGCCATAAGTTGCTGTTAACGGCAGGCGCGCTCTTACTGCAAGTGCCACGGAAGGGGGATTCTTCACAGCCATGCCACTACATAATTGGCATAACAGGCGACGAGATGTTGAGAAATAAAAAGTTTGCCGAATATGTCCAGCCATGGGAGCAGCGGGCGCAGAACGTTATACTATTCTTGTCTTGCCTTCTTGAGCTGTCACATCGCGGATGGAAAGACGGCACAGGACCGAAGATTGATGCGCAAGACGGCGATTTTCGGACCTCTTTTCGAGAAGGCACAATCCAAGTTCAGTGCGTGCGGATCCACGATCCTTTTGGCCCGACCATCACGCTTGAGGATATCGATGCTCTGGTCGTATCGGGTGAGACGAGATCGGGTGGGCGAGCCGTCAATGAGAAGCGAGCCGAACGGGGCTGGGCCGCACTCGAGGTTTTTGAGGTTGATGTGCTCGACGCAGGGGAAATCTCGGATGAGCCCAGCAAGACGGAAAATTTTGCTTCCAAGATTAGTAGCACTGCGATCCGGCAACAGAGGGCGCATGCAAGGGCATTTACGAAGATATGACGAGTTTTGAAGGGACCATGTGCTCGAAGAATCAAACATGTTGTGGTTTGAACCTACTAGCCCTCTGTTTCTGCCTTACGGTGACACTATGTAAGTCCAATAACGTTCCCTTTGCAATAATGTCTCCTGACCACATGTAGCCGCCCCCGGGAGCACACCCGAGCAGGGAGGATGAAATAGGGAAGTAGACAAAAGTGTGTGGAATATCAAAGAAGTCGAGCCGACCATCTGAGAAACCGAGGGCCAAGGCCCGGGCAACAGCTTGGGACAAGGAACGCTATCTGACCAGAGGCGATTCGAGAATTCGTCTCAACGCCTGGAAGTGTAGGTAGCAGCTCCTGTTGGACACTCGCAGCAGTATACTTGCGTATAGACCTGATTAAGGTAGTTCATCCACCCCAGGTCCCCAGCCACCATCCCCTCCCTGGCGCTTCCTCCACCTGTTCCACCGGGCTCCAAAGAGATTTTCCAAAGAAACTTGTTGATCTACTAACAAGATTAGTCAGTCTCGTCAGTTCAGCAAACCGATAGCATGACCAACTATTCACCTCCACAAACTCCATTGCAGTACTACGTTGCTGACGAGTAATGTATCCTTCGCCGCGATTCACTCCACCTATAATCCCACCCATTATACCTTCAGGTCCCTCATGCAAGGTACGTAATAAGCTATTTCCGTTGTGATTTTTCCACAGTCTCAAGTATCTGATTTTTGTTTTGTCTTTAGCTATTGGTGGTGTTATATGGATTCGTAAGACCCGTTATCCGGCTGGGGCGGATCAATTCCACGCAGCGGTTACATCATGTGGTTCTGAGACTACACCGCTCATCTTAACCACGAACGGCACGGTAAACTACCTCTAGAATGGGTACAATGATCCCGATGGACCCAATCCCTGCAGTGGGCTCCTTCAGGGCTTCACCTCGCGTGACCTCGATATTGACTGGGGTTATTTTTGCCCATTGCCCGAGATCTCATGTATGCCTGACCTAGAACAGGAATACAACAAGTCTTCAAGTTGACTGAGCTGTTCCGACCTTCCGAAACATTATCCCCCTTTTCAGCCAGCGGAACTTCCCAAGGGTCACGCGACATCTGCTCTTAGCAAGTGCTACAATCATGGCTCGCGTTGAAGCTTTGGATCAGCCTTTTGACTACATCGTCGTGGGCGGTGGCACTGCAGGCCTGGTAGTTGCTAACCGCCTCAGCGGAGATCGTGATGTCCGCGTCCTCGTCGTCGAGGCTGGCGTCGATCACTCCGTTGACCCGCTTGTTCGAGTCCCCGGCCTGGTCGCTGGCCTATACGGCAAGGACGAGTACGACTGGAATTTTTGCTCGCCTCCTCAGGTCAGTTGCCCGTGTATCTTTAAGCTATGTCACAGGGGAGTCGGGGGCTACCGTGGTGATACTATGCAGTGGTATAGACTCGACTGACAGATGCCAACTTTATAAGCCCACCTTGAACAACCGGCGAATCAACCAGTCTCGCGGCAAGATGCTTGGTGGCAGCTCCGCCCTCAACTTCATGATGCTGGTCTACCCATCTAAGGGCAATATTGATTCCTGGGCAGCCCTTGGCAACGCGGGTTGGGACTTTAGTTCCCTGGCCCCTTACTTCCGCAAGTTTGCCACTGTCCACGCACCTTCTCAGATGGCCCGGGACGTGGTTGGCCTGACCTACCACAACGAGAGCCTAGCAAACGGCGCCGGGCCCATCCACGTCTCGTTCAGCGAGGGCTATGGTTCCACTAACAAGGCTTGGATGAAGACGTTTGCCGATCTCGGTCTTGACGTCTCGACCGACCCGCGCGAGGGCCAGGCGCTGGGGGCGTTCCAGCAGCCCGCCTCCATCGACCCGGCAACGAAGACAAGAAGCGACGCTGCTAGCGGCTACTATAGCCCAGATGTTGCCAGGAGAACCAACCTGGTGGTGTTAACTGAGGCCGTGGTAAGCAAGGTCATTTTCGACACGACAGGCGGCTCAGATGCAGTGGCCACTGGGGTCGAAATCATCACCAAAGACGGGCAAAAGAAGGAAATCTCGGCCAGAACTGAAGTTATTCTAGCGGCCGGTGCACTGCAGACGCCTCAGATCCTCGAGCTGTCTGGCGTGGGTGGCCGGGACCTGCTGGAAAAGCACGGCATTCCCGTGGTTGTCGACAACCCCAACGTGGGCGAGCACATGCAAGACCACCCTGTCGTCTGCCAGAGCTTTGAAGTGGCCGAGGGCACGCCTTCTGGTGACGTACTGCGCGACCCGGCCGTCTTGAAGGCACTTCTCGATATGTACCAGGCATCGGGCGACGGGCCAATGGGCCAGAGCAACATCAGCATCGCCTACACGCCTCTTGTCGATGGCTCGGGTGTTGTCTCGCCCGAAGCCATTAAGGAGTTGCTTGCCCAACACGAATGCTCGCTCACTACGCCCGCCGCTAAGGCCGTCCGGAGGCTGCTTGAGTCTCCCGACGAGGTGACCTTCCAGTACCTATTGTTTCCCTCGCAGATCCACATCCCGGACACGCCCAAGAGCATGGCCGATTACATCCTCCCCGTGCTTCCCGAGAACTACATCACAGTCATGACCATCCTCAACCAGCCCTTCTCGCGCGGCAGCGTGCACATTACGAGCGGGGACGTGGCGGCCAAGCCCGTGTGGAAGCCCAACTACAACGCCCACCCGCTCGACATGGAGCTGCTCGCACGCGGCGTACAGTTTGTCGAGCGCCTCGTGGCGCCCTCGACGCCGCTCGGCGGGCTGCTCAAGGCGGGTGGCAAGCGGCTGCCGGAAATTTCAGGGGCTGGCTTGGACGAGGCCAAGGAGATTGTCCGTCGCCGTCAGATCTCCATCTTTCACGTCTCAGGCAGCTGCGCCATGCTGCCGCGTGAGCAAGGAGGCGTCGTTGACGAGCGCCTGCGCGTCTATGGCACCAAGAGGCTCCGCGTTGTTGATGCCAGCATATTTCCCTTGGAGCCCGTGGGAAATATCCAGAGCACCGTGTACGCGGTTGCTGAGAGGGCAGCGGATTTGATTAAGCAGGACCGGGCTGAAGTATGACGTGAAACTGAAAGACAGACAAAGCATGTAATGAAAAAAGGCCTTTCCTTGGGGGCTTGTTACTGCCTAAGCTATGTGCATCTGCCTCCTATATGTACTTTATTTACGTGATCACGATTGTCATAATGCACTCACTGCCAAGGTATATTATATAGGCCATCTTTCTCTCCTGTCATGGATCATGATGTGATGTATTGCAATACACGGAGAAGATGAAAATGGTGGATAGTAATGAGTTAAGCTCCCTGGAGCCGTTGGGAGTATAAGTAGGTAGGAAGAAAGTAGGTAAATTGTACCTCGAGGTAACAAAAGGAAGAATAGGAGCTTGAGATACTATATATATATAAAAGAGAGCTTTGCTATAGTGTTAGGGGTAGTTAGGGATCTCTAACAGGGGGTAAGAGAGAGCCCTACTAATAGTCCCTAGAACTTAACATGATGCTTACCCCTAAAGTGCCTTACCGGCAGCACCAACTGAATCCGAGTTCACGTACTATATAATGCCCAACAATGGTTTAGTCTCTGTGAATCTTGGAGGCCTTCCACCCCTAAAGACTTCAACTCGAGACGAGATTCACTGCACCTGGTCAAGACTATAAATGGCAATTGAGGCGATCCACGGTCTTCTATCTCACCAAGGCACTCATTGTTCACGTCTGATGGCTATGTGCGAAGGGACCCTGGTTGATAAGCCTCGTCACACGCTGCAGAACCTTTGTAGTATTGGGTGTAAGAAGTACACTGCTAGTTCATACTTTATAGTCCATCTACTAGTACTATAATAGAAACAAACACACAGCCTAACCTAAGATGTCCCGACATAAAGGAACCGGGACGCGAGCCAACAGCCCAGCTAACGTGGTCAAGCATTACTAGGTAAGTGCTGCGGCGGGCTTAATACTTCCATGACTGCCAGTAACCGTCGACATCAAGCTGTCTCTGTCGACATGTCTAGCCGGCTCGTGAAAAGTCCGGAACAACCATTCGTCGAAGCGTCTCAAGAAAGGACCCTCGAACGCTTCGAAAGGACCCGCGTACCTTAGGTGTATAATGGCCTGGCAATTCCTGCTTTATGGTCATGATTCTCGCTTGTCAAGCAACCCATCGCGAAGCAGTTCAACTTTCAAAACAACAATCTCAAGAACCAGTTCAACTTTCAAGACAAAAGTCCCAAGAACCGACAGCTCACCCTGTTAGCATACAGCATCTGGTAAGCACCAACTCGATTTCCCTTGTTTTTTGTCCGCTTAACACTATTAGGTGCCTTTTGGCTAACAAAGATTGGAGTAGGTTTCGGCTACAGAATATATCCACGAGCTACCCACTGGCTTGCGCACATCATGGATGCCAGTGATAAACACTGGGTTTGCGTAAGTACTGCCATGCCGGGCTTAACTGCTGGACAAATATTGACTTACACTGACGGCCGAGAAAGTGTCAATGCTTGGGAGCGTGGTATACGGTTGAACTCAACACACACTGCCCGCAGCCGATGTGTGACCATCCAAGGTGCAAGAAGTGCCGAGTCGTCAAACTTCCGCGCCCTAAAGAACCAAGCGGGCCCTGGGGATGGCACGTTCCTCAATGAAGCCGAAGCTTAATATATGGATGCTTCGCATGTTGGGGTGGCCTTGGGGAATCGAGGATGAGGTTGTCTTTGACGGGAGTCCTGCATCACTCAAGACTTAACCAAAGGCAGTGAAGGCACTCAACCTGTCTGCCCTCTCTCCTTTTTCTGTTCGCCTCATTCTACCACTCCTGTCACTGGTCAGTTTCCTTATTGATACCAGTAGCAAAGCATAGCCTAGATACTAGTGCCTGAATCTAGTACGGTGTCACGGTATAACTTGATGCTGCTGCAGTCCTTCCCAGTTCAGAATAGGTACATGTAGCGTTCTAACTTCTAGGTTCTCTGACAAGCTGTAACTTCCACTGTTGATTGTGACTACATGTAATGGTCCCAAACACCCAGGTTTTGGTCTGGGTTCTTAGCTTTCCCGATCCAGACCTCCCTTTTTCAATGACTGCTCCTCGATGCTACTCTGTATGTAGGGCCTAACCCCTTAGCTACCTAAGGTACCTTACCTTAGAGGAAAATAAGAGTCTACCTTGAGCCTCGCAAGTTGTTACAGCAATTAGCTTTTTGTCAACTATCTAGTCTCACCGGCTAGCCCTTGAGTTTTATGCAGATTCGTGTCTTGTGCTAGGAGCCTAGGACTCAGGAGAGCACACCTCCCAGGCTCCCATGGACCATCCCAATTCGGCAGCGCCTAGTAAAACTCAGGTGAGACTGGAATTTAATGGTAGGGCCCGTACTGCTGTCGCGCTCTCATATCATTTCTAGCGCCCTACAAGGCCTACATACTTCAAGTTGCGGCTCCTTCATAGCAATGGAAGATAATTACCTAGGGAACCGCCCGGTTAGGCATTTTCTGAGCAAAATTGCTTCTTAGGAGTTGTTTTGAAAGCTCTCAAAACACACTTAATCCTCTGTGGCGCAATTGGTTAGCGCGTCTGACTGTTAATCAGGAGGTTGGAAGTTCGAGCCTTCCCGGAGGAGTTTATTTTTGTCAATTTCTAATCACTTCTGTCTTTTTTGCTCACTCCTGGTCTTTAATTCCGGGGCAATTCCACCATTTCCCAATGTTCCATGTCAACAACATGGACTTGGCGGTATGTCAGCCTTGCTAGCCGCTAAAACCACCAAAAGGGTTAGTAATACTATCTTCAAACCCCTTTCTCAACGGACGGCGCCTTGACTCCAAGCAGCTTCTCAGCATTCTCATACGCGATAGCCCGGAGCTGCTCGTCACCGACAAGGCCGCTCTCTTGAAGCTCCCTAACCCACTCCAGCCCAATCTCATTCTTCTGGAACGGATAGTCGACACTATACAGGATGTGGTCAATCTTCGTGTTCGCCAGGATGCACCGCATCGGATCCAGGCTCCAGACGCCACTCGTGGTGATCCAGATATTCTCGTCATAGACGGTCCTAAAATCCCGCTGAAAGTCACCCCAGCGCCGACTCAGCGCCTCGATGCGCTGCAGCATGAACGGAAGCATCTCGCCCATATGCCCAATAATGACCTTGAGCCGGGGGCGCCGATCAAAAAGCCCTGAGGCGAACAGCCGGAGCACGTGCAGGGCGGTATCGGCGTGCCAGCCGAACCCGCTCGAGCCCAGGCTGACTGCCGCGGCCTCGGAGAAGTTGCCGCGGAACCGCGCCGTCGCCGAGTCGTCGTCCCCCGGCCACGTCGGGTGCAGGTACACGGGCACGCCCAGCTCCTCGGCGGCCGCCCAGAACGTCGACTCGTACTCGGCCCCGTCATAGAAGCGGTTGCCCCCGCCGCAGTGGTTGTCTATCAGCGCCCCGACGAACCCCAGCTCGGTGACGGCACGCCGCAGCTCCGCCGCCGCCTCGTCGGGTTGCTGCATGGGCAGGACCGCGAAGCCGGCGAAGCGGGAGGAGGGGGGTTTGCGACCGGGACGATCGGTTGCGCCATCCGAGGCATCCTCTTTCTGAGATGAGGCTGCGCGACGTTCCTCGGCTTGGATGGCCGAAAAGAGCTGATCGTTTGCGGCGCGGCACGCCGAGGCGTCATACGAACACAGGCCGGGGACGTGGCTGATCACCTGGAGAGAGACGCCGCCGGCATCCATGTCTTGCCGCCGGAGTTGGCCCATGTCGGTCAACTTGGCGTAGACCGAGTCGACATGTTTGAACTGTTCCGAGTAGCTCGCCTTGAGGGAGTCAGGGGCTCTGGTCGAGAAGAAGTGCTCCTCTAGGGCGATCAAGGGAGGAAGCATTGTGCTGACTGCTCTGCCTGAGATCGGGAACGTAATATGGGATGTTTGGGCTACTTCTGAGGAAGATCATGTCTTGGAGGAGATGTCCGGAGTTCCCGGACTAACCCCAACTTTCATGTTGTCCTCGACTCCTTCGAGCGCAGTGTAACTGTGTAAGTGAATTGTAGGTGTGAGGGTTAGGGTTGAACTCAGGAGAAATGAAACCCAGTGGTGCCACGTGATCGCGCCAAGGAATCCAAAAGTCACTTTTGATGATTTGATCCTCTCAATTCCTGCCGCAGCCGACCGACTGCCGGAGCGACGACAGCTCAATCGCACCAGCGACTAAGTCCACCTCCCGCTCTCGCAAGATGACAATGGCGAGAGTATCACTTATAGCGCAGGCCGCGCGGTCGGCCGCATCAGCAACCAAGTCGCTTTCGTCTTCAATGCGCGCTCTGACCCTCTCGTCGCAGCCCACTCTGTTCTCAGCTCAGACACAGACACGATCCCTCTCCCAAACCGTGCTGTCCGCGCGGACAACACGGCTTTCAGAATATGGGCAAACGACAAAATCCGCCGTTAGCTCATGCAGCTTGATCGGCACCCCGGTCTTCCAAAAGCAACAAACGAGGGGGATGAAGGTTCGCAGCTCCATCAAGAAGCGGTGCGAGCATTGCAAGGTAAGAGGTTACGCGAGATACGATTGTGCGGTTTCGTGGGCGCTGGGCTGATGATTTCCTTGTTTGTTCGTTTGGCAGGTTGTACGGCGAAAAGCCAACAAGCGACACTCGGGCTACCGGTACATAATATGCTCGGCCAACCCAAGGCATAAGCAACGCCAAGGATAGATATGGAAGCGAAGGCATCTCCCGACGAAACAGTTCTTTTGCTTCCAAGCGCAGACGGGGCGTTCTGTACGATATGTACAAGAGGATGGGATATACAGCTCGGTTGGGTCGTCCAACCATGATAGATGACTTGCGCCTGTGGAAGGCGTCAAGGGGCAGCCTACGTTGCGTAGGTGAGGGATTGGCAGTCCGGCACGGATCGGGCCATCCTTCATTCGTTCACAATCCATTAATGTACCTCTCCATGCTCTCCCATTCTGTCTTGCCCGTCGAGAGGAGATACCGGATGTGGTTCTTGATCTGTGTGTTAGTATCAAACAGGGGACTCAGGGAGAGCTGCGAATGATGAGACGAACAATGTCGGTGACCCCACGGTGCCTCTCGAATTCCTCCCTCGCAAACCTCCTTGTCTCAGCACGGGTCGTAGGGTCTGCGATCTGGCGAGTGCCACGGAGAATGGTTCTATAGAAGGCAAGCACCCGTGACCGCTGGATGAACTAGGGTTCGCAGGCTGGTTAAGATGGATCAGAGCGCCGACACCCCAGAAAATACGTACATGGTCGAGGCTCAGCGCAGGGCCGAGGCGAGAGTGCGGGCCTGTCGCATAAGTGCGAAAGGGCAACCGCACGAGGGGTGGAAGGGAGCGCATTAATCGGGCTGGAATCGGAGAGAAAGAATCAAGGCAACATTGGCGCCGCCGAGTCTCCTATGCCCGCAAGAATCGATTTTTGGGTCCGACAGGAGCTAGGGGGTAAAATATGGTTTCTGCCTTTCTGCAGTTTCGGGGGGGTTTACCATGGGATCCACGTCGTGGTTTCCAGAAATATTTCGGCTGGCAAAGACACGGCAGCAGCTGCGAAACGTCATTCTAGGCCCCCACATTGAGAATCGCGCCAAGCCTCGAAGATAGAGCGCGACACGCGTTGCCACTCCCTTCGCGTCGCTGACTTGAGTCTAACAGAAGATCGATATAAACCGAATCAATAAAGCTGATTTAGGGCAAGGTCCGCAGTTAAACCCGAGTGACTCGATGTACCTCTGCCGCTACGGGCTAATGACTTCGCAAGTGATTCGGCACAGCCAACAAGGGAAGGGACCTCAGTGACGCAAAGCAAAGCCACATGCAACTCCACCCAGTAACGCCATAAGTCAGATAAAGCCACCCTGAGCTTTCTTGACCCCCGGCGCGACTCCTGAAGATCTGAACATCTGAGCAATAGGAAATGAGGACGAAACGGGCGCGTGCGCCGACAAGCCCGCTAGATGTTGCGAACCGCAAATCTGATGATCACTTCATTGCCGACTACCTACAACCGAGGTTGGTTCTTGTTCTCTCTGTTCATTGCAATGAAAGCACATCTACGACATCCCATACAACCAAGGTAGAACTAACCCGACATATGGTCTGGTTGTATCAGTACAGAGGGATCCTCTTGGGTAACATGCTGGACGCATCCAGGCACGGGGGTTGAGTACAGTATCAGCCTCACACGCTCTGATCTTCTCAGCGAGGATGAAATGCAGGCGTGCTTCCGGTTGATCGAACAGACAAGCCGAAAAGACTATGAGGCCTCGGCCGGGAAGTGGCACCCGCAAAAGAAGCTCAAGGAGATGAGGTCAGTCGAACTGCGGTACATCTTGGTCAAGGAGAAAGGCAGTGGGACCATCCGGGGCTTTACCTCGTTGATGCCAACCTACGAGGAGGGCGAACCCGTTATTTACTGCTACGAAATACACCTTCAACCAGAGCTTCAAGGGTGCGAGCTCACGCCAATATCCTTCCCCTTCTCGTAGTCAGAAGGTTGCTAATTAACATTGCAGGACCGGGCTGGGCTCACTGCTTATGGGATTTCACGAGACCATCGCCACAAATCTGCCCCCTATCACAAAGGTCGTGTTAACCTGCTTCCTGTCCAACCAACGTGCACTGGATTTCTACAGAAAAATGGGCTTCGAAAAGGACAGCATTTCTCCTGGCTCCAGAAAGCTCCGTTCTGGGAAGACATTTACTCCGGATTATGTCATCATGAGCAAGACGGTTAGGCCTCAGGGCTCAGGCTGATATTCCTGAAAGCCGATGCCCTAGTCGCTTTACGCTCCAAATACATATGAACAAATGTCGGGTTCAGATGACGGAGTGAACGCCCATCATTCCGACCCGACAAGGGGCGCTCGTTATCCTATGCGACAAAAGTGAGAGAAACCAGGCCCATCAACAACATATAAGACGGCGAGTAAACAATACACATTACCGATACTTGACTGGCCGTTTATGGTTGAGGAACTTCTTGTTAACTACATGGCGATCTGAACTACGAAAGCCATAGAAATTAGTTGTGATCGTGTGGCACTCTGACCGTACATAGGGGGTTAGTTACCGCAGAGGATAGGCAGACCGAAAGGGAATCATTGAGCTCCTTCGCACTCACATGCATAAGCTAGGGCTTCCAAGCAGAAAATTCCTCAGTGAGGAGTATGCACAAGCAAGAAGATGCAGAGAAATAAGACTGAAATCGCATATCAGAGCACGAGTCATCTGTTGGTTCCCTGGAGTAGGTTGTGAATCACCCAGAGCTGGGTGTGGCGGTTGATAGATCACAAGACAGTCAAATTCAATCAATCTTGCGGGTTTAGCTCAGTTGGGAGAGCGTCAGACTGAAGTCAAACTTCAATCCATCTATCTGAAGGTCGTGTGTTCGATCCACACAAACCGCACTATTTATCCGCCCTCAATGGGCAGCTTCATTTTTTGCAGATGCCAGCACATGGCATTATCTGTGGTATTAGCTGATTACTCTCTATACACCAAGTGACCAAATAAAGAATTGGTGTCTAACGGTAGGCCCCTCCCCTCTATTGATTGTGAACCGGTCCTCCCCTGAGCCAGACACCCTTCACCATGGGCGATTGACCTGCCTCCTCCTTATCCTAACGGGGATCTTCCTGTCCGGCGTCGTGGCACCCGTTGGGAAGGAGCTCAAGTCCGGTTTGGCGTTGCGAGTCGAGACGGGATCCGTCAGCTCAATCTCAAACTCGCGCAGTATGACGGCCACAGCGGCCATCATCTCCTGCTTGGCAAAGTGCCGCCCAGGACAGATCCGGGGCCCTCCGCCGTAAGGGAAGAAATACCCTTGCAAGGCGGCCGTGTGGTTGACAATCTTTGCCCGCTTGTCGTCCTGCGGCGTTTTCCGCTGCTGCGCCGGCTTTTGCGACGCCGGCTTTTGCGACGCCGACGAACGGTAGATGGCCTCGTCGGGCTTGCGCACCGGCCCGCTGGCCAGATCGTCCGGGTACTCGAGGAAGCGCTCCGCCCAGAAACTGTCGACGGGGTGCTCGGGCTTGCCGTTGGGAAGGACGCGGCCCGTGTTCCAAAAGTCCCGGTCGCGCGCCCCAAACCAGCTGATGGACAGCATCAGCGCGTCGCGCGGCACCTTCCACCCGCCGAGCAGCTCAAAGTCGGGCGTGACGGGGTTGCGGGCCGACGTGGTGGCGACGCTGTACCGCAGCGACTCGAGGTAGATGCCGTTCAGGAGCGGCCGGCTACACAGCGCCGGCACGTCGAACGCGCCTGTCTCCTTGTTATAACACTCGCGCACCTCGGCCAGCGCCCGCTCCGTGAGGTCCCGGTCCAGCAACACGTTGAGCAGTGCCCAGCCCGTTGCCGGGATCACGTTGGCGTTGGCGGCCCAGAGCAGCCCAAGGTCCATGCTGGCGGCGCCGTCGGGCGACGCGCCGGCATCGTCAAACATGCGAGCGCGCGCGCGCAGGAGACGGGCGCCCCAGACGGGCTCATATTCGACATCGGCGAGAGCCGGGTCCGCTGGGTCAACCTGCTCCCTGGCATATGCACGCCACCGCTTGACCGATGCCAGCACCTTGTCGCGGATGGCGTAGGCTTGGGGCGCCATCCAGCGCGGCGTCCGGCGCAAGTAGGTAATGGCGTGGCGGTCAAAGTCCCAGAACTGGGCGGCAAAGTCTGGGCACAGCTCAAAGATGCGCTCGCCGACCAACGCGGTGCAGGCGGCGTGGAACATCTCGTTGCGCAGGAAGCCGAACAGGTCCGGCAGCTCGGTCCACTCGTCCCCGACCAGCGGCGTCGTACGCAGCCGGGCCGTGTAGGTGGCGATGAAGCGCGTGGTCATGCCGTCTAGCGAAGCCCCGTTCAGAAAGTTGTGGAGGTCGCGGTGCTGGTTGTGGAAGATGCGGTGTTCGGGGGGCATGTGCTCCCAGCCCGGGAGCGGCTTCGGGTTGCCGCCGGAGCCGTCGCGCTCAAAGATGGCAAGGTCCTCGGGCGGCATGCCAAACTGGTCGCGCATGGCGACTATGATGATGGGCTTGGACGACAAGTCGCGGTGCTTGAACATGGCCTGCACCGGCTCTCCGTAGGGGATGTAGTACATCTTCTCCAGCCCGACCTTGAGGGTGAAGGGCACGTCTTTGAAGCGTCTCCTATACACAACCAGTCAGCCGGTGCGCAGAGTGGTTGGCGGGTCCTAGCAGCTCAACTTACAGCGTCCGGGTCAGAAACCCTTCAGTGTCGTAGGCGAACTGGAGCGTATTGCCCACGATGGGCACGGCATAGGGCACCTGCGGGGGCTCAGCGGATTTGTTGCCGGCATTTCGAATCCAGCTGGCCTTGAGGTATGTGAGGGCGTATGTGAGAACGAGCGGCAGCAACACAATCGCGGTCGCGGCGGTGAGGCGTCCGTCCCACCAGGATAACCATGAAAGCCCGCTGCCGAGCAGCGACTCAAGCGCCATGCTATATTTTGTCCCTCCTAACCTCAGCAATTGACCTGCCTAGTGAGATCCCAGAAACATGGGGCTTTGAGATTTTCTGTTGAGATCAGCATCACAACTGAAGGATTCGCGCTAAACACTGCGCCACACCTGTTGTATCGCACAATCGCAACAGAAGCCGTTAAGTGTGGCTTGCACCATTGAAACAAAACCATACCTGACCCCAGCAAGCATCGGCTCGACTTTGAGCTTGATCGGGCAGAGGAGGATACGCACTTCGAGGCTCAAGGGGCTTTACAGCTTGAGAAGGGTATCCAGCATCAACTCGGAGATGCAAAAAGGAAGTGAAGACAAATATGTGATTTACACCTGCCCGCTGTAGTATATGACGCATCAAAAAGTACGAAGTATATCTCCGGAAAATCACACCACAACGCCGCCAAGTATTCCACAACAAACAGTCTTCCATCCTCTATGCATAGGACTACTCCCTCTTCTTCTCCTCCCCCCGCTTCGCCATCTCCCTCCTTCTCTTGCTCCACGCCTTGAGCTCATTGATGAGCCCCAGGACCAAGGGCACGGCGACGGGGCCCAGCAGGGGGAGATAGACGGCGATCTTGTGCTCGTCCGGAAAATACAGCTGCCCGACCATGCTCTTCTCAAAGAAAGCCCGCTCGGCCTCGGCCTCGGCGATGCGCGCGTGCGCCAGGCCCTCGGCGCCCCCCAGCGTTTCGCACGCTAGCCGCAGGTGCGCCATGGTCTTGGCCACGCCGTCGGCGACGCTGCGCGGAATCGAGATGGACGGCAGCGCCAGCGCCAGCCGCGCGAGCGAGCCCAGCGTCGACGACGCCCGCAGAAGCAGGTCCGCCGAGCGGATCCGTGCCAGAGTCGACAGGCGCAGCGGGAGGGAGCCCGACTGCGGGGTGCCGGTGAGGGATAGCAGGTGGGATGTGAAGGTCAGCAAAGGCTGCTTCAGAGACGCAACCGAGAGGTGCGTCACGTCGAGAGGGAGGGACAGCAGGTAGACGGTGCCCCACTGTGGGATAAGCCACGAGTGCGCCGCTGACGACTCGGATCCGCTGGCGTCTTCTGGACTCTGAGATGCGGCGGCAATAGTCTGGTTTCCAACAAAAACGATGAAATTGATTGTTGGAGCGCCGCCAATCGAAGGTGAAAGGGGCCACTCGGCCGCGTTGATGAAGGACGACAGATCCTCTTTGTTGAGCACTTGGTTCTGGACACCCGGCGTCGCGTACAACTGCACCTGCGTGTCGATGGTGAAATTATGAATCGGCGATAGAACGTCGAGCACGGGCTTCATGTACTCATCGATGGCGGCCTCGATGTCCCAGCTGCTCGGCAGCGGCCCGCTCGTGAAAAGGGAGAAGGTGAGGTGGTATGTCGGCGCGTATTTCAGCGACCTCGTGGTGCGCTTGGATAAGGACTCGGCGGCTTCGGGCGAAAGACCTTGTGGACGATGTTCGGAAGGGATCGCGTTGGTGGACAGAAGGTACGATATTGTGGCTTGCTCCTCGGCGAAGGTCGAGCGTAGCTGGGCGGCAACATAGGTCGCAAGGGTGGAGGAGGATGAAGTGGGCAGGGGAATGGCATTGGGTGGGTATGTAATATCGAGAACCGGCTCAAGTGGGTCAAGCGTAGCGGTCGTCGTCTCGCCGGGGATTAGGCGGATGGTTAGGGCGCTCCCGCTATCGTGAGTCTGCTTAGCATCGCTGGAAGGGGGAGACAATTGCAAGCGCAAATGATGACCAGAAAAATCGTTGAGGTCGTCCAGCGCATGTTGCGTTAGGCGAAGCAGGTTTTGGGCTTCTTGCTCCTGGAGCGAGTTGGCTTGGATCGAGATGCGTAGGGGGAAGACGGGGCGACAGGCCTGTGCGAAGGCAAGGTGTCTAGTCAGAAGAGCATCCTCTGACGAAGATGCGGGTGTGGGGGTGTATTCCAGCATACCTTGCCGTCGGCCCATTCGAGCATCTCCTGCAACGGGAGACGAGCTCGATAGATGGTCGTCGTCCACCACCATATGGGCAGGCCCAGGAATAGGATGATCAGCCAGAACGAGAGGATGACATGGGTGCGTCGCCGGATGTCGGACGGCGACTCGGGCGGTGGTTGCTTTCGCGGCGTCATCCCTTTGTCTGATGTTTCTGGGGCAGCAGCTGGCGCCGCAGCATGCACAATTTCTGCATCATGAGCAGCTGTCTGTTGAAGAGACATGGCGACGCGACATGGCGATGCAGGCTTGTTGGGTCAAATGGATTTCAGGGTTCAAACCGCCGCGGTTGGCCCTGACAGTTGCAGTGACACCACTTTTTCGATCCGCTCCGGCTTGTCGGAACGGGCTAGCCTCCACGTGAAGATAACGTTAGCCGTCAAGGTGACGCGCCGATAAGCAGCCAGGCACGACGTTACCGAGGTTACGTAGCTCCACATGCAGACATGCATTCTGCAATCTGAACTTGAAATGAAGCAAACAGTGTGCAACACGAACTGAAGATCCAGAAGTCATCGCAAAAACGCCCCAACAAACCTTAGCGCTAATTACACGTAAGCACAATATGATACTTTTGGATGGAGCTGCATCAATACTCCTAAGCGTCGATCTTGGCGAAGAGGTGTCTGGTGTTGATCGACCATTGGGTTAGGTCAATGTACTTCGTACGCCCCGCTTGATGACGGCTTGTCTCCTGTTGCATTCTCAATGCCGAGAGAAATTTCGACCTCATTGGCCGTCGAACACCCCCATCCCCCCATCGAATCTTAGAGCTGCGTTACGGAGCATCAAGTTACAGACTCCCGATGCTCTGAACCGAGGTATCTTGTCAACTTCGCAGCCTGTCTTGCATCTGCTACTCCAAGTGCAACTCCGCAGCATCATACTAATCATTAAACAAGTTCTAAAGACTGTTAATTGACCTTGCATGCATCAGTTATGGTTTACTCTGAACGGCCTGGTGATACCTATTCTTTGACGCTCGGCCGATCGTTCCGACGGGAGTTCTGCAGTTGACGGACCGGACATCGGGATTCGGTGTCACTTTGCACCACCTGATTTTCTGCATTTTGGGACCTCGCCGAGGCCTCGGCGAGGGAACCCCAAATCCCCAAAATAGACGCAGCGAAACCGTCAGTTTCGACTGAGGAGATGCTTCCATAAGCCCTAACCTAGAGCTCACCGTCCCGCTGCATCCGCGAAACTCATTGGCGTCGCATGAGTAGTGCCCAGCAGCGAGGCTCTCAAGCATAGATTTCCAACTATATCCTTCCAGTTTCTCTGATACCCGTGATACCGGTACTTACTCTCGTACGGGTCTCTCGCAACTCGTACATCGCGATGGCTGCTCGTAAGTGTCTGTCCAAGTCCAAGTCAGCTCCGGACGCCATTGTCACCGCGGGCCGTGCAATCCGCGACTAACACAACGGTCGCTGTGCTAGTACCTCCGCAGCTGCCCTCGGCTTCAACCATTCCTGCTTTGGCTGCGGCCGCGGCCTACATCAATGCGCGGACCTTCTTGTTCTACGATCTTGGGATGCTGAGATCCATCCTTCCAACCCTACTCAATGTTGCCTGGTGGAGGAATCGAGGACGCCTGAACTACTTTTATCGCCTCGAGGACCTGGCCACTTCCAAATCCTCCGAAAACCGTCTTTTTCTGCGCTTCGAGGATAAGACTTATACCTACGCTCAGGCCTACGACACCGTGTTACGCTACGCCGCTTGGCTCCAGGATCGCCGCAATGTCAGAAGCGGCGAACTGGTGGCGCTGGACTTCCAGAACACCGACACCTTCATCTTCCTGCTCCTCGCTCTCTGGTCGCTTGGCGCCGTGCCTGCGCTCATCAACAACAATCTCAGCGGCAAACCCCTCACCCATTGCGTCAGGAAGGCAACGACCCGGCTCGTCCTAATCGACCCCGTTGTTGCCGGCAACATTGGGGAAGATGTCCGGTCCGAGTTGAGTCAGATCCACTTCGAAGTCGTAACCCCGGAGCTCGAGAGACAAATGTTATCCATGGAGCCCGCCCGGCCGCCTGATGAGCTTCGGAACGACATCGATGGAAATTCAATGGCCGTCCTCATATACACCAGCGGAACCACGGGCTTGCCGAAAGCTGCGATAGTGCCATGGGCCAAGCTGGCAGTTGTTGGGTCGTTCACCGCTCGCTGGATCGGGACCGGCAAAAACGATGTGTTTTACACGGTTGGTCCAGGCGGCAATATAGCCAGCTTAACATTTACCTTCGGACGGCGATGAGCTGACTTGAACATGTTGTTAGGCCATGCCCCTTTACCACAGCACAGCCCTCCTGCTTGGCTTTGTCCACACCCTCTCCGTCGGCGCCACGTTTGCCATAAGTCGCAAGTTTTCGACGAGCTTGTTTTGGGACGAAGTGCGCAGACACAAGGCTACCATCATCCAGTACGTTGGCGAAACATGTCGCTACCTGCTATCCGCGCCTGTACGCACCGATCCGGTCACGGGCGAGAACCTCGACCGCAAGCACCATGTGCGCGTGGCCTTTGGCAACGGCCTCCGCCCGGACGTGTGGAACCGATTCAAGGAGCGCTTCGGAATCGAAACTATCGCGGAATTCTACGGCGCCACGGAAGGCACCATGGCCATGTGGAACCTGAGCCGAAACGACTACAGCATGGGCGCCATAGGTCGCAGCGGTGCACTCTACAACCTCATCCTCGGCAGGACCATCGCCATCGTCGAGGTCGACCATGAGACAGGGCTCCCGTACCGTGATCCCATAACAGGCTTCTGCGTGCGCGTACGGCCCGACGAGCCCGGCGAGCTGCTGTTTAAGCTACCGCCGAAGGACGTCGGCTCGCGTTTCCAAGGCTACTACGGCGACCAGGAATCCTCATCAAAAAAGGTCATGAGGTCCGTCTTCGGCAAAGACGACGCCTGGTTCCGAACCGGCGACGTGGTGCGCTGGGACCGCGAAAACCGCGTATACTTTATGGACCGTATCGGCGACACGTTTCGCTGGAAGAGCGAGAACGTCTCGACGGCCGAGGTTGCGCAGGTCGTCGGCCTGCACCCGGCTGTCCTGGAGTCGAACGTGTACGGGGTCCAGCTGCCGCACCATGAGGGGCGTGCCGGGTGCGCCGCCGTCGTCTTCAAGCCGTCGGCTGTAGTCGGTGAGCCCAATGGTTTGCCGAGCAGCGAGACGCTGAAAAGCCTGGCCCAGCACGTCCGACAAGGGTTGCCCAAGTACGCCCTGCCGCTCTTCATCCGTGTCGTAAGGAACGGCGCGATCCAGACCACGGGCACGAACAAGCAGCAAAAGAATCGCCTGCGCGAGGAGGGCGTGGATCCCGCCAAGATTGGCTCTGACACTATTTTTTGGCTAAGAGGCGATTCGTATGTCAGGTTCGGACCCAAGGAGTGGAAGAAGTTGCAAGCTGGTGGTGTCAAGCTTTGAGGTTGTGAGCATGGCCAGCAGGAGTTGCTTTCGCAGTCCAGGGCATTGCCTTTCTCGGTCCTCTCCCATGATTTCCTTAGTCGGAGTTGTTACTTATCTCTGGGAGGATACCTATTTGATGCTCGAGTGCCCTCTTTTAGGTTGTTTAATCCCTGAACAGCTTGCGCCTGGCTCGCTGATGCTGGGCGTATTGGTCGTTTGGTGAACAGGATAGGTAAGGTATGACTGGTCGTCCCTGGGTATGAATACTTAGCACAAGAATGAGAATTCTACACGTGTATACTTATAATACAAGCATTCTAAATGTACTTTTGAGGTTAGTTCCCTCGAATGTCGAAGAAGAGGTGTAAAAGTGAGTTTGTCATCGGCTAACTCCTCTCTGGCACCCTCCAACTGTGACAGTCGTGGGTTGTTGCGACAGCCGGCGTCGAATGACATAATGGGTCACCGTAGCCACACAGCCAATGAGAAGAGCAATTGATCGCGCAATGCGACGCCAGGCCAAATCGGGACACTGAGGGGCATAACCATCCCTACGACAAGGCAATGGAGGGGCAAATCGCCCCGCGCCGCGCCGGCGAACCATGAGGAATATGAGAAGAGACTGCCTGTTTTCGGGCATCCGCGGGGTTGAGGGGTGGCTGGAAACGCCGATTCAGTCAAACTGTAGGCAAGAAGAATCGGATGAGGCTTGGTTAATATGCTTTATTAATCGAATGGGTGCTGAGAGCTGTGCTCTCCCAGGGGGAAACTGGCAGCCTTCAGTTAAATACCCACCCATCGCTGCTCGTTGCCACATCGGACGCTCTCCCCTCCATAGTCTCAACTTGTGCTCGAATTTTCCTCACATCTCTGTTTGTCTGTCATAACCTGAGATACCCAGATACCCAAATACCCAAATATCGTCGCAATGGCCTCTGAACGCGCTGCTCCGTATGTCTTCCTCTCCAAACACGATGGCGACCGTTTGCACAGTATGGAGATGCTGACACGGCTTTGATGCAGCCTCCGCTTGGGCTCTATTGCCCCGAACTTCCAGGCCGACACAACAAAGGGCCACATTGACTTCCATGAGTTCATCGGCGACAGTTGGGTGATTCTGTTCTCCCACCCTGAGGACTACACCCCGGTGTGCACCACAGAGCTCGGTGAGATGGCTCGCCTCGAGCCCGAATTCGCCAAGCGGGGTGTCAAGCTCATCGGCCTCTCGGCCAACACTCTTGGCAGCCACGAGGGCTGGATCAAGGACATCAACGACGTGACTGGCTCGCTGGTCAACTTCCCCATTATTGCCGACAAGGAGCGCAAGGTTGCTTACCTTTACGACATGTGAGCTCCCAGCACAGAATTTCCCAGCCGGATCATAGGCGTGTAGAGGACTGACACACATGTGCCGCAGGATTGACTACCAAGACACCACGAACGTGGACGAGAAGGGCATCGCCTTCACCATCCGCTCCGTGTTTGTTATCGACCCAAAGAAGACCATCCGAACCATCCTCTCGTACCCGGCCTCGACTGGCCGCAACAGCGCCGAGATTCTCCGCATCGTCGACTCGCTCCAGACGGGCGACAAGCACAAGGTGACGACACCCATCAACTGGGTGCCGGGCGACGATGTCATCGTCCACCCCACGATCAAGGGCGACGAGGCCACCAAGTTGTTCCCGGAGATGCGTGTCGTCAAGCCGTACCTGCGCTTCACGCCGCTGCCCAAGACCCAGTAGATGGTCGAGGGAGTGTTGCGGGATAATGGAGGGTTAGGACCATAGGGTATACTTTAATTGAGGCGTTCAGTCCGGATCGTCCGGACCTATAACCCTTCAGGGATATTCATTTTCTTTTGCGGGATCCTCAGCCAGCGCAACCGTGGGCATTATGTCTGTTACGTATAGCAGGGATTTGGATCAGGTTAGAATAGGCCCTGCCTTGGTCGTCCCATTGCTCGTCTCATTAAAGCTCCCCTCATGCTCTCCTATGCTTCACCGCACGTAGCATACGTGATGTCAGCGATTCGAACGAAGCGGAATCTAGCATAGCCGAAAAAGATATCAACGTAGTGGGCTGTAAGGATAGGCTGTACTGGACAATCGAGTATATACATGCTGGGTTTGTGATTTTCCCTCCACCCACATCGCAGTACATACATATCTGGTCACGTTGGCAGCACAGGGGTCATGTTTCGTTTCGTTTCAGACGGACTCCACGCTAATGTGGTGTGGTCATGGCTGCGAGTTCCGCTATTAAGAACAGGGCTGAACGGTATTGCAAGGCTGTTCCAGTGATGTTCATCTCGCGAGTGGGAATAGCAATCACAGTTGCCCAAGCGAAGAGGCTGGGCGAGAAAAAAAAGAAAAAAGACAAGAACAAGCAGCCGAAAGAACAGCCACTTCTGATGGAGAACTTCATGCGAACCATACCCAGGCCTCGACGAAACGTGCACTCAGTTGTCTCGCGGCTCAAGTCGACGGAGTCCCACCTCAAGGGCAGCAAGATACACCTTCCTTAGGTACTCGCTTGAGCGGAAGTGCCAACTGCCTAGAAAGGGGCGCGGTCCAAATTCACGTTTGCTGTCTGTTGTACTCCGTATGTACGGGAGGGAGGCTGATAGGTCGGTCCTTTGCTCTGGCTTTGTTCTTCAGTGCGAAGGTGCTGAGGTGTATGTACTCTACAAGGAAGTACAGCCCATAACGTTACTTCGTATTGATCAATGAGAATTGGAGAATGAGGAGGTGTGTGCGCGCAGGTGACTCTCGCCTTGACGCAAGGTACAGCACACAGCGTGCCGCTTCCAGCCAAGCCGAGTTTCCTCTGCCCCTATTCGTCGTTCTTTGACAGCAGGGCCGCACACCGATCCGTGCACCGATAGATTCCATGCGGGTTTCCAGAAGAGTGAAGCCACCACATGGCTGCAGCTAACCGACTGCTCGCACTCCACATTTTCCACGGTGGAGGTCGTGAGAAAAGGAATCTCGTAGTCGCGACAGTCGCAGTGCCGCCTTTCCTTGCAGCGCCCGAGTCACCGGCAGACTCACTTGACACCTCCTTTGGGTACACACATTCATAGATACACCATCGAAGCGAACCCCGTGAGCTGCCCGCAGCCCAAGAGACAATCGGCGAATCCCCCGCCGCCTGCTTCGTTCTCCCCACCACGTTTTATCCCGTCGACTGACTGTTCACCCCAAACCTGTCTGTGCGGCAACGCTTGACGCTTGCGCAGCGGAGAATCGGCCGGTTTGAGAAGTTTCCTCCCCAACCACATATCCACTTCGACCATCTCCGACCTCCCTTTCCGAGCAGCGGGGAGACGCATCTTGCCTTGATACCGGACGGCCCAGCTTCCGGCACTCTGTCGCGAAATTGAGCAGTACAACGCCAATCCAGACCGTTGCTTCTCCATCGCATCGCCGCATCCATCCAGATCATCCAGATCAAGGTATGCCAGTCCAAGATTACTTCTCGTGTCGCCGCCGCATCTGCGTTCCCACAACTCCTTCCTCATCCAGCCCTACGCGCGCCTCAACCACACGCCCCTCCATGTTGCCTCGTACTGTATGTACGTGCGAGGCTGTTTCCTGACTCCTGCGTGTCGAGGAGCCTAGGCCCTGCTCCCCATTTGTTCTAAGCAAACGTCTTGTCGCTTAGAAGCGCTCTCCGTCCATTCCCGATATCACATCACACACAGTTACCACGGTACATTCCTCTACCCCAGTCGGTCATTGAAGATCGCTACTGGATTGCTCTCTCCTGCGGGCGTGGTATTTCCTAGGTCACTCAGGACCTCGCTTGCTGGGCACTCCTGGGCGCTTCCGTGGGCCCGGTCCAGCCCTGCCCCCTGGCCCCGGTCAGCACGCGCCGGGGGTCAATAATCGTCGTCTTGGGTTAACAGACACATGGCGTTGCGCGCCGTCTGTGCCTCGTGGAGGCCATTTCTCAACCACCCGAGTTTTCTTCCTTCCTCCTTTTTCTGTTCTAGTTGAGAGCCTGTTCCTGTCTGGCATCCTTTGAGCCCTCGGTGCGCTTTATAGTGCTGCACCACCTCCCCTCCTTTTATTTATTTATTTATTTTTCTTTTTTTTCGCCCACCTCTTCCTTCCCGCTCGGGTCGGCCCGGGCTTCATCAGCCTCCTCCGGACGTCTTTCCGCTAGCCAGTGCACCTAGCCTGGCAGCCCCGATCCCTGCGGCCCAGTCTACCTACTATGCGTAGACAATGTCAGGGTCTGGACTAACGTTCGGCAAACCAGGCCAGCAACAGGCCGGCCTTAACGACGTCAGCCGGCTTTCCGATTCCGAAACCGAAGGACCGTCGCTGTCCAAGACTTCGTCTGATATTTTTTCCTCCGCCTTCCGCGGTATCAAGAAGATCACGCCAGGAAGAGACGATTTCGCACGGCTTACCCGGAAGCCCTCCCAAATCATCGTTCGCCGGCCCTCTGAGTCACTCATCCCTACGATCGACAAACCTGCTGGATCTGCGCCTCTACCAGTTCGACCCTCTGGTCTGCCTCCGTCAAACCATGCACGGAGTCTAAGCCTGCAGAACAGTCTCTCGAAGCCCTTGCCAGAGCCGCCACCGCCATCCCTGTCCCCGACGAGCCCGCTGACCCCTTTGCCACATCTGGCGCAGCAGGGAAACCTAGCGACAATCTTTGATGCTGAGCCCCGGGATATGGACAGCCGCAGCAGCACCATGGACTCGACGTCATCCGTTGAGGCAGGAGGGGGACTTTATATGAGGGCGCAAGCTGGGCATAGCCAAGACATGCATACCAGCAGCAGCCAAAGCAGCCTGGCAAGCTCTTCACGGCAGGACGGGCAGGACGATCGGGGTGATAATCTGACGCCAAGAAGCAACGGACCGCTGTCCGCCGGGCCTTCTCCCAGCATTGGTCAGTCGAGAGGAACTGCTGGCGCAACCGCGGGCGCGCCAACTCCTTCGGCCCACTTGTCTGGCTTGATGTGCAACGTCCACCGAACAACAGGCAGGGAACCACATCCCCTAGTTGGCGCGACAACGACCATTTTGGGGGATAAGCTTTATGTTTTTGGGGGGCGGATACTCTCAAGGAGCAGGGCTGCCCCCCTGACGGCCGATTTGTACGAATTGGATCTGATCCGCCGCCACTGGACGAAGCTCGAAACAACAGGCGACATTCCGCCGCCCCGATACTTCCACTCCATGTGTGCCCTTGGAGATACGAAAATGGTCTGCTACGGCGGTATGTCTCCCACTACGAACCAGAAAAACAGTGCCCTGCCCCAAGATCAGCAGCCCGAGGTCACTGTCATGTCCGATATCTACGTATACGACGTGCCGACCAAGAAATGGACCTTTGTCCCCACGCAGGACGCTCCTCAGGGGCGCTATGCGCATTGCGCATGCATCCTTCCCTCTTCAGCGACGTTTGCTTCACATAGGGCGCCACTCTCGGCGCTACAGCACAATCCTTCCATGGGCAACCCGAATGAGGGCCGAATCGGCATCAATATCGACGGTACTGGCGGTGCTGAGATGATCGTCGTTGGGGGCCAAGACGGATCGAACCATTATATCGAGCAGATTAGTGTTTTCAACCTGCGCAGTCTGAAATGGGTCTCCACGCAGCCCTTGGGCAAGAGCTGCGGTGCCTATCGCAGCGTTGTTGCACCCCTTCCTCCCTCGGTCACCGCCAAGCTAGGCAGGACATATCCGAACGGCTCAAGGCAGGATTCATCTGGGATAAGCCAGGAGGTGCGGGAGTCCGGCTCTAGCATGCTCATCTACAGCAACTACAACTTTCTCGACGTGAAACTCGAGCTGCAGATTCGGTCCCCCGATGGCCATCTCACAGAGCGAGCTATGAGCGGCACGTACAGTCCGCCAGGTCTGCGTTTTCCTAATGGGGGAATAATTGATACCCACTTTGTCGTCAGTGGCACCTATCTCACGTCGTCCAAGCAGGAGTATGCCCTCTGGGCGTTGGATCTCCGGACGCTGACTTGGAGCCGCATCGACGCCGGGGGCGCTGTTTTCAGCCAGGGTAGTTGGAATCGCGGTGTCCTGTGGAACAGACGGAACACGTTCGTTGTCTTGGGCAACAGGAAGCGGAGTCTCGTCGACGACTACAACCACCGAAGGATCAACTTCACCAATGTCTGCATGGTCGAGCTGGAGGCCTTTGGCTTCTACGACAACCCTCGCAAGACATCTCCAATGAGCGGGTTTGTCAGCGCTAGCAGTCCCTATACGGGCCCTGGTCTCAGTCTGGCTCGCAAAGCGGGTTCCACGGCCGGAGGCAGATTCCACAGCCGCGCAGCCGAAGAACTGGGCGAGAAGGCGCTCGCGATGAGGGAGTTGGCTGATATGGACATTCTCTGCATTGGTGGTGAACGCATACCTATCAATTCGAGAATAGTTGCTCGCAGATGGGGCCCGTACTTCGTGCAGCTGCTGAGGGAGGGCACGGCAACGCAGGACGGCAGCGATGCGGCGACGCTAAGGTCCAACTCAATATCGGCGCCCGGAAGCACGGTTCGGAGTTCAAACATTACCATTACCCCGGGAAACCGAAGCAACATGGAAAGCCCGGTTTCCATGAGCGGCAGCACCTTGTATTCGACCAGCAGCAAGACGCCGAGCACGGCAGCTTCAAGCGTCATGTCACCGCCTGTAGATCCCGCAGCCATCAACACGGCACCGACACCCCGTACCCTGCCCCCCAACAGCCGGCCGAGATGTCTGTATCTCCCCCATACCTACCTCACCGTTAGGGCCCTGATGCATTTCCTCTACACCTCGAGTCTCCCTGCCCCGTCATCATCGCTGTGCACCCCTCAGATCCTCTGCAGTCTTCTCCAGATTGCGCGGCCGTACCGCATCGACGGCCTTCTCGAGGCGGTCGTCGAGCGTCTCCACGGGCTTCTCGACAGCCGTAACGCGGCCGCCGTGTTCAATGCCACGGCCATGGCTGCCGGCGGCGGCCGCGGAATTGATGGGACGCTCAACCCCAACTACTTCCCTGCCTCGGCGACCGGCGGGCTGGACGGCCTGGTCAGTCCGTTGGATAGTGGCGGCTCGCGGCACAATGGCGGCGGCAGCAGCGTTGCCGGAAGCGAGACCAGCGTCAGCACGACGACGAGCGGGCTAGTCAGCCGCGCGGGGGCTACTGCGGGAGGAGGAGGCGGACTCAAGATTAGCACGGCCGTGCAGAGCGTCCAGCCGTCGAGCGACGAGCTCAGTGCCACGACAAGTGTCAGCGGGAGCGAGTGGAGCGCTTCAGAGGTTGGGGATAGCGAGCGCGGAGGGACGAGGGAGATTTGGGCCGGTGAACTGAGCAGCGTGATTGGATTGCAGAAGAGGGGCTTAAGGGGTCTGATGGAGGGACGGAGGATGAGGGAGCGCACGGGGACGAATACCATCGGAATGGGAATGGGAACCTCGGGGACTGGGGGGACGCAAGGGCGTGTGGGGCTGGGGATTGCTGGTTCGTGAGTTTCAAACTTGAGTTTGGATGGCCTTTTTGAGAGAGGATTAGGTGTTGGCAGGTGTGCATTGCAGGTGGTAGAGAGAGGTTGCTGGATAGAACGTGGTTGCTTTTTTGTTTTCTCGGAAACGAAACGAAGCGATGAGAACACGGCTGCCATCTGTAAATTTGTTCCTTGGAAATGTCCATAGCCACAATGATGCCCGAGGAGGATTATCTAGCAGGCACTACCGCAAGGTTGGTGAACTTTGAAGTGTTACGCAGGAAGTTTCTCATCGCTCACGGAGGTTATCTCACACACATTTGGCCCCAGTATCAAGTCGGTGTACCGTGTAAAACATGTACCTACAAACCTCCAGTACGAACTACCAACTCGATTAATCAGATAGGTAGACCTGCGAATGACATCTCATTGAACTTTACCTGTACTGTACATTTTCATGAGAGCGCAGGACCACCTTATTAGAGCAGATTAATTTCAGTCCCTAGTACATACGACCATACCTACTGGAAAGCTCGGGATCCCGTCCGCTCTCCCCTAGATAAACCAGTAAGGGCCAGATTAGTAGTTGGGTCGGTGACGACCAGCGAATCCCTGGTGTTGTATGTTTTCTTTTTCTTTTTTTTTTCCTATCTCCCTTTGGATTCTGCATTCATTCCTTTGCCTAGTGCTTGAACTTGTGCAATCGGATACATTTTTGCTGGCAGGGATATCTGGCATGCTGCTAGAATAGGAGGTTTAGACGGGAGCTCTTCCACATTGAACGTGGAAGGTATCTGTGGCTGAGTGGCTGCCTTGTCCCTCCCCACTCTGGGAACTTATGTACCGTACTCGATACATCGGATACGCTCCAATTCTTTCCATCTGTTAAGAGGGGTAGTCGACAGGACGTTTTTCACTGCCAAAAGTTTGCTTGCACTAACAGCAGCGACATGTCCGGTATTGTACAGTACAGTTCATACATTTTTTGATACATGTTTCCTCGTTCTTCCCATCTCATCACCTAAGTTCCTCATCAGACCAGTCTGTTTGCCACCGACTCCAATGCAATTCGCCGTTTATTGTGTATTTCCTTGGTTATACCATATTCAACAAACATGGCAAGATTTCATAGACATGATGACCATATCTTCCAGTTGTCTAGCCCTTTGCACTCCAATGCTCTCCATTGCAGCGGGTTCCAATTCCATCATGCCGCTACTGGAAGGGTTAATATCTTCGAGGCCGCTCCGGCCGTTTATCGACATCAGGGTTGAGCTTGGTGCTTGCCATGACAGTCATTCCCCGGGTCCTCCAAGACGCCTCTGCCGAATGAATATCGCCAAGGCAAAGGCAGCAGTGGAGAAGAGGAACGAGACCCCTGAATGAAGACAATGCGTCAGCCAAAGGACTTCTATTCCACATGCAACACAAGAACGGCATAGAAAAGGTGAATGCTGTGCGTGAGTGGTGCTAGCGTACCGTGACTCCACCAGAATCCATCAATGTATGAAGCAACAATGGCATCGCGGACCTTGCCCGTGACACGGTCGACGAAGTCGACGTCGGACAGGGTGCTTTGGATGATCTAAAGAACCATTCGCATCAGCAACACCGTAGGATGCTTTGTTTGATGTCTTCCAGAACGCTGTCTTGTCCCCTGAGTGTAAGCAGGGGATCTAGTACTAGTCTCCATACCCTTTGAACCTCCTCGTCCTGCAATCCTAGTCCCAAGGCAGGCAGCCTTCTGCCAAGACCCTTCCGCAAGACAGTGTGCAGGACCACGTTGGAAAGGGGCAACCCGATGGTGAGCGCTACGGTGCTCGACAGGTACATGAAGGAGACGGCGGGTGCCATGTGCGCTGGGTCGATGACGGCTTGGAGAGAGATGAAGACGGCCGAATAGACGACGCCCGTGCCAAAGCCGCTTTTTTACGGTGAGCGAAAGGAGTCAGCAAGCTCAGTCGGTATATAGGTGCCTGGTTCTGACTCTAAAGCTGTGAGCTGAAAACAGAGGGACCACATACGTGGGGAAAATATAGAGGGAGTCCCAGATGTTGGTGTTGCCATGCCAGCGGAACATCAATAGGAGGTAGCCTAACGCGGATAGGGCGACAGCGAGGACGATGAGCGTCTTGTATCGGCCGGATCTGGGAGTGTATCAGTCAGTCCACGCTTTTCCGTGAGACAGTTCAGGAGTGTGCTTTTGACTGTACACCAACCTTTTGATGATAACACCAGAAATTAGACCACCAAATGCGTTGCCAATCACCGCCGGTACAAGGTGGGCGCCCGAAGCAGTGCTAGATGCCCGCGCAGTGACCGAGAAATACAAGGGCACCGAAAACATGAGCTGCATAATTTATTGTCAGATGATTGCCTGCGGGAGTCAAAGACGGAGATTTGAGCACGTACCCCAAGCTGTGCAGCTGTTTGAAGGCCAAGAATGAGAAAGGAGAATACGGCATCCCGGCTCTGGAATATCTCCAGGGGTAGGACTGGCTCCTCTTGCCGCCTTTCCACTGCGACAAACACAAATATCAGGGTTCCACTGAGGCCAAGCAAGACAAAAATGGCCGGGTGAGTCCAGGGGAGCTTGTCGCCGCCAAGTTCTATAGGCAGAAGAAGTGCCAGGACCATGAGGGCAAAGATGATGGAGCCTTCGAAGTCGATGCGGCGTAATCTGGCTTTTTGACTTGGCAAGCCATTGTCGATAGAGCTCGAAGAACCTACTAGGTCAGGCGAAGATGAGCCGGGCAGGTAGATAGCTGCGAGCAAGGTAGCAAGCATGACCAGGGGCACTTGGCCGAGGAAGGGCCTGGGATTAGAGGTTAGACAAAGTGTTGGTTGTTGCATTGGGCGGTTTGCCATGGATGATTTTTGGATACCCACCATCGCCATCCTATAACATCGACGAGCCAACCGCCAAGGGGACCTCCAATGCTCCGGCCGAAAGTGGCGACCAGGTTGACATAGGCGCGCCACTGGGCAACGTCGCGGATTGGGAGTAAATCTGCCAGAAGTCAGGCATATGTACCCCATTCCTGTCCTGCATCAGAGACTGGGCTTACCGGTAATCAAAATTGACACCAGGCCGGTCATGCCGGAGGCTCCCGCACCGGATATGACTCGGCCCAGGACAACTTGCCACATCGTCTGGCCAGCGGCGCTAGGTGCTGTCAATACGAGAGCTCTTGATTCAATGTTGTCTTATGGTATGACTTACACTATTGTACTATTTACGTTTCCATGTCAGTTAGTTGCAGCACATAGCTTTCTTGGGCTTGAATCACTTCCTCACCAGCCAAGAACGAAAATGAGGTATGCCGTGATAACCAGCATTCGTCGGCCATAGATATCGCTGAGTTTGCCGTACTTTGCCGCAACACAAGTCAGTTAGATATAAAGCATACCCAGTCGTCTTATACTGATTCGACAATACCATTGCTTGCGTGGCTGCTCCGGCCAACGTGAAGCCGGTAATGAGCCAAGTCGAGTTGGCCAAGTCGTTGAATTCGGAGGCAATGATGGGATGGGTTGCCAGAAGAATGGTTCCATCGGCGTGCGCCACAAAAATGCCTACATTCACATGTCTCCAAGTCAACCTATGATTCGGCGTTCGACTGGATAAAAGGCCGAGGTAAGAAGGAGTAGTAGATAGTGGACAGACCAATGAGTAGGACCGCGACGATGCGCGCAACATAGCTCCTGTCGGTTCGCTCATCTACCACGTTGCCCTCGCCTAGATTTTCTTCATCCTCGGCGGAACGCTCAAGCACCGTTACGCTGCCCGTCGAGTCCCCAGGCGGCTTTTTCGCCGGAAAGGGGTTATAGGCACCAATACTGCCATGCCGATTTGAATCGCCAGATCCGTTTAAGAGGGGTGACTGCTCGGTAGGTTTATTGGGCAGCACGTCTCCTATTGCGGACGAGTCTCGAGCCATTCTTCGCAATTGGTGGTGACTCAAAAACCGAGTGGCGGCCCTGGGAGTACAACGAAATGCCAGTTCTTAGCAAAGAGTACTACGTAGGTAAGGTTGAGTAACTTCAAGTTGAGAGGCAGATCCTCTGTAAGGTGTAACGTGTTCCCATTGATAAATAAGTGTATGAAGTAGTGTTCAGTCCCGTACCTATCCGACCAAATTCAACTCTGGTATCTCAAAGAACAAGATGCTATCGCCGTTGTGCCGCCCCGGAGACTGGTCCGGTGTTTCGGCAGCAGATTGCGAACACAACCAGGTAGATGTCGCGACCGATTAGATGCTTCTATTGGTCTACCCCGTCTTCCTAAATCAGTAGGTGCTGCGTAGAACAGTGTAGCGTTTTTCCAGAATTGCACTATGGATTGGGTTTGATCCTGAACAAGGGCGGAGCGATATACAGAAATGGATCGTGTACGCCAATGCAATATCCGGGGACTATCACGCCATCGACAACAGATGCGTGTGGAACATGCATCGGGTTCTGCATGTACCACCATGGCACCAGCCCCTCGCCTGGACCACGATTTTTTGTGTACTGTGTATGAGATGAAACGCCGGCGGACAAACGCTCAGGCTGACTGCAATGGAACGAACGACCGTCATCTTTAGTGCCAATCACTTAACGTACCTCGGTACCTCCTACCTTATAAACAGCAACAGGATTCAGATGGAAGGCGCCACCAATAACTCTCTATCGGAATCACAATGCGTTTCTTCGGAGTTGTCCTCGCAGTAGGACTACAATTGTCCGCGGTAGTTGCTCGCAGTGTCACTGACGGGCAACTACCGCTCGCTTTCGGACATCCGAGCCAGAGCGGCGTCAGCGGACACGCTGGCACGCGGCCAAATATTGTATTTTTCTTGACCGATGATCAGGACTTGCATCTAAACTCGTTGGACTACCTTCCCCTGATCCAGGAGCATCTCATCGATAAGGGCACCCTCTATAAGCGCCACTATTGTACCACGGCGATCTGCTGCCCATCCAGAGTCTCGCTCTTGACCGGAAAACAAGCACACAATACCAACGTCACCGATGTGGTCCCGCCCTACGGTAAGTCTATCTTGTTTCTTTTGGCACATAAAGCAGAGAAGAGGCTCACGGAACCATGCAGGTGGATATCCAAAGTTTGTAAGCCAGGGCTTGAATCACGCATATCTTCCCATCTGGCTTCAGGAGGCCGGGTACGACACGTATTACACCGGAAAGCTGTTCAATGCGCACACCGTCGAGAACTACGATGCACCGTTTGCTGCTGGTTGGAACGCCTCTGATTTCTTGCTGGACCCTTACACCTACATGTATCTGAACGCGACCTATCAGCGCAATCAGGATCCGCCAGTCAGCTACGAAGGCAGGCATACGGTTGACGTTCTCGCTGAGAAGGCCAATGGTTTCCTGGAAGATGCCGCAAAGGGGGATCGCCCCTTCTTTCTGGGAATTGCCCCTGTTGCGCCGCACAGCAACGTCAAAGCTGCGCTCTTCGACGACCCCATCGACGACCCCGGCGATGTCGACAAGCGCCTTGCCTTTACGCCTCCAATTCCCGCCAAACGACACGAGCATCTGTTTGAGGACGCTAAGGTCCCTAGGACGCCCAATTTCAACCCGGATTTTCCGACAGGAGCGAGTTGGGTTAGGTCCCTCAAGCAGCAAAGCCAGGAAGACCTGGATTTCAACGACCACTTCTACCGCCAGCGGCTGAGGACCCTGCAGTCGGTCGACGAGCTCGTAGCGGGAATCGTGGAACGCCTCGAAGCGTATGGCCTCCTCCAGAATACCTACATCTTCTACACTACTGACAACGGCTACCATATTGGCCAACACCGCCTTCAGCCGGGAAAGGAGTGTGGGTTCGAGGAGGACATCAACATCCCCCTGATCGTGCGCGGTCCCGGTGTTTCTGAGGGCGAAGTTGCCGAGATCGTGACCACGCACATCGACCTGGCGCCGACCATTCTGAAGTTAGCCGGCGCACCGAGCCGCGCTGACTTTGACGGCGAGGCCATCCCGCTGAGCAGGAGCGAGCTCCAAGAGGCCGCCTCCGCTCGCCATGAGCATGTCACGGTCGAGTACTGGGGATACGCCGCTTCCGAGGGAAAGGTCTTCCGGCGGGATCCTGATGACGCCCGCATCATCTTCAACAACACGTACAAGGCGCTGCGCATCATCAGTGCCGAGTACAACTTGTACTATGCGGTGTGGTGCAACAACGAGCACGAGCTGTACAATCTCAAGGTCAGTCCCACAGCATACCTTCCCTCGGCTTTGGTACAGCAGCATTCTCAGAGATGCAGCGAATTACTAACAGATGGACACTGGAACAGACCGACCCGTACCAGCTGCACAACCTCCTGCATCCCGACACCCCTCGACCCTCCCATCTCCTGGGCGTGCCTTTTGACAAGGTGCTAGCCCGCCTCGACGCGCTGCTCTTCGTACTCAAGTCGTGCAAAGGTAAGACGTGCGTGCGGCCCTGGCAGGCCCTTCACCCCGCCGGCAACGTCCAGAACCTGCGCGAAGCGCTCAACAGCCGCTTCGACCCCTTCTACAAGGAGCAGCGAAGGGTCAGCTTTACCCGCTGCGAACTGGGCTACATCCTCGATGCAGAGGGCCCCCAGTTTGAAGCCGAAGGCCTGGTCTATCGCCAGGGGGTGTGGTGGAGTGAGTGGGTGTAAGAGCCCCTAGTCTGGTGGGTGGAGAGGGGTTGACGGATGACATAGGTAGATACCTAGATACCTAGATAGTCAATCAATATCTGGAATGGACTTATAGCTCTAATACACTGGCTAGAGTGTGGGTTGAACTCGGAGCCTCTAGGTTTACCGGGCCAGATCTTTGCCATTCTACAAATACAATCCGGTGGGGGATGAAAGTAGGAAGGCTGACTTGACGTATTAACCCATTCAGCCATGCTCGATGAATGATACGTAGCTACTGATCATGGTGTTGCTCGGAGCTTCATGTCGTCGATGAACAGTACTGGTTAAGCGGTTGTCGCGGGTGAGGAACTTGAGGAAGGATTTGTATTGTACCACCAGTATAATATCATAGTAATACTGAGATCTCGTAGCGAATTAGCATGAAATATCATGCTGATTACATTGAGGTCCTTTCTATGATAGCAGAGATCCTGTTGCCCGGCCAGGCCATCTGGTCTGACAGTCTGACCTCCCTAAGTCGCAAAGAACCTTGCTACGAGCAGTGCTTAGGCAGGAAAGCCCAGTTGACCGCATGTTCACCTGTGGGTGTCAGCGGAGCAACTGTTTTGATATCGAGAAGAAACGTGTAAAAAGTGAATATGGCAAAAAGCAAAAGGTTCTGACCGACCCAGGGATCGAACCTGGCACCTTCTCGGGGGAAGAGCTCCCAGCTGAGTTCAACTTTTGTGAACGAGACGTGATAACCACTACACCAGTCGGCCGATATCTTGATAAAGATTATCAAACCTGAGTCCTATGAAGATCTTAGGGAATGGGCGTGAAGTGCAAAGTTGTCTGGAGTACAGTATAGTAAGAGCAGTGGTTGTATCCAGTCCTAGAGATAGACCTTGTGATTTATGCCTATGGTATGTACAATTGTAAGACCCTGTTGCTACCAAGTCAGTCTTACCGCTACCATTTTCCGTAGGGCTTGTAACCACCGTCAGTTCTTAACCAGCCCCACATTTTGCCAGCTGTGCCAAGACTTGACAGATGCAGGGCGAATTCCCATTGGCCATGGTTAAGAACTGACGGTGGTTAAAAGCCCTACGGAAAATGGTAGCTAGGATATCAAACTGTGGCTGTTGTATCCATTTCTGGGCTGTCGCTCTCTATAACGCTCTTCATCTTGTTATCACTTTGTTAGATGGCAACTACAGATCAGACAAAAACTTAAGGTTTCTTTTGAGACGTGTTTGTATAGCTTCTTTTCAAATGGAAATGATATTGCGAATCGTAATGCTGTGTACATCCCTTGACCCCTTAACCCAATTCTTTGGTCTCTCTAGTCAATGTTGATGAGACTCTGTTCTCCCTAGACATAAGATTTGATTGACCCCCAATCAACGCTCATCGTACACATTTACAGCTTGGCCTTCGCAGCTGAGGACGCCAACAGCTTATTACCCAGCTGTGCCAACTCGAACTTGCGCACCTTGCCGCTGCCCGTGAGCGGTACCGTGGCAGGCACGCCGTCGAAGCCAAGCCAAAAGATGTGTGTGGGCGCCTTGTGCTTGCCGAGCTTGCGCCTGACCCATTCCCGAACCTCTTCAGCGTCCGGTCGTTGCGTATGGCCACCGTCAAGGCCGAGGAAGGCGCCGACCACCTCGCCGTAGTGGGCATCCTTGAGCCCAACCACCACAGCCATGGAAATAGCGGGGTGCGCAACCAGCCGCTCCTCGATCTCAAGGGGGTAGATATTTTCGCCTCCTGAAAATGCTTGTCAATACTAAACTTAGATGGTTGTTGTGCGCGGCAGGAAAGCAACAAAAACCTCACCTCGAATGATGATATCCTTGAATCGCCCTGTAATCGAGCAATACCCTCTCTCGTAAAAGACAGCCTCGTCCCCAGTGTGCAACCACAACACACCAGACTCGTCTCTAATCATAACCTCGTTTGTCTTCTCCGAGTTGTTCCAGTACCCGGCCTGCAGCTGATAGCCGCCGATACACAGCTCGCCCCTCGTACCAACGGGCACGATCTGGCCGTCGCGGTCCACAATTTTGGCCATGGCGTGGGGCATGAGGGTGCCGACGGTAGCCAGCCTCGTCGCAATGGGGTCGTCGGTAAAGGCGTTGAAGCAGGTCGGCGAGGCCTCGGTCAGTCCGTAGCTCGACGTGAACTCGGCCATGCCCAGGCGCGAGACGAGCTGCTCCATCAGGTAACGAGGGACAGGCGCGCCCGCGATGATGCCCGTTCGCAGTCGGAGATCGGCCGCCCGGAGCGATTTGGCCTCGGGCAGCGACAACAGGCTGTCAAACATGGCCGGCACCCCGTGCACCGCCGTGCACTGCTCCTCGAGGATGCTCCGCAGCGTCGCCGGCGCGTCAAACACCTCGGCCGGGTACACGATCTTGGCGCCGTGGGTGATGACCGCCATCAGCCCGAGCACGAGGCCGAAGCAGTGGAAGAGCGGTGGCGGACAGCAGAGGATGTCGTCCGGCGTGAGGCGCATGCGGTCGCCAATGAAGCGCGAGTTGTTCACAATGTTGTGGTGCGTGAGCATGGCCGCCTTGGGGAGGCCAGTGGTGCCGCTAGTGAATTGGAGGTTACAGACTGTGTGAGGCAGCACCCTCGCCTCGGCCTGGTGCAGGCGTGCCGGGCTTACGCGGGCGCCTCGGGAAAGCAAATCGGGGTAGGTGGTGTGATCTTCCGACTCGCCCCTGAGAATCACGACCCTCGGTGATTTGGCCCTTGCCGAGAGCTGTGTGAGTAGCGGTGTCTGGTCGAGTCGGCCGATCTTCTTCGTGGTGAAGAACACCTTGCACTCTGGACTGGCTGGTTAGGGATCATGGTGGCGGCCACAGAAGGGGAATGGAAGGGCATACCGGAAAAGTCCAGGCCGTACTGCGCCTCAGTGGGCGTATAGGTATTGTTGAGGATGACCAAGATGGCGCCAATTCGGGTGACAGCAAAGAACACAGCGGCGTACTGCTCACAGTTGCCGGCCATAATGCCCACTCTGTCACCAGCACCAATGCCCATTTCTAGCAGAGCGGCTGCCAGCAGCCGGCTGTGGTGATTCAATTCGTTGTATGTCCATCGAGCGCCGGTCCAGGAGATGACTATCCCTTCACGGGTTCCATGGTGTAGGCATTGCAGGTTGAGCAGCTCTCCGAGCGTTAGGTCAACTAATGGAGGGTCTGTTGGGCCGTATAGCAGTGACGGTCTTTGAGTCTGAGGCAGAACGAAGTCGTCCTCAACGGGCTGTCGTACCGCTGCGCGGGCCGACATTTCTTTAATTGTTCTCGAGCAGCAGGACTTCCAATGGCGAATGTCTCTTGCCTGAAGGTCGTTCACAGGCCGTGCAGATAAAATGCGTCCCAGAATTGCTTGGGACCGCAGAGCCGGGGCCTGGACGGTGGACTATGACGAGCTGCCATGACGTTCGGCCGACCGGGCGGTAGGGCCCCAGGGGGGGTGGCCTGGGGAGACGGGGGTTCCCATCTCCGCTCGAGGTCTACTCGCGCATCCTTATCCTGTTCTAGAAATGTACATATGTATGTACTTCTATGTAGCAGGGCTGGCTTGATCTGATCTGATAAGATGGAATCGAGCAGCCCGCTGCTTGCGCACCGGGCCCTTGAACATTTGATTGGACTCCATTGCCGAAGAGTGATGCTACATGTCAGCGGGCGCCGAGCCGAGAAGAATTTGCTCGGTCCCTCGTTGTTCCTCGGCTGTTGTAACGAAAGTGAAATGGAAAGAAAGAGCTGGGCATGACTCCGTTACGTGTACTTACGGTGAAAAAATTGATCAGCACTTCGTTTTCTTTCCTTGGGCCTCCACTGGCCACAAGACAGGAGGGAGACGTTGCGTGGCTCGTGGGGTTCCTGCATTGTCTGGCACCATCTGATAACTCAACACGCATGCAACTCTGCAGTGCCGCGTAAATGCCTCAGGTCGTTCCTTCCTCGGATCTGATAAGATTATTCATGCCAAGGCCTTAATCCCCACGCCACTGATGAGACCAAAACGCGGCACTCGGTTTGTCCATCGGGTCCCAACAGGAATGCAACCATCACCTACAGTGTAGCAGGGGCGGGGAGCGGTGCTCGAAATCGCTTGATGAATAATCGTGTTTTGCATATCCCGTTTAATTCCTGATCCTTTGTCTGAATGACAGGATGAGTTTACTCTCGCGAAATCTGTTGTTGTCTTCTGGCATCAGAATGGGCCTGGTTGTCATCGAATTGTCGGTTCGGCTGGGGCTGGGGCTGCTCTCTCCGAAGTCGGCTGTGTGGGCCCCGGCCAAGAGACCAGGGGTCGAGAAAAAATTATCTGATCCGCTTATGGCGTCCGAGTAAAGTTATCTGATCCGAATCATCACACACCATCCCACCATCCCACCGGAATGTCCCCTGTCAACGACCGCCAACATTCATTTTATTGGCTAGAAACTCGGAGCTATGACTGGAAAGCCATTTGACAAGCGATGCTCCAAAGGACAGAATGGCGCCATGAAATTTGCCTGCACGGTTGCGAGGGTTGCAACAGGATCCATGGACCAAAACGCCGAACCTCGTTTCGCCCATACGTTATTACCGAGATGGATGCATGCTAATGGCTGTATTGGACGATCCTATCTACCGGGTTTCCAGTTCATCCCCCCACCGCCCATGCCGTGCAGACCTCATCCTCTCGGCATGCACGTGAAGGTAAAGACATGCCGTTGCAGTCTTCACCGTGGCCTCCAGAGCTTCCCCGTTTTGCTCCCATCCGTTGAGCGCGTCAGACAAAGATGGAGTCGCCATTGAAACCGCAAAGGCTATTTGCCTCCTACGCTGCATCCTCAGAGCCAGTTTTGAAGCTCCCGCACCCTTACCAGACAGCCTATGTCGTCAAAGGTGACAGCGGCAGCAATTCCTTCCAATTGCTCCCACTCGAAGCCAGCCCGGCGAGCAGACCGCTACCAGAACCCCTTCATAATGCCTCCGTCTACTTCAGCGAGCCTCAGCACCTCAAGTCGAGTGACAGGCCGAAGGACTCGAACAATACGCCCTGGGGCAGGGCGCGACGGTTCCCCGCAGTGACGGTCAGCTGGAAGAGCGAGCAGGCCCCAACAATCGGCCAGCTTTGGCTCATAACATACGCTGTCTTCACCGTACGCCCGAGCGAAGAAGCTTTCCGTGTAAAAACATACGGCTTCGGCGCCGATCAGTTAGCACAACGACTCAAGGCCGTCGGACTGGCCATCGACCACCCAGCCCCTGCCCTCGGGGATGCCCAGCCACCCAAAGAGCTACTCATCTCGCGCAGCGCCTTCTGGCAGGGCGCCGGCTCTCCTTTCGGCGCGCGGCCGGCCTGGGTACCCGAGGAACAGGATCCCGACATGTCGGCATATCCGCTCCCTCCTCCGGAGTATGTCATGACCAACGAAGCCTCTACCGCGCTGTGCTGGCACCCGCGGCGGCGGGCGAAACCCGTTCCGGGATCCGTCATCTACAGCCGCTACATCCCCCATTTGCGGGAAACCTTTAGCATGGTCGCGCTGGACTACACGAACAAGGAGCATCTTGAGCTGTTCCATGTGTGGCAGAACGACCCGCGCGTGTCGCAGGGCTGGAACGAGACGGGCACCATCGACCAGCATCGCGAGTACCTGCGCAGGGCTCATGAGGACCCCCACCAGATTACCATCCTGGCGCGCTTCAATGATACCTTCTTTGCCTATTTTGAGGTGTACTGGGCCAAGGTGGGGCTTTTCTTCTCCTTATTTCCTCTCCCCCTTTCCTTCGTTTGACAAAAAAGCATGGTGGAAGTCAACAGAGGCACCTAACCCCTTTGTAGGAGGACCGCATCGGCGCATACTACTCGGCCGGCGACTACGACCGGGGCCGGCACAGCCTGGTGGGCGACGTGCGGTACCGCGGCCCGCACCGCGTCAGCGCCTGGTGGTCCAGCCTGATGCACTACCTCTTTCTGGACGACCCGCGCACCATGAGCGTCGTCGGCGAGCCCAAGTTCACCAACAGCTCGGTCCTCATGTATGACCTCATCCACGGCTTCGGCCTCGACAAGTTCATCGACCTGCCACACAAGCGCTCCGCCTTTGTGCGCTGCTCGCGCGAGCGCTTCTTCCAGCTCTGCCCGCTCGACGAGAACGAGAAGGTCATGGGTGGCACCGGGGTTGGGCTGGTCCCGAAGCTGTAATGTATATCATGTACGACGCCTAGGCATAACAATTGGTTTAGGAACGGATTCAAGACATAGTATCAACGAAAAAGAAGTCGGAAATTGGAAGTGCTGGCGACTTGCGCCACCAAGTCCAACCTAGGCTGTTCCTTGCACCTTCCAGAGCCGTACCCGGCCCAGGGCCTCGGGTCACGGGTAACCGCTGCCGTGACAATTTCCCTTCGCTTGGGACTAGATGGCCAATATTATCACCTCACAAGACACTTTGAGGCATTCCCGAGGTATTCCCATCCCTGTGCTCGTCCTGTCAGAGCTTAGTTGCTGTGCTTCTCCGCACATTAGCTCGTCTTGGCCAAAGACCGTGCGACAACAAACCCTTCGCGCCCATCGGCATTTCCCCTGCAACACCGTTGGAAGGGTTGCAACTGGCACGCGCCGCAGCATATGAAATAAGATCACATCTCGGTTCGTCCAATATTTGATAGCTTGGTCAACATGCAACTTGAGCTGCACGCCATCAGCCTTTCCCCCGAAAATCCAACTTGGCATTCGATTAGATTCAGGTTGCCATGGCGCCAAATACACCGTGGCTAACCAAGACCTTCCTAGCCTCGCTATTTCTGGGCATAGGAGGGTTTCTCTATGGCTAGTGAGTCCGGCTGTCCTCCAGCCTTAATGCATCTCATGTTGGTGCCGTAACCGCTGACGGGCTGTGCTCTACCTTCACCTCATCTGCAGTGACTCTGGCATCATCACGCCAAGCCTGGCACTGGCATCCTTTACAAACTACTTCGACAAGCCCAATGCGCCGCTTCGTGGAGCCATCGTGTCGGTATACCAAGCGGGAGGTAGGGCGTTCCTCCCGGAGTCCTTGGTCGCGAGGCTCTCTGTTACTTGGTCTTTCCAACTGCTGACCTGAGCGTCCTTGTGTGACATATAGCCTGGCTGGGCAGTGCGTCCGTTGGTATAACAAGCGACAAACTGGGCAGACGCAAGGCCATTGCCTTTGGGTGTGCTTGGGGCGTCCTTGGTGGTGTGCTGATGGCTGCGGCGGTCCATGTCGCAATGCGTAAGTTCCTACCCCTAACGACTTCTCACGCGGCGTCCTATTCTTTGCGGCACCATGGGCTAATCCGCTAATCGTTGTAGTTATCTTGGGCCGTCTCTTAGTCGGTTATGCTGTTGGCACCATTACCGGAGTGGCTCCTGTCTTCGGAGCCGAGATTGCCAAGGTACGACATACTTTGTGGCTTGCCTTCCACGCATATCCAAGTGCCTGTTGGGCAAGTTAGGATGCTAACAGATGCAAAAGACACAAGAACGGGCTAGAATCACAGCGGTCAATCAGATGAGTAAGTTCTAGGCACCATAAGCATCAGGCCTTTCTCGAATTCTGTACCGCTAATCGTGCCAACCCTGCAATCAACAGTGGTGGCTTGGGGATTTTTCATTGCCTTGTGGACGGGCGTGGGTGAGGGCAAATGGCAGAATGAGAACCAGTGGAGGCTCGGATTCGCCATCCAGGCGATCCCCGCCCTCCTCCTCGGTGTTGGAGTACTGTTCATTGGCGAGTCACCAAGATGGCTATGTCTCAAGGGCCGCTACGAAGATGCTGAAAAGACCTTCAGAAGGTGGCACTACGACGGCTCAAATGACGAATGGTGCAAGACCGAGTTCGCTCTGATCCAAACCAGCATTGCGCTCGAGGTTCAAGCGCAGCACCGGCTGGGCTGGGCCGACCTCGTCCGGACACCGCCATTCCGGAGACGCCTATTCGTCGGATCCTTTGTGTGGGCCGCTGCGATGCTCTCCGGCATCAGCTTCGTCCAGTATTTCCAAACGGCCATCTACGCCACGCTACGCTTCGACCAGGACCAGCAACTGCTAGTCAGTGGCTTATACGGCTGTGTCGCTCCGATTGCGTGCATTCTTTCCCTCTTCTTTGTCGATCGCATCGGCCGCAAGAAGATCTTGATAACAAGCTCGTCGTTGCTGTCGGTTTCGTATCTGATCATCACGATCCTCGCGGCCGTGTACCCGGCGCGACCTGGTCAGCCGACGAATGAGGCTGCCCAGAAGGCTCTCATTGCTTGCATTTTCTTGGTGTCGGCAAACTACTCGGCCTTGCTAGGTCCCATGACGTGGATTATTCCGTAAGTCACTCCTTTAGCTAACACACGTAGATTGGTAAAGTTCTAATCGATGGTCCAGGCCTGAGGTGTTCACCACTGAACTACGAGCCAAGGCCAACGCCGTCGTCCAGGTTATCCACTACTCCATCAGCTTGGTCATCACGCAGTGTTCACCCATCGCCCTCGAGAAGGTGGGCTGGAAATACTACGTGAGTCCTCATTGGTTTGGAGCCTAACAGTTTATGGTTCTTGTTTCCGCTAACAGTCAAGAAACATAGATCCTTTTCATTCTTACCAACGCTCTCTGCACGCTTGTATTCGCAGTTGCATATCCAGAGACGAGAGGTGAGTGACAGCAAGATAATTGGCTTCTGAGGAAAGAGTATTCTGACCGGGTTCGATATCTAGGCAAATCACTCGAACAGATCGACGAGATATTTGGGGATATCCAGAAACGTGACATCGAGTTCCTCCCGGAGAGGAACGACGTGGATGAGAAAGATGGGGTCGAACTTGAAGAAGCCGCAAGATAGATGCCATTAGTACCAGTACCACCGACTTATCCCGTTAGAAGAAGTTGTATCCATGCGAAGCAAAGATAAGCTAGGCCTACATAGCCTAGTGGAAAATCTCGCCCATCTCCTGTCGCCCTGAGATTCTTCACCCCCGTGGTGGCGATACTTGACATCGTGGATATCTATGCTGAATGAAGTGCATGGCTTTGCCAAGGTTGCGCAAGCTTATACTGGCGCCTTACATTTCTACCGACCAAACATGTAGAATCTAACCATGCTCGTGCCAATGCTTCCGATAAACAGTGAGGACGACTAATACTTCAAGCAAACATGGTTTTACGCAATACCTGTCCGATAACCAACGCCACGCAATGCATCTTCGTTAGAGTACATTTTTCCCGCCAAGTCGCATATGATTCCAACAAACTGCAATAGACATGTCAGCAAGTCTGCGATCATACCTAGCGCCTGCTAGTGTGGTGTACTCACTCGTAAACCCAAGATCATCACCGAAAAAGGCCTTCATGACATCTTCGCCAGAACTCATACCAGCCTGTGGCCAGTACGACACAGCCTTCTTGCCCACAGCCAACCCAATCATGGGCGGAATCTCCTCAAGCTCAAGGAATGCGGGTTCCTTCCCGCTCACCTCCTTCTGAATCCGCTGGTGGATGTTGTTGGCGGCAAAATAGCCCATATGCATGGCGGCACCGCACCGCTTGATACCGGACCACTTGACGACATCGCCAATGGCAAAATGATCCGCCGAGTTTGGTGTGTCGGGAGGGAATGCCAAGCTGTCATGACTGTGTCAGCACTGGAAAGAAAACCAAACACAGCAATCTGAGCGTTATCATACCTAGCTTGGATTTTGACGTAGCCCTCATTATCCAGGGCCTTGTCTGACAAGAAAGTCGTCGATGGAACGCTCCTGGAGATTGCCATGGCAACCTGGTCCGCAAGCATGGTATGGCCGTTGGTAAAGTGCACCCTAAAGCACTTGTTGCCTTGATCATCTTTGATCTCCTCGGTCCGGTCGAGCCGATGAGACATGAGCACGTCGACGTTGGCCTCGCGCAAGAGCTCCAGGCTGCGGTCCTTAACGTCATCTGGAAGTGGCTCTGACGAGAGGAGCTTGTCTCGCGAATGGACTAGAGTGACTTTGAGGTGCGGCTGGACGAGCTTGAGCTCTGCGGCCATCTCAATGCCCACGGCGCCTGTGAGTGCAAAGGATGGTCAGACAATAAGGGCTTACGCTGAACATGGGGAAATACTGACCACCGCCAACAATGACGACGCCGTGCCTCGCAGTCATGGCAGCACGGATGTGGTCGCCCGCCTCGAAGAGGTACTGTTTCCTCCGCAGTGACTGCGGTACCACGGGCCACACCCTCCTCAAGCCGCTCGCGGCGACCAGGTAATCATACTCGATCTCCGACGTCTGGGTGCCGCCGCCGCGTGCAACATATGTTGCTACCTTGCGCTGCTGGTCGACTGATTGCACCGTGCCATGGAGGACGTGAATGTTGGGCGACTGCAGCGCGGGAATGTCTTCATACTTGACCCAGCACTTCTCGGCATACGACTCAGATGCCAGCGCCAGAGGTGAGCCGATGAGATGATCTATGAACAGGAAGTTAGTAAAGGAGAAGCAAGTTTGGATGAATGGTAAGGCAGTAAAGACAACTCACAAAATCCATCTCGCTCGTCTACAATTGTGATGTCGACAGGATATTGTGGCCTTTCCACATGCTCGCCCTCATTGGGTTTAGGCCCGCATCGTGGCGCCAGGCCGCGGCATAGATCTTGCAGATTGAGAGCAGCCGAGAGTCCGCCGTACGAACCGCCAACCACCAGGATCCGGAACGGCTGCTCTATTGTCACGCCGACGTCCACCGGCGATTGGAACATCGAGCCCATCGTGCCTGCCAGACTTCAAGTCAAAGAAACGGTTACTGCAAGTAACCCGCTGTAAGTAGCAAAGGAAACGTGGCACCAAGGGGTAGTGAACCGAATCGGGGGCGGGCAGGGCTCGAGTTGGGAAGGAGATGGGGGGGAACTGGATGGTTCCCCTCTTATCCAGGAGTTGCCCTGCTGCAAGCTGATGGACCGACGCTGCAATATGTAGCGCGAAGGGTAGGAGCGAGGGCTGCCCCACAAGTCCTTTCTTGCATTTTGCTTCTCCCAATGCCTTCCAGTTTTCTAATGGCGGCTCCACTTCGCAGGTTCCTTCAATTCCCGCTCTCGGCTTCCCTTGCCATGCTGATGCGGTTGATCCACAAGTTCCCAAGGGGCGGGCACTTGCTCACACATTCTCGGCGTCGGAATTGCCCACACGTGTTCATACCCTACGAGTTAGCAACTCATGCGGCGTTTTCCCCAACGGCTGTCTGGTTCACTGTTGGACTGCCGCAGTACCGCTGTGTGCCGAATTGGAATTTCTCAACAAATCGAGAATCAGCCATCACCGATGCCGCACACAAGCCCCGAGCCCACAGCCCCTCGCTTTGGCTTGGCCCCACCGGTGTAACCCAACCATATGCACTCTCATCTTATCAGATCATCGCTAACAGGGATGTCTAGATGGGGCGCTCCGAACCGGCGAAGACTCCCTCCGCCAATCCTCGTGCACAGTGTGGTGTCATAGCGGGCCATTCAATTTCCGATACGAACTGGAGCCTCCGAATTCTCGACCTTTTCCTATTCTCCTTGGACTTGCGGGAGTTCAATGATACCTAAATTCCACCAGATACTCAGTTCAAGAAGATCTGAAGTTTTGAATCCCTCAAAGCTTGTGAGTCGATGGCTCCAATCCGTTGCATTCTCCGACACATGATATCATCATGTTTGCATCGACGGACGAGTCATATTCCAACACCTAACGGAAAACCATAGCGTCCAAGATCGCACAGGACCTATCTAAATGCCAGCTCACCGGCCCTCGCAGTGCTTCCTCAGCCGGGTACAGTTCACACTTCATCTTACTTCCATTACACGCCGTCAACAGTCTACCCCCCTACCCCGAAACCGGGGAAGTCAAACTTGTGTTCCTCAGCTCTGTAGCCTCCCGGAGGCACCCCGGAGTTGGTCAACTCCCCCAAGAAGCTCGTATGCAGCGAATACAAGTCTGGATCAGCCTTGATCGCCTCGGCCTGAGCAAGAACATCCTCCAGGTCCTGCCCGACGTCAAAATACTTCCCCCTCAGAACACGCTTGCCTATGCCTGTCGCCAACGCTACGCAAACCATGCCGTTGAGGTAGGGCGAGTCATTGTAGACGTCGAGCGCGTTGGCAAACCATGCACGTGCTTGAGGGGGCAGATTGTTCACCGATTCTGCTGCGTATTCTGACAGAGTTCCCCCCTCGTCAGCCTCTCGGACGCTAGAAGGCAGTGGACTAACGAATGACTACGTGAACATACTCTTGAGCGTCATGGTTGACTTGATGCCGCCAGGATGGAGCGAGTACATGTGGACGTCGTCCAATCCCTCGACGTCCATCTCCTTTTGCGTGCACGCCGTCAGGTTGATCAGCGCTGCCTTGCTCGCGCAGTAGCTCGTGCTGTAGGGGATGGCGACAGTCCCCGCGCGCGAAGCAATGTTGAGTACGCACCCGCTGCGCTGGTCCCGAAAGTGTGGGATGAGCAACCGCATCAGGTAGTAAGGACCGTGGAAGTTCACGGCGATGTCGCGGATGAAGTCACGCGGGTTTTGAGCGTCGATCTGGGACACGGATCAGGGGACAACCGTGATCATGAGTCAATGATACGCAGCAGCGGGCACAGTTGAAAGGATACATACCGGTCCCAACCCGTTAGCACCAGCATTATTCACGACAATATCGACCTTGCCATGCGTATCCAGTGCCTAAGGTCCATGCATCGCATGTTATCCAAATCAATGCTCTCCTCCAACTGCGTGCGATTATCCTCACCCCCCCACTCCCGCCCACGGAGTCGATGATGCACTCACCTGTCTGACAAGCGCCTCACACTGCTCCAACTCGGCGACATTGCACTTCGCAAACTCAACGCCTCCGGCCCCGAACCGGAGACACCGCTCTCTGAGCTCCGGAGGGGGAGGTGTATTGTTATAAGTCAAAATGAGCTTTGCCCCGGCCACGGCAAACGACTCGGCAAGGCTCTGCCCGATAGCTCCTGCGGCGCCTATGACGAGATTCAAAAAGAATCGGATTCATCAGCATCTGGCGGTGGAAAGCATTGAAAGAGGCCAGGTCGTGCGTGGCAGCAAGCAAACGCGACGTCTAACTGCTAGGTGACGGGATCTGAATGCAATTCGCCGGGAAAGAAGCATACCGGTGATAATAGCAACCTTGCCCCTCAGGGAGCCCCTAAACTTTTCTGGCAGGATGAAGGGATAGATATCGGTGCGGAAGCGAGGGGTGAACTGGGCCGGCGCCGGCTGTGACTTTTGATCTGCCATCTCCTTTCTGGTTGCTCTTGGTGCTCAAGTTCCTCGAGTATCAACTAGAAGTTCAGTTGCAGGGTCAATTATGCGTGAGTGACACTTGGGCTTATAAGGTAAGGTGAACCTGTATAGAGTACTGCTGTAGTTCGAAGTGAAACGGAACAGCAAAAACTCCTTGGAAGATACGAAACATGCGCTCTCACCTCAAACTTACGAACAAACATGACAGCGGCGGGGTCCGGGTACAGACTTGACTCCCGAGCCGTACCTCAAAGCCTGCAGTAGCACGGTACCTGATCACCGTATGTCAGCAGACTTATGGTTTGTTTGATCTCGCTACGTCTTTGGATAAATTCAGTTCGGTCTAACCTCTTCGGCACCTGTTCCGTCGGTGTTGCATATGCCTCTGTTCTCGCAGGTATTTGCCACCCATCCCGGCATGGTCAATATCAGGATTGCAATCCATTAATCTGTGTATAGCACGTCGCGATTCTAGCCTCTTCGGTGTCCTTACTTCACTACTAGTAATGCTATACTATACGGTATCAATGCTATGTACCCGGTAATTCTGCTTGCCCAGAGGCCCCGAACGCCGATTCCCTCCATCCATCAGGAAGTGAAGCCATCTAAAGGGCTTCATGCGATGACCAAGAATGCCACTGAAAAAGACCTAAAGCTTTGACCCGTAGGGAGGTACAAGACGATCCATAGCGCCAATTGTCTTGTGTCATGGCTGTCGGCCGGGACACGTCAAGTCGGTAACCGTTCTCTCTATTAACGTCCTTAAGACACGCGCCTCTCTAAACCCTTAAACCCTGTTTCAAGACTTTAGAGTCGCATCACTCGCCGTCCGTACGTTCTCGATCGACGGACCCAGGTTCTAGTTAATATGGATCCGCATCACTTGGCCCGTCCCGATGGCAGAGATTCCGCTTTGTCCTCTGCTACAGGAGCGGGACTCAAGACAGAGGTTTCAGCCACTGCCTCACCGCCAGCGTCTTTACTCTTCATTCGTGACGCTTGAGGCCCCGTGATTTCAAAGACGGGCACGTCAACCTCATTCTTGAGATACCTCTCGGAGGGCAGCCCAGCGCGCATGTGCCCATGACTTTTGCTGCAACGCTTGAGTCGCGGCTTGGTAATTCCGGGCCAGTTCCCACGACGGGAGGCTTTTGACCCAGGCCGAAACTTCAGTTCCAACTGCTCGTCCTCCCCGGACAAGTATTCCTCCCCATCCTCGGTTCCCTGGAAGGGATTCTTGTGTCTGGCTGCTAGCAGTTGTATACTGCTTCCGGAGCCTCTACGCCGCCCGTACGAGCGTCGCTCTGGGGATGCGTCTCCTGAAGATGGGGGCTGTCCGCGGCCTATCTCGCCACCCTCGGCGTACCCTGTCTTTCCGAGGCTTCCGCTCATATCCTGCAGTCTGCGAAGGTCGAGCTGACTTTGGTTGAAGATGACGCGAGCTCGCAGATGGTGCACTGCCTGATCCAAGGCAAGCTCAATGCCGAGCCTGTCACGGATGCGGCTAAGCTTGGGCCAGGTTGCTCTTTCGCCAATCATGCAATTCCGAAGCATGAACTCAGGCGTCGGGTTCTTCAGGATCAGTGGAAGATCGTTAAGTGGGATCTCGGGGAGGATCGTTATGTCACCGGAATACCGCTGGCTCAGGACGCAGCGCAGCTTGGAGAACAGGTTAGGGAAGATGCCGAGTTCGGATAAGAAGTGTAGTCGGTGCATCGCCTCATCCTTCGCGAGAGCTGTGAGAGTGTAGAACCACTCCCCGCTGTCCTGAGACCCCTTTTCCTGCCGCAATCTGCCGGGAGTGGTCGCAGGATAAAGCCGATCATCCTTTGCCAGGAAGGGGACGACATGTGGGTTAACTTGCGAGACAATGAAGTGGTTGACGTTAAACATCTCGGCTAGACGAGTCATGGGGAGGTCATTGTCCACGGATCCGTCAATCAGGCGCTGTGGGGTGGGATTCCACGGTAGATGGGCCCCAGTAGCCGGATCCTTTACAAGCAAATGAGTGCCCTGAAAGACGAGTGGGACGGAGCAAGAGGCGGCAACGGCTGACCAGATCAGGACGTTAGGCGCCGTGATGTAGTTGAGCAGCCGCGGAAGATCGTAGAGCGAAGCTGACGACACGCAAATGTTGCAGATCCTTCGGGTCCGGTTATAAGCCTCTTGAAAGGTCAGGTCGCCAAGCCAGACTCGCATCACCCTCGTCAAGTTGTCAATGTTAGCCCAACTTCCTTCGGTGAGGAGGCGGCGAATGTGGTCAAATATGTGATCTTCATCGCCCTGAAAGACACCGAGATCCCCAAACGGGAACGCTTCAACCAAGCCCGGAAGTTCTTCGTCTGTTCTGGTACACACCACAGAGCAGACTATGGAACCAGCGGATGCACCGGAGATGATGCGCGGAAGGAGCTTCTGCTCATACAACGTTTTGAGCACACCGATATGCGACATGCCAAAAGTCGCGCCGCCGCTCAAGAGTAAAGCGCTCCGTCCGAAGCTTTGTCGGGCATAAAGCATACCCTCGAGCAGATCCTTTGGTTCCAGGCCATACTGCGTGGAGTAGGCGCTTTTCTCGACTACTGACTCGATGGTTTGGATGGCCGACTTGACATACCGCTCCACCAGCTTCTTAGTCCCAATGTAGGAATGCCGATAGAGGTCCATGCTCCCCATTCCCCCGAGGTCACGAGATAACGAGGTCCTGATCAGATACATCATGGCGTGGATGTCGCAATTTGTCCGGGCGTTGTCAAGCTCCTCCAGGCTCGCTCGGATCACTTCCGGGTGATAATCGCCGCTTTGGTCGTCAAGCTTCCACTTGTCATTACCTTCAAGCTGATCAAGCTGCTCAGCAGCTGCTTGCCACTCTTCAAAGGTGGTGGCCTGTAATACAAATGATGTTAGTAACATAGTGGACGGCAAAAAGGGGATTGGCAGGGAGAAGCGCTGACATTCTGCATGCGAGCGGCCAGGATCTGCATCTGCTCCTCGGCCTTCCTCCTGGCCTCCCGCTGCGATTCGGTAAGGCCATCTCGCCAGGATAAGATGAGGTTGTTGGCCTCGCGGATTAGCTTGAACAGATGGAATGGGGCGCGTTGTTGGCTTCTCCGTTTTCTCCTATGTTTCACTGGCTGACGTTTAGGGACCGTGCCCAGCCAGGAGTCCGGCTCGCTGGCTTGGATGATACGGGGTGTGCGGAGGAAAAAGTCGGCCATGTTGGAAGCGGAGAGGTGAGCGGGAAAGGGAGCGATGGTACTGAAGTCCCTTCTGCGGCCAACAGCCCGGACTCTAGCGGCTAGCTAGTCCGAGGCCGGACGGAGACGGTTATTGGAATTGTTGGGGCATCAAAAGTGAAGTGGTGTACCGTAAAGCGGGAGATCGTCGTGGCCACGAGACGGCTGCAGCAACTTGACAGCGTCAGCTTGTGACGTAGGGAGGCGTGTCGAGTTCGAGCTTGAGCTAAATTCACGTTCGAGCAGCAACGAAGTCGACAATCGCTTGTTACAGTAGGTAGTGGGTGGTGTGAGAGATAACTAGAGTGGTATAGAGCTGGGCTTGAACAGGAAGAAACCATGAACAATGGAGCGAGAGAGAGCGACTTGAAAGTAATTCCCTGGCATTTTGTCCGGAACACGCTGTCCGTGACTCCGTGTGCGCTCCTGCCGGATGAAGCACTCGGAAAGGCCACCTGACGGATCGCAGGCCCAAAGCGTCCCACCACGGGGAATTGGTGGGGGAGGTGGGCCTACCCCACACTCATGATGGCTTGACGGCCGCCGTGGCAGGAAATGGAAACAAAGAATCGTGGGGAAGACATAGACGTTAGGTAGTTATGGACTGACGCTGATTGGACATATTTAACATGTTACATGCAGGATGAAATGAGCATTCTGGCTTGATCAATCATTGTGTAAGGTATCGTATTGTCCCTGAAGTTTACGTGTTTGAGCTACCTCTACTAACGTTACATTAGTCGTAGGACGATGACAACATTGCCGGTGTTCGGGGGTGTCTTCTCGGCCCTCAATTTAAAAACCCCATGGCATCAGCTTGCAAGTGCTAAGTGCACTGACGACTGAACGAATACCGTGACTTTCTACGCAATAGTCCAGGCATTTACTTTGAATTCTGGCGGTTTGAACCATAAATTACTACCCAGGTTCAGCAACGGCATGAGTGGGTGGGCAGAATACCAAGAATACCTTAGGTATCGACTTGCATAAATTACGCACTTCAAGCTACCCTTAGTGTAATACTCGTTGGCCTGAGCTGCCTCATCATCAGATGGATCTGGCCGAGGGGTCCAGTTATAGATTGATGAATTACATTCGCCTGGCCACGAGTCATGGTCTCATGAGTCGGTTTCGGAACGAAGTTGTCTATGTTCCTGCTCAGTTGGGCGGTGTGAGTGTGGGGCAGCTTCACATGCTGAACCGTAACGCTGAGATGCTCACAGTATGACATACATAGTTACCTCCATGCAGATGTAACGAAATGTAATTTCATCAACACACTTGCTAGCACTTGATCGTAGTGAGTACATACTCCAGGCATCATTGTTGAGAGGCTAAGGTGAGGTAAAGGTAGCTTAATAGTAAATGTATGTATGGTGTATGTACACAAGCCAAAGGTTGATTACCCTTATATATGCCCGCAACAAGATTCAGCATGCAAAAGATAGACGAGTTGACAGGCATGCGAATTGCGAGACAGTGTCGTCCGTAACATAACAGAAAGTAGTTATGGATAGAAATTACGGTGAATGTGAAAACATACCAACTTCGTACAACCCCTTACATCTCACTGGTATGTTTCAATCCGATACGTTGTAATTTACGTTTATTGATCAGATGACAACGAGCTATAGGGCACGTGGCCCATTCTAGGCTTGCGTCATGACCGGCCATAGCAGAGCATTACCGTAATACAGTCTAACCTGAGGAATCAAAATCGGGGTTCCCAAGCGATTTTGTATAGCAAATAAGAATAACCTGGGAAACGGACTTATTCTTACGAATCTTGCTTAGTAACCCATACAATTTCGGGTTTATTCTTATGTACAGGTAGGCGAAAGTATGGTTGAACCCCTAACTGTGGCCGGGGGACCGAACATTTGACCCTGGAAATAGGCATTTTGACCCCGATTCGGGCAACTCTTTGTCTGGGTTAGGGTTATGTGTGTATCTGGGAGTAAGAATAACCTGGGTATAAGCATCAAAATTGGGGTTCCGGACTTGATTCTTATGTGCAGGTTAGACTGTAACCCACCAGGGTGCGCGACGCTGTGCTGCTGCTTGCCCCACGCATCCCACCCAACAATTTTGAGAGACTCGGCAGCCTCAGGGGCCGCATACCGACCCGATTTCCAGACGAGTGTCCGTACTGTATGTACAGGGTAGTGTGAGCTTCACTCACCCTCGACCTTTCCCTACTATAGGTCGGTAATACACGGTGATCTCGCCCTTGCGCGCTACTGGCTCAATTGACCTACGGGCAGTCCTGGCGAAAATGAGGGATGGTGACTTTGTCTTGTCGACAGCTCTGCCTGAGGCAAGTCTGGCATTCACCATACCAAGTCTCCACGACGGCCTGCCCATCGATTGTCGCCTGTATCATCCGCAGTCCCTTGGAGCACCTCTCGACTCGCCACCCTGGCAGAGACATGCTGCTATTGTCGCCCATCCTTACGCTCCACTCGGCGGATGCTACGATGATCCCGTCGTTGAGATGGTAGCAGCCACGTTGCTGAAACTGGGCTTCCTGGTCGCAACCTTCAATTTCAGGTTGGCCTTGTCTCCGTTGTCTCTTTGCTCCCCCCGACCCTACGTCCCCGCAGCTCGCTGATGCTTCCAATGTTACAGAGGTGCACGGGGTTCCGCCGGCAAAACTTCATGGACAGGGAAGGCTGAGCGCGCTGATTACATGTCTGTTGTCGGTTTTGTTGTCCATTACGTACATTTTCTCGACCCTCACCCGCCAACTACCCCGAGCAAAAGCCCGACTGATATCCATGAGCATAAGGAGGTTGGCTTAACAGTCCACATGCGCCCACCCGCCTCAAGGTCCTCTCAGTCCGCATCTCTAGGAACAGCCACTTCGATCCTGCTGTTAGCAGGCTATTCTTATGGCTCCATGATAACAACGCAACTACCGTCGCTTAAGGAAATGCTTGCCGCGTTTGACACCCCTGATTGTGCATCTCACGCGACCGAGGTCCGGATGCGAGCGCAGCACTTGGCGGAAACACAAAGTACGACCATAGCCCGCGCCGCTGCGGCTGCTGTCGATGCGGGGATAACGCACACCCAGAAGTCTCTAGGATTGCGCGTTGGCGGACTCGGAGAAAGCCCTAATAGCCAAGAGACTCGTCGCCCGTTGTCGGTCGAGTTGGAAGAGTCGCTACGGCATGGGGTGGCTGAGCTCATAGCGCGGGCAAAGAAGGAACATTGTCGATTCCAAAAAGACCATAAGCAATTTACAGAGGTTGATGGGGCACATGGAGCACAACACAGCGTCAAGCAGCAATCCGTTTCTGGTCGCTTGCTTCCCGTCCCAGGTGGGCTATCTACGTTCCGTGAGGCATATCTCCTCGTCTCCCCATTGCAGGGGCTGGTGACCAATCTCGCCACCATGTCGTTCCCCTCGCTATCAAATGCTTACAGAAGGGTATTGCATCGTTTCTCTGCAAGGACGGACAAAGCGCGTTCTCAGCCGGGGCTGCAAGAATTTGGCGGGCTGGCGGGTGCAGTCTCGGTTGAGGCTGAACAGAAGCTGGTCCGGAATTCGACTCTTGCTATTTACGGGGACCGCGATGAGTTCGTACCCGCTCAGAAGCTACGCGAGTGGGCTTCGCGGCTCCAGGAGGTTCCAGAATCCATGTTTCGGGCTCACGAAGTATCCAGTGCCAATCACTTCTGGACGCAGCCCAATGTGGCTAGGATTCTGAGAGAATCCATCGAAGCATTTGCAGTGTCTCTATTAGACGGCAACAAGGAAGTATCATATCACGCACCAACGAGATAACCCTCCCCTAGGAGCGCGGAATTCGAAAGACACACGGTCTACTGGCGTGCCGATTACATGCTAGAAACCCCGCAAAGCCCGACATCTATTCTCGATCGCCGCCTTGGTCACGGGAACATCTGGTGCCATCCTAAGGTAACCAGCTAGTCAGTGGAACGCTTCCTTGTGAAGACGGAACCAGTGCATATCGGGATGTTTCGGCTAGGGATGACGGGATTGCCTGGCTCCTTGGACCGCCCTTATCAGGGGGTAAGATGGTCGTGTGAACTTACCACTCCCAACCATGAGGGACGCCGGGATACAAATGCAGCTCGAGCTCGACGTTGGCCGCGGCCAGCCTTGCGCCAAATGCGAGCACCTCATCTCTGAACAAATCCAGCCCGCCAATATCGACATATGTCCGAGGCAAGCCAGACACATCCGTCTCCCGAGCAGGTACCGCGTACTGCGAAACCTCGGTCGCGCTGTCATAACCATCAACCGCCCCGGTATACCCGTCCAGGTACGCCCTCCATGCAATCTGGTTCTTCTTTTCGGTCCAAGTTAGGTGCTTGGTCAGCGAGGAATTGCTTTCCTCAGCTTGCCCATTCCTGCCGTGATAGTCAAGGGCGGGGTATATCAGAAGCAGTTTTCCAACCGCCGGGGTTAACCCTCGGTCTCGTGCCATAAGCACTGTTCCGGCAGCGAGGGTAGCTCCGGCGCTGTTACCCATGACGGCGATGCGCGCGGGATCGACCCCTTCTTGCTCAGCATGCCTTTGGAGCCATTCCAGAGCCGAATAAGCGTCTTGGAGGGGCTTGGGGAACGGGTTCTCGGGCGCAAGGCGGTATGCGGGCGCGTAGAAGGTTAGGCCTGTGCTGACAGCGTAGCGGATTATATCCGGGCTGAAGAGCTTGACGCTGCCAGATACGAAGCCCCCGCCGTGGAGGTACCTGGCGCAATTCAGTCACACTTTCCGAGGGGGGCATGGATTGGAAGGTGTTATAGAGCAGAGCGAACACTTCGAAAGCACCCTGTTTCCAGCGTATTACAGTGACAAACGGGACAGTTCCACCCTTTGCTTACAGTACTGCAGGCTGTTTCGTCAGGGTTTCGGTCGGCTTGTTCTCCTGCTTGCCGACGGCAGTACTAGCGTTGGTGTTGTTGCTGCCGCTATTGCCGTCGCGGTCGACGGACGCAGGATTGTGCAAGGGCTTGAAGCGATGTAGCGTGATGCTTGTTCCGTCGGCCGAGGCATAGGGAATCTCCGTTTGGGTAATGCTGTCACCGTCATGGACAGGGAGCTGGCGCATCAGAGCGCCGAGGGCGGCGTTGTTTTGCCGACGCAGCGAGGCGGCGTTGTGGGGTACCGGCGGAATGACGGTGCCCCATCTGTCAATGAAGGCCTTTTCATAATCAGGGTCCAGGCGAAGGCTTCCGCCTCCGAGGTCACTAGGCGTGCTGGAGCCTTGGAACAGGTTGTTCAGACCCATGGTCGAGAGAGACTCTTGATTGATGTACACAAAGGTGAGAAGGCTCAACACTCGGGATTTAGAGCCGGACGAGGCGAGAAGGTTGACTGACCTCTATTTATTGCCCTGTAAGCAGGGTCTAGCTCCTCTGCCGCGCATCATCCTTGACCGGATACGTTGTTCTGATGCAAACGGGGGCCTTAGCGTGACGCCGCTTAAATGTCCGTTGTCTTAGAGCACTAAAAGAACGAATAGGCTCTGGTAGTAAGTCTGGTCCATTTCCCGACGCAGCAACTCGCTGCTTAGTCTTCGACCCGGGTTCCGGCGAAGGTAGATGGAACCATGTGAAAACAGAGTAAGAACCTGCCAGGCCCCTGGCCGAGTTGCTGAGGGCGTAACCGAGACGCTAGGGAGCTACGCTGATCTTAACTGTGCTTTAGGTTAACGACATCATTGAGAAAGCGGCAATAGAGCGAGCGATCTAGGTAACTGTTGAAGCGCACGAGCGGGAGAGTGGCAGCACTTTTGCCCGTGCCTGCCGATATCCTCTTTCGGGAGACATGTGAAGGAGGAAGGAGATACCTTACCAGTATTGCGGGAAGAACGTGGATCCAAGGTAGCTCCTTGCCCTCTTTCTCAAGAGACATCACTTCAGTTCGATTTATTACCCTTAATGAAGCTTCTAGTGCCGTCAAGTCCACTCAACGCTGCCAGTTTCACCCATTCAGTTCACGCCCCAAGGAAACCGACAATGGCTTCGTTTTGGCCTACATTTCCGGCCGCTTGTCGAGTAAGGAGAGGAATACCTCGGCAATATCCAGCCAGTCGTTTGCTTTCGGTCCAGTGTTACCTCTGAGCTGAGTAGATTGCGCGAGCAATGTCTTGTGGTGGCTTGAGGGTCTGGAATTGGCGGGATTTCATATTTTTGGGAGACAGACTGAATTCAACGTATTCATGAAGATTTAAGGAGCGAGGGCCAAACGAATCAGCATCAGTCTCGCTTGCGGGCATTCACCGTTCGGTTCGAAAGAGAGCAGAGCAACTCGAAGCATCCAAGTTCCTGATATGCGCGAAGAAAAGTCTTGTCCTATGGCTTAACATTCTAATGAGAATCCGATTCTGGAACAGCACTTCCCCAGAACTCACTGACATACGGAGTACAATATAGCTATTATTGACTCGATTATCAAATACATACGCCTTTTGGACGGAACAAGAATCTAAGGCCGCACGCTATTGACCGCCACAGCGCCACGATTTAGCAGCCGGGGAATATATTCCTTCAACTTTTCGACGTACGCCTGGCATGAGTATGCTAACGGTCTCACCATTTGCAAAAGCATCGCAATGGACAGCACCATATCTTGCTCCTTCGCCTCTTTGGCCGATCTCCTCGGCTAGGTGACGTACCATGGATACAATCTAACCCAGCTGACGGACCGGTGCCCCGAACTTTGCTCCCTGGCCTGGGGCGAAGGAAACCCTGACATTTCCGGTATTGGAGTATGGTCCCATGCAATGACACATATATTCACGATTGCAGCTAACCCATCAGGTATTTGTGTCATACGTCTGACAATACATCCTCACCATGATCTACGGTCCCGTCTTACGGTCTTCGTGCTCTTGCACCAGGTTGCTACAGTGACCTGGACGGACTGGCTCGAGAGTATGCACACCACCATGGTCAGCGCCAGCGGAGTGTTTGGCATCTCGGTCGCGACGGCGACACTGGTGTGGCTGCCTCAGAAGGTGCTGCGTTGTGGTACGGTTACGCCAAGCGAGCGTCGACCTGGACCTGCTCCCAGAGCTGGCATCCAACTGCCGTCCCTATAACGACATCCTGCCCGGTCTTCCCAACGACGACCCTAACGTGATGGAGGGTATAAAGCGCTTTGCGGATACCATAGGGTACACCAGCACTACGGGTATCGTGCTTTGGAGCACCCTAGGCTTGCCGCTGCGCATTTTCCTTGGCTTCTTGAGCGTGGTTGGCGTATGCGCCGTTCTCTATGGCCTCTATTGGTTGGCTTCGAATTCGCCGAAAACATTGGCCTTCTTCTTCTCGCTTGGATTCTGGATTGGCATTACCTACTGTCTCGCACAGCTCGATCAGAAGAGGAACTTGCTGGGCAGCGTCCTAGGTGAGGAATATGGAGGCTCTCAGTGGGGTTTTGGCCAGGTTCTGGCTGTTTTTGCATGGATGCCCCTTTTGCTTGAGACAGTGGTAGGCATTCTGGAGAGCGTTGCAAGGGCGTGCACATCTTCTTCTGACCGTAAGTAAGGTAGTTCCCCGAATCCTCTTTGCCCTTCCTAACAAGGCCATTCTTGCAGAACGAAAGCGAAAAGATGACCTATCTTCTCGCCAACACTACACTAAAATGCGACCTGTTGTCTCGTTGGGTGATTCTATAGAACACGAGCTGGGGACGAGAGGAAATCTTTTTCCAGAACACTCAACAGTCTCGGCGTATCACCGGAGTAACAGCATACTTCGAGACTAGGGAAGGGAGGATTGTCTCGATAGCTATCACACTTGCATATAAGGGAGGCTTAGACCAGAAGGCCTTGGTGGAAGATAACTACTAGTAAATCCCTGTTGCGGCATCATGATGGCTACCTCCAACCGAGCTGCCAATCCCCCGCTGGCGTACTGCCTTGCAGTCTGTTGTCCTTGGGCATGGATTAACATTGTTACAACCCGGATATGGAGGGGGAGAGAGGGGGGGTGGTTTCGGTTGGGTTTGACGAATGGAAGTTTCCCCCTTATTCTAAGGTATGCAAGCCGATGCCAGTATTCGAGCTGTCAGCACACCACTTGAATGCATTAAGCGGAGTTTCAACCCTTCTTCTTAATCATTCAAATTGTTAGCTACTTACAGGGAGAGCGGCTCCTTCCATTTTACGACAGGCTATACACAGTTCGTTACCACTTTCTAGGAAAGAGTGCCTTCCTGGACCCAAGCAGTTCTACACCCCCTTCCCTACGCAGGCAAGATAGGTGTTACCAGTGTGGCAGCTCCTGGGGAAGCTCACAAATGATAATCTTGAGGGTTTGACACAACCACGCCGCGTCTTAGCCACACCGCGTCGATATTCATGTCTTCTTGGCCGCTGTTGTTAAGGGCGGACAAATCCCATAGTCAGCACCGAAGAGAAAGAACAACAAACGCGCCCTGGCTGGCTGGGACCGGCTTACTCGTCCTTGAGGGTTATAGAAGGCTCCGTGTCGCCCGCCTCTTTGTTAGGATTCCGAAATAGGACGTTTCGCGTCTTGGGTCATCAACGGTCAGTCAGTGGTTCAACCGACTACCCGTTCTGAACTCACCAGGCCCAGCGTCAAATGTATCCCAGCCGGCGCAACTGACAAGCGTTCCACCGGCTTATTACCGGCCACCATGGCAGCAATATTCCTGGCGGCAATAGCAGCCTGTACCATTCCAGGCCGAGCAGCCTTGTGCGCTCCGGAATCTGCAATGTCTCCGACCGCGAAGAGGTGCGGGTACTTTGGATCCTGGAATTGCATCGTGGGCAATACGCGGATGAAGCCGTTCTTGGGGTTGACGACCGAGTCCGGAGACGACGGTTCCAGTCCTTGTAGGAACTGGTTGTTGGGCGTTTGGCCCGTCGCCTGGATCACAAAATCCGCTGAGAGTACTCGCCCATCTTGAAGTTGGATCTCAAATGGTTTCTGACTCTCATCGTTGTTGGGGAAGCCCGTTTGCGGAATGACCACTCGACTTCCCGTGACAAGTTCAACTCCCAGCTCCTGGAACCGGATTTTGATGAGGTCGCTCAAGGCTTCGTGATACACCGGCATAAGCTGCTGACGTGAGTGGACCAGCGTGATCTGTTTTGCAGGATAGACTTCCTTCAGATCGCAGGCCATTTGCACCCCCACCGCGCCGCCGCCAACGATCACGATGGAGTTTGCCCTCCTTATACCATTCTGGTATGATCGCAAGTAACGCACTGAAGGCGCCTTGTCATCGTGGGGCATAGTACCTGGGGCGGTTAGACGGGTACCTGTTGCGACAACAAGAAAGTCGAAGGGTACAGTCCGGGACCCCTGCCATTCCCTGTCGAGGGTGACCGAGTTGGCTTGCAGAGACACGGCGCGGGCCTTGGCGACTTGGTGCCGGGTGCTGTCTGGGGCAGAGGAGAACAGAGATGAGAATGGAATAAAGGCTTTGTGCTCGTAGCTTGGTGTTATGGCAAAGCGAGGCTGGCAGTCTATTGGCTATTTTGAGAGGGAAGGATGATGCCTCGGAGAGCTTACAAAGGCGAAGAGATGGTGGAAGTGGCTGTGTGGTTCAACTAGGAGAACCTGTCATCCGATATTAGATTCAGTCTACTAGCCGCAAGGAAAACAGGCCAGCAAGCTGGACTCACACGATGGGTAGCTGGAAGGATACATGCAAGCTCCTTGGCTGTGTTCTAGACATTTACTATCAGCTATGGGTGATTTTGGGAGAAACTGTCTGATCCATTCGGCCCTCCAGTCCACTTACTGCTCCGACATATGAGCCCCCTATCACAACTATATTTCGAAAAGTACTACCCATCATGCTGCTCGATTCGGCCGGACAGCTTTGGTGGCAGATTGTTGATGGGGGAAAAGATCAACAAACAGGATAGTAACGGCAATGATCAGTATCAGAACGGGAAAAGATTAATCTAGCAGAAATCATAGGTGTTTAGGTACGAACTTATAAAGGGATGCGATGTCTCGCCTCGGCTCGGCTGTCGGTCAATAAAGCGAACCTCCGAAGGTCGGAGTGAGGAAAAAAAGGAGATCGGACGATGTACCTGGAGATACGCCGCTCGGGTTAAGGTTAAGCCTACGACCCCTAACTCCCCATTCATTCTTCCTCAGTCCGACAGTTCACCGTCTCGGCCGAAACCCATCGATTCTCGCATTGATACAGCCGCCTATCCAAAACATCTAGAGCCTCGATCAGATCAGCTATCTGGACGTGATTGCCTCACGATTTGATGGTCTCAAGCGGATATAAAAAGCATCTTGAAGACTAACAGCATTCCCTCGTCTCAATTTTTAGGTAACCATGAGAGAAAGTCTTTATTTCCAACGGCCCACTTGAGACCGGAATTTACTACCTATACGAACCATGGCCATTAAAGCGATACTCGATTAGTCGGCTCGCTGCCGCCATGGCAGTCAAAGTGTTTCCAACCCGAACGACAGGAATCCACCTAGTTCCTGGGGCAGTATCATAGCAACATCTATCACTGCGTATGCTCTATTTCTCCGCCGTCACTGCCACCTGTTGCGGCTGGGCCGTTTCCTGCTCCCTGGCCCGCCTCTTCTCCTGGTCAAACTGGTATAATGGCTTAAGCTCGGCCTTCCGTTGGAACAGAACCCAGCGTTTGAACCACCATGGCAGGGCTTGTGTAAGCTGGTACCTAGCAAACTGCGACGTTGGCACCGCGAACACGTAGTCCAACTCCTCCAGCGTCCGCTGCTTCGTCTCGGGTACGAAGAAAAAGATCATGATGAAAGCCACAACGTTGAACCCGGCGTAGCACCCAAAGGCGCCGACGGTGCTTGCCGATTCGAGCAGGAAGGGGAACGTAATGCCCAGCACGGCCGCCCAAAACAGACAGGTTGCCACGGCAAAACCCATTCCCACCTCTCTGTGCGAGAGCGGGAACACTTCGGCGCTGTAGGTGAAGGGGACAGGCCCTTCACCTGGCGAGTAAAAGGCGGCAAAAAGATAGACAAAGAGAGCCACCAGGGCTGTTCTCGTAGTTCTTTGGGAATCGGTCTCCTGCGAGAGGAGGGTGCAGAGGCCGGCGGCGAGCAAGGTCCAAGTCATTTGCGGGAAGGTAAACAAGAGGAGGGATCGCCGCCCGAAAGTGTCGATGGTCCAGAACGCCGGGAACGCAAAGGCCCAGTTTACCAGACCGAAGCCGAAGGACGCGAGCAGGGACTGGAACTCGCTCTGTCCGGCCTCTCTGAAGATGGTGGTGCTATAGAACGCGATGATGTTGATACCGCACATCTGCTGGGCGATCATGACGGTGAAGGCGGCCAGGGTTGCGCGGCGCACGCGAGGAATGGTGACGAGTTCGACGAAACGACGAGCATAGGTGCTGCCGCGAAGCAGCTCAATCTCCAGTTCGAGTTGGGAATGGATGTAGAAGATGTCGCGCGCGACCTGCAACGGATGGTTCCGGAGCCTGATCATGGAGTTCCACGCTTCTTTGTAGCGGTTCTTCTTCATGTACCAGCGCGGCGACTCGGGGCAGAGATAGATGAGCAGCAGCAAGGGGACGGCAGGGATGAAAGGTGCACCTAACGAGAGTTTGAATTGTTAGCTCTGAGGTGGCAACGCGCAGGGGAATCAAGGGGGGGAGGCTAAGAGTATCAACAACTTACCGAGCATCAAACGCCAATTGATGTCAGGCACGTTGTAGACGGCAAGATTGATCGCAGTTCCAAGGAAGATGCCAAACGCTGTCCACATCTCTGCGAGGATTCGTCAGTACCGAACCTGGGAGGGAACCCAGGGTCAAGATCAGGGGACTTACGCCAAGACATGACGAGAGCACCTCGAATAATGGCCGGGGAGTTTTCGGCGGCATAGATTGGCACCGTCGATGCTTTGACGCCCATTCCGATACCCATGAGAAGCCGACATGCGAGCTGCTGCTCCCAAGTGTGGCAAAAGCCCGAGGCGATGACGGGCCACAGGCAGAAGTGGGCCGAGAAGAAGATGACGCCGCGACGGCCAAACCAGTTGTTGATGGGGTCGGAAAGCCAGCAGCCGATGAAGGCACTCCCAATGTACGGGCCGGCATTGACCAGCCCGACCAGAATTTTGGAGCGCGTGTCGGTGCCCCCGATACCGTAGATCTCCGGGAAGAAGATGTTTGCGCCATTGGTTCCCGTCTGGTCCCACCCCTGGACGGCAGCGCCAATGGAGCAGGTTGCGATGGTCAGGAACAGCTTGGTGGGGAGGCGCCATTTGTGTTGGACTTCGTCTTGGAGGACCGTTTTCTCCTCTTCGGTCAGAGCCTCGGGCCCCGTGATCTCGTCGTAGGCATTCGGATCCTGGGCCACCAGCGCACCCTTGCGGAGCAGGGCGACATGCTCTGTAAGACCCTTTTCTTCGGCAAAGGCTTCGACGCGGCGCATGAGCTCGTCCCTGGGGATACCTTGCAGCGGGTTTTTGATCCTGGCAGCATGGAAAGCGGATTAGTTTCGTCAAAGTGAATCGCTCTCGTCTTTGTAATGCTAACCTTGCCTCGAGATTCCGGTTGAGATCGACATGTTCCGTGTTCGATAAACCCTTCTCGATGTGATGTCCCTCAATTCCAGTTTCCTTTGAGATGGTGCTGCTCGGCAAAAAGAAGAAAAGTGTTAGCAAAAGCCGTGTTGGTCAGTCCCAGTCCCAGATGGTACACCATACGCTTGATCGTTGCCAGCTCGGATGCTATCCGAGCTTGGGCTGTCCGCCATGGCTGTCAAGTAGAGATTAACACTCTTGGTTAACTGCTAACTGTGTGAAGGACGAGCAATGCTCAACAGCAGTGAACAGCGCCTGTGTGCCCTAGGTGCCTGAGCATGGAATTGACCGTGACAGGATTTTCTTTTCGGGAAGGACACAGCGGGACAGCAACCATTCTTATTAGAATCCCAGGCCTCGGCACTCAGATCCGAGTTACGAAGCAATCCGGGCCAGCGCATTTGCATCTTTTTGTCGCCGCTCATCAAGGGTCCTTCCCCGCAATTACTCCGAGGTCACGCTCTCCGCACCATCGGCCGGTCAAGAACGGTAGGATGCATGTAGCGGTCGCAGAACAGGATGTGATCGGCCGCGCGCAGGATTGGAGGACATGGGGTGAACGTGTAAGTGTAACTTTGAAGCTTGGACAACCGTCGTCCCAGTTCCGCTTTCATCCAGGGGGGTTGAAAAGGCGGGCAAATCAATGCCGAGGACTGCCGTACACTACCTTAGCGTGCTTAGTCTGTGTCTAGTGTGGTTTGTTCGTGCTGCAGGAAACAAGGTTCTCAAGCCTTGCATTATCATTCTACATACGGTTTAGCATGCTGTACACATAGCGCACCACGGACACCCCGATGCCTACGGCGTTACTCCAGTGCTCCTGCGTTGTTGCACCCCAAAGGATTGGACCCGCTTTCTCCTTGGAAAGTTCTCTTGGTGGACCCTTTTCAATCCCCACTTCTCGATTCCCTGGAATAGTGGAGACAGTGGAAAGGGACGCAAGATGGGCTGTTTGTCTATACCCAAATCTAGCATTTTACTAACATATGCAGAGACACTTCTTTCTGAATGCAATGCACTGTAGGCAGTACTGCAGAAGGGGCTTTTCTCCCTTCATTATATCAAGACAACATACGGAGGATTGATGCAGCCATCCAGGGACCCAGATTGCCAGAGATTTTGGCGCAATCTTGGCTGACGTTATGAAACGCCCCCGCTAACGGTGTGGGCGTTCGGCGTTTCCTGGGGTTCTGGGGTTGGTGCGGGGATATCGGTCCGATCAGACAACGATTACCGAGCGCCGCCTGGGCTGACTGGGCTTGCAAACGCGGGGATATGGAATGATACTGGGGTGGTTTGTATCCGTACATACGGAGGTATAGTGTAAGTGATTATGATAGTGTACTGTACGTACAGTACAGTATACGCATGAATGGCTCGACGGCCTGCAATCCACAGGACAACAGTGGCCGTCCTAGTCAGGAACCGTGTAAGACAACCCTGGTAGTTTGGTTTATTCTGTGCCTGGGAGGTGAACTTTGGCTTTGTTCGTTTTCTGGCTTGCGTCGGCCCTTGGCAAACAACATGACATTCGCCAAGCCTATTCAGATAGGGGTTATCCTAGGCGGCCACCCAACAGCCTCAGAATATTTTGCTAAGGTACGTAAGCTTAACAGCTGACAGATAACTTGGACTATGCACACATACTTCGTGCTACCGCTATGTTGATACGAATGTCATATTGTACCTAAGTGAGGAGTAGAATGAAGGAAATTCATTACTTCCGAGTCGTGGAAGGCGTTTTTCATTGGTGTCGGCTGGACACGCAAGTCACTTCCAGCCACACATAATACTACCGCATCTTTACCGCTGTTTTACACCTTTGGACAGTGACCTATTAGCAGTTGGTTTGTGGCCGGGTGGACCCCTGTACAATACATAGCTACCTGCAACTTACAGGGCTGGAAGTGGAAGACCAAACACCAGCCTCAGACCAGGGAATTATCACCACTCTCGGTAGTCCCTTACAGCAGTCACTGCTAGTGGTGAGAGAAAAAGTGGGCCTTTCCAAACTTTGACAAATCACCTGAGCATCATAGGTTTATCAGATCTAGTGCCTACCTATTTTGGCTTGTTGAGCGAGCCTCGTCGCTCGACCTGGATTGTTTTTTGAGCTGAGCTGGCTTGACTAGTTGGCTTATTCGCACTAGCTTCAGGTTCCCTGGTTCAGGAATCTCAGGTCTTGCAGCTACCGCTCTCATCCTTTACTGCTGCCTCACTGTTGGGAGCTTTACTAACACTCCATACAGTTGCGGCTGGCGGCTTCAGACGGCTACTATCCTCTTCACTGCACCAGCAGGCGCAGATTCGTGTATTGTGGGCGAAGCACTGGCCGTCAGCTATCGGAAAAGCTCCGGGGCCTTGGATGAGCGGGCAGCTTGTGATGTTCAAAAAAGGCACGCAAATGTTGAAGTTCTTGGCGCCGGGCCAACGGTTGGGATCTCCCTCCCCTTGGCGGAGCACGAGGCGGCTATCGACTACTGGTGAAGTGTCCCGGGGAGCGGAGGCGGGGGCGCCCAGGACCATTGCTGCGCCCGAGAAACGGCAGTACATCAGGGTGGCTGTCAGGGGTTTCATGGTGATGATGGATGGGGTTGAGAAGTAAGTACTGCCTGTTTAGATTACTACTTGTTTAGCCGTGATGGGGGGCTTCTTGCTGTGAAAACTCACGTTCTTAAGAGCTTGTGTAGGGGGAACAAGGCTTGAGCGACGCCCAGAAGCCGTGATTGCGATGGCAATGAGTGGAATGATCAGACCTAAGCAACCGGACACTCGATTGATATTTATCACGATAGGCAGCAGAACATCCATATTCCATGATGAGAGCCGGGGCACAATGTTTACATGTCTACAGATACAGTGGCACTGACAAGTTCAAGCTGGCATTCAACAACACCAATCGTCAGTCCTAGCTCGGAACTGACAAACAGTTTCTGTTGATACCTCAGCCGCCAGCCGTTGGCTTCTCCGACTATTGTTGACTGTTGTGGGAGCTTACCTTCGGTACTCCGACCTGTGAGCGGCTGGAACAAAAAGACACCCCCAGGAGCAGAAGAAAAAACACAGGTAGGTAGTGGAATGGTCTTATGCACTGCTCCGTTCAAGTTTTAAGCCCATCAACGGTTGTGGCGTATGTAGATGTATATTATACATAACTTGTGCAGCCCTATCTGCAGGGAACTTCAGTGCTGGGATCGATGGATAGGTACCAAGCCGGAAGACGAGTCTGAGCCGTCCGTTCAATGCCGTTGGTCATTTTGCTGTATTACAACTGTCAGCGCATCATACCTAGTATAACAACAGTAAAAACTGACAGCTGGCTAAGCATACCTAGGCCGCTAACCCTGCAGTGGCTGGATCCAAAGGGGATGACGGACCTGGACCGGCTGCATGTATTGGGAGTTTTGGGACGAATCAACTATCAAGTACATACCTAACCATGGCTCAGCGTAGGTATTGTTGGTGCCCGATGATGTGGCGTCAACTTGCACCAATGAATCCAAACAGCCCGTACCAGTCGGTCTGATCACTCTGATGGCGCTACGAACGGCGACGGGAACTTCGCTGGCCATTTGGGCTCAACAAGGGCCTGACAACAATTCTATATATCGCCCTGGCACACCTCTTTGTTTTCTCCTCCCTATTACAAACCTTCTCACCCAGCTTTCTCATGGTCTCCTTATAAGTCACCTATACCTTCACCTCCAAGTCCTGACCTGGCTTCCTTTGCCTCCAATAAGGCGTCTTATCATTCATAGCAGGGCCTTGTCCGAAAGCTCAATCGTTTCGCATCTGCCAATGGACCCTGATCAACATCAACCCGGGGCCGCGCAATGCATTTGCATGCCTCAGCCCACATACAAGCACGACGCAGACAGGGTTGCCAAGGAGCTCCTAAAGTTCTATCCACTAGTCGTCATGATTATCGCCACCGTTGGAGCGCAGATGAGCTTCACGGTCGTTTTGTCCAAAATCGAGACGCCAGACGCGAGCCGCGCCGACTTTGTCCGGAGGATGATAGGACTCAGCTGGCTTTTGTTCCTGGGTGTTACGTGGTTCGCATTCCTTGCTGGTGTGATTGATATAATCCACGGCCCGAGTGTGGAGAAGGGCGTCCTTAGAGAAGTCTGGTTCCTGAAGTATGGGGTAATCCTGCTTGTTCTTTCGATTGAAGGCATGACGTTTGCTGCTTTTCTATGCATGGCAATTGCTGTGAAAGAATTCGACCGCCGCCTTGGCTGGTGGGCTATTGCGATCATTTCTATCGGCGCTGCAATCACCCTTCTTACAACGGCCCTGCATGGGTGGCGGGTAAACAAGAAAGAAGCTTTCCAACTTGTTGTTGTATGGCTGCAGGGGAACTTCAATAGGTTCTATTGGAATTTGGTTAGAAACCGGAAGTGATCCTCAGCTGAACATTTCGTCGGCTCTTTGTTGAGTATCTTCCACAAGAATGATTCTGAATGAGATTCCTCGAAGAGTCGAAAGATCGAATACAGCAGCCGATGTCCGGTCGAGTTGTGTCTGTCAAGTGCTAAGGAGTTAAGGTACGAGGCAATATTGCTGGAAGTTGCTCTTTAGGCTACATGTACCTTATGTACCTAGGTACCCAGATACTTTGTCTGATTCGGGGTCAATATGAAGGGAAGGTGCTCACAAGAGCTTGGGTACCGACCGGCAGCAGGAGGAACCACCAAGTACCTGAGGTACATACACTAACACCTGACACCTGGCATTGCATCATGATTGTGCTCTATCATTAGTGCGGCGTCTTATCACAACTCCCGTCTTTTCACACTCTCAAACAGGTAGGTACCCAATATTCCCTTTTGCAACTGCACAGCCACCCTTTCCTTAAGCACCATAGATGACATAGATCTCACCCGACGTGTCGCTCGAGACGAACAAGCGGCCCTTCTGGTCAAAGGCCAGGCCGACAGGGCGGAAGCAGCTGTTGGGGCAGGCGCCCACGTTGGAGTTTTCCATGACGGGGATCTGGGCCGTCTTGCTGGTGACGTCGGCCACGGGCTGGCCGTTTCTGAAGTCAACGCGCATGACGCGGTACCCGTCGGCCGGGTTGCGGTTCCTAGTGAACAACCCACAATGAGTGTGTGTGCTAACACTAGTGCCTGAATAATAGGACTCACCAGCTGCCGTGGAACGCAATGTAGGCGGCTGTGCTGTTGGCGTTGAACTTGATGTCGAGCGGGGCGGTGTGGGCGTGGAAGTGAAGGCGGCCGGTCATTCTGTTGGCACAGTCGTTGGCGTTCGGGACGCCGTCTACCAGAATATGCGGTTAGTTAGGGTATCAAGGGGATTTGCATTTTGGAAGCGGTACTCACCCGGTTTGAACAAACTCCCGACCAACAGGCCGCTGATACCCACGTTCTCAGGATCCCACGCGGGCACGCAAGACGGATATCCATAATTGAGCCCCTTGTACCGGTTGTTGGTGTCGTTCAGCGCGCCGTGGTAGCTGAGCCGCTCAGCAGGATTGTTTGTATGGATATCCCGGCCGTTAAGGCGGAGATCGTCCATTTGGTTCTCAACAGACCACTTGCCAAATTTTCGTTAGCTCTCCTACCGATCTGGACAGGAAGATTGAGAACTAGAGGGAACCTACAACACCGCCAGTGTTGGGATCCTCGGTCAAGCCGACAATGTTGCGAAGACCCCAAGCGAGAACCTCACCGCCCGTGTTATATTGGTGAGCGGTTGTCATGCCTTGGCTGATGCTGAAGGCCTTGATCATGCTTCGTCCAGACGATCGATCGGTGGTGCTTGTGTCGATATTTCCGTTGGAGCCCCGAGCCACCAGAATCGTGTCCGGGCTCCATTTGGACGTGGCAATAGCCCGTGTCGGGTGCGTTCCCGTGTTGCTCATGCCCGTCACGATCTGCCTGCCGGTGCCAACTTGGCCGGTACTGGCATCGTAAGAGTAAGCTGTGACAGAAGCAAGATTCGAGGTAAATAGCGTCTTTCCGTCGGCGCTGAGGGCAATACCGTGGTTCGTCTAAAGCATTCCTTGTGTTAGCGAGTATACCAAATCAAATTTCAGGGGTCCTCGTATCGACTGACCGATCCGGTAAGAATCTGAGTGTTGGAGCTCGCGCAAACAATGTTTCCATTATCTTGCAGGACCAGCCGTCTGACGCCTGTGCTACCTCCTTCGGCTACCAGCAAGTTACCCGCTGAGTCGACGACTATGTGCCGTGGTTGACGGAGGCCGCTGGCAAGGACGCTGACTCGGTATCCGGAACCCATCTTGGGCTGGTAGCGGCCGGTGACGCCGGAGCAGGACTGAGCTGTTACAGCGTCAAACAGCCCCGTCAGGGCGAGAACGCCAGCAAGCGTGCTGAGGTGGCCCATGGCTGCTGAGTCCCTGACTGACGAATCAAGGTAAGGTACTCTTCGTGAAAAGAATGATGATGATCCCGAATGGCCTATTCCCAGGCTCGAACACTAGCACGTCTCCGACTGGATGTTCAAATTTAGCAGATCGACCATACCTGGGGACCTACGGAATTTGGCTCGGCAGCAGCCGAGATATCAGGGTTGGGAGCAGCTTCCACTTATCCCTTTCCCGGGACAATGTGCGGCACATTTACCGGCCTACGTACTCGCAATCTAGCTGCTGGCCCTGTATCCCGGTTCCATCATTCCGGTTGCTACCGCACGTTGTCGTCCAAGCGGGCAACCGGTGGGGTTCCATCATCCGGGTTTGCTTGGCGGTCGTCAGGAGCATTCATCCGGATCAGCGCCTATGTGTTAAACAACGAAGGGCCGCCAAGACTCGAGGAATTAAAGAACCGTCATCGATTGGGCATCCGCATCCTGCAGGCTTGTTTGTGTAGTAGCATCTAATAAGGACTATCAAGCAGATAACAGAATAACCGGCCGCGTGGCTCTACCGGGCATATCCGCAACACGTGTCTGGTGGAAGAATACGGAGGTATATCCGTTTCATATACAGAGCCGTTAGAGTTGCGTTCTGAACTGGGGTGCTATCACTGCTACTAGTATGGCATCATTCTTGTGAGCCATGATTGATGTGTAGTACTAGGCCCTCGGTGCGATGCATGGCTACATGTACCTAAGATGGTATTGACCAGGCAAGGTAGGTAGGGCCGTAAAAGGTAGACAACTGACATGACAGAACCCTACGACTAGTAGGTATTCATGTTACTTTTATAGGTAGCTGACATGAGGGTACTGCATGTGGACTGCAACAAACCCTGTTGTTTTACCCTAAAGTTGCCCTCACCAGCCCATTGTGATTGAAGTCACCCGCGCCACCCTTACCCACCTTGCTCAGGCGCTACTCAGGCGTTGCTCAGTCGCTGCTCAGGAAATAATCAGAGAAATCGCCAAAAATGGTTTAGACTAGCAGTACTCTGCGGTTCGGATGGCAAGTTTTCGCGAGATCCCAAGTTTTGGGACACACGTGGCATAAGACTGGGACCCCCTATTCCAACCTAATTCCTTCTCGCTTCTCTTCCCTTCCGCCCGAACTCACATAAAACCCAGTTTACGTCCCTCATTAGGACTCTATCCTAAGTCTCCATCCCCGTCTTCATAATTCCCGAAAGTGGGTGAATCTCACGCTCAAGCTGAGACACTTCCCAAGCGGATTGCGTCCCAGTCGTTTGTACCCATTAGCTGTTGGACGCGGCCCTCCTACCTTAACCCAGTAGTAGCGAACTCTCAAAATAATTAAGAAAATAACGGCAGAGGAGAGAAGGAGATATGCTGAGGAGAGTGGTTTCAATAATGATAACACGGATATTAATGACAATCCCATCTGGCCCACAACGAAGACAAAGGTGTTATGCGATCTGATATGCAGTGCGACGTGAAGGGGAAACTGCCCCTGAGTCGCCACTTATCTCTCCACCTCACGCAGATCATTCGAGATTCAAGAGATTCGAACTTTCGTATCTGCAATAGAAAACTCAGAACATGCGTCTCGAGCTAGGAAACTTATCTGATATGTGTTACCCCTGATAATCATCCCAGACAACAAAAGCTACCGATATCTCTACTGTCCGACTGACTTGCTTTCCACCCCTAGTATTCTCCATCGTCGTCATAGTTCGTAACTCATGATGTGTCATTCTGCAGACCCCAACTTGCACAACACGCATCTCCTACTTCTCCTACATCTCCCCCATATGTACCCCCATCCAACCCAGAATCTCAGTGCGGACGACCCAGCTCCGCAACTTTGGCCTCGGCCTTACCCGCCGCTTCAGCATACGGCTTCCTAGGCTCCGCCGAGGTCAGGTACTTGTTCACCTCGCGGTAGCTCTCAGCGCGCTTATTCAACTCCTCCAGCCCGCGCTCGAGCTCCCTCACCTCGAGATCCTTCTTCGCCCACGCCTCGTCCTCCGTCGCACTTTTCGGGTCCAACCTCTCTCTCACCTTCCGCCCGGTCTCTACCGCATCCGAAATCTTCTTCCTCCGTGTCTCCATCTGTGCAATCAGTTCAAGACACTGACCCACAGAGAGGTGCCGTGCAGCTTGTCCAACCAACTCTGCTTTCATGTACGTGTGCACGACGCCGTCGTCCGCCATCAGTCGGTCATGGACCTCGAGGGTGCACGCCGAGCTATAAAGCGCCAGCACATCGGCCTGATGCCGCCTCCCAAGCATCTCGGTCATCTCGGCTTCCAGCTGGTCCGTAAAGCGCGCCACGAGGTGATCATGCACTATTTTGCGCGCCTGCGTGATGAAGTCGAGGTCACGGCGTATCATGGCCATCAGATCGTGCGGCGATGGGGGCGTCACGCCCGGCTGTAGGCTCTTGACGACCGCGTCGGCCTTGTCCTTGATGAGGTCCGCCATGGCCTTGCGGAAGTCCGCCTTGACGTCTTCGGCGGCCATGAGTAGACCGAGCTTGTTTTGCACGTACTTGCGCACCATGTCGACCTGCTCGGTTTTGAAGTCTCCCGCCACCATCATGGCGCTCACCTCCACGCTGTTGCCGGGGGTGATGGCGAGGACGGGGTCGAGGCGCACGCCACCGAGAATGAAGCCGCGCGGGAGGTTGGTGCGTTTGACGCCCGGTCCGTCGGCGTGGACGAGCTGATCGACCGTGTTGTCTCCAATGTCTCGCAACATGGCGGCTGTCATTTTCGTAGACGAGGTCACGCGTGTCGTACTTGTCGTACTCCATGTTCCCGCCTGTAGCGGCCCGGGCCGTCGCGAGAAACATGCCGGCCACGTCGAACAGGGTGAAGAAGGTCAAGGACCTGCGCCACTTCGTCTGGAAGTCAGCCGACCGTGTTTTGACCACCTCGTCGACGGTCTTGCCGCTTTGGATCGCCTCGAGATGCAACGGGAAGTCGGTGAAGGCGCGCATCATGAGGGCCTCGCCGCCCCAGCAGTTGGCCTGGTCGCTCAAGCGGAGGGTCCCGGCACCCTCCATGTGGTTGAGGAGCAAGATTTCGGTGGGCTTCTTCTTGTGAATGACGATGCCCCACGTGTTAACACCGTCAAGCGCGTGCCACGACGTTGTCATGGCCAAGACGGTGATGACGACAAGGTCGCCGTACTCGGTGACCTTGCAGCTGTCGAGCGCGACGATGCCCGACTTCCCAAGGCTGACGTAGCAGCCCTTCAAGTCACCGCCCTTGGCGAGGTAGTCTGCTTCGTCCTGGCGAATCTGCGCGTTGTTCTTCCAAACGTAACGGGTCCGTTCGGCGGGGTGGGTGAACCCCTTGACGGCCTTGGCGTGTTCACCGACGAGAAGAGTGGCCCCAAACGGGGATTGCCTTGAGCCTTGCAAGAACCAAGGACTGGTCATACTTGATCTTCCTGGCAACATCCTCGCTGACGGTGACGGTGCCTACAGCGAGGGCCGAGTGATTGTGATTCTCTGACCAGTGGGTCATGTACGTGTTGTTTCTCTGCTCTGGGGGAAGCTTTTGGAACTGCTCTTGAATGTCGATGACGAGATCGTGAATGGCATTGTGGTATTCGACCGAGTTCGGATTTTGGCCGAGATTCTTCGCTCTCTCTGCCGGATTCTTGCCAACGGATGCAAACGTGCTGAAAGCGCGAGGGTCCAAGGGCTGGTGGTGCTGGTAGCCGATGGGGACTAGAAGCCCCATGAGCCCCGAGACGGCTTTGCCACGGATGGTGGTGCTGTCCGATGGGAAGACGGCCGCGCCCAGTCCTGCCAGAACCGCAATACGGAGGCCCTTCATGGCGCCTGACATCGGATTCTGTCTTTTGAAGCTTTGGAAATGGGCCGTGCTGTCATAGCCTACATCATGCGATTCACGGGCTGAGGTGGTCTTAGATGCAAGCTGGGGAATGGGCTTCATTGGAGGGACATCGTAATGTGCCAAAAACCTCCGTGCCACTGGCCGTTCATGCTCGCGAGCACCATAGGTGCCTTGGACAACAAATTGGATTCTGTCAACCTGCATATCAGTAGATTAGCCATAAGATTCTTCGAAAATACCCAGTATGTCACTGATGAATCTGGCAATGGTGCTCCTACTCACTTTGGAAACGTCAATCGTAGACTCATCCCACCAAATGGACCATTCTGCCAAAGGGCTTTGAACGGGACGACGCAGCTCCGGGTTTGTCTCGTCAAGCTGAAGCATCCGGGTCTTTGGTTGCTCCTCGGTCGTGCGAAGTTTCGTTTTCGTCGGGTCCCCCTTGTCATATTCAAACCGTGATCCGGTCTGGACCTTGTCGATCGAGAAGAGATACGCAACATCTCTTGTCTGCTTGGACCCCGTAACATCGTCCACGACCTGTTCCGTCTTTCCGTTGGTGACCATGAATCCCCGGTAAAGGCGACATTGACATCGATGACCAGGTCCGAGTTGTCCTCTTTCTTCCGCCGGGCGCCTTCCAGGATGACCCAGCACTGCTTCATCCTCACGTCAAAGACTGTCGGCAAATTGATGCCCAAGATGTCGTAGCAGTTGGCGGTATCAATCACGAGGTTGAAGGGCCGTAAAGGCCCTGGTCTGGGTGAGCGTATTGCCCGCCCCGCGCTTGTACCCAAAGATGTATGGGTGCGTTTCCTTGGTGATCCATCCGCGGTACTCAGTGGCCGTAGTGGCAAATCGGTTGCTTTTGGCTCGGAGGGTGTCAATCTCAGCGCGCAACTGGGGGAGAATGACATCGTTGAAGAGCTGACCGCTGAGGTTGTCCCAACTGCCGAGCCGCAGGATCGATCGTGGGATGGACGTCGGCTCCAGCTTGACCGCTGTGATGGCGCGGATGACGTCCAAGTAGAACTTGATGACGCATGCCTTTTGCTGGGCGTACGACTCGTCGTACAGTTGAACAAAAAGTTGCAACTTGACAGGGGTGACGGTAGTCGCATCACCCTCGAGGGCGGCCCGGGCCAGTCGCGCTTTGGCAAAATATGCTTCCACTTGTGCCTGCCTCAGCAACGCCTTTTGGTTGCTGACGAGGGCTTCGTTCAGGGCCCGAGCCTGAGCGACGGCGCTGTCAAAGGCAGCGCGCTCATCAGCAGACGCGTCGCCGGGAAAGTGTTCGTCGCACAGCTTTTCGAACCGCGCCTGCTCCATCATCACCCTCTTCATGAGCTTGTCGTTGGCGCCTGAAGTAAACTCGCCAATCTGCTTGGTAAGTTCTTTGCCCGAGAGGTTGGCCTCGATGGTCTTGAACTGTCCCTGAAGCGCATCCTTTTTCACCGCGCCACCGCTATTGGTCGAGACGGTGTTGAAGAGGTCCATGCCCGCGGTGCCAACCGAGAGGAAGTTTGCCAGCCAGGGCGACACCTCTGGCATGTGGGGTGAACATCATACATGACGCCGCGGCACCCAGAACCTTCTCAATGTTATCGCAGGAAAAGTTGGCGAGTTTCTCCTTGGTGTCGAATCTGTTGAGTTTGGCGACGCAGTCCTTGATGGCAGCCTGCACCTTGCCCTGGAGCTCGTTGATCTTGGTTTGCGCGAGAGCGACGGCATCGCTGACTTCTTTTCGATCTGTCTGAATACCGGCAATATGGTATGAGAACCCTTGGATTCTGCTTGAAACCTCAGCCGCCTTGACTTTTGAGCTGGCGGCCGCCTGTGACAACGCCGCCCGTCGGGCTTCAGCAACTTCTAGGTCGGCAGCCACCTTCACGAGGCGGTTGATAGAAAAGGAGATGTCGGGGACGAAGTTGAATGTATGGCCAAACGAATCGGTGGCCGGCACTGGTGGCACGACGCTGCCGCCAAGAGAGAGAAGCTTTTCGAAGGCCAGGGCGAAGATAGTGCGGGACGCCTTTTGTGTCTTGTCGTCCTTCCAGGCGGTGCCGCCAAACTTCTCTCTCAGCGCCTTTTCCTGGGCCTCATAGTCCTTGTGGCTGGGAGATCTCGCTGCTTCGGGACCGTTCAAGAGCGTATCCGAGGACCCGAAGACCCCGATAGCATCGTAGATCTCCTGGGCCCAGGCGAGGCTCTTCTCGAAACGTCGGCGCTCCACCGTTTTGTGCGTCTTTGGCAGGATGTCGAAGAGGCTGCTGAAAAGAACATCGTACTCGAACACGAGGCGCTGCGTCAGCATGTGGGCAAAGGCGGGGTTGACGGCCAGCGCAAAGGCGCCAAACTCGGGCAGAGAAAAGGCCAACTGCTTGCCGGTCGGCGGCGTAAAGGGATTGCCGGTGCTGGAGCTGCCAGAGTTTCCATCGCTCCCATTGCTGCCTCTCACGGTCACGGTCGGCCCCAAGAAGTCACTCTCCTTCGCCGTGGTGCCCCAGCCGCCTTCCCCTGCCCTACCACCCTGGCCAGAGGGGCCATTCTGTCCGCCAGCGTTGTCGATCTGCACCCCGAACACATCAAATCGACTTGGCGAAGAAACAGCGCTTGTGACCCGGACGTAAACACCGCCTCCGCTGCCCCCGTTGCCTCCCGCACCCCCATTTCCACCCGATCCGCCGTTCGCGCCGTTGAAGACCCAATTGGGAGGGTGGACAAATGGGGCGTCATAAGGCATCCCACGGCCGCCGTTGCCACCATCTCCGCCTCGCTGGCCCTGGGTGCCATTTCCGCCTCGCGCAATCAGCTTCACAGCAGCCGCCGTGTCAGGCCGACAGAGTGACAGCACTTGGGCGCAGAAGTAGATGTTGCCACCATTCCCTCCAGCAAGGCCTTGGGCGCCATTCTCTCCATTGCCTCCGCTTTGAGCGCCCTCGTGTTCAGCCGAAGTGAAGAGAGATGCATCTTTGGTCCGCTTGCCCGCATTGCCATCGGCTGCCTTTCCCTTGGGTGTCTTTGCCTGGTCAGAGTACCGGTCCTCCCCCATATTGCCAGTACAATCGAAGACGACTTGGTGGTCTTTGGCCTCCGATCCCAGGGTTTCGCCTGGGCGAGGAGCAATGATAATCCTCCGTGCGAAGACCGTCAGGGTCTTGCCAGGGAAGCGGAAGTTGCTGCCTCTGTACACCACGAGGTCCTCGGCCAGGATGACGACGTTGGCTTTGGTGTTATCGCCCTCGGGAAGGGTGACTGCGGACTTCTCGACAGCCTTCTTGAGCGCCTGGCGGACGACATCTGTGCGATCGTGCTCCGACTCCGCCGTGATCGCGGTTGGTGGGTTTTCCTCCATGGCCTTGACAATGTCATCATCATCGATGTCACCATCATAGGCCAGTCACTGTCCTTGTTGATTGGCAGGGATGAGTGTAGCACTGCGGTGGGCAATGAGATGGTAGACCGTCTTATCGTCGGTAATAGTGCGAAAAAGGGACGTCTCTTTAAAGTTGTGCTAGATCAACTTCGCATCATCCCAGCTGTAAACCTTGGGATTGGCCGCGGCGGGAGCGGGAGCAGGGGCGTTCTGTCTCGCCAGAAGAACAGGGCCATTGTCCTTTGGGGCAGGGGCAGAGGCGTTGCCGATGGGCACGTTGTTTGTCGTGGCGGCTCCATGCTTCTCAGCAGCCGGCGTCGAAGGAGTTACAGACATGTTGTGAGATGAGAAGTTTTACGCTTGGTTCGAGAGTGAAAGATGAATGGGATTAGCTAGGAAGGTAACCGGGAACGAGGTTGATGGGTACGGGTCGAAATTGGACTTGTGCCGGATTGTATGAACTCAATATCGGGTTACCACCCAGCTCTCTATTTATGCTCCTCGCGCTTTCAGTCACTTTATGCCAGCTCTCTAGCTCAGACAAGGGGTCGTTCTGCTAGGGGGCGTCAGCCGGGCTTGAGGGCCCCGAGATGCTCGGCCTCTCCGGATGTGTGCAACCCAAACGCAACTCAGAGACCGAAGTCGACAGCAGAACGGGAAGACCGAGGTCCAGATGGCGGTTTGGGCCACCCGGAAGCGGTTCACCCGCGCTATGATCGGTCTTCATCTGCTAGGAGGCTGGCTGAACTCGCAGCGCGTTCCATTGTCAGACACCCTTTCAAGAGGGCTGCAGCGGACTTGAGCGAAGTCTTCGGAGCTGAAAAGGCCTTGGTTCGGATGATGGGCTTTCAGTGGTTGCTGGAAGGGGGGTCTAGACTTTCGGCAGAGCGGTTTGCTCGTTGTTATAGCGTTATGCTCGGTGAGCTAGGTTATGTCTGTCGAGTTGCCGGTATGGTCTGGACCACGCCAGAGTCTGCAAGGCGTCCCGGATTACCTAAAGGGCAGTAGACTCGTTAGCATGCATACACCTGAAGCCGCATCAGCATTGCCGGCATGAATTGTCACCCGAAAGAGGGTTAGACTTTAAAATGGTTGACCAGCTGGTCCCAATTCCAGGAGAGAGACTTGGGGAAGGGCTCTTGCCATTGGATGTTCGAAGGCGGACCACGGCCGCCCGGTGCAAGGCGCGCGCTGCGTCCCGTCCGCCCAGTGCTAGGGGACTGGACTGTCGCGTGTTGCGCTCAGGAGCCTGGCGCGACGACGTGCCTTGGTGGAGGGATGCATCACTGCAGCTGAGATGTAGTGCCCTCCTCGGGTCACAGCAGCTGTTCCCTTCCACAGGCCTGGCCGATCGAACGGGTGGCGTCATCAGGTTCGGTGCGAGGCCTGAACAGGTGGCAGGCTGCAACTGCTCACCGACTTCGGCCTACAACTGTCAGGTGGGGTTTGGTTCCAGCGATAAAACGCTGGGGTTGCACAGCATCCTACCTCCCCTGCGTGGTCGCGACATCTTTCAATGTTGACGGATCCTACCTGAGAGGCAGGCAAGGTCTGTTAAATACCGTGAAGAAAAGCAGAACTTGCAGCGAATTAACATGACGGGAAGTACCGAAGTACCGTAGTACTAGTACGTAGGTAGGTACTGTACCTTACTCAACGAGTGAGGCTGTTAGGTAATCCGATCATAGGGTACAGAGATGAGTGTATTCAGCCTTGAGTAGCTGGGGTAACTTGAGCGTATGGGAGAGAACTTGAAGTACTAGATAAGTTACTATACTGAATAGATCCTTGGTCCTAGAGGTATTACACCTCGTCGTCCTTGTGACAGTTTTCGTGTCTGGTCTCTGCGCCTGAAACTTGACAAAACCGCCTATAAATGCTGCAGAAATCCAACAACACGCTGTAACAGAATCTCACAGAACACCACATATAACGGCGAATATGCTGCCAGCGTCTCGTGTGTTTGATGTACGCTCCGACGGTGAAAAAGGTCGCCAAGAGAGCCACACCGAGATATATCCAGAAGTAGCCGCTGACGACTGCGAGCGCTCCCGGGTCTTCTTCACTGTTGGCACTTCTGTCCGGTGATGTGGAACCACTCACACCAGACGAGCGGGTTGGAGAAGGTTGAGCGGGGACGTAGTGGCCGTTGTGGTCTAGCCAGCGCGCTTTCCAGTCAAAGATTGGCATGGCGAAAATAGTCTGTTTGCAGCCGTAAATTCATTAGCATTATAGGTCCTTTCTTGTGTTCTTGGATTGGTGGAGGGGAGACAAAGTTGAAAGGCCCGAAGCTAATTCATATCGTTGATTCAATACTTACTGCCAACGAAGTGATTGGAAGGTACACCATAGCCGCGAATCCGAGTGCCTTGCTTGCTCTGGCGTCTCTTGCCGCGGCAGCGGCCAATTCGGTGTTGATCTCTGCCATGTACTGATATTCCAATCAAGTGGGTTAGTGTCATGATGCCTTTAGCCAAGAGCCAATTTGCAATTGTGTGCTCGATGTCCGTACCCCAACACGGGAGAGGAACCACTTACAGAATCGATTGTATAGGCCATGTCGTCTGACCCTCTCTGGCACTTCGATATCATGGCGTCGAAGTCAAAGGAGATTTCCCTCAACTTGTGTAGCAACGTTTCCCCGCTCGAGGGGGACTCAGTAAAATGGTCTGGTACTAACTTGGGCTGCTCAGCGCCAGCCTTGGTCTCGCTCTGCTGGTCCAGTGGTGACACCGCCGACGACTCACTCCATGTCGGCCTAGAACTCAGGTCGGGCCTCGAATGGTTTTGCGACGAACGCGACTTGTCCATATCATCCATTCCATGCAAAAGCGCCCAGAGTTGGGCCTGCGTGCTTCTGATCTCGTCAATCACAAGACGGGCGTCCAAACGACACTTCCGCACCTTGCTGTGGTCTATCCAAGACTGTTTAGAACTCTGTCCTCTAAGCAAGGCCTTTAGACTGGACGCCCTTTTTTCCGGATCGTAGAGAAAAAATCTGGTAAATACGTCGCTCGCACCCATCATGACCTCAGTAACCTGCCTTTCCATTCGGTATTTCTGGAGCTCTATAAACAGCCAAGCAGGGAGGAGCCGATGCGATTTGATGTGAGGAGACTGTTTGAGATTATAGGAAATCCTGTCCATCTGACGGCTGTCGCAGCCGAAAAACACGGCAGTGGTGAAGCGGGAGTCAACAAAATGCGTAGAAGAAACGGCGAACCTCCCGGGGAAAGGTGCCGACACGCTGGCGTTATAAACTTCGGTCTTGGCCTGGTTTATCTCGGTCGGGAAATAATACGAACATGTGCGAGATTGGTCGTCATCCATGACAGTGAGAAGTGACTTGTCAACGAAGAGGCATTTAACAATGCGCTTCCAGTACGCCGAGGAAACGGGCAGATCGGTTAGGCTCGCCTCGATGCCGTGAGTTATTGGTGTAACACGGGCGGATAGCCTTGAATCAGATAGCCGTTAGTGAAAGGGCAGTCCGTCGATGCCAACGTGGTAAATGAAGCCCATTGGGAGGACATAGTAGCTAACAAGATCTCATATCCCGGCGCAATGCCGTTGTCCGGATTCGGCAAGCGCTCAAGTCTTTCTTCAGAGTTCTGTGAAAGTGGAATAGGGTCAGCAACACCAATACTAGTAGCCGGACGTAGATAACTAGGTACTAAGGTAGGTAGGTAGGTAAAAGAGGCAGGTAGGCACATGCACTGCCAGTTAGATGCAATACCATGCTTTGAATACATAGTGCATAAACTTGCCTTGAACCATTGCTCCCACTTCTCGGGGTTGTCAAGCATGATCTCCTTGACCTCTTTGCCCTGTACGCTCTCGAATGGTTAACAATACCCCGTCCTCCACCAGGGGAATCTGGGTACCTCATGCTGCCCGCAGTGGTCTTACATCTGATTGCAACACTCGGCATTGGAATTCTGAGCCCCCAAAATCGCCATCGCCCTCATAGAACCAGAAAGGTGATCTGGTGGACCCGGTGCTAGAGAGTGGTGGCATCGTCCTTTACTGCGAGTCGGTTCGAGTAGTTGGGCCAAGGCAACTCGATCTGCAAGCGTTGGGTATAAGCTGTTTTTTATTGGGGGGGTCGACGCTGGGTAACGTAAGGGGAAGAAGTCTAGAATAATCATCAACTGTACCGTGAGCAGGTACCTTAGTACGCAGCGCTGAGTTAGAAGGAAGAAGACTGGTGTTAACTGTGGCATTCAAGCATGTCCTGGTGGCTCAGCAGTTACACTCGACAGAGGTCAGAGGATATATGCCACCTGGTATCCGTACGGGGGCCCTATAATGTGGCTGGAAAGGTATTGCGGGCGGATTGCCACGAACCAAACACAATCCTGAGAGGAACGTTTGTGTGACCAGTTATGTTGCGAGGTCTCAGAGCCAGGGGACCTGATTAGAAACCGCCGTGCATACGAGCGTTCCATTTTAGTCGTACATAACCGCCGTCCCAATCTCTTGGCAGGTCGTTTGTCTGACGGGCACTTTCGTCTCTAATCCTTTCCTCAGAGCCATGAGAAGAATCGACAACTCAGATTGGCTGATTGGGTACTAATGGCTTATGCAGTCGGACGCGAGGCAGACTGACGGGCAACAACAACCCAAGCAATGAATCGTTCAAGTTGTTCATTAGGCAACTGCTTCGGGGGCACTAGCACTGTTCCTTGTCCCAGGGTTAGGGCTGTGCTGGGGCGAGACAGGCCGAGACAGTATACAGCACTTCGTACTTCATAGAGAAATCCAAGATGGAATCAAGGGTATTGTTCGCCGCTTTGCTACAAACCATGATCAGTCTAAGTCACGGTTTATACCTTACTTTGCAGCATCTTATCATCTTGCATTGCAAGAACCATCCGTTTTTCAATGGGACCTGCATAAATCGTTCAGCGGAGCTTATCGATAGGACTTGCCCCGTCGAACTTGAAAACACGCCTAGGCACCTTCCAAATTGCAATCGAGCCCAGCGAACCTAGGGCGCTCAAAGCCTCAAACCGCTCGTCCACAAGACACAAAAGGTGTGGTGCATAGTTCATGACGTCCTTACTCACGATTGGACAGCGCCTTAGAGGCCACCTTTCAACGTATTCAATTGTAAGGGAACTGCACAGAGCTGCCGACCAAGGTGCCGTGTTCCTTGCAACGTGGGTGCTTCAGGTGGATTGAACTGTCAAGTTCCAGGCAAGACGCTAATAAAAACGGGATCAAACATCTCCAGGGACCAGCAAAACGAGAGCTGCATTGTCAAGAGCATCAAGGGCCATTGGCGGCTGCAAAATGAAGCTGATATGCTCAAACATTATCAGGACAAAACGCCGTATCTTCGTCCACTTTTGGACGAGATTATCGAGCCCCCAGATCCACCTTCAATCGTCCTCAAGCACTTGGATAGTGACCTCTTGACCGAGTCGAATCGGAAACGACTATCACGCCCCGAGATAAAGCAGGTTGCCAGATGTGTTCTCCAGGCCCTCCAAGTATTACACAAGGACGGCATGGTCCATACGGGTAAGCGCATCCTTCCATCCGCAACTTCAAAGGACGAGCTAACTAGAGATGAATAACATATGGTCAACATGTGGATGTAGACATCAAGCTAAATAACATATTCGTCAACTACGGCCAGGGACAACGTTTCAGCGAGATACAATTAGGCGATTGTGGAGGTGTTGTCTCCCAAGACTCCGAATTTGCCAAGGGCCACCTCATCGGCGCCGGCTTCACTCGGAGTCCAGAGGCTACATTCCAGATTCCTTGGGGAACAGCCACTGACATCTGGTCATTTGGCAATGCGGTAAGACGAGAAACTGTCCGGGCTGTGTCTCTTCTTCTCAAGCCGTGCCTGACTCCGTGTGTCTAGATCCTCAGCCTTCTCTACGGCGGAAACGTAAGCAACAGCCCCCTGCAACAGTCCTAGGAATTCAGTGTTGCTCTGTCCAAGCCCCTTTTAGCATGCCCCGGAGGACATAACCGACTTAACATTGTCAACAGTATCACCTCTTCAACCCAGCTATTGATGGGCTCCGCCCAGAGGACGACGAGTACGAACTCACGGTGCTCAAGCGCATGTACAAGTTCTTCGGCCCGTTCCCGAGATCGTACGAGGACTTTCACGACAAAGAAACCATGATCTTTGTTAACTACCTCAACAACGAAGGGCCGCCGGAGAAGCCCTTTCGCCTTGTGACCAAGCGGGAAATTCCTCCGGCAGACAACGTGTTCATCCGCAACATCATGAAGCTGGACCCCCGCGACAGGCCGACGGCGGAGCAGCTGCTGCAGGATGAGTGGTTTACGGAAGAGTCTGAAGATACCAGGGATCCGCTTCCTGGGGAGGGTGGGGATGCCGCCTAGGTAACACGGTTATGCTATCTATCCTTCATGGTCAGCTGGGAGCCGAGAAACAGACAGGGAATCTGCCGCAAAAACCACCCGAAGGTGTCAAGTTGATGGAAAGTAGATGGACAAAAATTGTTAAAAAAACATACAACACCAGGGATTCGCTGGTCGTCACCGACCCAACTACTAATCTGGCCCTTACTGGTTTATCTAGGGGAGAGCGGACGGGATCCCGAGCTTTCCAGTAGGTATGGTCGTATGTGATAGGTCGGAAAGATATTTTGCCTTTTATCGGACGGGCATTAGTCAACAATGCACAGCAAGGGTGCAACGGGGGGTGCACACCTTTGAAAAGGTACAGTACCTTAGATGACCGGATTTAACTATCAACAACGGCGACCGTAGATTGACATTAGGGTCTTACATGTATTGTACAAACGCTGTACAGTTACCCAAACCATTTGCCATACACCAACACCCAACGGAGGCTGAGTTCACATCCACAAACACAGCTTCCCGCTCGCATTCCCCCCTGCCACCCAGTCCATAGTCGGATGGAAGTGCGCTACAGCTGGCACAGCCGTGATGCCATCCCCATCCAGCTGCGCGAGCTGCTCGCCGTTTGCCGCGAACACATCCACAAAGCGATTCATGTTCCCAATCACAAACCTATGCAGCCCGTCCCGCGGGTTGCGCTGCCACTGCGGCTTGAGGATGGTGACCCACCGGCCCGTCTGGTTATTGTGGGGTATCTGCTTTGCGGGCGCCATCTGCTCCTCTGACAGCGCCACGCCGGCAGCCCATTTCCCCGCGTCTGGGAACTCGTAGATCTTGATGCGGTCGTCGTAGCTCGACGTCGCGATGTGGCCTGCGCTGCTCCAGCTCGCGTGCGACACCGACAGCCGCGACTCGTGCTCGCCTAGCAGCGCGGGCGCGCGGGCGCTGCCCTGGCCCTTGATCTTGCGCAGGTCCCAGATCTTGAGGGTGCGGTCGAGCGAGGCTGTCGCGACGAGATGGCCGTGTAAGGGATGCAGCGAGAAGCCGCCGATTTTTTGGTCCGTCAGCCCCCAGATTTCCCCCTCTGCGGGCTTGGTGCGGATGTCATGCCTCCCGAGCGAGCCTTGCAAAGTGGAGAATATTATGACGTTGGGGTCGGTTGAGGACATGTCAATGGCACTAATGGGCAGGTCCTCGTCGGCATCGGAGGGGGCAAACACTTGTATTGAAACCCCCTTGTCCAGGTCGAGCTTTCGGATGGATGAGTCGTATGACGCCGAGTAAACTGCGTTCGCGTCGACCGGAGAGAAGTGGAACGAGGTGATGGTGCGAGAATGTGTCTTGAAAGCGGATATTACAGGGTTCGGAAGCGCTGCGTCCTCGTCGTCCTCGTCGTCTTCTACCTTGACGGGTTCCTGCGACGCGTCGAACACGCCCATCGCGCCCTCCTTGTCCCCGGCGAAAATGATGGGCTTGTCTTCAGTTGGGTGAAAGCCCATGGAGTATACGCGTTGCGGTACGATCTTGATGTCTGTGTGGGCCTTCAGTCAGTGGGTGGTGGCAAGACTGAGCAAGGATGTTGACTTGCCTTGGACGGGCCATTTCTCGTACAGCTTCAGCCCACTCATGCGAAGCCTCAGCTCTCTGAGTCCCTTATCAGTCGTCTTATTTACATCCTCTTCAGTAAAGGTCCTGACACCTGGCTGCGCGCCCCTGACGCCGAGCCCCTTTAACCTGGCCAATCCGTCTATGCCCCCTTCCCATTTGCGGCCTTCTACCAGAATATCACCGAGGTTCAGGTCTCCATCAACACGCAGCTTCTTTGCTCTGGCCTTGTCTGCCTCAGACTCGGCATCCACCTCGGCCTTGCGCTTGAGGAGCTCAGTATCCGCGCCGAGTCCAGCCAATCTGCTGCTTTGACGCGTTGGACGAAGGGGTTCACGCTTAAGAGGTTCACGTTTGACGCGTGGTGTGCTCGGTCGCTTCGGCTTCGGCGCAACGGGCTTCGGGATGATCTTGTCTGCGGTAGTGCTGATGCCACTGAGGATGGCATTGTTTAGAGCAATGTTTTCGAGTCGTTTGCGCTCGAATTCGCTCATCGCCGTTTCCTTTTTGGGGGGCATGGTGGCGTTTAAATGTGTACACACGTATATATGGTCTCTTTTTACTGAATTGGTAGTGATTGTAGGCGGACGGAAGCGTTTCCGTGGTTGCGGCCTGGAGCTGGCACGCGAAAGGCGCGGAAAACAGAAATCAACTAAAGCGATGACGCGCCGCAAGACATTTTTGTCGCGAAATCACGAGGATTCGGGGTACTTTATCGGTGGCGTGCCGGCTCCACAGTCCTTTAACCCAGGTGCTCCACTTAAAATCCACTGGGATGTCAGCGGCAGGCAGCGTCGAGGATCCGCGGCACCATCAAGATGGCGGAAATTTTCATTTCGTGATCCGCGGCTTATCGCCAAAAACCCCGACGAAATCGCAAAACGAGAATCGGCGTTGCGCCCTGACTCGGTAGCTACAGCCTCGCGCCGAATTGTGCCCAACATGTCAACAACACTCTTACCCTTTCTCTATCATACGAGGACGCTGCGACAGCTGTCCAAAACTGGGCTCAGAATACCCGCATTGCATGCCCTACTACACTCGACACCGACAAGCAACAGTCCGAGAGGTCGAAGTCGGCCAAACGGGCGTAAACCCGATGCCATCCCGTTTGAGTTACCAGAAGGCTATGAGGACCTTCAAAGTGACACAAAAGCCGACTCGATGACTGATGCCGAGGCCGGTACCTCGCGCTCAACCATCACACCCGCCGAGCACGAAACCTTCAGCAAAATCTTCAAAGAGATTGCGTCGAAAAACAACTCGAGAGCATCTACGACTGCTGCGACACCGGACAACCTTTTTGAGGAGGTTTCAGCACCCCCTTCGTCCACCCAAAACCCACCCAATTTTGGTGGCTTTGACCAGTTCAGCAGCTTGGACAGATTCGACGACTTCAACCCTCAGCATGGTGGATCTGAATCTAGTAGAATCCGTGACGCTGTCAATATTATTGTGGAAGATGCGGTCACTGTACCTACTCGCTCGGGACGAATACAGGGGTATCATTTCTCGCATATAGGGAACAAGGACTTATCACCGGAAAGATGGCAAAAGGCCCTGGAGCGGTTCCCGCCGAGCCTCCGCGAAGCTGCTCGGATGGCTCTGAACGTTATAGAATCCGACAGAGTGGCGAATCAGTCCACACCTGGGGTTGCAGGCCAAAATGGGGAACTGGCCAAGTCTCCGCGTTCAGTCGCCGAGTTCCACTCGTCACTTGACTCGTACACAGAGGACGAAGTCGAACGACGGGCGGAGCGCAGGCGCGTAGAGAACAGGATGTGCGAGGCCAAGACCGACTTTGAGCTCTGGGACGTGCTGGAGGACGAAGTCTTCCCGATCGCGAAGAAAATTGCGGACCCAAGCCTTAAGCGCAAGGTCCGACGACCCAAACGGACAAACGCGGATGAGAGGGACGAGAAACACCACATGCGTATATACGGCCCGCTCTATGGCGTCTTCCTGCTGCGCGCGCTGCAATTGTTCGACACACAGTTTGCGCGCACGTCGCCCATGGCGCTGAATCTGCTTCCGCGCATCAAGGAGCTCGGCCCCGCGAGCTACGTGCTCGGCGTCGGCACGCCCTTCTACAACGAGCTGGCGAGCATCTTGTGGGGACGGTACGGCGACCCGGAGGCCGTGTTTAACACATTCGAGGAGATGCGCCATGCCGGCTTGTATTGCAACCGGCGCACCGGCGACATCGTGGACGAGATTGAGAATTCCATGGCCCCGGCCCGCTCGGGCGACAAGGGCCCGTTTTTGAAGGAGATTCTTAGCTTTCCCGAGTACGAGTATGCCGTGTGGCCACGGGTCAGGTATTGGAAGAATGCCGTCATGCTGCACATGAAGAGGCAGCAGCGTGGTGACCACGGGAATGCGATCCCTTATGCGTAAAGAGCCTATTGGTAGCGCCCCATAAAATACCTACCTGGTGAGACTCTACAGGTCACGAGTCTCACCGCCGCTGTGCTCAGCATTTCACCAAGGGATGGTTGCCTAATGTTGACGGCCTGTGGCGGGGGTTTGTAAGATATTGTATTGTATGTATAGCTTGTGAGGTAACATCTTGGAGAATGATTGACGATCATGGGTTTGGTGTCCCCTCTCTTCCCTGCTTCTTGGCCTTAGGTCCGGAACCCCTTTTGTCTCGCACACACTCGCCTTGCTGTCGCTATTACTTGCTATTTGCCGCGTGCAGGTCACCTAGGGCATCAACCAACTCCACCCGTCCTCGGATAGTACTCTCGTCATAATCGTAATCGTCGCTTATGATCCCTCCCGGCAAGGAGGCAGTTACCATATCGACGAACTCTTGCACGTATGCGTCGGGAATCTGCTGGGCGAAGAAGCTGGCGAGCTGGTCCCTTTGGACAAGTTCCAACCTGCCCTCATTGCCCGTGACTTTCTCCACTGCACTCTTGAGATCTAGCGAGCTGTAGTGTCGCGGCCCGAAGAGCTTGAAGTAGTGGGGACTGGGCTTGGTCGTGTCAAACTCTCCAAGCAGCGAGCCCGCGCAGAACTCGGCTACGTCTTTCAGGCTCACCTATACCGATGTTAGTTTGACTTTGATCAGTCGACCGACTGCCAGGGAGCTCGGGCATCGATATCAACCTACCATAGGAATCTGATAATCGGCGGGCACAATCCAGGACTGTATGACACGCTCCTCTGCCTGGGTCCCTTTCACAAGGTGGGCCCAGTCCTCTTGGAAGTAACCGGGTCTGACGATTGTGACTTCAGGGACGGCATCCTTGAGGATTGTGTCAGAGATGTGATTCAGTCGGAGAACGCCCTTGTTGATTTGCCCTTGTTAGCCTGGCCCAGCCGTTATCCACCCATGCCCGAAGTGAACAACATGGCAACTTACGATGCTGTGATCATTCTGCGATCCCAGAGCCGACAAAATGAGAAGGCGCCTGACGTTGGGAGCGTCTTTTAGAGCATCTCGAATGTTCGTTGCCGTGCAAGATGCCCACTCTCCCTGGTCTGTACCGTCGTAGGTGGGAGGAGGGATGTAAAAGACTGCATCTGAATTGCGGAAGTCAAGGCCTGTCCCTTTGCCGACATCGCCTTGGACGGCCTCAAAATTGGGGTTCTCGAGGAAGCTCTCCGGGGCCTTGGACGTGTCCCGATACACTGCCCGGACAAAGGGTTTGCTCTCAGACTGGAGAAGCACACGGATGGTTTCTTTGCCCGCCTTTGTGGAAGCGGGTACGACGGTGATGCGAACAGTCATTGTGTAACGCGAGGCGATGTGTTTGTACCGGTGCTATGGCCGCTTGTGAAGAGAAATGGGCTTGCACAACTAATACGGTATGTTCAAGCTGAACTCTGGGTTGCCTATTTATCCTGCTGCCCGTATTCCCCTCCTTTCTTAGAGATTCTCTCTAAGGTTGAAGTTGTTTTACTTGTTTACTAAACATGAAATGTTGAGACGTCAGGGTTCCCTATTATCCTAGCCGCCAGGAATGGAAGCTTTTCCCCTTTTGCTTGGCCTGCTACCAAGGCCTTCTGGAAGCTTATAGCTAGTCCCTTGGCGTGCTGTATTAGGTAGGCCGATGACAACCGCAAAGATCGAGGATTTGTAATCACTCATGACGCCAATTGTAACCGCACATGGACTTGTGTGATCTCGGACAAGCGCAAGGTTACCAAGTCATCATTAGCAGTGGTAGTTGAGCTCATTTGAGCCACAAACAGCTTGGGTCTTCTTCTCCGGAAAGGGAGGCATCTTCTGATTGCACCGATAATGCGCCGAATAATCCCACGTTTCGTGCATGTGGAGTCACGGTACTTTGCCCCTGAATCCTAGGCAGTAGCTTTGTTTACAGTTGAGAAAGTCGATCAGTTACGTCGATTTATACAAGTGCCTGATAGTCCACGTCAAACTTGAACGTCAACATGAAAAGACTGTGTATAGTCGACAAGCGTTAATCGATTTCTGTACATGTAGTCGTAGCTTGATACTACTAGTACCTAGGTACTTGGCCAGTCTGGGCCTCATCCAAAAGAAAACAGACAAGGGAAAGACCAAGCTTAAGGCAGGCATAATAAGGTACACAAGCTGACTCCAAAGTTCAGGCTCTCTCCTCGGAAAAGGAGCTTGTGGTGATTGCATCACCCCCAAAGAGCCCTAACAAAGGTCAGCACAGATATTCCGCACACTATTGCGCCGCTTAGATCATCCCACGGCGGCGATGAGATCAATCTTTGGACGGAACACTCCAAACTCAACATGACTGGCGTTGGGCACATTGGGCTGCTGTGGACAGTGGAGGTGTGTCAACCCCACAAACCACGTCTATCCTCCACTGACATCACCGCATGTGTGACGGCTGGGCCTTGGCTACAAAACCCCGCAGCAGAACAGCTCTCTGCTCGCTGGGCAGTTTTGAACTCTTAGTTATGAATAGTAACATTCCCAGGGGATAGCTTTGGATATTGAACGTTTAGAATTACATCGAGCCAGAGCCAACCATGTCGTCTTTGGTAGAAACATTGACTGCCTCGGGCGGTACTGAGTCTGTTGGTGCGCATTCAACCTGGAATGATACCCCTTACTTGCCTCTCACACTGACTCTCTGAGCCAGGATTTCTCAACGACATCGTGAGGCAGCTATGGCCCAATATTTGCGTTGCCGGTGCCCGCATGATCAAGGAAATCGCGGAACCCATCTTCGCCACTACCCTGCCAAGCCCTCTCAACACGCTGCAGTTCAAGAAGATCGACCTCGGAACCGTCCCGCTTCACTTCTCTAAGGTGGATGTGCACAGGACCGAGAACGAAGGGATCAAGCTGGACCTGGATATTGACTGGGATGGCAAGTCGGACATTGAGTTGGACGGAAGCATGCTTCCGAAAATGGTATGCTCATGGCTCGACCACAGCGGGCTTCACTCAAGACAACTGACTTGGATATCTTCCTTTTGCAGGGAATTGAGCATTTCAAGCTCAAGGGCAGACTTTCCATCCTCCTCTGCCCCCTGACCAACACTCTCCCCTTGGTAAGCCGCGTCCCTTGCCGAACCTCCTTCAGGTTTCACCCCCTGACATTGACCTTCCCTCTAAAATAGATCGGCGCCGCGCAAGTGGCCTTCATCAACCCCCCGTCCCTAGAACTAGACTTCACGGACGCGGCGCACATTGCCAACCTCTCCGTAATCGACAAGGCCATCCGCAAGGTGATCCTGTCCATCATCGCCTCGTACGCCGTGCTGCCCAACCGGTTCCTGGTCAAGATCGACCCGTCCAACGATTTCTTCCGCACCTACCAGCACCCGGAGGGCGTCCTGCGCCTCAGTGTTGTTTCGGGAACCAACCTCGGCCGGAGCAAGGAGGGCAAGTCATTCCTTAAGAAGCTGGTGCACGACGAGCCGGATTGCTACGCCAAGGTGGCCGTTTCGGCCGAGGCTGAGTGGCAGACGGCGACCGCCAAGAACTCGCGGAACCCGACGTGGAACGAGACGCGGGATTTTGTTATTTCGGACTATGACCAGAGCATCGGGGTTGATGTCAATGATGACGATACAGCCAATACGGATGATGATATCGGCTTGGCAACGACGACGGTCAAGAAATTGCTTCTTTCCGGCGGCAGACAGGAGCTCCCGCTTACCCATAAGGGGGTGGCGACCGACGGGAGTGTGGTCATCGCCGGGGAGATGTTCAAGTTTGTGCCGAGGCCGGATAGCTTTGGGGAAGAGGGGCCGGGTATCCATGGCATGATGACCGTGCTAGTTGCCTCGGCGTTTGGGATCCAGGGGAGGAGGGAGCAACTAAAGCCGAGCGTCAAGGTTGATTGGGGGACGCACGGTAATTTCCGCACCGCCATCAAGCAGGATGCGCCGGGGAGCGATGTGCAGAATCCATCGTGGGATCAGGCGTTTAGGATTCCCATTCTAGCGCATATGATTCCTGGTCCGCCGGTGAGGATTACGCTCATGGACGGGGAGCAGGAGAGGGGTTCGGTGCATGTACCACTCGACGAGGTGCTGGCTGCCCAGAACATGCAGCTGGAGAAGTTCTTTGAAGTGGGTGACGGGGCCACGGTGAGGGCTGGGATTTGGTTGAGGGGAACAGCTCCTGCAGAGTAAGGCTTGTAGGTGTTGACCGGATTTGCGTAGTGCAGGTTCGATGCGTTCGAACGCCAGATTTAACACTTTCAAGATTTCTTATTGAGTCGGCTGAGATTGTTGTTGCCTTACCCCTTACCCCTGCCCCTATTCATGATCAGCGTGCGGACAACTTGAAGTGGGTGACCTTTCCTTCGCAAAACACCGAGTCGTTTCTTGCAAGGCTGTTGTCGACATTCGATAGTAAGCATTTGCCATATGAACGCAAAGATGCATGATTCAGCACCAACCTCGGTCTTGGGCGGTTGTTTTGGGACAGGTCAGTTAACGGTGGCCGGTTCGATGGCCACGAGCATCCCGCTCCCATTGCATCTCGGAATGACGGTGAACTCAATGCTTTTACGATGTAGCTCGCCAAGTACAGGCCCAGGTTGTGCATACTGAGGATGCTGAGTGCCGTCAGTCAACGCATCAGGCCATCAGCTGAATCAAACCGGCAATCACAGAGTTGTTCTCAACACAAATCTGAGTAAGCCACCGGGCGTCTTGAATTGGGCCACTGAGGCCGGCCTGGGCTGGGCCGCTAATGCGGCAGCAAATGCAAGATTGACGGCCCGGGGAAATGGTCCGGGGCAGAGCGGCGCAGTCGCACTTGGGAGGGGCACAGCAACGATCTTGGCCCGAATCGACAGCCAGGTACCGCGACGTTAACCGGTCTCTTTGAGGGCTATCCAGGGGATCAAACCTAAATCATCACCGACAATCCTGCATGAGGGCCTGGAGTATAGCCCCTGGCGGCAAAGAGGCATATAGCAAGTTTGGGGAGAAACTTCAGATCAGAAAGCCATCGGTGTCTTCTGTTCGAGTATATGTACCGTCATCAGCGCTGCACTCGAGTTCTTTCATGGTCTCATTCCTGACTACAGGCAGGTCCTGGTCAACTCAAACCCCCTTCCAAGCTTACCTCACCCCAGTTGACAAAGCCTCGTCACACTGCTATTGGCGCACAGAAGCCTACAAATTCTATCCCTTCGACAATACTGTTGACAAGCACCAACGGACTGGCCTCCTAAGTGCTTGAATCCTCCATTGTCATTGCTTCGATTCCACCGCGTACTGCCGGCCAGTCCCTGTACCATACGGATCCAGTCAGCTTCAAGTTCGATAGCAATCACCGCCACCACCACCACCACCTCGCACCTCCGGTCATCATGGTCCGCCGCGCGCTTATCCAAAGACGACACGGAGGGAGCACCAAGAAGCTAGAAGTATGCACCACCGCAGCAGCAGCGGCATTATATGTGACAATTCCCGTTCTGCGCACCGACCCCGGCGCCCGCAACTCGCTGCCTCATTCCAAGCACCACAAAAAGATGCGGAAGTTGGGCAGCGAGAGCAGAAGCGTGGCCCCTTCTGCCTGGTTTCACGGGTCAGAACCCAAGTAACCATGGGCCTTGTCATTCCACCTTGATTCCGCCTCATTCTCGACAACGACTGGACTGGAGCGCTTGTGTCGGATGTGGGTGTTGTCGGGTGCCGAGTATGAGAAAGGGAATAGGGGGTTATGTGGGGTTGGTTTGCGGACTGGATTCCGTTGATGCTGCGAGTCTGAGGGCACAGCACAGCTGAGCTGGGCTTCGAGAAGGTGGGAGGTGGGAGTGCTTGCACAGGCTCAGCTGAGGGGTGCATGTCTGCATGATTCAGAGCTGCCGGAAGCTCTGCACTTTTGCGCAATTTACCATGGCCCAAGACCGGGCGGTGGCGGAGGCAGTGCTGGACGCTGGTTCAACAAAGCCTTTCATGATGCTGGCTTATCTTTTGCATGGATTGTTTCTGTTGTGCTGACTTCCTGGGCTTTGAGTTGACGAACCTGGTTGTATTTCATTAATGACTTGGATAGAGGAGGATTTCTTTTCTTCGCGGTTTTCACATAATACCTTATCATTCCTACTGTACATAGCCTCATGGTGATAATAATTAATGATATTTTGGCACCTATTGCAACTGATGCTGTCCTGGATGGGCACTCCCAGGTTCATCATGATTCTAGTCCAGGAGCTTTCCTGCACGACGCACATGCAGCCATCATCACACCCCCAAGAACCGTGCATCCCAGGGGTGTTTTGTTGAGGCATCCATCACTATCAGGGACTCAGAACCTTTGTCACTACTTAGGTACCGTTGTAGTTAAGGTTCCTTGCCTCCCGTCTACTTGTACGCTGATGTTGAGCGTTTAGCTTTTCCATCCCCTCCCCAGACTTCTTTCAAAGCGGGAATGTCGTCAAACATCTTGGACGTGTTTCTCAACATTGAGGCGAAGCGTGTACTCAGAAAGGTGGAATATAATCGGCAAGAAGCATGGCTTCTTGACACTAGTCGGGACAATGTAAGCTCAAGTGCTGTGACGGCCATAACACATCTCCATTTCCATCACAGAACCCTAAAGATCCATCCTATAGGCAACGTCCTTCAAAGATCTGGAGCCTCTACCACTATTACCCAGTGGTCATGCTATGCTACCAACAATCTCCACATCGGCAACCCTCAAACAACCGCATGGACGGCTACGACTTGTGTCAGGACTCTCCTACCCCTTTAAAGTGGGCCTTTGGGTCTAACACAACATTGTTCTGGTATCACAGACTTGCCAAATGTAACCAAATTCGGCACTTAGCTAGCAAGAACAGCCCCCAAAAGGCCATACCGCTCATTCACCAGCGGGTCTCGCGTCCATGGACCTACCCCTTCTCTGAGACCACTCTGGAGAGCCTGATTGAACAAATGCGCCTCCCAACAGCTACCCGAGCTCGACTGGCCTGGTATCCGCTAATTGCCACGACCTCGCATTTCCAAACACACCCTCCCACGTCGTGCTGGCATGAGAAGGGCAGCTGTAAGGGAAGAATAGGTAAGTATGAACTATGGGATATGTGACCTGGTCGAGGAACCCTAACATGAGTGGTTCCATGATACAGGCATCACAATGAGATTGCCCGACTCGGTCATACTCGGCACGACAGTCTCGATGGCGCTCTCGCATTGCAGCGAGGCCAACGTAACTGAGGGCATACTGCTCTGCACTTCTGAGGCCGACCTAGTCAAGATTGCAGACACAATCCTCGAGGCCCGTTCCCTGGCGGCTCACCCGGCGGCGCTGGCCACCATTGTCTGCAAATTTCTCGCCGATATGCTCAACTACAAGATCGAAGCGACATGGCGGGAAACGTACCTGCTCGAAACGGCCAGCGGACAGACCGGTATTGTCCTCGTGAGTAGCACCGATGTCAACGTGCGCGTTCCCGAGGCCGCGTTGCAGATGATACGCAGGCGGTCGAGCAGTGCACATATGCATGATATTGAAGCAGACCGGTTTAGAAGGAGTAGGAATGGCCAATCCACAGAACCTGCGTGCCCTGGACCGGAGAATCCACAGGACTGGGAACAGCAGCTTGCCCTGCGACAAAGATCTGTCGGGCTGGCGCAGCTTGCTCTGGCGTGGCAGATGTACAGCCAGACTCTTCACCGACTGACTGAAATGGTACACCGGTTTCTCGAGTCGGAGGGGTTGTCTAAGGATCTTGTCGAGTCCGATGCCGAGACGGCGGTCGGAAAAGAGCAGCATATGGCGCTCCAGCAGGAGATGGACTATCTCTCGCAGAGAGCGGTAGAGGTAGTTGCCCGCGCAGAATATCTGCGCGGGAGACTCGATTTGCAGAACACGGCTGTAAGTGTTGTCAGTTCTCTCAATCCTCGATCTACCATACTCAGGTATCTACTTACCTTGATACGGTTCTGGCATAATAACAACTATTACATAGGTCAACAACTTCCTCGCTCTTCGTATGGCTGAGACTTCCAAGAGTGTTGCAGTCGCTTCTTGGATCGAGAGTACGGCGGCGAAATATGTTGCCGTTGTCGGGTTGGTATTCGTCCCTGCGGCATCTATTGCTGTATGTCGCATCTTTATTCCTGTTACCTCGATGGAGGCAGAAGTCACTGACCAAATTTTGTAGACCATCTTCGGAGTTCCCTTGGACTCCCAGGCCAATTACTGGCTGATTACGGTTTTCGTTACCATTGTGCTGATGGTCGTCTGTGTCCCGGTATTTGGGAAAAGCTCGATGAGGAGACCAGAAGTTAGAGATCTCGCTACTAGAGTAGGTGGTTGACAGGTGTGGACCATGGTCAAGCACCTCAATAGGTAACCTGCATTCAGATGACATTAAGATTTAAAGCCCAGATACCGGGCAAACCGAAATAACAGAAAAACACTGGTGCATATCAGACCAGGACTCTTAAGCGTACCCTTGACATTCTTGAAGACCACCAACACTCTTGAAGCCCATGGTACTAGTAGTAGGTGTAACGAGACCTAGACATGGCGGTAGGCACGTTGCGCTGAATCATGGTGGTGCCGCGAACATGGCGGTAGAACTCTTGGGGATTGGCCGGTTGAGTCCAGTTAGGACGGCAGTACTCGTTGCAGCAGTGCTGACTGAAGAAGGAGCTGATTCCCTCGGGGCCGAGATCCGTCACCCCGTACTCGCGGTTTCGGGAGAGGATGACGGGGTCCGACAAAACAACCTCGTTCTGGTAGATGCCGCCCTGGAGATCGCACAGGACGTAGTTCCCTCCACTGATGTGATAGCTGAAGTGGCTTAGGGCCTGCATGACTCGCGCCCAATGCCGAGTGTCGTCGTTCCATCCCGTGTTGCTGTTGAACTTCTGGTAGTTCTGGATAAAAGGCTCGATGAGATGACGCGAACCGATCAAGTTGCTGCGATGCGAACGAGTAATGCGCCACACCTGGGGCACATTGATTTTGATGGTCTTGTTGACAATGTTTAACTGGTTGAAGCGATTGACAATCTCCAAGGCCTTGTCGACAGCCTTGATGTCGAGGGTGAAATAGTCTTCTTCAAACACGACGCCCGTTTTGAACCACTTGATCACGCACTGCTGGCCTCGGCGGTCGCCATCGGAATATCTTGCCTTGGCAACCCAGCGAAACGCACCCTCGGCGAAGGGATTTTCCATAGCGTCGTCAGAGAACGTGGCCTCCGGGCGTTGTTGTAGCGGCCGCTGTCGACTTCCCTAGCTGACCAGGTGTCGGAATGGTGGCCATGCACGCAGCCCGCGCATCTCGACAGGCCCGGGCCCTTGGCAAACTGATTAGCCGTGTACGATGACTGGGGAAGATCCCGCCCGCAGTCAGCGCAAATGCGACGATTATGGTCAAATCGGGAGCGGTCGATGGTCGTAATTGGAGGGTTCACATGCACCGCTGAGCCCGCCAGCCTGGTAACCGGAGGTGGTTAAACTCTGTCAAACCGATACGGCCCATCTGCAGGGCAGAGAGGAGCAAAGTTCGTGTCATATTTCCCTTACCTGTGTAGGAAGTTGGTTAGGACCTAACGCGTCGATTGAGAAGAGCCTGGGGTTCTCTTGGGATATGGAGATGGTTTCGATCAGAAATGACAGCCTGGAAATGGGATGCTTCAAGGCACAGCGTTAGCCTCCGACTTGGAGATAAGGTTTGGCCTTGAAGTTCCAACCATCCAGTATCGATAAGACACCTGAAGTATTAACGGAAAGCAGGAGATGATGATAAAGCTTTCTGACCGTACTCACCGCTGGTTTTGTTGAGTTGGAGGAGACGAGATTTATTGTTTCTGAGACAGTGACAAACGTCGAGCAATCGAACTCAATCCGACCGTTCGTGCCCAATTAGGAATGGTTAGATCTCAACCACAAGATTGACCCACAGTACTGCAAACGGCCCAGACTACGGAGTACGTACTGTAGGTACTCCGTACCCTCCCTCGCTACCACTCACTGCAACCAGGCTCTTGTCACTTGTGCACACTGCAGGGGCCCCTCTCAACCTTTCAGCCCTTCTCTCCCAACCCCTCGTTCTCTTCAGTCATCCTCCTGTTCATCTCTCATCCGGGCTCGTCAAGGCCAGACTCACCTTACAAAATGGACAACGACATGGAATGCCGATTGAGCGACATTAAATCCAGCGATAAACCCTCATTAACAACGAGAATTTTCGAAATCGAAAGCAAAGGGAAGTTCGCGCCACGAAGCTACACAAAAAGGCGATGCGACGATGGGATACACATGAACCGTGCACCGAGAGCAAACTCTCTCGGCCCGGGCCAAGCACATCGTCTCCTACCATGCCAAGACTGCCCATATGCAACAGCACGTCCCAACAGTGGTAAGGTGCTGGTGGAAAGAGAGAGCGCATTGAAGTCTATGAAACCTGGAGCGCGTCCTTCAGGCTCTTAACAACAACCTCATACGCCTCCTCCCGTCTGTCCCACTCCTTGGTGCCTCTCTGCGCGCCCTTGTCAAAGCCATGATGCACATCCGCCAGCGTCTTCACGACCACGGTCCTCCGGCCATCGTCCAGCTTGGCCGCGAGCTCGACCGCCTCAGGAGAGAAAACATCCCCCGATGCCGTCAGCATAATCACATGCGGCGGGAACTCTGCCGGGTCAGCCCGCGACGGTGATACCTTTGGATCGGTACGTAGGTCCTTATCGGGGACGAAACAGTCGTGGAAAAAATGCAGCATCGCGTGCGGGTGGGGGCGGATCGGGGCGGGGACTGTCTTGGTCTCGGGCTCGGCCGACAGGTCGGTTTCCGGGTAGTGTGCGACGACGGCAACGATGGTGAGGTGGAGCTGGGCCAGCGACTTGCGGAGCGCGGATGCGGCGACGAGGGCCAGGTGGGCGCCGGCGCTGAAGCCCGAGAGCGCAACCCGCGCGGGGTCGAAGCGCGAGGACTGCAAGCCGACCCAGCGCAGCGCGTCCTCGACGTCGTTGAGCGGGCCCGGGTAGGGGTTCTCTGGCGCCTTGCGGTAGTCGGCGTCGAGCACGTAGATGGACGCCTCGTGCGCGATCCGTCGGCAGTAGAGCTCGTCGCTGCCCAGCAGCGGGAAGACCCAACCACTGCCGTGCCAGTTGACGACAACGGGGGCCGGGCCGGAGGACGGCGAGGGCGGGTGGTAGAGGTAGGCGTCAATGAAGCGGGCTGGGTCGCGCGAGGGGATACGGACGCGCTCGCGGTGGACAGGGATCTTCTGGGCGAGCAGCCGGTCCCGGCGGAGCGGCAGATAGCCCTGCACGACGAGCAGGCCGCGTAAGAGCGTGACGATGACTTTGAGTCGCAGGTAGGTGAAGAAGCCCACGTGGTGGGCCATGGCTGCTGCTGCCAAGTATGTGCTAGTACATGTATCTGGCACAGGACGCTAACAGGCGTTCAGTCGCTCTCTGGTGTTGGGTACCTGTCCGAGTCGCGGATCTTAGCCGGAGATGCGCAGAGGATAGAATGCGCTATAGCTATTTGGTTGTGGGGAATAAGCGACGCAGCTAGACTGAAGGCCAGAAATGGTTTTCGGTCCCGCACAACAGTGTGATGCAGTGGGTGCTGTTGCTCTAGTCGAAATACGTGACGTGGATTGTCGACAGAGGTGCCGGGGCCTGGGTGAGACGGGACCCGGCGGCACCGGATCGCTTATGTCCCGCTGCAACTAGGGCAGGGTCCTACTGTATGTACAGTGCGACCCCTAGCATGAGCCTGATAGGGCGATCCTGGGAGACGGTGGGAGGGGTTGGGAAGAAAGAGGGGGAGGCACGGCGGCAGCCAACAGCAACCCGCGAGCAAACACCTAGTAAGGTATCATATCGTTCGATATACAGTCGCTCATGACAAACTTAGGGGCCTGGAACAATTGAAGAAATCCGATCGGAAAATGGCATCGGCACCGGTCAGAGACCCCGCCACGCCGGCCATGGCCAAGCCGGACAAAGACGCAGCACAAAGGGCCCTGAGTGCTGCCGAAGCAAGATTTGTTGCGAACAATCCCCGCTCAAAGTCGCTCCATGAGCAGGCAGCCCAGGCATTGCCCGGCGGCAATACCCGCACGGTGCTGTACACCTCTCCCTTTCCCCTCAGCATGAAGCAAGGCAAGGGCGCCTACGTCTGGGATGAGGACGGCCACAAGTAAAACCCCTGCTGCAACCCCTAACAAAGTACATCTCTCTGTCTAACTCCTGTCCCCACTTACCTAGGTATTTAGACCTCGTCGGCGAGCTCAGCGCAGGTCTCTACGGGCACTCACACCCTTTGATCCGAGAAACGCTCCTCTCGACGTTCGACTCGGCGGGCGTCAGCCTGGGCGCCAGCACGGCGCACGAACAGGCCTTTGCGGAGCTGCTCTGCGCCCGCTTCCGCCTCGCCCGCGTGCGCATGACTAACTCGGGCACCGAGGCCAATCTGCATGCGTTCGCTGGCGCGCGGCACTTTACCGGCCGGCGAAAGGTCGTTGTCTTTTCAGGGGGGTACCACGGCGGGGTGCTATCCTTCCCCGACGGGCGGCCAGCGGCAAATGTAGTTGATCAGGCGGACTTTGTCGTGGCGCCGCGGTATAACGACGTCGCATCGGCCGTTGAGACGATCAGTGCTGTTGGGGATCTCGCGGCTGTGCTGGTTGAGCCGGTGCAGGGCGCTGGTGGGTGTATCCCTGCCACGCGCGAGTTTCTGATGGCCGTGCGGGACGCGGCGCGCGCAAAGGGGGCTTTGTTTATCCTGGACGAGGTCATGACTTCGCGCTTGGCGCCCGGCGGGCTTGGAGTCGAGATGGGGTTGGAACCTGATCTGGTCACGCTGGGTAAGTATCTTGGGGGTGGGCTCGCGTTTGGGGCGTTTGGTGGGCGCGAGAATGTCATGGCCCTGTATGACCCTCGTATTGAAGGCGGACTGGCGCATTCGGGGACGTTCAATAATAATACGTTGGTGATGGCTACCGGGCGAGCGGCGCTGGAGCGGATTTACACGCCAGAGGTCTGCGAGGATTTTAATAGGAGTGCGGATGAGTTCCGACGGAAACTATCGAGTCTCTCTAAGGGGACAAGGTTGTGCTTTACAGGTTGCGGATCGCTGATTGGATTTCATTTCACTGATGATGTCAGGGACGAGGTGTTGTGTGGCGAAGATATCAATGGGAAAGAGAGGAAGGACCTGAGGGATTTGTTTTGGTTCGAGATGCTTGAGGCGGGATTCTGGACGGTGAGAAGAGGGTATATCGCTCTGATACTGGAGACATCGGAAGCTGAGTTGAATGCTTTTGTTGAAGCGGTGAGAGCATTCCTAAATCGGCATCACGATATCATGCTGGTGGCATGAGTACAGCTAGTATTGAACGCTAGGGAAGCTGTACGTTGCTTCCCAACTAAAGTCCACCGAGTCCACCCGGATCTTGTTGTTTATTTCTGGACGGATAGATTTGAACCTGTCTCACTTAAAACATGACGACGGAAAGCGGGCGGTAATTCACGGCCCGGGAATTTGGGGTGGAAGAAGTTACTTGTCCTGCCCCTCTTTACGAAGTACATTGTGAGTCTCGCTTTCAGAATCCCATCTCACGACATCCCTGATCTGCTAGAGAATTTTCCCATACGGCATAGTCTTTGACTGTATAACAGCATCTTAAATTGTCAAAGAATCGAAATACTACCTATTCAACGACCGGATGTGCTTGACATGTTCGGTCCCATGTTCTAGGTTAACAATGGAACAAAGCCATTATAGGGATTTCATCCTTTATCCCTACAGATAGCATTAAAAATCACTACGGAATCCGGAGAGCCATGACCGCCTCTTGTTGGCCTTTGTCTTCGACATTTCGCAACTACCTTGAGCACCAAAGCCTACTAGTAGTTGGGCTGCGTTAACAAGCAGAAAACTGTCAAGTTTCGAGAGAATACCTTAGTCAGCCTTACACAGAGTCCACTACACCGGGAACGGAGTGGTGAGATCGGCATATGAGTTGATATTGGAGCCAAGACTCAGCATCCACCTCAGTGAACACCTAAGTGCTCCAACACTGGAACGCAGCGCTGGCACTGAGTGAATATTGCAGGGCGAGGCATCATCACTAGTAACTCTTTCAGTCCTATCAGGTGCGTACCTTACCTACTAAGTAGTACCTTGTCTTTAATCCTAGGCATCTAACAATCAATGGCCTTCCAAGTAAATCAGGGGGGCAATGCCCAGAACAACGGCCAGCCAAAAAACGGGCAGAACGGTGGCCAACATCAGGGCAATAATGGGAACCAGCAGCATAAAAATAAGGGGGCAGGAAACAACAACCAGGGAAACAATCAGCAGAATCCCTGGCAAAACAACCAGAAAAACCCGTGGCCAAACAAGGGCCAGAACCCCTGGGCAAACAACGGCCAGAACGGCGGGGGGCATCAGGGGGGCAAAAGCGGGAAAAAGAACAAGAACTGGAACGCTGAGGATGAGATGGACATGGAGGAAGGACCCCCTATCGCTCCTGCAGGCTTTGGTGGTACAGGTCCGTGGCCGGTAGCGCCGAATCCACCCGTGCCCTGGAATCCATTCCAAGCTCAGCCGGCGCCCCAGCCCCAGCCCCAGCCAGCACAATGGTCGGCACCTCAAGCCCCGCCGGCGGCGTTTGGGCAACCCGTGCCGGCATTCGGGCAGGCCCAACCGAGGTTTGGGCAAGCCCCGATACCGTTTGGGCAGGCCGCAGCGCCATTCGGCCAAGCTCACCGGGGGTTTGGGCAAGCCCCGACGCCGTTTGGACAGGCCCAGGCGCCATTCGGCCAGGCGCCACCGGCATGGCCCAATAATGCTGGCCAAGGGCAATACCATGACCCATTCCAGCAGCCGTTTGGCGGCCAGCAGAAGGGCAACCAGCAAAAGGGTCAAAGATGGCTTACCCATGACGAGGCGAGGACCCTGGTTCAGGAGATGCAGCAACAGGTCCATAACCTTCGGCAGCAGCAGCAGGAGCAGTATCAGAGGCAAGAGACACTGTATCAACAGCAGCAAGAACAGCAACAACACTTGCACCAACTGCACCAACAAAATCAGCAGCTGCAGCAAGAATTGCAACGCCAGCAACACCTCCTGCACCAACAACGCCCCTATCCCACTTCCCCCGGCCCGCGGCTAACCACATCCATGACACACACCGAGCCACACCTCACCTCCCTCCAACAGGCCCGGATCCTCCAAGCCCGCCTTGAGGAGTCGTTCCGCGTCGCAATGCTGTACGAGACGGCCCTAGCGCAGCGGGCGGTTCGCGCACCGCGGGAGGCCGAGCTGCGGGCCTTGTTCGCGCCAGTCGCGGGCACGATGGAGCGAGCGATCGAGCAGATCATGGCGTACGGGCGGGACGCCGAGCAGGCTGTGTTCTTCCGCGCCATGAGTGAGGACGAGCAGCGCTTCCTGATCGAGTGGCAGGCTCTGTGCGAGTCGTACGACCCTGTGCAGCACCTTGAGGAGACGCTCAAGGACTTAATGCGCCGGTACGGCGACGATCTGCACAGCCCGCGCATTGTCGGCGCGTGGGAGGCTTATGAGATCGGCATGGCCTCGTTCAAGGAGCGGGTCAAGAGGTTTGCGGCGTTGTGCGGCTGGTAGGTTCGGTAGAAGGGTTATACCATGCTACGACTTCCAAGGGAAAAGGAGAGGAGACTGTAAGGTAAGTAACAAGTAATTGTGCTGCGCAAAATACATGCGCATAATACATCAGGTAGGTAATGTACTTCGTAGGTCGTTGGAATTGGAAGTTGTGTAAGGTACTGTTAAGCATTGGCAAAAAGGAGGTTAGACCTTGATGCAAAGTTGACCTGTTTCCATGGGAAAGGGGCAGCAAAATTGTAAGGCCCGTGAGGACGAGACGCGATTTGAACGCGTGACCTACCGGACTGCAGCCGGTTGCTCTACCCCTGAGCTACTCGTCCGGGAGAGAGTTGAACAGCTCAGTGGAGACGCTTCACACTAGAGCGCGATGAATGTTGGAAAGGCTTAGCCGAGATGCAAGACGATTTAGCCCTTACATCAGTAGTTAGATTCCATACTTCAATCTCTTAGGTACCGTGAGCTACCGGCTTCAACGTCCTGCTTACATGTATGCTTGCATAGTAGTATATACTAGATAAGTGAAAAACTAGGAGTGCGAGAACCAAAAAGGAGACAAAACAAATGCTCCTACTCGGAATCGAACCGAGGATCTTCTCATTACGAGTGAGACGCCTTACCACTGAGCCACAGGAGCCTGAACACGAGTTGCGGATTAGTTGAATCTTCGGATCTAAGAGTAACTAAAGCCGCAAGTGTGCATTAAGTGTATGATGAGGAGACGACGTTGAATAGTTTATAGTATCTGCTGATATGCTCTTCAAATGTGTTTAGAGTTCGAATGCTGAAACACGAGGCTCCATTGCATTCCAAGGAGTCTAGGCGTCGACACAGCCACGGTTTGAACTAGCCCCTTACCCCTATTTGCTCAAAAACGATGGATGGACTGTAAACATGCCTGAACGAACGATAGCAGATCCTCTACCGTGCGTGGTTTGTAGCGGTCTAGTGGTATCTAGTACCTAGAGCATATCGCGCAGAGACAGCTGTTGCACTCAACGAGAAGATATTTACAAGGTATCCACGATTCCACGGTGAGGGTTCAGGTACCTAGGTAGGGTAGGTGGGTAAACATCACATAACAACTGAATTGCAAGAAAGTCAAGGCATTGCATTTTTTGATTAACAAGTAGAAATCGCATCCTAGGGTCCTTAAGTAAGACTGTAAGTACCTAGATAAGGTACTCAGATAGGAAACCGAGTCAAAGAACTTGAACAAGTAAAGTCCGCCCAGACTCAAACCCTAATTAGACACTGCACTCAAATATAAATATAGCAATACTGCCCGCCATTCGACCCAAGCTGGTCATGGGCCTCCATCAGCGGGATGGGCTTGTCCGTCAGCCAGGCCAGGTCGATCTGCATCTTGGTGGGATCAGTCACGCGTCCCTGGCGCTTAGCCTTCATGCCGCCGTGGCCGCCATGTCCGACGTTGCCGACCATGGGCACGGCGTTCAGCCGGTTGTCGGGATCCTGCATCTGCCAGAGCCACCACAGCCGGTCGAGTGCGCCGTGGTGGAAGTAGAAGACCGGGTCGCCCGGGGAGGTGGCCGCGTCACCGCCCGGGTCGACGGCGTGGATGTAGTGGCCTGCCGTGTGGATCTAGTTGACGGTTAGTCTTGTCACATACAAGAATAAGGTGGGGTTGGTTCAAGGTTGGACTCACCCCCCATGGGTACGGATCGCCCTTGGGCACGGGGCTGCCCAGCAGGGTGTTGTAGAAGGTGTTGATGTCCTTGCTCTGTGTCAGCAGCTTGTAGGCGTGGTCGGCCGTGGCGCCCATGGCCGCGTTGCGGTTGATGTCGCGGCGAAGGCAGCGTGGATTCGCGCCGGTGCCGTCGGCGCGAGGGTTCTTGGGGAGATTCCGGTAAGAGGCCATCGAGGTGGGCCCCAAGCTCACAACCATGCTGTTATTTGTGTCAATCTTTCTGATCATTGAAGCCGAGGTATATTGGAGAGGGATCATGGCTTACTCTGAAAATGGACCGGATTTCACGCAACCTCCTCCTCCGCCCGAGGCGATGATGTTCGGAGTCCGGCCGGGCTGGGCAACGCCCTTGTAGTTAGGGTCAGGCTCACCGTTGCCTCCCATGCTCGAAGAATTCCCGTTGAACATGGGCGAGTTGATTGGGTCACGGGCGTATCGGTCGTAGTTCATGTACTGCTAGAAAGTCAGAGACACAATCTACATACATGTACATGGCTTGGGTGGATGCAACGTACAGGCTGGTAGCCCTTGTATCCGCACTCGTCCCGAAGTGCCTTTTCATAGACCCAGACGAAGTGTTTGTGGGCTGGGAAGAGATGATAGTTGTCGTGCAGCTCCATGGCGTGCGTCATATGGTAGGCCACGAAGTCATCGAATCGGCTGATAGCGCCCGGGAACTTGTCCTTCGGAGCCCGTGCTGGGAGCTTCATCAAGCACTGCACGGCTTTGACATACTCTTCTCTCTCGGCAACGCTGAGATCGCTCCACTCTCTTCTCACAGCGGCATTAGCCAAGGTGCAGTTGTTGTTTGTTCCCGCGGCGACCTTTTTGGCAAGGAACGCCTCGACCTTGGGCCTGGTGGCTACCTCGATTTCATCCACGACATCGAGGGGGTAGATCCCGTTACGAAGCCTGACCGTACGTTTTCAGTACATGATACTGACTGGAAGCTGAGGAGGGAGACTTACACCTTTACATTGGCCGCATATGATCCCGCAACTGTAGCGGGATCTGCTACCGCTACTGCCCCAGCACCAAAAAGGAGCGAGGGCAGCACCAGAGTAGTCCAGGAGGTCGGCATTGTCGATCGTGGTATTGACCGGTGAAGGTGAATCGTTGGACCGGACATCAAGAGAACTCAAGAACACCTGAGAACCAGCAAATGCAACGTCTTTTAAAAACTTATGCCCCCCATGGAACAACTCGAATCCAGGTGGCCATACCTAGCTTTGTCCTGGTAAACTTGTGGTCATAGAAGTTCGGCATTTGCAAAACAAGCATCAAGGGAACAACCATACATCAAGTTTCATTTGTGTGCCCAATGACAATTGTGCAGACGTTAGCTCTCCGTCTAAATAGATGAAGATCCTTTCGCTCTTTGGCTCCTCGGTATTCTGCCGGCCGAATTGAAGAGGCCTAACAGGGCGGCAATTCACATCAGGATAGTGACCCACATATGAATAGCACTCTTGCTATCAACTTGAGACTGGCACTGGCATGCGCCAAAGCCGCATCATGTGGACATGCGAAAGGATAATTGCTTCGTGTGGGGCAGTCCTTTTTATATAGTTGCAACACATCAACAGGCCTCACATCTGAAGGTGACCTCGTTAAGTTAAGTTGCGTAGAAAGGTGACTCCCGTATACCTAGAGTGAGGGGTTGGTCTTCTTCCATGATGTTTCATAGTAGTAGCAGAGTTGGGATATAGGAGTAAAGAATGGAGTTGGGACTGTTGAAACCGTAATGCTGTCTAGGTACCTACCTACAGGTAGTCTGCACTCATCAGTCACCTATACTTCCGTGTTGTAAGCTAGGTATCTTGTAAACCGTGGCGTTACTAAGGTAATAAGTCCCCTGGTCACAGATTCTAGACCTTTAAAGGGACCTCTAGGTACCTCCTTGGGGATGTACATGCACATACAAGTATGGTCTGCCGTTAGGAGAATGAGTGTCGTATTTGAAACCCTATCATATGAAAGCCACCGCAGTTAACCCAGCCAAGCCAGGACTGGTCAAGTCGACGAGTGTTCCCATTAATGATCAAGGCGCGTTCTATTCCTCAACATTTCCAGGGCTTTCCTCCGTCTTGACGAGTGGGACTTCGGGATCTGTATGCAGGGCCGGACCAGGCTCAACCGGGTCAGTCTCAGCAGTGCCCCCATCTCACCTGTTTGTGTCCACCGCTTTCAGCGACTCCATTTCAATGTCTGGGGCGTCATGTCCTTCAGCCTGTCCCTCTCCGGCCTGTACGGCCTCTGAAGGTTCTCCACCGGCCCCGGACGCCACGACCGCATCACCCGATCCCTGCCCTTGCGCGTGTTCCACATCCGTGAACTCTCCATCGCCATCGCCAGACTCCGGGGGCGGACTGTAGAGGTCCCGTGGCTTAGGCGAGACAACCGCCAGTACGTCCCTGAGACACATAACTCCCGGAACAAGAGTGAGACCAAAGCCCAACCACACCAGCGTGGTGGCAAGCGGTCCGACCACGGCTGTGACCGCCCCAGAGGATAAGTATACCATCATAGGCGCCGCTGTTGCTGCCGCCGCGTGCTGCCAGAGGGCTGCTAGCAAGCAGTTGCCCATTCCATAGATGGCGTTGACAACGAGGGCTGCTGTGAACCATACTCGCGCCGTCTTGTGGGATGAGGTGATGACTCCCAAGGGGGTAATGATTGGAAATGAACTTGAAGAGATACATGTGAGGGAGATAGATATAAGGTTTGACGCCATTGAGATGATGCTGTAGAGTAAGACACCGTTGTTAGCGGTCATATCAAGAAAACAACCCTCAGCAATACAGTAGTACTTAGTACTTTGTGTGGAAGCCATGCAGTTACTCACAGAAGGGAAGGCGATACCGCCTGATCTCTCAGATCGTACGCCGTTTTTCCGAGGTTCCAGGGCTCATCAGCATCTCGAAGACGCTCGATTACTTGATCAGGATCGCCGCAGGTCCAGCTGCTGCTGGTGCTTGACCTGGCGCACAGGAAAAAATAACCCAAACGGATCTCTAGATGGGAAAACCCCGCGGTTGTGTCGGATGCAGGCAAAGAAAACGCGACAAGGTAAATGCCAGCCAGGATGTTTGGAGCTGAGCAACCGGCAAGCAAGAGACACCCAAGCGCCAACGCTGCGCAGTTGAAGAGCCCGAGCAGCACCCCTCTATGTCTATGAAGAAATGCTGGTAACCAAGATGTTGTCAGTCTGAATAGGGTCTGGTACTTTTCCCGAGCAAAAAATCCCAACAAGGGAGCCGTGGCGGTGCTATTCATGTACGGTAGGTGCAATCTTAGGTAAAAAGGTAGGTAGGCACCCACCTCCTATGCGTCGCACCACTAGCAAGAGCGACTCGTTGTACCCAAACCATGGTGTGTGTTGTCCTAATGGCGTGTCCGCCATTTTGTGCCCTAGAGGAAGTTCTTCACCTTCTTGTCGTCAGCATCGTTAGAATGAATCTTACATGTACGGAAGAACAACATGGGAACCAACGATGCTCTCGCGATTGCCTTGTGTCTCCTTATCTCCTCATGTGTTCTTCGAATCCAGCCTCCCCAATACGACGTGATTGCAGGCTGCAGCTAGAGTCTCCGCCATTCAGAACCGAGTATTCCTCAACCTGGAAAGGCGCGGCGACACTGTACCCCCCCTTCTCATTGGACAACTTCAACCTGTCCCAGCCATCCGAATATCAGGGCAATGTGCCCCACGCCTTCCGTTTAAGGTGCAGCCCGGTCCGAGATCCTAATAATCGTCAAAGTCCTACCGTCTCCCACGCGTGAAAGGCTGACAGCCATATCCAGTGATATACCTAGCCATAAATCAACTCGTGTATGTGCCGGGCGCGATGGCGTCTAGCGACCCGGCGCTGAGGCACGCTGGACAGCCATTTGTCACGCCGGCTTCCCGCGTGCCGCCCTCAAGGCGTACAAACTATATCGAGCGGTTTCGGGGGCAGGAGGGTCGACAAGGAATGCCTCATTTGCGAAATGTGCTGGCAAGGTCGCGCAATAGGCTCAGCGGCCATTACACCCTTCTGTCGTTTCGCACCCCCCCTCAAGCAGGAAACCCAGGTGTCCAGTTGGCCGTCGTCGAGTGGAACGAAGACGATCCTCCTCACAGTCTGTCATCATTGATCTCTGGGGCAGGGGACCGCCCTGATGCGGAACATGATCCGCCATCCCACGCTATCTTTGTCAGTGATCTCTCCGAGAGGCTGATTAACACGTTGGGCACAACCATGCATCTCAATCCCGAGACTTTTGAAGAACATCTCATCCGGTCCGGGTACACGGCAACTTCGTATGGGGACCGGGATCCTAGCACATGGCCTACGCGGTTTCTTCCTAAACAGCATGTGTCACTACGTTGGTACAGCCCGGTTCATCGAAGGGATATGAGACCCCGAAACCAGTCCGAGTTCAAGGATCTCGTTCGGGGCGGCTTGTGGTGGTCGAGTCAAGTCGAGGTATTCGAGAGCCCCGAACCTGGTAATCTCACTGGCAGAACAAGGCTAGAATGGAGGAGCCATCATCTTACTCCTCTCACCAACATATTCCGCCAAGAGTGGTCTCTCTCAGTCTCGACCATGAACCGTCCACCAAACCCGAAGGCAAACGGAAAGTCAGATGGTCTTTCCGATACCGACGAAGATGATGATGACGATTCTGTAAAAGAGGATCTTGACATCGTCGCATGGGAAGAACGGGTCACTTTCTGCTGGGGACAGTTCAAGCAAAGACAAATTCGTATGTTGAAGCTCCCGGTAGAACTCTGCTACGACGCTGACTTCGGTACAGCCATTTTCTTCTTTGATCCGCTTCCCCGCCTGTCACTTGGTTCCTCATCCGAAGCGACAGCATGGAGACAAACAGAAGAGACTCTACTACCGTTCACAAAGCGGCTGGCGCCCCGAGGACCCCCGCCCGCCAGGCAACTTGATAATGACCCGGCAGGGCTAGAGGCCCTAAAGAAATACGCGTCCTCGATAGACGAAGCATGCATCGATGCCACCTCGTGGCTCGAGCACTTCTCCAGAGTTGCATCAGTCCCAGATACTGCCAGCGCCGCCATCAGTCTGCCACTCCTTGCTGTGTTCCAAATCGTTCACCGAGACACGGTCATGCTGCTTGAGCAATTTGGACGCGTGCTGGACCAGATCAGCACCGGAACTCTGGACGAGCGCATGATGCAGAACCAGCTTAGCCACTGGCGAACGCTGCTCGGGCGGATGCAGAGCGAGCTGCCGGCGCTGCACAAGTCGTTGCGCCAGTTCTTCCTGTTCCCATACGCCCACTCCGATGACGGCATAGAGCAAACAACAGTGCTTGGAGACTCGGAGCCGCCATCACGACTTACAACCGCCCTGGATGCTCTCCAAGCCGACATACTGGGTATGGAGAAGCGATGTGAAAAGGCCCAGGAGTCCCTCCGCGCAGAGATGTCCCTCCTTGAGAGCAAGCGCGGCATCGAAGAGGCGGAAAGCGTGTCTCGGCTCACCGAACTGGCCTTTGTCTTCATCCCCATGACCTTCGCGGCCGGCCTGTTCAGCATGCAAGTGAGAGAGCTCGCTGAGAATCCACCCCCTGTTTATGCCTTTGTCATCGCAGCCCTCGTCGCCGTCGTGGCGTCGTATGGGCTACGCCTCGTTCAACGAAGCACCCTGGTGGGCGAAACGCTTCATAAGCTGGAGGAGCAGATTCGGAACGACCAGCGGGTTGTGACTCGGATTATCCCAACGAGGAAGATTGTCCGTTGGCTGGGGTGGAAGACGGTTACGGGCTTGGGGCTTTCCGTCGTGAATTCAGCAAGGGGGTTTCGTTGGGTAGGGCAGAAGCTGGCCGACAATTTGAAGCTTGTGAGGGTGATGTGTAGCATTGCAGCTTTGGCTCTAATCATCGCCCCGTTATGGACCAGGGCCTCCATGGATATGAGCTTCAAGGGGACAATCACCGTGCTGGCCCTGCTGTCTATCCTGCTGATTTTGTTTCTGCTGAGGAGCAGTGACAAAGACGAAGGAAATATCCTGCCGACCGGCTTGGGTCGCTTCTGGCGGAACCCTTCTGGGAGTTATGTCTCGGGTAGCGTTACTAGTAGTTCTATGGGTGGTAGTGGCCTTGGCTCGGACGAGCATGATGGAAGGTCCGGCCAGCAAGGGCCCAGCTCCAGAGTAGATAGCAACGTATGAACTGGGTCTGTACCTACTCTGTATTTGTAGAGCCAGATACATTTCGATTCAGCCTTTTTACCCATGAAGCCTGTTCACATCCTGGCCCGTGATTGTGGCGTCCGAAGAAAAGTCTCCTGATTATAGTACAGTTTGAGATGAGTCAGTCAAGTCAAGTCCAGGTATTGAGACCGTGTGGATCAACAGCAGTAGCCCCGCTTTCCGTCCAGTCTGCCACGTTTCTCAACGAACCTTCCGTCAACTGAAGTGACTGAAACTCTCTCCGCGCAAGAAGGCGCAGATCCCATCAACTCAAGTGACCTTGTTGCGGTAACAGGCACTTGCACTGAGTATAGTGTTAACAATGGATTCCGAAACACTTGACCTAAACGAAAACCGTCGCCGGATGCTCAATGGCGAGCTCTATTACGCCTTTACCCCTGACTTGGTAGCAGATCGTCAACGCTGCAAAGCCGCGTGCAACGCCTTCAACCTGGCAAGTGCCACCGGAGTTGCCTCGCGGAGAACACAAGTCGAGCTTTGGAAACGGTAAGTTATTAATTATACCTGTAGACACATATCCTTCGCCCCTTCCAGTTTCACTGACTCCCCCACACATTTAGGATCGTCCAAGATGACACCCCGCTCCCTCCGCCAGGCGCCACCCCTGAAGAAGATGAGAAGCTTTTGGACGATTACCCCTGGGTAGACGGACCTATCAAATTTGACTATGGCTTCAATACAAAGTATGTGTCAATTTCGCGCCCTTCCCCCGGCCCCCGGGCAGTTTGGCAGCTCGGTCCCTCCTTCACGCCGGTCCATGCTTACACGCGGCGGTCATTAGAATTGCCCCCCAAGTCTACATCAACAGCAACGCCACCTTCCTCGATGTCTGCCCCATAACAATCGGCTCACGCACCCTCATCGGCCCCAATTGCAGCTTCTTTGCGGCAACCCACCCGATTGATCCCTTCGTGCGCAACGGTCTTAATGGCCCCGAACTAGGCAAGCCCATAACCATTGGCGAGGACTGCTGGTTTGGTGGGAATGTGACTGTCCTCCCGGGCGTGACCATCGGTCGAGGTGTGACGGTTGGCGCTGGGAGCGTTGTGACCAAGGACGTGGAAGATTTTGTTGTTGTTGCGGGTAATCCAGCAAGGGTTGTTAAGAGGTTGGACGCCGCAGACAAGATTAAAGGGGAGGGGAGGACGCAGGACTCTCGGTAAACTATGACATGTTGACACTGGTATATAGCAGCGAAGCCCTTTATAACAGCGCGTCAAATGCTCTGAGTCTGTGTCCTACACAGTATAGGGAAGCTTGACTGTGTATCATGGTCAACTATTAACTTGCCTGCCTTTTGACTGCCACGGTAAAGACCACCGAGTTTTCGAGGGTTTGGAAGCATTCATGTTCACTTGCGCCGCCTCTTTCATCTTTTTGGCAGTCTCGGCCTGCAACACCATCCAGCGAGCCTCCATCTCCTCCTGGCTGAGCATTGGCCGGCCACCATAAATCTCGATATCTGGATCCTCCCGGCCGTCGTATGACCCGTTCTTCAGACCCAAGACCTGGCACAAGGCGTCCGATTTGCCTATCAGCCACTCCTTCTGTTTGAGTCCGAGCTTCCAGTGGTCAGGCAGTGCCGAATACCCAAGCAGGCCGCCTAACAGCGCGCCGGCAAAGCAAGCGTTCGTGTCGGCATCTCCGCCGCGCATGACCAGGTCCGTTATGAGATCCTCAAACAGTCGAGACCGTTCCAGTAACCCCCTATTGCTCTCAGCCAACCTTCGCATCGCCATTCGCAACAGCACCACCCCTGAGCCAAGTGTCTTGTACACATATCCAATCGCGGCATGTTCATCCAAATTCAGCGCATCCAACCCCCATTCGGGACTAACATGCCTCTTCAGCTCCTCCAAATTCAGTTCCACGCCTTCCATTCCTTCATTCGAGTCACGGAACCACTGCACCGCCCGATCGATCAAGACATCCACATCCTCCTCAGCCACAACCTCACCCCTGACAACCCCCCTGACCAACCCAGTCCCAATTACACAAGCCACCACGCACCTCGGATCAAAGTGCGTCACCCTTGAAATATCCGCCGCAACCCTGAACGCCTCCTCCTCCTCCCTAAACAAACAAATCACCCCCAACGGGTGGGTGCGCATCAGACTCCCATTCGGCGCGACCCTCTTGCCCGTCCGCTTCCACGTCTCGCAGGCAACCCTCTCCGGCTCCTCCACAAACCCTTCCGACGCAACCACACTGCTCACCAACCGACCGAGGCCAAGCGGCATGGTATCCAAGACCCTCAAGCCCATCTGCACCCAAACCCTCAACCGCGCGGCAAAGTCAGTCTGGGACGGCAGGGGTGGCGGCTGGGAAGTCTCCGCGCCCGCGACTGCGGGTGACGAGGCGGTGTGCAAAAACGCCAGAAGCAGCAGCAGCGCATGGTCCGTGTCGTCGGTCCAGTGACCCGGTTCCTTCGACGCGCGGTGCATGTCGAGCCTGAACGGAGTTGGGCCGCCGGATTCCGGGGTTAGTGTGAAGCGCCCTGCTGGATAGGCGGCTGCGGCTTGTGAGGCAGAGAGGAACTCCGTGTACAGCCCGATTGTGTCGCCCAGTGCGGAGCCGACGAGCACACCTGCCACCCGGTCCTGCAGGGCTGTGCGCAGGAGGGTGGTTGTTGCCGCCGGCGGGAGGCCGAGGGGTGGGAGCGGATTAGGGGGCATGGTGCGAAGGCGGTGAACTTTGTTGGGGATTGTTAGGTCTGGTACCCTTTATGCTGATTGATGAATTGGGGGTGATGCACTGATTGGGATAGTGTCTGCTTAGATGGTGGCTTGCTGAAGTGGAGATTGAAGAGAAAGTTGATAAGTGTGGTTTGACTGTTTGAGACCAAATAGTATGCCGGTTGTATGCATGTGCTTCTCAGGTACGGAGCCTCGACGCCAATATGAAGGTATGAAGTTATGAACAAAGGAACTGTGTCGTGTAAGGGACGGGCAGACTGAAGTTCCAGTCCGGACGCCACTCCAAATCGTGCGGGGCAAGAAATGTAGCCACGATTCGCCAAAAGTTCTGTAGCTGCCTAATAACTGAGCTTGCAAGGCTGGGCGCTAAGCAGGAGCTCGAGGCAGCAGTCAGTGTGTGAGAATGAAAAGGGGTAAGGTCAGAAATAAGGGGTAACACGATGGAATACTCCGACAGTTGGCGGCGTTGTCAACTCTGTAGGAATGTCTAACAAGACACCTAAATACTCCGTTATTAGCAGGTATTGCTTTATTTTCCTGTATTATTGCACTTTTACCTAAATGTATTTCACTGTCCTGTATGCTCCCTCCTGTTTTCTCCTACGACACCGCGCCATTCACTATCACACCCATTGACAGCTTAGTCTAAACATGACTAGAGGATCAAATAGTTGCCTGAATATAGGCGGCATTATACTGATCCTTGAGTACCTTGCTAGACTGCGTAGGTACCTGCTAGTTAGGTACCCGTACCTGATGAATGCAACTGGGATACCAAAGGTCCATGACCACCCTCTAGCCCAACTGCCCTGCTTCGTGGGCTTGTGCCTACTCGATCTTGATGCCGACCTTTCCGAAATGCTTCTGTGCCAGCTATGTCCAGATCTGTCAGTTACATCCCAGCAGCAACATCTGCAGAACAAGCTGACTCACCATGTACTCGTACGCCTCCTTTGCCTGGTCAAGCGTGAAGACGGTCTTGTCCACGACCGGGTGGATATTGTGCTCCTCGGTCGCCTTGACCATATCCTCAAGCTGAGTCCTCGAGCCAACATACACCCCACGAATGACGCACACCCGCGACAGGGCCTCCATGATGCTGTCCTTGGGCCTCGTGCCGCCCAGCAGGCCAATGATGGAGATGATGCCTTCCATCTTGATGGCTGCCAGACTCTGCGTCATGGTCGACTCACCGCCGACCTCAATGACATGCTCGACGCCCTCTCCGTTGGGGGTCAGCTTGCGCGCGGTCTCACCCCAGTTGGGATCCTCGCGGTAGTTGATGACATGGTCGGCGCCGAGCTTCTTCAGAAGCTCTGCCTTTTCTGCCAACGAGGTGGTGGCGATGACTGTAGCGCCGGCAGCTTTGGCGAACTGGTTGCGGTGTCAGCAGACTCCATCATACCGCGCATCATTAAGGGAAGCAAAATGCTTAGGGAATTGACACGCGCAGAATGGAGCTAATCAGACAAGCATGCATCTGGAATGGGCACAGTAAAAGAAGAACAAGCAGAACTCACCTGCAGAGCAAACAGACTAACACCACCAGTACCCTGCACCAGAACCGTCTCGCCCTTCTTAACGGGCTTCAGACCGTACAGCGCGTTCCAGCTCGTCAGGCCGGCGCACGTCAGCGTCGCCGCCTCGACAAAGTCCAAGTTGTCGGGCATGCGGACGACGCCGTTCTCGTTGAAAACTCCGTACTGCCTCAGGGTGCCGTCAATGCAACCGCCAAGCCCCGTCTTACTGGCAGCCACATCCACGGGGCCGGACTGATGGCCCTGGTTGAAGAGGGTCACGACCTTGTCGCCCGCCTTCCACTTCGTCACCTTGGAGCCGACCGCCACAACCTCGCCCGCGCCGTCTGAGCCGGCGACCACGGGGAGATCCAGCGGGAAGGGGTATTTGCCCTGTGTTCGAGATATCATGGGTTAGCAACCGTGGTGTAAGGGGTTGTGTTACTTATGGCAAAAAAAGGGGCTACAGTACCTGTGGGATAATCAGGTCGCGGAAGTTCAAGGAGGCGCCGCGGAGCTTGACAAGCACGTCATTGTCGCCGACTTTGGGGATCGGCGCGTCTTGGAAAACCAACGTTTCGAGCTTCTTGCCAGTGCCCTGGACGAGCCACTGCTTCTGGCTGCTCGGGATGGAGGCGGACATCGTGGCAGAAGAACAGGATTGATGAAGTGATAGTAGCTTTGGGAGTTGAGGTTGGTGAAGCTAGTTGTTTAATGAAGATTGAGGTCTATGGACGGTGGTATATCAACGCTGGCCGTATTCACGGGCGGGATACCAACAGGCGGATATCCATGATATATAGGACCCAACATATTGGCGTGCAACGTCATAGTCGCGATACTACACCGCAATGTGGATATCATCAGAGATTTCCCTGCTCCCACTGGCAATTAGTAATCTGTACCGAGTTTTCACTGGCTCCATGCTTCCCAAGCCTCTGTACTGTGTACAGCTTTTAATTCGAGGAGGTGTGCAAGATATGCCGGACAAGGGTTGCCCGCCCTCTTTGCTCCTCGATGTTGCGTACAATAACGTGTCGAGGAGAAAAAGATCTCCCGGTTTCCCCTAACCCACGGGCGGTGTACCCACTGCTGTGGGCGACAACAACGTTGATTAGTCATGCACTTGCAATATCTACACCAGCCGGGTAAACCATGCTCCTGCTTTAACGTCGGTTTCAATTTTGAGGAGATAATCGGGTTCTTGTTCTTCGTTTCAGGAGTATCATCAGGCACATTGATGATAAATGGCAACCGCCTTATGTCGTGTAATGTCAACACCATCTCGCTTCGCAGCGACTGTCCCGGCATTGAAACAAGTCCCTGAAAGGCATACAGTACGCGATGTCGGTTAAACTAACCGGCAGCAGTGGACTCCAAAGTACCTCGCAGGTCCACTTTCAACTTCATTGAGGCATTGGTGTCGGGGATTGGAACATACTAGCAGGTACCAAGGAACACCAAGCCCCACTTGACCCCTTTTCTTCATCTCGTGGAGACCAGGGAAGGACTGTGTTCCAGAACCCGAACGAACTATGGACCCAAGAGCTCCAACAGGCTGCTGCCCAGTTTTAGGCCTGTCAGCGCAACCCGATATTCCTCCTCTGAACGTTCTTGCCCACAACCTGTACCGTCGCCGGCGACCAATCCTCATTACCGATGGCCCTCGCCGTGAGCGTCAACTTCTCGCGAGGCCACAGGGTGACATAGTTGTCCTCCCACGTCAAGGGAAGCACATCTCGACCCTCTGCATCAACCAGATTCAGGCTCACAAAGAACGCCGGCACGCCCGATCCGTTCTCAAGCGTTACTGCCACACTGCTGTCGCTATCGTGGACCGCGCTGACAGTGAGGTTTGCCGGCTCCAGGTTGTTCAGCGCCGTATAATTTGCGTACTTTGTCACCGGCGTCACGTACCACTCCGAACTCTCCCAATCCAGCACGTCAACCTCTCGGCTAACCCAGTAAACGTTCCTGCTCAACACCTTGCCGCCCTCGCCCTTCAGAACCAACCGTAGAAAAACCACCTCCTCAGCGGCCTCCCCTAGAACCTCTCCCAACTCAGCAATCTTTTGACTGGCATTAGGCTCCGCGTCCGCTTCGACCGTCTGCTCATGGACTACCCTCCCATCGACGCCCAAAACCTGCACCTCCACGGTCCTTTTACCCTGTTTGTCCAACGAGCGGTTGATCAAATACACGCCCTTGCCCACATAGTCATAGGCCACATGCTCAACCCTACTCCCAACCTTGGCCCCGAAATAGCTCCCGGCAGGACGCATATAGTAGTCCCAAATATTCCAATGCAAGCTTGGCCAGGCATTGTTCAGCATCCAGTATATGAGGCCCGTCGCAGGGCGGGGCGTTGCCGTCCACATGGCGGCGTACGCCTCGAACTGGGCGCGGGTCGCCTCGTAGTCCATAAGCTGCGATTTGGCGAGGTAGTCATCAAGCGACGAGGGCGGGCCCCAGCGGGCCCAAAGCGCAGCGTTGTAGATGGCACGGGTCTCGAAGGACGAGGTCTCGCGCGACATATGGAAGAGCGGCTTGTCCGGGGTCATCCAAAGATCGGCCAGGTCTGTTGGTGACAGAAATTTCTGGAGGCTCGCCAGTTCCGGGGTCCCCACGCCGGCGCCCAGCTCGGAGCCGAACCCGCCCGCGGCGCCCAGCTGCGCCGGCAAGGTGTACCAGTAGTTGGGTGGTACCCAGTCATAAGGCCCTTCCATTTCCATGCCGGACGGCCCCGTGAATGGGGAATACCCGCGCTTGGAGGCGGAGCCAATGACCGGTGTTTGCCAGTCGGTTGCGTTGAAGGCGTCGAGGTAGATGCGCGTGGCGCGCTCGTCGGTCCAGTAGTCGCTTCCGATCAGGTAGGTCAGGACGCTGGGGTGGGTTTGCAGCATGCCGGCCTCGTGGAGCATGCTCGCGCCCGCGATGGCGTAGTCGGCCGACGACCAAACCGGGGTGGGCACAGCCAGATCCTGGTTGTAGCTCCAGGCTTCCCACTTATCGCAGCACTCCCATCCAGGCATGATCATGACGCCGAGGCGGTCAGCGATGTCGTAAAGCTCGGGGTGCTCGTTTTTACCTTCCAGCCGGACAGTGTTGAAACCCAAGTCGAGGACGTACTGGAGTTCTCTTTCCCATTTTGCCGCGTCCCAGCGGAGAAACATGTTGGGCGTGTAGCCGGCACCAACAACTTGGAATGGCTGCCCGTTCATGATGAAGGTTGTGTCGTTGTACGAGTTCAACTTTGAGGTTATGATGCGGAGGCCAAATGTGGCCGCTGCGTAATCCGAGAGTTCTCCGTCGTCTGCAACCACCGTCAGGTTTGCTGTGTACAGCCGCTGCTCTCCCCACTGTCTTGGCCACCAGATTTTGGGATTTTCGACGATACCATCGAGAGAGATGTCCACGGTGGACAGGGGTTGTAGTGTAAAGGTCTTGTTCCAAGTAACAGCGCCCGCCCCTGACGGCGGCGCAATAGTGGCCGTGGTTGTGATAGTGACGGATGAATTCTCGAGATTCTGGGCCCGTGTTTTGAGAGTTACCATGGCTGGTTGACTCCCTATTGGCGTCCCGAGCTGCGTCACCACACGAAGTGGTTCCAACACTACCGACCCAGTCTGCTTGATCTCGACGTCTCGCCACACGCCGGTTCCGTTGTCGGCCGGCCAGGGGTTCCAGTCAACCCAGCCCAGGGCCAAATCGCGGTAGTAGTCTGTTGGATGGACTTGGATTGCCAGCGCATTTCCAGCGCCGACGATGCTGGTAATGTCGTATCGACGTCCGACATAGGACCCAGCCTGCTCGGTTCGAGACGCAACTTGCTCACCATTAAGGAAGATGTCTGCTCTTGAGGAGATTCCGTGAGTTTGCAAAAAGAAATGTCTGCCCTGACCAGGCTCAAGTAAGATCTCGCTGCGGTAAATCCAGGGGACGAGGAACTGTGTGCCGTCGACTTTCCGGAGATTGTCAGAGTAGAAGAGCTCGGTTTCGTTGTAGACACCCGCTTCGATCAGACAGCCTATGAGAGTGCATTTGGACTTTCTGATATGATGCCACGCCGAGGTGTTGACGCCATTTCTAGTCAGTCTCTCGAGATTAGTACCCACGACTGCTGTCGATTGGAGATCCCACGATGGAATTGCTGCTGTTTGCCCTGGTGACGATACCAAGGCTGCGGCCATGGCTGGCTGCAGCCTGGATACCAGAGAAATGGCAATGGCGATCTGTTTGACCTGCATTTTGCTGGCAGTACTTCCTTTCACACTGCATGCAGTCAGCGCAGCCACGGACGGTGATGGCGCACATCAACCAGAAGACTGGTTGTTTGAAGAAGCAGTGCTCATTATCCGAAATTTAAATTCGGATCGCAATGCTCTCTAGCGTAATAAGTTGTGTCAGTCCGTTAACATGACCACGCCCCGCACTCTGGACCACTGGAACGTTACATGTTTGCTGTCTTGGAGCACGGCTACTCACAGAATGGAAGTCACGGCTGTGCCATATAATCGCCCGTTCCTAGGCATGTCAGGCCCCGCTGGCGATCCGCACTTGCAATATATTATTATTATTCCTACCCCGCTATGCCTATCTAACAGGCTCCTCGGACCCGCTCCAGCTTGCAATATATTTGCGTGTCCCTTCCTGCTTTGCTTCCGTGGCAATTGAAATAGGCAAGAACGACACACCTGCCAAGTCACCATCCGGATAATACAGCAATGACGACCATCGAGTAGTTGAGGCAGGCGCTACCGTGGCAGCGAGACTTGGCAACCGGCCGTCGATATGGATTTGGCTCAGTTATCAGAAGAAAGTGTCGAAATCGCTTGAACATTATATTGATCCTTGAGCCGGAGCATCTTGTTGAGGGTCCCGAAGGAGTGAATTTGAACGAACGAAGCCTCAGGATTCACACTGGAAGATGCAATCCGATTTCAAGCCGTTCTAGCATATCCCATTTTCGCCAAAAGCATCTTTTGCACCGATTCCAGATCCATTGACAGTTCCGCCTCGCTCAGGCTCTGCGTCACAGCTTTGGCTCCCCTTTCCACCACCTCAGCTGTGTATGCTTGAACCGCCTCCTCCTTCTTCGACTTACCGTCACGCACTGAAATAAGCGCCTGAACGTAGCGCTCGGCGTCGAGAACGGCGTGCTGGAACCCTTGGCCACGGAAGACGAGCATCGGGTGAGCCGCATCACCAGCGAGCGTGATGCGGCCGCCATGCGTTTCCCACATGACGGGCACCCACGTCCGCATCTCGTCAATGTAGCAGCCATCGGTCTCACGCGTCCATTCAATCTGGGACCGGAACGGCTCAATCACATCATTGGAAGTCGCCTTGATGTATGCCAGTGCCTCTGGCCCCTTTTTGGCGGGCGGCTCTGGCAGCTTGCTACGCCGCCAAATCTTGATCCATGCTATCGTCCAGGTAGCCATATCCTTTGGATCGTCGACATACATAACTGTAGGTTGCTATTAGCCGAGTTCCCCCAGAAGAAAAGTGATCTGCGTAATAAGCGTACGTACCGGCCACCCCACACGTCGAGGTCACACCAGCAGTTACAGCGCCGAGGGGGTGCAAGTTGACCACTGGCTCAACCTTTGCAGGGTCACCATGTCTGGGATATCCCGTGGCACACATCAGACCAGACGGCTTGGCTCGCGCCACCTCGTCGTCCCCAAACAGCAACGCACGTGCCTTGGACGATGCGCCATCAGTTCCAAGAACATAGTTAGCCTCTGCCGCTGTTCCGTCCGCGAAGATGAGCCGAACCATCTCGCCGTCAACGTCCATCTTCTCGAGCTGTTTACCCCACTGAATCGCCCCGGCGGCGTTGAACTCCGCAGCCAAGATGCGACGCAGGCGCTGGCGCGTGATACGCCTCAGCCCGGGCATGGCGCTGCGGAGCATGACCTCGCCGGTTTGCCCGTTGATGCAAGGCATCGACTCAACTTCAGGCGTGTACTCGAGATGAGGGTTCGTGAAGGACTGAGGGAAATCGGCCAGCGCGGAATCAGACAAGAGGGACTTCAGGTTCGGTAGCGCCCAGTGTACCGAAATAGGCCAGTCGCGCACTCGTGCGTCGAGGCCCTCCTCTTGATCAAACAGCACGACATTGAAGCCCGCCTTCTTCAAGCCATGGGCAGTAAGAAGGCCTGTAAGTCCCGCGCCAATGATGGCTACTTTGGGGGTTTGCGCCTTCGTTCCGTTCATTGTCTTAATGTGCTCGTGGAAACGATCGCTAAGTGACAAACCTGTGGCTAGTCATTGAGGCTTGAGAGCCGGGACGCTTTACAGCAGAGATGCCAGCTCTCTCTTCAATTTGTACCGCTGGAGATCTCTGTTCCGGAGGTTTGCGTTGGGGATGCCCGACTGGTCGTCTTCCGGTTCGTTTCTGCCGTTGCGACATATGGAGAACAACCAACCGGTCCCAAGGAAAGACCGCCACCGGAACACGGCATTGCTTATTGTAGCAATATGCGGACCAATCGAGCTTGACAGCTGCCTGGCATCGGACGGGCCTGAAAGCGATGTTGCCAGCAGCTCGTCAATAACACTGTCTTCGGGCTCCTACCGCGATTCTTAGTCCCAGACCAATCAGTCCATATGAATACGGCGAGCGGGGGATTAGGGGTAAATCCGGAGGCGCATGTTCCACCGTCCTATAGTCTTCCATTTTCGCGCCAGCATGTCGACACAGGAGCTCTGTGTCCATTGAGACTTTGATATTGCAGGTATGGACTCCCCATCCCGTGGGTCGCCTTAGAACAGGCCCAGCAGGGCAACTCAGGGTCGACGGATACGGACATTGTTGAGCGCAACGTTTCCATACATAGGTATGGTAGGAATGTAGACTTAGAGCCCAACCCACTGCACAAGAGCCTTCCACCAGGCATCAATCGGGGCATCCAAGAATCCCACTCTGGGGCTGAGCTCGACCAGCATACAGTTCTCCGATAGGACCACAGGGGTGCCCTTAACAGCAAGGTCAATTTGGTATATGAGCAGGGGGGCGCTCATCAGCAGACTGGCCACTCCGAACAACAGTGGATGATCTCCAGGCTCCTCGAGAACAAGGCCGAGGAAGTGAGACACCATGAATAGCAGGAGGGAGAAGACAGCACAAGTCCAAACCGGTGCAGCCATCCAATTCATCATCAGAATCTGTCTCTGAAGTGCGAACCCCTCGCGACTGCCTACTAGCCAGCATTGGCGCTAGTTCCTTCGGTGGGCGGTTCAAAGGCGGGAGACCGACGGAAGGAGACCGCTGAGTTGTTCGCGGCCGATGCGCTTCAGCTTGCGAACGTCGAACTTCAGTGCAATGGTTGAGAGAGCCCCGGAGGTGTCGGTTGTCGGCCGTACGTGGACGGTCTGGCAACAGGTCTCCTTTGGGATGTTGAGAGCTGGATGCCGGTGAAACTTCGTCTGGGGCAGATGGGGCCGGGGTAAACTCGGTTATCTCAACGGTGGCGGGCTCTCGATCCTCCAAACCTCCAGGGCGCCTGTTCCGCCATGGCTGCTTCTCCCGACCCTTTCGCGGCCGACGCGCTTCAGCTTGCGAACATGGAAATTCAGGTTCATGGTCGGAAGAGCTTCGGGACTGTCGGTTGTCGGCCGTACGTGGACGGTCTTCAGCTAGCAACCGGTCTCCGGGATGTTGAGAGCTGGATGCTGGTGGAAACTCGCTTTGGGCACATGGAGCCGAGGTAGGCTCGGTCATCTCAACGAAGGCAGGCTCTCGGTCCTCCAGACCTCTTGGGCGCTCGTTCAGCCCTAGATGCTTCTTCTTCCGACGCTTTGGACGCTGTTGACGATAGCGCTCAACTTCAGCCACAAGGCCGCGAGCCAACGCCTTTCGCCATGCGGTTCAAACGACAACCGGATAACCAACAAACAGAATTACGACTGAATAAACGACTTGCCCAATTTGAATGGACCGGAAAACGCGGGATCTTGCACCCGTTTCGAGGAAGGAGATGGATCCGATCGGCGTACAGCCATGGGTATTGATGATGCTGTAAGCAACAGACCCGAACGTGGCACCCGGGGCGCATCGCTGAATCACAATGACTAGTATGGCGACTATCTCGGCTATCATGGACAGGGTCAAGACAAGAGGTATGAAGTAGGTGAACCGGTTCGACTTGGCCCACCAAACCGCGATGGGCAACAAGAGGGCGCCAGTGGTGGTGAAGCTCGCAGAAACCCATCCCGCAGTGGTGTATTGTATCTCAGCAATGATGAAACTGGTATACCAGAAAGCGGTTGTCGTGACTGGCCACAGGAAATCCACGAGAAAGGATACATCGTCCGACTGCGCGGACTTTGCAAGAAGCCTTCTAATCCGGCGAGACCACGACGAGCGCAAAGGTCGGGTGGCATCATCTTCCCCAAGCTGGGCCCTTGCGTCCCTAGACAAATCCCACCAGAGCAGAAAGACGTTGATGGCAATCGTCATCAGCGTCTCAGGCCAGCTGGGGTGTAGAGCTGCGTGAGTTGGGGCAGCATCCACTCGAATCAATCCATGTGTTTGCTGAAGAATCTGAATTTCCTGGTCGGTTTTGCAAAGTTGGTATTGCTCGGGCAGGAGGTTGTCAATGTCGGGTATGTTGGATCCTCGAGCGCTCGAAACCAGGCCAGCGAAGCAGATCGCTGCTGCCTGCCAGAAGACCTGCGCCATATCTGACACCTTATGTACCATAAAGGTATGCAGGGAGGAGAGGACTTGATGATGGCGTTCAAAACGCTTCATCGGTACTCTCGTGCCGGGATACGCCCTTTATCCAGACTTTGTGTTCCCTTAGCCCCAAATCATGGCTCAGTTTCCAGGAAGAGAACTACTACTACTGGCCTTGCTGCAGTGACCGTTGATGTTGCTTCTGGTGTTGTACCCTATGTCCGCTGCGGTGCTTGATAAGGTAAGAAAACGAATGAATGTCTTGAACGTGGCCCGTCAGGGGTCGGAGTCTAGTGTTTCTCTCGTGCCGAAGTACGCGCCGGTCTCGCCCTACGCAAAGAGGACCATTGAGATTGGGTACTTACTCGCTCTCAACGAAAACTCTCTACCTACCGTATATAGATTTGGTCCTTCCTGGCACTCCCACCCCGCAAACCCATATCCCTCAAGCATCTTGATTTCCCCCCCCATCCCACCCGCTGCACCGGCAAATTCTTACACATCGGGCTGCTCTACCTCAAACACCCACCCTATTCTCCACCCTCCTATCAAGTGCTTCACGGATCTGACAATGGATCCTGCCATGCACGAGTTCGACAGGGTCGCCGGGGAGGTCCTTAAACTCTTTCCCGTAGTCGTCATGATCGTGGCCACAGTTGGAGCCCAGATGTGCTTCACGGTCATTCTATCAAAAATTGAACTGCCAGAGGGAAGCACGGGAAACCCAGCGTTTACACGGAGAATGGTAGCTGCCAGCTGGCTGTTATTCTTGGTTGTGACGTTTTGCGCCTTCGCTGCTGGTGCGATCGATATCGTTCACGGGCCCAGCGTTAGGAGCGGAAAGCTCAGGAAGGCCTGGTTCGTGAAGTATATGGCGATACTCGTTCTCTTTGGGATCGAAATCATCACGTTTGCCGCCTTCGGGTGTATGGCTACTGCCGTAAGGGAATTCGACTACGACTTGGGCCAGTGGGCTATTGGGATTGTTTGTCTAGGTGCTCTGATCACCGTCTTGTCGACGGCCGTATATGCGTGGCGGGTCACGAGGAACAAATGTAAGTTTCTCAGCAGATGTTCGATGGCTCGACTCAACTCAAACTGACTACCCGCGTTGAGCAGAACTGAGAAAGAGATTTATCGACCGAGGATGACTTCGAATCTCTGCTGTTTTGCTGACCTGAATCATGTATCTGGATTCTGGAAAGGAACTTGTGATTAGTTACCTAGGTATCTGTGTCTAAGGGGGTTTGGGTGTGTCCCATTCTGTCAATGGCTGAG